ACCTTTTCGCGGCCAAAATGTGAAGCAACGCAGAGACTGCTACTGCCTTCGACCTCGCTGTTGACGTTGGCGCCCTTATCGAGGAACATCTGAACCACCTTCTCGTAACCCTTTTCTGAAGCGAGGTAGAGAGGGATGTCGTATTTTCCGCCCTGGCCGTCGACGTTCCCGTCCTTGTCCACCTCGAGTAACAGCTTGACTACCGCCTCGTATCCTCTCTTTACCGCCAACGAAATCGTCTTCGAGTCAACGTCGACCTTGCCTGTCTCGAGTAGTAGCTTGACTACCGCCTCGTATCCTCTCTCTACCGCCCATGAAAGCACCATCCGTCCGTTATTATCCTCTAAATTAACGTCGAACTTACCTGTCTCAAGCGACAGCCTAACTATCGCCTCGTATCCATTCTCTACCGCCCACAAAAGCGCCGTCCGTCCGTTACTATCCTTCGAGTTACCTTCGAGCGCTCCTGTCTTCAGTAGGAAAGAGACTGCTGTCTTGCATCCAAACTTCGCTAAGTACGGAAATAGGCCTCTATTTCTTGAAAATTTGAAATCGCGTCTGGGACCCTTTTGGCTCCATTCCTCATCAAAGTCATTGGCATCCGCTTCGTAAGATTCCATTTCAGGAGACTGGTCCACCGCAAGGCTTTTTAGGAACATCTTAAAAGCTTCCTTGCTCCTAGTTGTGATGGCAGCAAAAAGGGGACATCCATAACGCTCATTCTCCACTTCGAGGCAGGAGGCGGCGGATGGATGAACTCCAATCAGATGCGGCATGTTGTGCTCCCCCAGTAAATATAGAAGGCTTACATCTGCTGAGTGCCTACGCACCTGATGTTGTTGAAAAAGATTGTCAACCCTAATCCAACGAGGTAGCTGAAAGTTTTCGAGAAAGTGCGCTTGTGTGATACCATTTCCTTCTGCCGCGTCTGCATGATATAGCACATTTTGCACGGCATACTCTAGAAAAGGGAATGCCTCAGAAGCTGACTTGCGAAAGTCTGCGGCTTCCCGTGATGAAGCTTTAGGAAGGTCGTCGGGGATGTTCAATGGGGTAAAAATATCCACACTCAGATAGTTAAGGCAGCACTGCTTCAGCCGCTGGTGGCTTTGTCCCTGGAGGTTGCCTCCAAGATCAGGCCAGATGTTTCTGAGAGCGTCTTCTTTCAGAAGAAAGTCTCGTACCGACTCGTGAATGAACTGGACTTTCTGCAGCTCCGATTTAGTGACCTCGGTCAGCCCCTTAGACGAGTCCAAGATGAACCTCTTTATCACGTCTCTTGTGATCTCTTCGGGATCCCATATCGATACTGCGTCCGCCTCGACTCCAGAAAGGATGGCGAAGTACAGCTGTTCAGGGCTCAGCGGCTGCTTGGCAAAAAGCACCCACTGAATACACAGTACCAGCTCATCTCTGTTTTCTGAGTCGCGTGTCAAGATGTCGCGAAACAGTTCGTGCAGCTCGCTGGGAATCTCTTCCAGCCTCTTTCGAAGTTTGTGTATCCGGCCTCCATCGTGCTCTTTGTTCAAAATCTCCACGACGAGAACCGCCCACATGAAGACACCTGAGGCCTTTTCCTGCATCTCGCCTCTGATCTGCTGCGCAAGCTTGCTCTTCCCAATCTTTAACTCGGTCTCGAGATAGTTGGCGATGTCCTGCGTGTGCCCTTTTTGGCCTTCCAGTACTAGATCCAGCCCCTTCCGGATTGTGATGTGAGGATAGTGTCTGCTGGAAAAACATACTTGGAAATAGATTCCAGATGATGAAGTGAGCTCTCCAACGCGTTCAAAAAACGATATCATATCGCGGATCTGTGCTTCTTCGCATTCGTCCAGCGCATCAATGAAACAGACGACCGGACACTCCCCTAGACTCTTTATCGCATGCTCTAATAGCGTCTTGAGTGATTCGATGGTCCAGAAATAGTCTGTGATATTGCTCGGCATTGAGAGACTGAGCGAGTCAAAGACACACCGGAGAGCGGGAAGCCGTTCGAGGAGTTGTAATAGCAGCGATCTGTACGTTCCGATTGTTGATTTCTCGATATCTTCGCCTCGGGCGTTGAAGAAGAAAGAGATTACGATCGTGTCCTTCATTGTCTTTCGGGTATTGGCGAAAGCGAATTTCATCAGCGTAGATTTTCCTGTACCTGGCTTCCCCTTGATCCACAAAAACCCGTGGTGTTCGCTCAGTTTGGCCGAGTTAAGCCAGTCACGGTACTCTGACTTGCGTAACAGCCATTTACACGTCTTGGCATGCGCGTTTTTGATGGTCATCTGGCGCGCATCAATTTGGTCAAACCTCAACGAGTCCAAGAGCGTTTGTTTCAGTTCATCACTCAGTGACTGAACTCTGTTGCCCAAAGACTCCTTGATCTCCTTCTGAAGTCGCTTCAGTGCTTTCTCGCGCCCCTCTCCGTACAAAAGCGGCATTTGAATGTCAAAAATGCCTAGAAGACAGTATACTGCGTCCTCGTCGCGTTTTGTTGTTCTTCCTTCTGCCCACATGAACCTCTCGTCCATAGTGAATTGAGATAGTGGTGCTCCTCGGAGAGCGTCAATGGCAACGCCTGTTCTTTCGTGGATAGTTTGCTCCATTGAGCTCTTGCTGCCAAGGTTTATCCACTCGCGAGAGAAGAACTCGACTGATGCCGGTGCGATAAGCTCTTGAAGGGTCCAGCCTCGCGTAAACCATCTGCTTCCCCTGAACTCCGGCTTCCATATCTGTAAGCCGTCCTCATCTCCATCAGACGGACCACGTGAAACGTCAGACAGATAAACATAGCATTTATCCGCATTCTGGTACCAGCGAAACATCGAGTTGATTGCTTCCGATAGTTCTGCGCTGCTTGACTTGTCGATGCAGCAGGTGTCTATCCAGGAATATCGGAGGCCGTCTCTTGCGGCTTGATCTGCACAGAAGCGAACCTTGCAGTAGCCGGGTTTGCTTTCGCCTCTGCCGCTCATGAGATCTTTGAAAGAGACCTCATCACTGTCTTGCCCCCATGTGTGCGAGAGGATCGCATAGCTTGGAATGTTGTCGCCTAGGCGTTCAACAAGGCTGAGATTGCCGTCATCTTGGAGGTGCAAAAGACGCATCGAGATGGGTCTATTGGATAGAAATATGGAGAGATATTGATGAAAGAAATTAGATAAGACTTGTGCGGATCGAGTAGTTGATGGGCTGTACTGAAGGCGGCTGCACGGGTTGATGGAAAGCAGTCAAGACGATCAAGCTGGTCAAGGTGGGCTGCGCTGCAGGCTTACATCACGTGGGCAGCCGCATCTGTTTTGAGGCTGAATCATCCGTATTCGTGGGGCTTATTATCCGAAAGAAGCCCCATGTCGGATAGCTAGTCTCCTGTAACACTGCGAGCTACACATGCTTCAAGTTTTGATTTTTTCCATCGCCGCTACATACTTTGCCATCCTTCTCATCCCAGTAATCAAGATTGTGGCAGCTAGCCTCCAGAGCGTTACCTCTGCGGCAAGGATGGAGCAAGTTCAGCGCCCCCTAGCATTGGCTACAGATGACTGACACTATGATCGAGGCAGGGCATACCCGAACAACCTAAGCTACCACGTATTGATTAACCAACCGTCGAGCTCATGTTTGTCGGTACCCTCAACTTCCAGTTTTTGCTTTACTCGCGAAACAACCACTTTTCAAACTGCGCCGTATCCAGACCCTTCGGTATCATCCCCCTCGTCGTCTTCCATTTCATGGAACACAGTCCAAAGCTACCATGATTTGCTGGCTTCAACGCAAGAGACTTCATTCTCTGTGTCTCGGGGCTATCTTCACCTTCACCGGTAACTCTGAGTTTGTACGCTCTCTCCGCGAAGACGCTCGCCCGGGCCTGATCTCCATGTGTGATACTCACTTGGAAAGCGTCATAGTAGAGCCTGGCACCGAGTACTGAAGCACACCCATCATACTCCTCTTCCAAGGCCTGAAGTAGTAAGTGGCAGTTGTTCAGACTCTCCTTCGGTCGATACATCATGCAAGAGGGATCCCCTATGGCTTCGTCGAGGCTTTGGATTAGCAGACGACGGGTATCGCTGGCTTGGAGCTCGGAACGAGGACGAGAGCATCCGCGGCAGTTGCACTCGAAACCGAATGATTCCTTCAGGAAGGCACGTCGTACAGCAGATGTCCCTCCTTGATCATACGGGATTGTGATCTCCTCTCCGGCTCTGATCGGCCGGATTGCGTGGATGGTTTCGTGTTCGGCGGTGTTGTTCCAATTGTTGTGGGAGTTGGGGACACAGCTGTGGTTGATGAGGCAGATCGTGGGGTAAATCCCGCCTATGGGTGAGCCGGATCCGCAGGGCAGAGCGTTTGTCTTGACAATGCCGCTGAATGGGTGCCTTCCCGGGAAGTTGTTGTGGAGGGACAGGAATTGTCGTTGCGATGCTTTGCATAATGCCTTTAGCTTTGTTGCAAGGACTTGCTCCAACTCAACGGGTGGCCTGCTTTCGACTGTGAGGAGCGGCTTTTCGCAAAGGATCCGGGTGCCTTTGGATATATCGAAGCGAGCGATGAGACCTCTACCTTTTCCCGGGATGTCCTTGACTTCGAAAAGCGGGATGTCAAGCTCCTTGATGGGATCAGTGCCGTTGAGAAATGATGCGAGGCTAGTGTGGATCTCTGGCTCGTCTGGCTGCAAAGAAAACCATTAGCCATTGTTGAGAAGTAGGAATGACCAATCTACGATGGCGTGACGAACCTCCTGATAGGACCTCATTGACTCGTTGACTTCATCCCAGTCGTATTCACCATACTGGTCGAAGCACTCGTTCCAGGGTTGGACACGAGAGCCGAAGTGAACCTTCGCAATACGTGTGACAGTGTTGATATAGCTTTCTACTCCTGTGGTAGATGCGATAGAGCCTGAAATCTTCGAGCTGAAACGTAGGAACTTGTGGCCCTCAAAGGGCAGTCGAGGGTGTTCCCCAGCCTTGAATTCGATGTAGTTCGGTTTAACTTCAACCTGGACATCATCTTTGTAGTGGTCCTTGATGAAATGGATGAAACGATCCCAGTTGTGTCTATCAACGACTCCTCTGGATAGACAAGGGACCATGTCGAAGCCGGCGTCGATCCCCATGGCTGCACTTTACGATTAGAATCACGGGAGAAGTGAAAGCAGATGTGCTGGAAAATTAATTTAAGGTGAAAGCGTGCTCTATTTATGCATCATACAATAGGAGGGGGTTCGCCAGAAGATGCGGTGGGACCTCTTTAGCTTGGCGTGCGGGGCATGTGTGTTGTGTAACGATCAAAATTATTGGAGACCAATAAGAAGATGACACAATTCAATAAATCGCCTTGGAACTTAGAGTTTGCGCAGGGTCATTTAGCTGTTATCTACAGTTAATAAAATCAACGCTTGCGACGCGTCTGGGTGTTAAGTACCCTTACAATCACTTCGTCTGCAAGGGCGGCAAATTGAGCATGTTGCAGCAAGATTCTTGTAATTTTAGGCCAAGATATGGTATTACGCGTAGGTAATACACAACCTCATACGTTCCTTGGGCTGCAAAGCATTTCAGAGCCCTCACCTCAGATCTGCAGACTTTTATCTCCATCGAATATTTAGTCAAAGATACATATAGAGAAATTATATTGGGAAAGCTCATCGACTACGCCTTTCACATCACCTTCATCATTGTGTGGAAAGCGAGGTCCTCGAAAGGGGTAATCTGAGATCTCTTATGGAACTAAGTATTTGGTGCCTGGTACTCTCCTTGGTCTCTATAATGTTCTCAGTATCTGTATTTCTTTTCCCTTATCCTCTTGCAGTTCGTATCCGCTATAGATACTGATTTATATATTGGTATTTGTCCAGATCCCTTGCTCCCGCCATAATTGATGGTTCAAATAAGTAATTCTTAGAAAGGATCTTCTTAATTTTAACCTCGATAACGCCTTCGTTCCCTTCGGCTCCTATCGGATCGTGCCGCCAATCCCGTGCCGCCATCGTCGCCCCCACATCCTCAACCGCGCCACCAACACACTCCCGGCCAACCAGCTTGAGTGTGGGGCAGCATGGGTGTACCAAGCGACCAGGCTGAAACTCCTTGCATTTGTACGTCGACGCATGTGCACCAAGTTAAGTGGCATTGTATCGTCCTATCTGCCCTGCATGCCCTTTGATCGTTCGCACCCGTCACTCGTCCAGCCTATCGCTGGCATGTTTTGTTTTGCTAATGCGGTCCTGGATGGTCACGAGCGACGTGGCGGCGGCCCTTTGTCTGAATATGTAGGCCCCCATGAATTAGGCAAACATGCACGCGCCGGGATGCAGATAGGCGTCTACATGTGGCTGAAGTTTAAATGTTACGGCGCTGCTTCTATGGTTTGAGGAGCATAAAAGGATTCGCTGGGATCAGAAACATTATTTGACTGATCTGCCCCGTTGACAGAAAGCTTATCTTTTGTTTTTCCTGTCCGCTCTCCGTTCAACCCATTCTCCAAACCATTTGCCACGATGAACCATTCAAGTCATCAGTACTCACTCCGCCAAAGTGGCGAGACCCTGGCACAAGAGGAGTTGACAGAGCTAATGTCTTATGAAATGTATTTCTGGCACAGATTTTGACAGTGCTACATAATATTGACCATCGTCAGGCGCTCACGGAGATCTGAAGAAGGCTCCGAAAGCATCGAAAACAGTCCTCTCGTCACATCCACTGGTGGTGAATCGGATAAGAATCCAAGAAGCCAAAATAATATCAATAGAAAAGCTTTCGGCAAAGTGGCATGGCCGTTCAAGCGGTGGTTCAAGAAGACGGGACTTTCAGGATGGAGAGGCGGCGTGGCTATTAACGTTGTCGTCGCTTCTGTCATCTTGATACTCAACACCACTTTTCTGATCGTGGCGGTCACTCAATATGGCTCGAAAAAGGGACCAGTCGGGACGCTATTTGAAGGCGATTGCTCACAAGTGGAATCGCTCGCCCTCGTCAGCCATTTGATAATTAACATCTTAAGCACGCTGCTCCTTGGCGCTAGCAACTACACCATGCAGGTACTAGCAGCGCCGACACGACGGGAGGTTGATGCAGCGCATGCCAAGAGCCGCTATCTTCGAATCGGAATCCAGGACCTGCGCAACTTCAAGTCTCTTCCCGCATCAAGGATCGTATTGTGGTCACTTTTGGTTCTTTCGTCACTACCACTCCATTTGATGTATGTGAAAAATCTCTTGATATACAACAAATATACTGAGCTGATGGAGCAAGAACAGGTACAACGCTGCAATCTTTTCACGGTTAGGTAGCAGTGAGTATACAATTACTGTCGTCACGCCGGGCTTTTCGCAAGGCAATGAAATAGGATCGCCTGTCATTGAAACTCTTAACTACAGCTTAAGCGATTCAAGCTTTCTTGACACAGGACTTGTTCTCAACGAAAGCGAATACAAAAGACTTATTCTCCACACGAGCGAGTACCAAGACTTGACCAGCGAATGGAATCAAGTACTCAATAAATCAGACGTTGAGCTCGTCCACTATCTACAGCTGCAAGTCTCTAAAGGAAAGCTTCAGCGCAAAAGCCAGGCAGACTGCATCGAATCATACAGTAATCCGATTCAGAGCAAATTTCGGAATATCGTTGCCGTCTCCGAAGCTGTTGAAACAGGGAGCGATTCATTACTATGGCTGGAAAAGACAACACCCTTATCAGATAACGCCACAGATTGGACATGCAAATACGCCTGGGGAGGGCTCAACGCAACCACGGGAGAAGCTATCTGTAGCTCTGAAGATGCCATAAGCAACTCCACCAACTGGGCCATTGGCTATCACCATAGGCAACCGTTTAATACTACGCACTGGTCAATCTGGAGTTATCCAATCTCGTACTGCTTCGTTGAACCAGGCCCGCCGGATCCATGCGCCCTCAGCTACGATAGATGGTTACTTAGCGTCGTCATTGTAGCTAATGCGGTCAAAATTGCTCTTATGGTAATTACACTAAAAGTCATCCGAGGTCCTACACTGGTCACTCTTGGGGATGGCCTGTCATCATTCTTAGAGAGACCTGACCCGAACACAGAAGGAATGTGTCTTTTCACGGAGAAGGATTTCCACGGAGACTATTTCAGGTCAACAGGGGACACGAGAAAGCCATGGGTGGCAAAAGCGAAAACGTACACCAAAAAAGACTACTGGGCCCGCAACTTCTCCTCCCCATCTGAACTGGAATGGTTCATCAGCATCACCATGTAAGCCCCTCCCACCACCACCACCACCACCACCACCACCACTACCACCACTACCACTACCACCACCAACCCCCCTCTATCCCTCCACTAACCAACCACCCCCCACCCAGCTACTTCTTCTTCACCCTCGCCGCCTCCGTCAAAATCATGCTCACCCACGGCCTCACCCCCTCCTCCCTCCTCACCCTCGCCCACAGCACCACCATCTCCCCGCAATCCCTCACCATGGGCCGCACGCTCCCCACCACCGCCCTCGCCATCATCGCCAACACCCCACAACTCCTGCTGTCGCTCGCCTACCTCCTCTCCAACCGCCTCGTCACCGCCCTCGCCCTCTCCCGCGAATGGTCCGCCTACGCCACCGGCCCTGCACACAAACCCCTCCGCACGACCCACCCCCGCGGCCAGCAGCGCTCGACGTACTGGCTGCAGATACCGTACCGCTTCGCCTTGCCCCTGCTCGCGGCGTCGGCGCTGCTGCATTATCTTACGTCGCAGGCGCTGTTTTTCGCTGAGATTAGGGTCTTCGCGAACACGGGGGGCGAAGACGGTCGGCCCGTCGTCACGGCAGATGTCGCGGGGTTGGGGTCGTCGAATGCGGCGATGCTGGCGCTGGCGGTGTGCGCGACGGGGCTGATTGTGGTGAGTATGGGGCTGGGGTGGCGGACGAATAGGGCGGGGATGCCGCCGGTGAGGTTTTGCAGCGCGGTGGTGGCGGCGGCGTGTCAGCGGCCGGCGGGCGAGGAAAGAGCCGGGGAGGAGGCGTTGCGGTGGGGGGAGGTGGTGGGGTTGAGGGGGAGGGGGAGGGAAGAAGATGGTGGGGTGGAGAGGGAGGTGGGGCGTTGTTGTTTTACCAGTGGGGAGGTGGAGGAGCCAGTGGAGGGGAGGAGGTATATGTAGGTGTAGTGGGGGGTGGGAGTGTAGGTTGGGGAGGATGGTGCCTTGCATATGGTTTATAACGTTCAGAATTGTAGCGACAACGTATTACGATTCATAAAATGCAGGTGCTGTCTGTATATTCGGTGAACGGCTGCTTAAAACTAATGTATTTTAGCGAAGAGGACGCGATTCGCTGCCACTAGGATTAAGATGCCGGAGCTGTCTTGCGCGAGGAGTCATATATGTTCTTGGCGTAAGTAGATATGTCCCACGAAAGTCTCTATGCGAGCTCAATGGCAAAGTGCGCGTTGGCAGGTAGATACCTTGCTGCTCGAAGCGAGTGGGGTTGCATAGCCGGGGACGAAGCGAAGCGACTTTTCATAGGTGGAAGCTGTCCGATCTACCAATAATATTGTGACATGCCAGGCAGATCACATATGCGAGAATCGTCACACCGCTTCTACCTAATCTTTCTTCATGGCTCATTAAGTCCCACGCCGGCTGCCCTCAACCCCGTCTCCCTCCTATCCAGCCGCTCTCTTGATCAATTCAGCCGGTCTCTGTTGAACCTATAGGTCTAACTTCCGTTAAAATCTTACACACTCCTTTCGTGCACATCTGCAGGTGTCATTCGTCCGAAACGACCTTCAGACAGTTCTGATACCTGCAAATGGGCTTACATCAGCAGGTCTGTCCTATGCACGAGAAAGAATTGTCGGGACTTCGCAATGAGTTTTCTCAGTACCGGACATGACCGGAAACCAAACAGAGTGTGGAGTCCAGAAGACCATCTGGATCCAGAGAAATATTTTACTAAAAAGCAGCTGGTGGAATATTTCTGTAAAAGAATTCAGCCAAAACTCAGCGAACTTGATGAATTCAAAACGAAAGACGTACGTTTTGCTAGGTGCTCTCTATTGAATATTAATTTGACAGCGATTTAGTTGTCATCATGCGAAGCACAAAAAGAAGCCATCATCAGAATTATCAAGTGGCCAGACGATGGTACGGAGTCTGTCAGCAAAAGGTTTCGGGAGTTTTACGGTACTTCTCAAGCGGTTCACGCAGTTCTCGTGGCTAAGTTTTTCTCAGATGGTCTTCTCTTCTATTGTAACGTTAAGGGATTATTTCCGTCTCTTGTATGCTCGCAGCTCGTGGATATTCTCTTTGAGATCCATGGATCGGATCCTCGAAAATTTCCAGAGGCAACAAAGATGAGTCTTCGTTTGCTTAGCGATGTTTTGAACAGAGATACAGTGAAAGACTGGTGTGGATCGACTCTATGGGGCGTGCTAGATGAATGTTCAGCCCTAGGCTCGCATGCTGCCATAACGCTTCGAGGCTACTTGGAACACTACAAGAGAGACTGGGACAAGACAGGGTGGGGGTTCAATGCCCCATGGAATCCTTGTAAGTAACTTCCGTAGTCGCAAAGAGCTATACACTTACAACACCATAATAACAGTTGCCAAGCTTGAGAACGGCGCGCTCTGGAGAGAGCTCCCGTTTTACGCAGGATTCCGTTTGTGCTGCGATGACGCTTTGTACTCGTGTGGCGAGGATATCATAACATTCCTTAAGCGAGAGAAAGAAGTAGATTCAGACCCATTATCAGCAGACCCGGAGACAGTTAGCCATGTTCAGATCTTTGTAGGACCTTCTGGATGCGGAAAGACAAGCAAGATCCACGCGCTGCTCAAGAAACATTGGGGATTGTATCTTCTTCCAGGAAACCTTCCGAAGACGACGGACGAGGTTGGACTGCAAGGTAGATTGCAGTACAAGCCCCGAGGAGGCGGCGGATCACGCGACACTCAGACGTGGGTTGACGATGCCAAGTCAATTTCCGAATTTGGTGCCCCTTCTGACCGACATGCAATACATCGAGCTTTTGTGGTCCTGATGGCAAGGATATGGATTCTGGAGCAATTTCGCATAATTGGTCCAAATCGCACTCCAGGCGATTGGCTGAAGCTTCAAATTGACTGCAAGGAAAAACAAAATGACATTTTCAACCGCCTCTATAGGGTCCGGAGATTCCCTGGGCGGCGCATCCCGAAGGTATCAAACGTGTTGTGCACAAAGCTCATCTTTTGTTTTGATGAGGCTCAGTGCGATCTAAAGGCTCTTCCACCTGGGGAAATAAAGTGGCCGAAGCGGAAATTCCTATCTGAGGAAACTTTTCAATTTCAGCCTCTTCGTCACATGATTTCTGCGACATTCATGCTGAAATTTTTCTTCGGCAACTCGAAGAACGTGGAACTATGTCTATCTAGAACCGCTTTACAGTTTCACGACATTCAGCGAATGATCGAAAGTGAGACCGATCGCCTTCGACCACTAGTCATCCTCTGGCCGGAAGATTACATCAACGCTCATTTGGACCATCCACCAAAAATCAACCGTAAATTTTACCTAATCGAAAATGAAGAAGACTTCAGAAATCTTACACGAGCTAGGGGATATCGCTACGATGATGAGGAGCTGGCCAGCATGATCATTAAGCATTCCAAGCCCTTATACGGTAGAATTGTGTGGTCTGTGTGTTATCTTGATGAGATTCACAAACTCATCCACAGACCAGGTGGCGATCATACAATGGTGCTCGACGAGGACATAAAAGAAGCTTCCGTCAAGGTCTACGAGGTGGCTAAGGAGGGTCTCATAGAGAGATTGAAAGATATGAGGCGTCGCAGGGTGACCGATGAGAGACTTCGACTCCATGAAGAGTTGATCGACGAGCTATGCTCCCTTGCAATCCGCAGCGACCTTCTGGGGGAATCAACGATCTTCAAATCTTCAGAGAGCATGGATCTAGTTGCTTTCGGCTTTGGCTTCCTAGAGGAACCACAAGGATCTGATGTATCACAAGTCAGATTGAAAGAAAGGGTGGCTGTAGATGCGGCAATCGAGTATTTTCAAGGCCAAAGGCTTAGTAACGGGCAGAGCGAGTACGATCGCGCACTCGTAAGCTTTCTCTATGATCAACAAAGCAACGCCAGTGCTCTTGGGAAAGTGGCAGAACTATTCTTCGCATGGGTAAGTAGTTGGACCTGCTTATCGATCCCCATGAAGTATCCGCTGACGTAGAGAAGCACTTGAGCAAAGTCATTAGAACGCGTGCGGATATAATTCTCCCAACTTTTGGAGATGATTATCGGACGCTGGTTGCGCAACTCATCATAGGGAATGCTCAGACTGTCGAACACCTTGAGGCATGCAGCAGGAGATCTGATGAGGAAAGTCGATTCACCGACCACGCAAAGTGCGATGATCTTACTGAGTTTCGGCTTGTTGAAGGGAGGAGAACTGCATTTCAAGAAGGTGTGGGGGAAGAGAGAAGCATCAACCTGTGGGAGTGGTTGCGGAAAATCCGAAATGGCAGCCCGAGGGATGACTTGCAATGTACTTTCTGGTTCCCGAACAACAACGCGGGTCCTGACGTTCTCTTTGCTCTGAGAAGAAGAAAGGCGCCTGAGGATCTGAAAAACGCCCCCGAGGCTATGGCATCTTTACCTCACCAGTACGGTACACAACAGCACGCAGGGGGGAAACGGAAAAGAGACTCCGCAATAGCAGAGTTAGACTACTCTCTGGTTCTGTGCGCGGTACAGGTAGGCCTTTCTGTCACGCAGAACATTCCGTGTAGCTGGATCTACAACTCACATGTTCACTCGTAGATCAAGAGAGAGAAAAGAATCAGCGATGTTGGGAGAGCCACTGCAACGACAGATCCAAACTATTGGTTTTCGAATAACTACCCCCATCATACTCGGGACGCGGTGGAAATCACTAAAGAGCTTCGTGAGTGGCAGGAGGGGAGGTATCCCATTGTCCGCATTCTCGTCAGTGCTCTTACGGGCCCCAAGCAATACAGAAAGACGGAAGAAGGGCCAACGACGGCGGAGAAGTACTTCAGGAACAAGGCAGTCAAGACCGATCCCAAGTCGTCTGAAGACATACTAGTGGAGGAAGGACGAAGAGAAAATCTGCAGAAAGTCAGGATCCCTTCCCATCAACAGTACTTCACAAGCATCGGTGCTGAGCATGATGATTTACTTTTTGGCAAGGCTTTTCGGAGGCTGAGGGAAGCCCAGGGCATTCAGACAACCCAGGAACGTAGGGGAGAGTCTTGAGTGGAGGAGATTGTGGGTTCAGTATCAGGGTTTGTAGATGTGGCTCTTTGTCACAGGTTACTTTGGTGGTCAATGTGCCTTCAAACAAAAGGAGAAGGAGAAAAAAAGAAAGAAACAAAAACAGATAGAGTAGCGGAGGCGTTACGGCGCTAAGTATTTTGCTTTTTTGTATCTGTGGGGCACAGGATGATATGGAGTTGTGAATAAATTGAGATGTTCTATTCTTTGAAAAAGTTTAATAGAATATTTCGTACAATTAATTCTGGAGACGTAACTACAACTTAAGATAGTCTCAAACCTATCTCAAAATGATTTTCAACCCCGGGCTTTTCGGCCCATAATTATACCAGCCCTTGAATTCCGGTTGTGTTATCCAAAGCAACCATCCACGGTGTTGTAAGTCCTCTGCAGCCCGCCGCTGCGACCAACATGACTCGCGCCCGCAGCCGCACCGCAATCGCAATCGCGTCGCGTCTCTCTCACCCGAACTCTTCCCACCACCACACCACCTTACTCCTCTCCGCCTCCCGCTCCCTAACCTCCCGGTCCGCCCACTCGCGCGAAGCATCCAAACCAACCACGCACCTCACCTCACCCACGCCCGAACCTCAACGAACCAACGGAACCAGGCGCACCAAAAAAACCACACACCACACCACACCAATGACCAACAAAGACGCCGCCACGGCCTCCGCACAGCAACGCGCCGCCGACCTCCCGATCGAACAGCAGCCGCCGCCGCTCAGCCAGATGCTGCAGGACGACCGGCGACAGGCCGACGACTGCACGCCGTGCAGGGTTATGGGTGCGTCTTTCTGCCTTCCCTCTCCCCCGCCCCGCTCCCTCACCCAACCACAACGCACAGACAACCGGCTAACAGACATTCAGGCGCCTCCGCTTTCATCGGTCTCGGCGTGTACAGCTACATCTCGGGCCACAGTCAGCTGCGCGAGCAGCGGGCGCGGCAGCTGGCGGAGAAGTCGCTGCTCGGGCTGCGGGCGCGGAAGGCGAGCATAACGGGGTTGGCCGGGGTGTTGGTCGGGTTGGGGGTGTATCGGCTTGTTAATTGAATGGGCGGAAGGACAAGGAACAAAAAATGATTGAGGGAAGGGTGGTTGGACATCTGGTGGGAGATGGGATGGTAGGACGGGAGCGCCGTGTGGGATGAATTGGGGGAGAGGTGGGGCAGGATGTTGAGCTGGCATGGGGATAAGAAGGAGGGAAAAGGACGGACGATTGATGGACATGGCAGGTCATGGTGCATTGGGCGGCGTTTTTTCTCTTGCGGATTTGTATTGTTCTGGGTCGGGCAAAGGGAAAAGCGGGTATCTCTGCTCTGTTGCAAATATTTGACGGACACAGCGAAGGGTTCGTTGTACCTGGGAAAATGGCCGGGCGAGGTTGACTATTGGCAGTCTCCGCTCAACGTTTGTATAGTATCTGTATGATGGGAAAAAAGACGAGCTTCATACTCATTGGTTGGACGCCAGCAGGACAGACCATTCATGTGACGGGCTTTTCACTCCAGTTGAGCACCAATCAACACACAAATGACCATGCCAAAGCGCGCTTGACAGCGTTACGTTGAGTGTCCGCTATACCGACTGACACGTATTTAGGCATCGCAGATCCACCCTCGACCAGCCCTCAAATTCCGAGCACCACATTCCCGACCAGATGGTACATCGAAGCGATCGTCCAGCGAAAATAGCCATGAAAGGACCTCGATAGGGTTCCATTCGTGCCGCCGGGCCCCACCATCCCAACAATCCGGTTCATTGTAACCCACCCCTTCCCTCGACCCACCCAGCCAGCGATGCAAACGTCCTCTTACTCAGGCAAAGGCCAGAAAAAATCTCCCCTTTTTCACGAAAAAAGAACACCTCAGTCAATGCAAGCCCCCACATGATGCGAACAAACCCCTCCCCAAAAAGAAACGTCGCAATAACACAACGACCAGAAGAAGACCGTCAGCCCCTTACAAAACTCCCGTAGTATGCTTCCTATGCCGGCACTGCTGCCTTGGTGGTATATGGATATCCTCGACTTGTATAAATCCCAGAGAGCAAAAACACCCGAAAAAAAAAGAAGAATAACCCTTAACCGAAAATGCCATCCCCACCGCAGCACCCCACTCTACAATGCCCTAATTTCCCTCCTCCTCTAGAAAAGAAAAAAAAAAAGAAACCCGTCGATGCATGCTAAGTAGTGATAACGTGGAAACCCAATTTCCTTTCCCCCCTCCTTCCGAAATTTACGTGAATCTCCCCCTCTTTCCTCCTCCCCCAAACATATCCTTCCCGTTGCCAACTCCGGTGATATCGAAGAAATCACCAAACGGCGCCCGCCTCTTCAATCCTGCGCCCTGGCCGAGGTTGTTAATCTGGGCGACAGCGGCGGCGGTGGTGGCATTGTTGCGGCTGCTATCTCTGGCGTGGTTGGTCCGGGTAGAAGCGGTGTTGCTGCCGCGGTGGGCGTGGTGGTGGTGGGTGCCTCGGCCGTGGTGCCGCGGGAAGACGTTAATCTGCATGGGCGTCGTGGCATCGCCGCCCTCGTTTTCCGGCTCCGGATCCATGTCCAGGTCAGCCTGCTGCTGCGCGGGCAGCGATTGGTTGGCGCGGAAAGTGAAGTCGGCTTTGGGCAGGGCGGTGGGGTCGAAGGCGGGCCGTGTTTCGGGGGCGGTTGTTGGTGTTGCTATTTGTGCGGCAGGCTCGGGCGACAGCGAGGACGGGACGGGCGGAGGGGCGGAAACGGCGACGGCAGGCTCTTCGGTAGTGCTACGGCGGACGGGCGACGAGCTGCTGCGGGCGGCTTTGTCATCATCGTCGTGCTGGCGGTGGGTTGCGTTGTTGTGATTGTTGTTGTTGTTGCCGGTGTTTGCATTCTCGTCGTCGCTGTCGATGTGGTTGCCCATGCCCTCCTGCAGCTTCTCCGTCACCCACTGGCGCACGCGCCAGCCCTCGCCGTCTTGGACGCCCAGGTTCTCGTTGTCGAGGAAGCTCAGCATGTCTTCCAGGGCCGCCTGGTAGCCTTCTTCGTGGGCCTGCTCGCGGTCCGTGGCGGCGGCCTTGTACAGGTTCGTGACCTGCAGCGCGGCCGTCTTGAAGGCTTGCAGCAGCTGGGCGGGCGGCTGCGGGCGTCGCCGCGCCGAGGGCAGCGACGTGTTTAGACTGCGCATCGAGTCCATAGGTGGTGTGTGTGTATGTGTGTGGTCTCTGGTGTTGGCTGCGGAGCGCAGGGGTTTTTGGGAGGTGGTTGTAGATCTTCCTCGCTGGGCTGGGGAGGTCCGAGTTAGTCACTGATGATGCACAGCCCTGGCTTGCCCCTCATCAAAGGGCGGCCGGGTCGCACGGGAGCCGGGCGCTACGTACCGAGCAGACGGTGGCGGAAAGACAGTGGTGTAACGATCGTCGAGGATACTTTTACAGAGCGGGTGGCTCGGGTTGTGGTGGTGGTCAAAAGTTTTTTTTTGGGCGGAGGTGCTTGGGAGAACTGATGAAGACGATGGAATGTCTGACTTCCACGACCGTGCGCACGGGCCGGAAGCGGCGTTGAACCCTAGTCTTTCCCCAGACGGGTTCACGTGGCGGCCCTGCAATCCTGTGATCACTGCGGCCCCATTGACCAGATGGTTATTCGCCGCTTGTTTCACGCTTCTCATCTAGCTACAGGAACTAAGTGCGACATCTGCCGCACATCTGTTACGCGCCGCACGCACGGACTATTTACATTGGCATTGCCGCTCCGTCGCCACGAGGATCGCTGCCCGCGCTCCACACCGTCTGCCCGTCCTCCACATGGCTCCGGATGAGCTGCCCTCGCCCAAACAGACCGCGTTTGTGGCCCTTGACGATCTCGATCTGGTGACCCATGGCCTTTAGCTTCTCGGCCACCTCCGGCCGGATGCCGTCCTCCAGATACACGGTCCGGTCAATGACCTTCTGCTTGTTGCTCTGGTCCGGCATGCCCGCGCCGATGCACACGCGCGGCGCGTCGAGCGCGGCCTGCGGCGAGTGGCCGAACACCAGCATGTTCAGCAGCACCTGCACGTGGCCCTGCGGCTGCATGAAGCCGCCCATAACGCCGTAGACGGAGTGCAGGCTGCCGTCGGACGGGTTGGTGATGAGGGCCGGGATGATGGTGTGGTAGGGCCGCTTGCTGGGCTTGATGACGTTGGGGTGGTCGTGCTGCAGGCTGAAGTTGGCGCCGCGGTTCTGCAGGGTGAAGCCGCAGCCTTTGGGGATGATTCCGGTGCCGTAGCCGCAGTAGTTGCTGTTGATGAACGAGATGCCGTTGCCCTCGCTGTCGGTGCAGCAGAAGTACACCGTGTCGCTGTGGTTGTGCGCCGGCGAGCCGTGGTCCGGGATGTCTGACGCTTGCGCTGGGTTGAAGAGCTTCGCGCGCGAGGCCAGGTAGGCTTGCGAGATGAGCTCTTGGGTCGGCACCTTCTCCACGTTCGGGTCCGTCACCCACCAGCTCGCATCTGCGAAGGCGATGCGGAGCGTCTCGATGACGGCGTGCAGGTGCTCTGCCGAGTTGTGGTCCTGGGCCGTGAACCTGGGAATCTTGCCCTCCTTCTCCAGCTCCTGCAGCATGCCCAGCGCCATCAGCGCCACGATGCCCTGGCCGTTGGGCGGATGCTCCCACACCTCCACGCCTTCATCGCCTCCGTCGTGCATGTGCTTCTTGTGCAGCTCGCCCACGCCCTGTCCGTGGAACTTGAGCGAAATGGCATCCACCGGCTCACTGCCCAGCTCGGCATGCTTCTTCAAGTCCTCCAGCGTCAGCCGCCCTCCGAGGTCCTGCACGACCTTCACCAGCGCCTCCGCCACAGACCCCTCGTAGAACCCCTTCTTCCCGTGTTGGCCCAGCAACCTGAACGTGTTCGCCAGCGTCGGGTTCTTGAAGATCTCGCCGGGCCGCGGCGCCCTGCAGCCGTCCTTGGCTTGCGGGTCCTTCTTCAGCATCTCGGCGAAGTTGGGGCTCGCGTCGCGGATGATCTGCTCGCCGTTGTGCCAGAAGCTGCTGCTCAGCTCCGACACGGGGAAGCCCTCCTCGCCCAGCTCGATGGCCGGAGCCAGCACCTCGGCCAGCGTCACACGTCCGCTGCCGAACCGCTCGATCGCATCGACCCAGCCCGCCGCGGCGCCCGGGACTGTCACCGCGTGCACGCTCCTTATCGGGATGCTGCCGATTTCGCCCTCCGCGATCTTAAGGTCCTGCCGGATCGTGTCGAGCGTGACGTTGCTGCCTGCTCGGCCGGAGCCGTTCATCGCGTGCACCTTTTTCGTCTTTGCGTCGTAGAAGAGGCAGAAGCAGTCGCCGCCGATGCCCGTGCTACCGGGCTCGGTCATGTTGAGCGCTGCGGCGACAGCGACGGCAGCATCCTTTTGGATTCATGTTAGATGGTCGATTGTTCTTTCTTTTCTGTTTGGGAACTGCTTACGGCGCAGTTTCCACCTTGCCGCAGGATGCGGACGCCAGCTTGAGTGGCGAGCGGCTGGGTGGACGAGACGATGCCTTTGGTGCTGTGGACGGTGCTGCGTCGACTGGGGAATTGAATGAATCCCGGGTCGGTGGCCGGATAGATGGCCTGTGGATTGAGAGGCATGGTGGGTGAAGGAGATAGACAGTAACGCTCAAACGTAGAGGTATTTTTCTTTTGAGATCTACTCTTGCTGCGAGAAACCTGACTTGCAAGGAGAAAACGTGGGAATAAATAGACAGCAAGAAGAAGTAAAAGTTGCGACAACGGAGAGAGACGAAAGCTTTAACCGGAACTTTGTGCCGCCCTTAGAGTCATAAGGGTTAAGACATCCCACCTTGAGCTTGATATGTATTATCTCCCGCTTCGACTTGCCCACCTATGCGGGGTTGGCAATTACGTTATCCACTACGGTTCTACCCCGTTCAGCCGGCCTTGTCCCTCGGCATCACGAGGGCAGGCCGACGGCGGACCTCCGATTAGCTAGCTTGCTTGAGGTGACACCTGGCTGGCCATTGGCAATTGCTGACCGGACGAGAAGCAGCAGGTGACGGCGGGATGATGACCCCGCGGTTGCTGCCAAGCCCAGGCCGCGGGCCGACGCGTGCTGTGCATCTGGTGTGACGTTCAAGTAAGAAAGTTTAACTCGACACCTCAATTCTCCTTCCGCCCCTCCGCCATGAACGCCGCCGCAGGCTGGATCTGTCGACGATGTCTCCTGCGCTCTTCCTTCCCCGCTAGGTCCGCCGCCTTCGTGCGCCGCCAGACCACCAATGCCTCTCCGGACTCCGTCATATCGCCCACCGTGCTCAAGAGAGCACGCGCCGTCGCCGCCGAGCATGCCCAGCTGTCCCAGAAGCTCGTCGACAGCTTCGACACCCGCACCGCGAAGAAAGTCGGCGAGACAGCTCCCATCGCCGCCGCCCTGAAAGAATGGGAAAAAGCGAACGAGGTTTGCACCTCCAATTGGCCTCCTTCCACACCACCTCTCTAACCAACCTTCACTCCAGTCCCTCACCGAGCTCCGCACCCTCCTCAACGACCCCACCGCCGAGCCCGAACTCCGCGACCTCGCCGCCGACGACCTCTCCTCCACCGCCGCCGAGCTCGCCCGCGCCTCCACCTCCCTCACCACCAGCCTCGTCCCCAAACACCCCTTCGCCGCGCTCCCCTGCATGCTCGAAATCCGCCCCGGCGCCGGCGGCTCCGAGGCCGCCCTCTTCGCCGCCGACCTGCTGCGCATGTACCAGGCCTACTGCTCGCGCCACGGCCTGCGCGCCTCGCTCGTCAAATACGAAGACGCGGCCGGCGGCGGCGACCCGCGCGGGTCCGACGCGCCGCTGCAGGAAGCCATTCTCGAGATCGACGACGAGGGCGCGTACGGCAGGTTTCGGTGCGAGGCGGGGGTGCACCGCGTGCAGCGCGTGCCGGCGACGGAGAGTAAAGGGCGCACGCATACGAGCTCGGCGAGCGTGCTGGTGCTGCCGAGTTTCCCCGAGGGGAGCGCTGGGAGTATGGATTTCGAGGACCCGAATAGTGATTATTATATCGATCCGAAGGAAGTGCGGACGGATATCATGCGCGCGAGTGGGGCGGGCGGCCAGCACGTTAATAAGACGGAGTCCGCGGTCAGGCTGACGCATGTGCCGACGGGGACGGTCGCCGCGATTCAGGATTCTAGGTCGCAGAGGGCGAATCGGGAGAAGGCGTGGCAGGTGCTGCGGTCGAGGATTGCGCAGTTGAGGAGGGAGGCGAGGGAGGAGGAGGCGCTGAATTTGAGGAGGAGCGTTATTGGCGTCGCGAAGATGGGGAGGGAGCATAAGATTCGGACGTATAATTGGGGGCAGCAGCGCGTGACGGATCACCGGAGTGGGCTGACGATTCACGGGCTGAATGATGTGATCGATGGAGGGGATAGTCTGGAGGAGGTCATGGAGAGCGTTAGGCAGTGGATGAGCGATCAGGAGGTGCTGCAGATGATTGCCTTGCAGGAGAGCGAGGAGAAGAAATGAGCGTATAGATGTGTTGTAGAAACCCTGTATTAATATAGATACCATAGATGCAGAGCAGTACAGAAAAATCAAGCTGTCTACGATATGCTCTAATTCTTTGAATACACGCACAAACCAATACCTCCCAGCACCAATGCCATCCCAAACCAAGTTTCTATCTCTGGTGTTAACAAAAGCCTGAGGCAGTCAAGCAGTTCTTTACTTACCTTTTTCTATGATTTTGCGTTCTGCTAACCATTCACCCAAGACGGTAAATAAGAAGGCACAGGAGTTGGTGATGGGGACCATCAGACTAAGTTCTACAGCATATAATTAGCCGAAGTTAATGGTTGGGGCAGTTCCCATCCCACTCACCATTCGAACCAAGTAGCAAGAAGAACCAAATACTCCCCGTCACATTAATTAGTAGCGGTACAGCATATGCCGGCCGCCGCAAGAGGTCGATAACCGCGTATATTACACCCCATATCTTCCGTTTTACCCACGACACGCTCGGGTCGGTCAGGTAGGGACGTGGCGGTGGTGTGTAATTAACGGCAGCGCGCCGCATGAAGGGCGTGGTCATTCCCCATGCCGCTCCAACGAGAAGGAAGCCGAGAACCCAACGAAAGACCGAAGGTTTCGGATCGCCGGTATGTGTAGCGGGATCTCCAGGGTCCATGATGCTGTATGGCAAAAGTTTGGATGATGATACAAAACCGAGCACACCGGAGCGTAATAGCGAGCGACAATGGTACAAAAGGACGTTTGAGAGGTCGAGCTGCAGGATGCAGTGGTCAGGGACGTCGGCGATCTGGGGGACCGCCCTGACACGCGCGCCGCCAAGAGTTGCAGGGATCCGGCGTCATTGCACTCAGAAAAATCTCCCGCGTCCTCGACCACGACCAGCACGCACCCCATTCTCCAGGCCCCACGCTCCCACCCACACGCGACAATGGCAACAGAAGTCCGGCCGCTGCAGCCCGTCAAGCTGCCCGCGGCGCCGTCCGCCCTGACGCCCGAGCAGAAGTACTGGAAGACGTTCTCGTCGCAGCTGCAGCTGCCGTCGCCGCACTCGTCGCCCGTCACGCACATTTCGGCTCCGCCCTTCGCGCCCTCGTCGACGCAGCTCAACAGCCCGGAAACGTTCGCCGTTACGTCGGGCGGGCGGGTGCAGGTCTTCAGCAGCCGCACGCGCAAGGTCGTGAAAACCATCACGCGCTTCGGCGTCGAGGACCGCGCGCACAGCGGCGACATCCGCCGCGACGGCCGCGTGCTGCTGGCTGGTGGTGATAGTGGTGCCATCCAGGCCTTCGACATCAACTCGCGCGCCATCCTCAAGACTTGGAAGGAGCACAAGCAGCCCGTGCACGTCACCAAATGGAGCCCCGCCGAGCTCACCACCCTCATGTCCGCCTCCGACGATACTACCGTCCGCCTGTGGGACCTGCCCTCGGACACAAGCACCCAGACTTTCGTCGGCCACCAGGACTACGTCAGATGCGGTGGCTTCATGCCCGGCCAGGCTGATCGCCTGCTGTTCTCGGGCAGTTACGACCAGACGGTCCGTCTGTGGGATCCGCGTATCAGAGGCAAGGCCGTCATGACGTTCAAGCACGCTGCCGCTGTCGAGAGCGTCCTTCCGCTGCCGTCCGGCACCACGCTTCTCGCCGCGGCCGAGAATACGGTCTCCGTCCTCGACCTGGTCGCTGGCCGTCCGCTCCAGCTGCTGCGCAACCACCAAAAGACCGTCACGAGCTTGGCGCTGGCGAACAATGGCGAGCGGGTTCTGAGCGGTGGGTTGGACGGCCACGTCAAGGTGTTTGAGACGACTGGCTGGAATGTCGTTGCTGGATTCAAGTACCCGTCGCCCGTCTTGTCGCTTGGTGTCATTGCTTCGGGTACGGAGCGGGAGGACAAGCACTTGGCCGTCGGTATGGAAAATGGTCTTCTCTCGCTCAAGACGAGGTTGTCTGGTCAGCAAAAGGTGGCCGCTCGTGAGCGGGCCAAGGAAATGAAGGCGCTCATGGATGGAAAGATTGAGGAGTACGACCGCAAGAAGAAGAGAGGCAAGGGTTGGGAGAAGAGATTGCGTGGACGGGATTTTACTGGCGAGGGTGCGGATATCATCATTGACGGAAACGACCGCGGCAAGATCAAGAACATGAGCAAGTGGGAGACGGCACTTCGGAAGGGCCAGTACGAGAAGGCGCTGGATCTGGTTCTTGAGGCTCAGGTATGTTGTCATCGATTCCAGTTCATCGAAACTTTACTAACGGCTGTTAGAATCCCTCGAAGCAAGATACTCTCACCCTCCTCACAGCTCTTCGCCACCGCTCCGCACTTCGCACGGCTTTGAATGGCCGTGATGAAATCACCCTCCAGCCCGTCCTCAAGTGGCTTAACAAGGCCATTGGCGACCCTCGTCACGTCCAGCTGGCCACGGATGTGGCGTTCGTGTTGCTGGATCTTTATGCCGAGGAGATGGGTCAGAGTGCAGAGATTGACGCGCTTGTTGATCAGCTGCACGACAAGGTCAGGAGAAATGCCGAAATCAGCCAGCAGGCTTGGAGTACGCAGGGCATGCTCGAGATGTTGATGGCCGGGACAGGCCAAGCATGATTAGAGTTCATGTCCGAGTTTAATGCTCAATTTTTGGTTCACTGGGGGCTACATGTCATGAGAAGGGGATGACCTGAGTGAGTGTGGCAACACCTCTTGCATAGCGTTGGCGTTTCTGGGTAGATACATTACTTCTGTACGGGATATTATAGTGATATCTGGTGGGCGTGCAAAGACATGAAGCCCCTTAAAAGGCAGGAAAAGTTTTGATTTTACGGCACGAGAATTGCAGAGTATTCCATCGGCGAGATGTCTTTCAGAATTTTGAGTTATTGTTACACTTGAGACATGAACCAGAGACCGTATATACTGCGCCATCAGCCCTCATGAAGATCAGTTTACCACAGCACATGCTGGCGCTGCTGCTGAATGGGCCTGTCAGGCAGCTGCGTCCACAGCTTGCGGTTGTCACGCTTCTTCTTGATATCCTCGGACTGCCTTATCCTCGTTGCTTCCTCTTTCAGAACCACCGAGATGCCTAGAATCACGTTAGCTCCTGCAATCCACCCGTTGCAAATCGCAAAATCGATGACTTACTCGTCGTCGGTGTCCGCAAGATATTAATACGTCCCCTCGCCCTGAACTCATACGACTTGCCATACGGTCCCCTCCCCACCCAAGCCTGATCGACGTAGATGCCCGTCTTGTCCTTGACAACCTTCCTCGAGCCATCCTTGAGCTCAATCTCAACCGGCTTCTGCTCAACCACATCACCCTCCTCCGCCGCCGCCGCATCGCCCAACCCCATGCCCCTCGCCACGGTGGCGTGATCCCGCGCGTACTCGAGGTGCTTGAGCACCTCGACGGCGGCCTTCTTCTTGCTGAAGCGCATCTGCAGGATGGCCTCCTCGATGGGCTTGCCCTGGATCTGGTGCGCCAGCTTGACCAGCTTCTTGACCGACGTCTTGATGAGCGGGCTCTTGACCAGGTCCTCGCGCTCCTGCCGGCGCAGCTGCACCGCGCGCGACACGCGCCCGCGCCGCTGCGTCTCGCGGATCACCATCTTGCGCGCCCACCGCGCGTCGCCCCGCGGGTCCGGGTGCAGCGCCGCCGCCATGGCGTTGCGGTCGCGGCCGGGGAAGCGGTCGGCTTCGTCGGGGGCGGCGATGGCGGTGGGGGTGGTGTCCTCGCGGCGTGAGGGCGTTGGTGCTGCGGGTTGGTCTTCGAAGATGGAGCCTGGGGTCAGGCCGCCGCGCTTCATCTCGGGCCGCCGTTGGGTTATGGGCTCGGGCTTGTTCTTCATGTAGTTTTCTAGCAGCGGGTTCTTGACTTTCGGCTTGACGGGGTTGTTGGTGGGCTTTTCGTTCTTGTCGCGCTTGCGGAAGCGGTTGAAGAGGTCCGAAATGAAGGTGCGGTGGGGCGTGAGCGGGAGGGAGACGGCTGGGCGAGGGTGTTAGCTTGGGATTGGGCTGCCGTGCTTTGCGTGCATGGCTCGAGAGCGGTAGGGGAAGCTGTTCGAGCGATGCATCCGGGCTGCGGCGGGTGGTGTTGATGGTGTTGGTGGTGTGGGGCTGCAATTGGCAGGCCGGGGTGGACACGCAGAGATCATTGAGCTCCGGAAGGCATGAGAAGCGTACCTGGCTGGGCCAGCCGTCTCGCGGGTATCCTCGCGTTCATGGCTTGGGGTGGTGGTTGGAGTTGGGGTGCAGGTCGGGTTCTACTACGGCAGGGCTAAGGTACGCAGCCAGAGATTTTCCGCTGAGGCCGGCGAGACCAGGCTGTCGGAGCCAGGACGAGCGCCCTATCCATTCGCAAGACCCAGGAACGGCGCAACAGTCAGCAGGCTGCAACGCACATCCTTCCCGCGGTGCAGCGGCGTTTTCGCGACTTTTGACCGCGTCTCGAGAGGCGCTGGCTGCTCGGTGTGGGCCACTAGCGCGATTCCACAATTGACCTCACTCGGCCCAAGCCAGTGCTCCAGAGAGGCGTCTGCGCGCGACGCCAGCCATCATCATCCAACGACAACACCCACGCATCTTCAATCCCTCCCCGCGCCGGCAAGCTGGCCATGTCGCACCCCTCCCGGACCTGACTTGCCCCGATCCACCGCAAGATGAACATCGCAAATCTCCTCAGTCCTCAGGACTCGCCCGCCAAAGAGGAATCGCAGACGCCGCCGCTGCGCAGCCCCCAGCCCTCGCAGTCGCCGCTCCAACGTCCCGGCCGCCCGGCAAAGTCGCGCAAGTCGTCGGGCCTGAGCCAGGTCCAGCAGTACTCGCCGCCGCCTCAGCTTCCGCCGCAGCAGCATCCGCACCAGCATCAGCAGCAGCACCCGCAGCAGCACCAGCAGCTCCAACACCACCACCAACAGCTGCAGCAGCACCAGCACCACCAGCCCACGCCACCACAGCACATCCAGCTGCCGCAGCTGCCCACCCCGGGCTCATCCCACTCGTATCTGCAGTACCAGAATGTGCAGCATGCGCCGTCGCCGGGTTCTTCCTCGGCGCACAATGGCCGGGGCATGCTGAGCGCGACCAGCACCCCGACGGGCGACATCAGGAGTCCGCTCGCCCACATACAAGAGGCCCGCACCCCGCCCGCCTCGCAGCGTCCGCAGCAGCCCCAGATGCACCGGCACGGCTCCACCCCCGGCATGGATACGCTGGCAGGTGAGTCGAGAACGACCGATGCGCGGCGCGCGCCCGAGGCACAACCAGTGCTGACCCGCGCAGATCTCGCGTCCATGCAGCATCACCAGCAGGCCACCCGCCAGAGCAGCCAGGGCTTGCGGTCGCCACAGGTCTTCCAGCGCGCTCCTTCCGTTGGGTGAGTCTACCACGGGCGCTTTGTCCCCCCCGTCCCCCCACCAACCAAACGCTGACCCCGCCACAGCTACAACGTCCACAACATTACCCGCACCATGTCGTCCACGTCCGCCAAGGACATCACCATGCACGAGCAGCCGCGCGTGCTGCATGCCGCCTCGCTCGGCGCCGCGGAGAACAAGGAGATTAACGAGCTGCTCGCGAAGCTGAAGGAGAACTCGTACGACTACACGTCGCACATCCGCCTGGTCGAGCTCCTCACCAACGGCCTCCGCGACCATGTCCACCCGCCGGACCAACCCGGCGTCTCCCGCGATCCCTTCTCCTACGAGCTACTTTCCGAGCTCCGCCGCGCCCGTCACACGATGCACGCAAAATTTGCGATAGGCGAGGAGAGCTGGGTCGCTTGGATAACCGACGAGAAGACCCTGGCGCGTTCCACCGAGGACCGCCTGAGCTTGATGGAGCTGTGCCTGAAGTCGGTGCAGGAGGAGCCTAGCAGCTCCACCCTGTGGCGCCTGTACGGCGACTACATGTACTGGCTGTGGGCCGCTGCCTTTGACGTGGAGCCCGCTGACTGGACCGAGGATGATAAGAATGTGGGACGGGAAGTCTTCTCGTGGCAGGCAATGAAGGACGTGTGGGAACAGGCTCTGCCCGCCACTCAATGGCACATAAACGACAGCCACCTGGTGTGGGATCGCTGGATGGAGATTATGCTAAGAGACCAGGAAGCCCGGCCCGAAACCCAGAAGCTGCACCACCTCAGGAATGCCTTCACTGACCGCCTCCTCAAGCCGCACGCCACGTGGGAAAACACCTTCCAGATGTACTCGACCTTCATTTCCCGCTATTTCAATGCCGAGTACGAGGACACGATGATGACAATGACCAAGCGTGCGAGCCGGTGCAAGGAGCAGTTTGCCCTGCGCGAACATCATGAGCTGAAGGTTGAAAGGGCCGTCAAAGACGGCGACAAGAATGCCGAGTGGGAAGCTTACTCAGCGTATCTAGAATGGGAGCTCCGCAACAAGGGCGTCTTCAGCTTCCACCTCATCAATGCCTTGTTCGAGCGTGCCACCCTCCGCTTCTCCATTGATGCTACCATATGGCTGAATTACGTGGAGCTACTCATGGAGCACCCTGACTCGGGCGTCGAGGTCCTCCCCGTGCTGGAGCGGGCCACCCGCCACTGCCCCTGGTCCGGAGAGCTCTGGTCCCACCGCTTACTCACCCTCGAAGCAGAAGGCAGGTCTTTCGATGAAATGGAGAGTGTCAAGCACAGTGCTACCGAGACCGGTCTGCTGGATGTCGGCGGTCTTGAGGAGCTGCTCAAGGTCTACATTGCGTGGTGCGGCTTCCTCCGCCGCAAGGCTTTTGATGCCCGTTCGTCAGAGGACGACGTCGACATTGCTGAGGTTGGCATCCGGTCGGCCCTAGAACATGTGAAAGAAATCGGGGAGAAGAGGTACGGAAAGGAATTCCAAGGTGATCCAGCGTACCGTCTGGAGAGGATCAACATCAAGTTCATTACCCAAAGTGGCAATATCCAGTCGGCTCGCGACTGCTGGAGAGCTCTCGTCCCTCGGCTGGAGAACAGCTATGACTTCTGGTTCCGCTACTACACGTGGGAGATGGTCGTCTGGTCGAAATGGTGCACCCGGGACAAGGACAATGCCGGACAACAGCTCGAGTCGCCTCGTGAAGCTACTAACCTTCTCCGCCAGGCTCTCAAGAAGGTCACGACTATGGATTGGCCGGAAGCGCTTATTGACATGTTTATCAATCACTGCGAGCAAAACGAGACCGTCCATGAGTATCGCTACGCTGTCTTTGAGGCGAAGAAGGCGAGGGCAGAGGTGGCGACCAGGCGCCAGAGGGAAGCAGTTGAGGCTGCTGCTGCTTACCAACAACAGGCGGTTGCCTCTACCGAGGCGCCTTATGAAGATCCTGCAGGAAATGGCAAGCGAAAGCGTGACTATGAGGCTGCCGGTGAAGAGATTGCTGCCAAGAAGAGCAGACAGGCAGAGGAAGCAAGCGTAGAGCCCATGGAGCTGGAGCCGTCGTCGTCAACAACGGCCCAGCTCAAACGTGACAGGGAGCACACCACGGTCATCGTGAAGAACATCCCCTCTTCGGCCAGCCAAACTAGGGTCCGCCAGTTTTTCAACGGCTGCGGTAAGATTAACAGCATCATCCTTGTGCCCGACGACAACGGGTCTACGCAGTCAGCGACAGTTGAATTTGAAACGCAAGAAGATGCAAAGTTTGCAGTCTCGCGTGACGGAAAGGCTCTCGAAGGCGAGAGCGTTCAGATTTCACTCGGTACTGGCAGCACGCTGTACGTCACTAACTATCCGCCGGAGTACGACGAGGCGAATATCCGTAAGCTTTTCAAGGAGCATGGTGAGGTTGTTTCGGTACGGTTCCCATCGTTAAAGTACAACACCCACCGCCGCTTCTGTTACGTTACCTTTGCTAGCGCCCAGCAAGCTGAGGCAGCATCGGCGGCTCTCAACAACAAGTCGCTGGGCCGGAACCTCAAACTCAAGGCAGTCATCTCGGATCCTGCTCACAAGCAAGTCCGGCAAGGTGCTCTCTACGACGGCCGGGAAATCTTCATCGGAAACATCGAGCATGGTGCGACGGATCAACAGGTCCAAGATCTCCTATCACCATTGGAAGGCTTCGTCAACGTCCGTGTGCCGCGAAACTTTGGCGGGAAGATGAAGGGCGTGGCTTTCGCCGAATTTGACACACCCGACAACGCGAAGAAGGCTGTCGAGACGCTGGACGCGAAGGAGTTTCTGCAGCGCATCCTCCGCGCCACGATCTCCGAGCCTAAAGGCACCAAGCGCCACGCCACTACCATCATCTCTCAACCTTCCGCCTCTCCCGAACCCACTGGAGAGACGACCACCGCCGCCACCGACATGAACGGTACTACGGCCTCTTCGTCGGACGCAGCAAAGGACCGCCGCGAACGCACAATCGCCCTCCTCAACATTCCGGACACGGTCAACGACGCCCGCATCCGCTCCCTCGTCGAGCCGCACGGCACGCTGAAGAAAATCATCCTCATGCCCGAACACCAGGGCGCCATTGTCGAGTTCGCCCACGTCGCCGACGTTGGTAAGGCCAGCCTCGCGCTGGATGGCGCCGTCATCGATGAGTCGTCTGGAAGGAAGATTAGCGTCGGCACAGTTGAAGAGATGAAGAAGATGAGGGCGGAGAAGAAGGTGGATCGGATCGGTGCTGGTGGTGCGAAGAAGAAGGATGACAAGAAGAAGGAGGGAGAGTCTTCTTCGACCAAGTCTACGTCGGCCTTCATGCAGCCTGCTCCTCGGATTAGTCGGCCCGGCGCGCCTGGTGCTGGTGCTGGAAGGCGAGGCGGAAAGGGTGGCCTTGGCATCAAGAGGGCTACTGGCCCGTCGGCGTCGGCGGCTGGGAAGGATGTCGAGATGGGTGATGCGAGTGCCGGGGCTAGTGGGGCGGGTGGTAAGAGTAATGCGGACTTCAAGGCCATGTTCTTGGCGTCGAGGGAGAAGGGGAAGGGGGAGGGCGGGGATGAGAAGAAGGATGGTGATGGTGGTGATGGCGGTGGTGGTGCTGGTGCGGCGGAGGCTTAGGTGGTGGGAATGGGGGATTTTCAACGAAGCTTTTTGTGTGGATGAGGTTGAGGAATATCATTGTTGTTGTTTCATTGCATCAAAACGGGCCAAAGGAAAATTTTTTCTTTTTTTTTCTTTTCAACTTCTTTTTTCTTCTTTTCCTTTTCTTTTTCCCCCCTTCTTCAACAGTACACAGCAATCATCAACATATCATTGGCGTGCTAGGTGTTGTTCTCTGGGACATGGGTTTGCGTTTTTACATTGGGAATAAACTATCGGTGCGCTTTTGCTTTTTTCTCTTCTCCCTCCAATCATCATCATCTTCTTTCTTCTTTTTTTCCCCTGTTTCTCTTTTTTCCGCCTTTTCAACTGTCTCCTTTTCCCCCATATCCTCCTCCTCCTCCTCCTCCTTTTAAGTTTTTTTTTGAAAAAGAAGTTAAGGGGATGATGATGAAGAAGCAGCAGCAGCCAGCAGCAGCATTTAAAGAACTTGTCGATCGAAAGTGTACAAAACGGAATGGATATGTCGTTGCATTGTTTTTGCAGGGCCGTCGAACTTTTTTCCCTTTTATTCCTCCTCCCCTTTTCTCTTTTCGTCCTTCCCGTGCTGGGGTGTGTGTGTGTGGATGTGTGGGTGAGTTGGTTGGCCGATTGGCTGGTCGGCGATACTCCTTGATGGAGGTGTTCGTATCGGATCAGGGTGAGAGTCGCTTGAGCTGACAGTCAGGACCGGGTGTGTTTGAAGGGGAGGAAGAAGCTGCTGGTGTTGACTTTAATGGGGGGTGTTTGCGTGCGGAACTTGTTAATGCTGCTGTGGATGTGTGTGTGTATCTCTGTGTGTGTGTGACACTGGAACTCGACTGGGCCGTCGAGTTGATCATACGGCAGGGGAGTTTCTTTTCTCTCCTCCCTGCTGCTTTTGGGATATAAGTCCGGTTCCTCTCTCCTCTATTCTGTTGTCGCTGTTTCTTTTTCGTCATGGTCTCCGGTCAGCAGCAGATGTTGAGGATTGCACTGGTGGTGTGTGTACAAGTCTAATGCGGTGGGTAAGTACGTCGGTTGGTTGTGCACAGACGGGCTGATACAGTATGGCATCTTTCTTTACGAGACGGTCGATTCTTTTTCGGTGTTCGATAGTGGTTTGTTTTTGTTTTTGTTTTCAGGTAGATTGTTTTGCTTCTGAGACCCCTGCCTCCTCCTCCTCCCCTCGTCGTGTATCTTTGAACTGTATGTGTTTTGTCTACACTCACGGACTTGTACGCATTTTTCTGGAGAGCATGACCTCGGCGGTGACGTGTACGTCAAGGGAGATGGAAGCATGTAGCAATCATACATAGTAGTTGGGCGACACCTGATCGCAGATCACATTGTGTTGTGGTGAAGTGGGGCGAAAATGTGGTTGATTCCATTATGCCCGGGTATGGTGCGTTATATATTCGGAGGAAGATATGGAATTGCAAATATACATCCACATCCAGCCGATAGCCTCCACGTACGTTGTTCTTCACGCTAGCTCTTGTTTACATTACCGGTACCCGCCGGTGGGTTGCAGATGCGGGTGATGGCGGGGCGCAGGAGATAATTCCGAGCGCGTGGCGTTGGAGTTAATTCCGAAGTTGGTAGCGGGGTTGAGCTATACCAAACGCGGATGGCGCCTGGCGGCATGCATTGCAGCCACCCGAACCCCTCATATCAATCTATGACGACATGCCAAGGCTAAACTTGGTTCGCTCATGGCCGAGTGCATTTGACCTCTGCGGCACAGCGGTGCCAAGACTACGCCGCACACGATGTTGTTCAAGCGCGTTCGGCTGTGCCACATTCGGTAATCCCACAGTGGGAATGATCTACGGCGAAGGATTCGGCAGCTTAACAACACCTCAACGTTAAGACGACGATGACGCCTCTCGATGCGCATGAAAACATCCAAACTCACCCTCTATTGCTCGATTTCCGCGATTGTTCGACCAAGAAGTGACATTTCAACCACCCGGGTTCTTCGGAGAAAATCCGCAAAGTTCCGGATGGTCTGACCGCACTAGGATGTTGTAGATCACTGATGGTTCAAGAGCGGCCCATGACTCGGCGAGGTCTAGTCCCCTGAGGAGGCGGTTCAACTTTTTACCAGGCGGTTGGTATCGATATACGAGCTGACGCGCAACTCGCAGCAAAGTATCAATGGCAAAAATAAGGGGTTCAAGAGATGACAGAGGCAAGAGAGCAGTCATCTAAACATTCATCCAGGAGTAGGATTTGCGACAGCATAAGGTTGAAGTGATAGTAGGAGGGCAGCACGGGCCAGGGAGGTGGACTGACTCTTAGAGATCCTGGCCTTTTTTGAATCGAAGATACTATGCCTTCCTCGTACGAGTTCCCCCTGTCTTACCACAAACGGTCACCATGGAAGGAGGTTTACACGCGGCACAAGGCGGGATGTCCATGCTCGAAACCGGCTGGCCCGAGGGACAGATAAACAATGCCTGAAGCCACGGTTGAAAAAAGCACTTCTTCAGAAAACCGGCAAACTGCCAATTGAGAGGGTCAAGATGCCTCACAGCAGCAAGCCGCTCCCCAGGACGATAGAGATCCAGGTCGCCGACCCGGCGACCGAGGAGGTCTTTCCCACCAGCCTCCTCGACGGCATCATGCGCAAAATCTACAACCCGGTCACATTGACGTACTCTCTCGACGATGATGCGGACCTCGAAAAAATCATCTCCACCACCTGCGCCGGCCTCCAAACCCTCATGCGCGACGAATACCCCTTCCTCGCCGCCTCCGTCCACGAAGATCCCACAACCGGCCACAGCTTCGCCAAGCGCACACGCGGCGCCCAATCGCGCTTCACCGTCCACGTCAACGACCTGCGCCACACTTTAGACTTCCCATCGTACGCCGCCCTCGCAGCCGCACACTTCCCCGTCTCCGCCCTGGAGGACCCCAGGCTGCTCCCGCCATCCTTCACGCCTTTCCCCGCGGCGCCGGCGGACGGCTCGGGCATCCCGGTCACGTTGGTCCAGCTCAACGTCATCCGCGGCGGCTTGATCATCGGCCTCGCGATCAACCACCGCGTCGTCGACGCGCGCGGGCTGGACGCTATTGTTGCGCGGTGGGCGGCGCATACGCGTGCGTTGTTTAATGCGCCAGGTGTGCATGCCGCGCCGCCTGTGCCGCCGTTTGAGCATGCGGAGCTCGATCGCGAGCCGCTGGATTGGGCGGCGGCGGATGTGGCGAAGGGGAAGAGCAAGGTGGACTGGCGCGATCCGGCTGTGCCGTCGATGCGCTGCTTGCCGGACGGCGCGCCGACGGGGCCGGGGGTTAAGCCTGAGGATATGGCGTCGCGTATTTGGCATGTGTCGGCGTCGAAGTTGGCGGCGTTGAAGGCGCGGGCGTCGGGGGATGAAGGGGAGGCGTGGGTGTCGACGAACGACTGCTTGACGGCGCTCATGTGGCGCTGCATCACCCGCGCGCGGCTGGCGCGCCATGGGATTGATGCCGTGTCCTGCGCGAAGGATACGCGGCCGGTTAAGCTGATGAATGCGATTGATGTGCGGGCGTACGTCCCGACGACCCCGGCTGCTGGTGCATCGTCCCCGTCGTCCTCGTTCGACAGCGACGACAGCGGCAGCGGCAGTGGTAGCGGCACCGAAGGCAGCGACACCGACAGCGACACCGGCCGCTGTAGCCCGACCAGCAGCGGCAACGGCATCGGCATCCCGGACGCCTACCCAGGCAACACGGTCATGTTCTCGCACGCCACGCTGCCCCTCAACACCCTCCTCTCCCCCTCATCTCCCTCCCCGTCCTCCACCGACCCCTCCTTCCGCACCATCGCCCTCGCCATCCGCTCCGCCATATCCTACTACCGACACCCCTCCACCCTCCGCCGCGCCCTGTCGTGGATCGCCTCCTGCCCCGGCCGCGGCGTCGGCACCATCGAGATGGACTTCGACGTCGTGCTCGGGCTGGACGTGGTGGCGACGAGCTGGCGCGTGCTGCGGGCGTACGAGCGGGCAGATTTCGGGTGGAGCAGCGACGGAGGCCTCAAGGCGTTGCGGTGGGCGGCGCCGCTGTTTGATGGGTATTGTTTCTTCTACCCGACGAGGAAGGCCGGGGCAGGGGAGGACGAGGGGGTTGAGGTGTATTTGGGGCTGGAGAGGGGGTGTATGGAGAGGTTGGTGGCGGATCCGGAGTTGGCGGGGTGGGCGGAGGTGAGGGGGGAGTGAGTGGACGGCTACTCGAGGGCGTCGGTGATGGTGGCGTTGGAGCGGAGCCAGGCGTGGAGGTTGCGTTGTTCTTGGGTCTCGCGGAGGATGTGTAAGACGCACGGTTTCCACGCCTCGAAAGGTTTCAGATGATGTGACGGTAAAACACCGCAATTGTATACGGATGACCGAGCCGACCAGCAGATTTGATGAAATGGGCGTTGACCGTCTTTTTGAATGAAATCTCGCGGAACCATCGACTCATTCGTTGCCGGCTTTAGGCGACTGACAACGGCGTATACTGAAAAAATTGCACGTGAAAAAATATCTCGCGCTTGAAAGTTTGAACGCGACTGAAGGGCTTTGTAGGCCTTCAAGTCACTGTAAAGGACTTCGCCATCGCCTCCAAGATGCGCTCCAGCTTCGCAAAGCGATCGGATGATTTCTGGGGCTGAACACATGTTCATTGCCAGGAGAAGAGGCCAATGGAGCGCTCCTAACCTATCCAGACCTGATAGAACGTCGACTCCCTTGCCGTTTACCAAGGCAGGGAGATTTGGGTCCAGAAGTGCCCTGGAGCTTAGTTTCCGCGCAGCATTCTTTAGTCCATTTACAATGACCGCAAATGTGGTTAAATAGGGCGCCTCCCTAAATACGTTTAGGAAACCAGGCCGTTCGTGCAATAGCGCTAATGGTGGGTCCCGGTTGTCCATAAAGCGGAGTGCGACTTCAAGGTTCCAGAGTTCTGAAGGAGGTGCGTCATTGATCCCAATGCTACCATCTTTCATTAGGAGGGACCAGATGCCGTGCCAGTTCTCAGATTTGAGACAACATCTGACCAAATCCCGTGGAAACATATCGCTGCTGGCTGGCCTACGAGAAATTGCGTCGAGGAATCCGTACGTTAAGGCCTTGTTCTCCCTGCTATATTTGAGCAACTCGCATGACGATTGCATGCCAATAGCGTTATTGTGCCCGCCTAAGTTATTGGTGGTGAGGCACACATGGGTGTCCTCACGAATACGTGCGGCTGCTTCGACAATGTTTCGTATGTTATCTTCTACAAGCCCGGGGAAACTTTTGAAGATATTGACACAATGTTCCAGGCTTTCGGAGTAGCGGATGATGAACCTTTCATGGCGTTGAGACTGCCACTGGAGTTTTAACATCATGCCATGGAAATCCGCCGGTCGTTCGGAGAGAGGGAATTTCATAACATTCCAAAGGAGTTCCGAGCAACCCAACTGGATGTTAGAGTCCCCGCGAATGAATTCTTCGAATCGTGGTTTGATGACTTTGACCTCCTCTTCGAGACTGGGTGAGGCAATACTGAGTATATCCAAGAGAGTCATGGCGTATATAAGCGATTCGTCACACTGGATACTAGAAGCACTTTCCATATATAGCTTCACTCCAGAGGTGAGCAGAAATGTTGTGAGGAAGTCTTGAATCTATCAGTATGTGCACCATCCGGTATTGTGTAAAGCAAGCGCACCATCTCTGTTGGAGAACTCCAATGTATTTTTCTCATCTAGGTCCATCTTTTTTCCATTACGTATACCGATCATAACGCCACGGGTGTTCTCAGAGTAGGTTTGGTAATCTAGAATTGTGTAACTTGTTAGGACTGTTCATTTGAGCTAATGGGATGGATATCTCCAGATTCCATCAGTTCACCAGACGGTGATGTGGAAATTTCAAGGGGACTTACCTGAACAACGCCACAGATCACGCCCTTCGAAGCTTTGCGCAATCAAAGTGAAAGTTTTCTCCTCACTTTTGACTTCCAGAAACACGATGCATTCATACATACCAGTCGATGTATGCAGAATGGCAAATCTAAGACCATGTAAGTATCGAATTAGTGTACATTACACAGCAAACTTTACTTTTGGAGGAGGATAAATCCTCCGATAGTGCCCCATTGTCGGGAGTTCGATCCGCCATCTCCCAAAGTTGGCAAGAGAGCTGTCGATGGCGTGGACATCCAAATTTGCCAGGTCGAATCTTCAAGGTCACGCAAGGTTGGCCGAAGGACGGATTCTTTTGCAAGGTCTTCGTGCTGAGTTTTGACAGCCTGGACAAGGTCAAGGACGTCCAGTTCCTGGTGGCCAGAACCAAAAAAATGTCTCTGTGGATGTACAGCGACGATATCAGTGAGGATCCACGAGGCCTTGATAAGGTTCACCCATGCTTGTCGATACTCTGGCGTTGATGGAGTAGCAGTGTGAATCTGCGATTGGGCCTTGAGGAGCCACCATTTTCCCGTTTGTAACCAGTCGCGTATGCCGATGGAGGTCCACGCCCTGTCATTGATTTCTGCTTGTTTCATGAGTTTCCTAGTCATGAAATGTTGATCAGTACCCTTGAACCCTGAAAGCAACGGCGTGTGCCCCAAGGATGTGGTTCCGGAAAGAGCGGCCTTGATGTTTTGAAGGGCGTTCTCGGTCTTCTTCTGCCTGTTCTCAATGCGTTCCAGGGATGAGCTCTGAACCATTTGAAGAAGTAGGCTGATCTGGCCGTTATGGAACACCAACTTCGCCCTGAGATCGTTGATCGTGTGGGACTCGGCAGCAAATTTGACCTTGTCGTAGTTTCGCTTCCAGAAGTGTCGTTTCCCCAGATTACTCGAAGGTTTTTGCAAAAGCTCGTACTTGCCACTCAGATCATCGAGCTTCTTAAGCGTTTCATGTGTCTTTTCCAGAGCTCTACAAGCGAGATTGAGGCGGTCAGGCCCGGATTGAACGAGAATAGAGTCCGGGTCTTTGGTATCCTCGACCAGCTTGTTGATTGTGAGGTGCATGTCTCCGAGCTCAGCCTTGAGATTCTGGATCGCCTCCGGCGCACCGCGCGAGACTTCGTAGACTTGGCTGTAGAGCTTCCAGCAGAGCTCGCCGACGGCGATGAAGTCGCCTACTCCAAACCCAAACGACATCGTGGCTTGATGAGAATAAGAAGATCTCCAGTACACTGCAGCGCAGCAGTGAGTTGGCGAGCTATCGATGAGAGAAGTAATGCTTGTGAATTGATGGCTGAGGGTGTGGAACCACGAGGCTGAGCTGAGAAGAACAACTGGTCATGCACGTGATGCTGCACAGCCCCGCTCTCCATGTTACACAGAGGCAATTGTCTCAGCCCAGCGACCCTACAGGGGGTTGTTGCAGCTGACGGCAAGCGTGAATTTATTTTTCGCTCATATCATGGGCAGTTGAAGCTATCGTCCGGACGTGAATGTATAATTATTGATTCGATATTTGCATCCAGATGATAGCTTCAATTGCGCATACATGTCTCTTTTTTGTTTTTATTTAAAAGATCTTACGCCATATTGTAGAGTCCTGCTGCTCTTCGCGCTAGTCATCGGCTGCAGCACCCCTCTGTACGCCAAGCCGTGCCGTTCATCTCGAGGCCTCGACTCGAGTTGATGTTCGAAAATATTGCCAATTATATTGTGGATGAATACGTCACTGTGGCGCGCTACATAGTACCGCTTTAGGATTAATCGGACCATCTTGTCGACAGATAGAGACTTTGCGCGATATTGAGGTGACATCCAATGGTGACGCAGCTGCAGGGAGATGCTGCAAGGCGTGAATACAACCTAAGTTCGGCTAAGCGGATTTGGCTTTTGTGCAGCTGTATTAAAATCCTTTTAAATGCAGCCTCCGACGTACGTCCTCAAGGATTGCACAGTATTCAAAAGATCATTTCCATCGTTTTCTGTGCCCCAAGCAACCTATCACGAAATGATGCCGAATGTATCGCTTCATTATATCGCGTTTCTGCTGTGCATGCTTGAGCTGATCCAAGCATTGGCTATAAGTGGCCCGCTCTTGGAGACTCGCCAGTTCAAATGCGCTTCGGGTCGACAACGACAGGCAATTTCAGCACTCCAAGCCGCCATCAAGCGTCATGGGACGAGGGACAACCGTGCTCGAGGTCTTGCTGTATACGATTCAAGGTTTGAAGCTGCGCCCACCGGGACATGTGATGTAAAAGCTAACATTGAATAGTACGCTGATCGATACCTTATGGCGCGACAACCAAGACTTGGTGGATCAATTCCTCAATAATGATTTCTTGAAACTCCAGGCGGAGGGAACAACCGAAAACACAATATCTTCTTATCAGTACTATACAGTTGTAAGTCTCACCGAAACGTCTATCATACACCAAATATTCTAACACTATACAGCAAGATTACTACTATCTTGTGGACTATGTCCAGTACAAGGCGTTGCGGATGACAACCTTTTCCGAGACTTTCCCGACAGAGCTTTTATCAGTTTTGGCCGAGGAAACAGCATCCATGCAGGGCGACGTCGACTACGCGTGGTCCTTTCGCAATGACACGCTTGCCACAACTCTATCTGTGCCGCTTGACGTTGTTGATGCTGGTAGAAGAGGCGTAGCTCAGCTTGCCTATTCCGACTGGCTGCAGAAAAACCTTGACCTTGGTTGGTTCACGCTCCACGTCATGGCAATTCCCTGTATATACGTAAGACCTCCACGATACCGAGAATAGCGCTATACTGACTCGAGTGTCATAGGGATGGGCTAAGTTGGCAGAGCACCTGGATAGCTCCAACACAACCAGGAAAGGTACATCGCAACAGTCAAGCATCTGGAAGAAGCATTGCTGATTGCGCAGATACTGTGTTCTACAAGACATGGATCGAGCCAAACCTTGACCCCTCTTATGGAAATGCACTCATGGGTGAGTACTGTCGTGCTATCTTTCACTTTATAGTTGCAAAGGTGCTGACAAAGCCGGAGATTTCCTTGAGGCGAACAGGGATGTCTATTACTCGGCCGACGCCAATAAAACCTGGACATCAGTGTTCCGCCAGGCCCTGCAGTTCGAGATCAGTCTGTTCAACAGCGCCATTGGAACATCTCTGGAGGATCTGGCTTGATTCTCTTTTCAAGGCGAATGTATACTTTCCACGCCAGCCACGCATTGCCACCAGCAATCAATGAGTTTGACGAGACACTTCAACCTAACCAAAAAGTCTTGAGGTCGTTATCTTGAATGCACTGACCATGACTATTCACCTGTCAGAAACTTCTTTCGATCGACAGAGTCAGTGGTGGGAACTGCCGCAGTCCGACGATTAGCCTTACCCTAGCATGAGATAGCGCGAGCGCGGTGGAGCAGCCAACGGCAGACGTTCCGGCGCCATCTCCATGTCGCCCTGAAATATCCGCTCCGCCCAACGCTCGAACCTCCGCTTCCGCCGGCCATGTAGCGCCCGCTGCGGCGGCATCGTTCCGCGACCCGCATATGTACGCAACATGCACGTCAGGCCCGCGTGCAGCCCGCCTGCGATCCCGGACCTCCTTATCTCCAACCGCGCACTTCCGCTACATAAACGCCCAGCTGCTGCTGCTCATCGCGGTCGTAATCCGCTCACTTCTTACTGGACGAGATAGTAAGCCCTAGATATTCAACCACTCAAATGGAAGTCATATAAGACTAGCCCGCAGCACAAGCGCGGGGTCGCTACTAGAGTACAAACACTAAAGCCAGATTCTCCTCTTTTCTCATCCTTACTTCATCGTCCCTTTTCCCGTCCGCGTTCCCGTTCCCGTCCCAAACCCCGACCAAACCCCCCCGCCCAACCAAAAGAGGAAACCCAAGCGAAACGAAAGAATGCTCGAACCCGCCATCCCCCCACACCTCCAGCGCCCGCGCACCTGTCCCGCGCGCCTCCCGCACGATGCCTTCGAGCCGCCCAACGCCGCCTACTGCGCCCGCTTCCCCGAGTCCATCACCGACCTCGTTATGGCCACCATCTGCGCCCAGGCGCGCTCCCCCGCCGCCGGGCTCTCACGCGCTGCCGATGTCCTCGCTCCCGTGATCGCCTTCCTCAAACACGCTGACGGCAAGGAGGGTAGCGGCGATAGCAATGGGGAGGAGGGGACTCTCCGCCCCAGCGCCTTCGACCTCATATCCTTCCGCGACGCCGCCGGCCACCACAACGTCGGCGTCATCGCGTACTGGCCCGGCGGCCGCGCGCGCTTCGAGGAATGGGCCGAGGCGAGTGGGTTCGAGGCGTGGTGGCGGGGACTGGACACCTCCTCCGCGCCTCCGTCCCCATCGTCGCCCTTATCCTCGTCCTTGTCCGCGGCCTCGTCGTCGGAGGGGAAGGGGAAAGAAAATGATGTTGGTTGGTTCCGCGAAGTCTTCTTCCCGACCCTCGACCGCTACGAGACCGTCTTCTCTAACCAGGAAGCCGGCGAGGAAGGCGCGGCGAGGATGCGGGCGGGCATGAGCGGGCCGGTGCGCGAACATGTTTATTGGGGGAGCATGCGGGATCGGATGCCGGCGTCGCAGGTGGATGGGTTGGAGGGGGAGAAGGCGAGAACGGCCGTCGAGGGGACGACGGAGAGGCACAACAGCAGGGTCGTTGTGCCGGGCAAGAAGAACTTGTGCGTGATCCGGTCGGGCCAGGATTGGTCGGCGATGCTGCCGGCGGAGCGGAAGCTGTATCTCGAGACGATTCATCCGGTGCTGGTGAAGGGGATGGACTTCCTCAGGGACGAGGGGAGGAGTATTGGGTGTCATAGTTGTCGGTTTGTGGATGAGTTGGATCTGGGGGACGAAAGGAAGGAGACGGAGCGCACGTTTGGGTTTGCGTTTTTCGAGGATATGGAGAGCCTGGAGAAGTGGTCGAAGTCGCATCGCACGCACTTGGATATCTTTGGTCGCTTCTTGCAGTACGTCAAGGAGCTGGATGGGAACATCTCGTTGCGTCTGTTCCATGAGGTGCTGGTTCTGAAGCCGGAGCAGCAGCTTTTGGAGTACGTTGGGTGCCACCCAAAGACTGGACTGATGGGTGTTTAGGCTGGTGGCTAAATCTCTTTAACCAAATTGAATATCAGATACCCTCATATGCGGATTATTGAAGTGTGGACGTTCCGACCATTGCACAAGATCGGGTTGCTTAGTAATAAAGATTTGTTGGATATAATTAAAAGAAACAGTATTATACGGATGATAAATCCAAATACCAAGTATTTGTTGAAATAGTAAGTAGCCCTACCTTATAGGAGTCCACTGCGGTCTAGTATGCCCGTTGGTACGCTAGGGAAATAGTCAGCTAGTAACGAGTCTAGATATACAGCAGGCCCGGCTCGGATTGGCTGCTTGTTTTTACCAAAAGTAGCTAAAGGGCTGCGAGCTGAAATATTTGCCGATTAACTTGGTTCGCCTACTAAGCCACCATATTGGATGCGTGCGCAGAAATCGCCTTCGAAAACATCGCCATTGTGGGATTCACCACAACTATTACTGGCAGATACAAATTGGTTGAGTTTTGGATCTAGATTTATTAGTACTCATCATCATGGCACGTTTGCAGTAAGAACTTCGACGGGATCTACCGTTGCGGAACAAGCCGGATAATTGTGGCGCGAACGTGGTAGAGCACCAATTCCGTTAACGGCAGTGCCAAGTACGGTACACAGACAGATCAAGGGTCTTCCCACTAGTCTGACAGAAATCTGGATCCCACATGGCAATATAAGTATGGCTCAGTCTAGCTCTCACCCTCAATGATAGGACAGATATCTTCAGCCCTTACCAAAGTGTTTTCTCCAGGAACACACGAATAAAAAAGCGGTCCAGGCCCTGCACTCATGATCGAACCAATCTGCCACGAGCAGTTCCTCAGCAGCCCGTGATACTACTTCATCGTTATTGGGCGTATCGCCTGGAGGCCAAAAAACTCCAGCAAGAATGACCACTCAGGCCGGGGTTGGAAGTGCTCTAGTGGCGACGAGCATGCAGGATGGAGTTGGAAGAACCGTGACGACGACGATCACACCGGACGCACCCGAAAAGACTGTGTTGATAACGGTCCCATCACCAACGACTGAGACTACCACAGTCACGGCGAGCGCGTCAAACGGGCAAACGGAGGCTTTCATAACCAACAACGCTTGGACCGGAAACAACAGCAGTTCAGAAGGAATGACAGCACTTCCCGGCCCTCGCGGTGATGGACTGAGTACGGGCGCGAAAGCGGGAATTGCAGCAGGAGTGGGAGTATGCATTCTCCTGTTCATTGGTACCCTCATACTCTGTCGGAGGCGGCGAAAGAAGAGAGAGATGCATCATGCGCAAGACCTGTCTGAAAGTGGTGAATGGAATAAGGTAGTGTGGGACGGCTCCCAAGTGTCTCGTCCAAGGTTGCATCAATCTCCAGCAAAACCTGTTGAGATAGTCCAAGCACCCCCGGTCGCGCCCTCAAAGAGTGCTTCTGTAAGTAATTAAGATTAGAAGTCCATTGAATTCGGTTGTCGTCGCTCGCACACAAGTAGCTACTGCAGAGCCTGATACATGGATAGTAAAGTAACGAGACCAGTGCACTTGAAATCACAACAGAGTATCGGTGCGTGAAGAGTTGATCCGAACGTAAATGTACGAGATAACTGAGGACATATGCATCCGGATAAGAGCTTCAGCTCCCCAATTTTGTTGTAACGCTAAGTGAAACGATCTCGTCCTATAGGCGACTGAAGACAGCTGGTGACTAAGGCTGGGCGATCTTATAGACAAGCTTCTTCCCGCTGACCTTTCCATCCTTCAGTTCTCGCAGTCCCTCCAGAACACCCTCCAGCCCACCATCCCTGACATCCGGGGGATGCACCTGCAACTTACCCTCCTCCAACAGCTTCTCAGTCAGCTTCCAGAACTTCTTGCCGAACTCGTAGTCCTCAGCGCTAGCCAGGTAGTCTCCGGGTCCAAACGGCTTCCAGAAACCTTCGCCAAAGACGGTGTAGGCCATCGTGACATTCGCAACAACATCCTCACGTGGGAGCTAAAGGCCAGAAGAAAACAACACTCAGCGAGCCAGTTCCTAACACACGAATGTGGGGGGGCGCCCTTACCTCGGTGTATAAAAGCGCGGCGTACGAAGGCTTCCGCGCCGCCGTGTCCGTCGACAAAGCGTCGGCGCAGATCTGCGCCGAATTGCCCTCGGAGATGCAGTCGAAGGCGTAGTACAGCCGGTTCGCGGTGTGCTTGCGGATATCCGCGCCAACGGTGGGCGAGTTGTAGTCGAAGACGGCGTCGGCGCCGAGAGCCTTGAGCAGAGCGAAGTTGCGCGGCGAGCTCGTGGCGATGACCTCGAATCCGGACCTGTCGATGTTGCCTCCATGTCAGCGTCCAGGGCCACCGATACAGTGAAAGGCGTTGGCTCAGACTCACAACTTGGCAAACTGCACCGCCAGCGTCCCCGTCGCCGTACTCCCCCCATACACGAGCAGCTTCTCCCGCTCCCCCTTCCTCTCCCCTCCCGGCAGCGGCAGCCCAAGCGTCTGATACACCCCCTGCCCCACCGTCGTGATGCCCACCCCCAGCGTCGCCGCCTGCTCGAAGCTCACCCCCTCCGGGATCTTGAGCGCGATGCCCTCGTTCGCGACGAGGTACTCGGCGAAGGAGCCGTCCTCCTTGTTGCTGATGTTGCCGCCGTGCGTCCACCCGGCGACGCGGTCGCCCGGCTTGAAGGCGGAACCAGGGTTGACGGCGGTGACCACGCCGGCGTAGTCGCAGCCGGATGTGCAGCCGGCCGTGCCCGAGAAGGCCCAGATGTGCTTCCAGTCGGTGGGGTTGAGGGCGACGGCGATGGTTTTGACGAGGATGTGGTTGGGTCGGAGGGAGGGGATGGGAGCGGAGACGATGGCGGCGCTGCCGTCGTTGATCTTGAGGACTTTCATGGTGGACATTGTGGAGGGAGCTGAGAGGGGTGTATGTTAGTGAGGTGGAGGAATTGGCTGTGATTGATGGTTTATGGGAAATTGGGAGTGTGGATAGAGAGTTTTGTTTGCATTGAGACTCTTAAATGTTGTAGCGAGTTTGTCGAAGGGCTGTAAGAGAAAATGGGCTTGCAAATATTTGCGGGATAATGCTTGAAATACTAACAAGAAAACTTCACGAGTGTAAGCCTGGGCGTCTGTAGTAAATAGAGCAAGAGTTGGAAGACGGAGATCAAATGCTTGAGGGCTGAGGTGGTATCCTTCATCGAACTTCCTCAGAACGATTTAAATGATACTCTGGAGACATAGAAGGTAGTTTGGCTCACATGCATCTGATTGGATCACAATGTTCGATGCGCTCATAACCAGCTGACAAATGGATTCTGTGCGCTCATCCTTCGGCTTGGCACTGTCGTTGCTTACGAATCTTTTCGATTCGGCAAACCGCATGGAAAAACATTTATTAGGTAACGTTAAAGGCGTTAACGATCGGAGATAAAATAGAGAAGTAGGATCTATACCGATGGGATATCCATACCGCCGGGGCAACTCCACCTTCTGGATCCACAACGTCTATTCCAAGCGGCCATGTTGATAGCGCCTGTTGACCATACTTGCTTGTCTTCCATCTTGAAGGTAGAGAAATGTGACAAAATTAAGAATTCCGCAACTGAAAGCAGGACGCAGGCTGTGTGTGATGTTCAGTTTCCGTTTCGGCAAACCTTCTTTCAGCCCCCAACCTCCGTATGACAATGAGCTCATCTATGAGCTCAACACCCCCACAACCATGTTTTGAGCTTAGAAATCAAAACTTATTTCTAAGCAAAACCCTAAATTCCCCTCACGGCATCCCTCCCAGCCCCCAAGATAAGTACCGACTAACGAATCAACAGCAACCTCCTGCATCCCACCTCCACAATGGCGCCACCAGCATTACCCGGCACCCGCCTACTCAACAAAGTTGCTATAGTCACTGGCGCCTCCTCCGGCCTCGGCCGCGCCATTGCCCTGCGATATGCGGCTGAAGGTGCTAAAGTCGTTTGCGCAGACCTGACGCCCTTGGCCCGTCTGAAAGCTTCGGGGGAGACCGAGGTCGAGACGCATAAACTGATCCAGCAAAGTGGTGGTGAGGCTGAATTTGTGAAGGCAGATGTGGGGGATGCGGGGGAGATGGAAGCGTTGGTGGAGAAGACGGTGCGGTTGTTTGGAAGGGTCGATGTGTAAGAGAATTATTTTGTTTCTCTTGCGGATTCAAGGTTGGATTTACTGATCGTTGTTTTGCAGCATGGTGAACAACGCAGGTGTGGCGTATGAGGCTGTGACGCCCGCGGTGCTGCATCTTACCGAAGATCGAGTGTGGGATGATACGATGCGGGTCAATGCTCGGTCGGTATTTTTGGGGTGCAAGCATGCGATTGCACAGATGCTGAAGCAGGAGCCCCATGAGTCGGGGGATCGTGGGTGGATCATCAACATTTCTTCGGTCATGGGACTTGTTGCGGGGATACAAAATCGTAAGCCACTTCATAACACGAACAGCAAGGACCACAGAGGCCAGGCTAACCAAAACAAATGGCAGCATCTTACTGTGCTTCTAAGGGCGCAGTGACGAGCCTGACCAGGCAGGTTGCGTGCGATTATGGGGAACACCGCATTCATTGCAACGCCATATGTCCTGGCTGTAAGCGTTCCACTGGCAAGGTCACACATTCCTGGGAACATGCTGACAAGGTAACAGACACGCGAACTGCTATCTTTGAAGAGACGATTTCAAATTTGACTCCTCTAGATGTCTTGCAGAGGAGGCATCCTTTTGGTGGTCCAGGAGTGCCAGATGACATCGCAAAGATTGCGGTCATGTTTGCAAGCGATGATGCAAGCTGGATTACTGGAGTAAATCTCCCGGTGGATGGTGGATATACCGCTCGGTAACCATGGCACGGCATCCATAGACGGGTAGAGATATTGAAGTGGCATCGAATAAATGATGTTGACCGAGCTACCTAAAGCAAAATACAATTCAAACTTGTTGCATTGACGTAGCCTCCAATTTGTTCGAATCAGGATTCTATGTATGAAATAAGAGAAATTGAAACAGTGGTCCTTAAAACTGGGTGTATGAGCGCCGAATGCTAGTAATTGTCGTTTTTACCCGATATTTCCCAAAAAAAAACGACCAAAACAGCGCAGTATCTGATATAATGCAATAAGGTTAGTGAAAATTTCTGCTATCGGGAAATGTAGAACGAAGAAGAGATGAGACACAATTTTCAGGGAACTGTCTTAGCTGTATTTCAATTCAACTTAGCCGGCCATTGCAACAAAGATTTCATGACTCCCCACCACTGGAATAATTGACAGTGTTGGTCCGAAGAGAAACATGAACAAAATCACAATAGCAATTTTAACTCCAGTCCTGCCCCCCTGAGAAAGAGAGCACCACAGTTGGAGCTGCAAATAAGCCTATTCCCGTAGTAAACCGAGCCGAGCAATGCATTTTTAAATCAGGCGAAACACTTTATGAATTGCCAAGTCCCTCGCCTTTTCGAGCTGATTTAGGAAGGCATCTATTTCGATTTAGGCAGGCGCTAGTTTTAGCGTATCAGAAACGTGGATCCTAAGGTGATTCTCTTAGTCCTATGATATAATTACGAAGGACAAGGAATTGATGCGGAATGTTTCCTTGGGCATTGCGGCGGTCTCTCTTATATAAAGTGCGTTCTTCTCATTGACCATTTCAAACATTCTAAGCTACCTCGAGCTAACGATTCGTAAGTATACTCCTACACCTACAGCTTTAGAGAATGTTGAGTGTTCGTTATTTTCTTCAACGTGCAGAGTAACTGATGCCACGTATTATTCGATTTAGGTCCGACACGCCACCACAATGAAGACAACCTACGCGCTCACCTTCCTCCCCCTTCTTTTCAGCGAGGCCCTAGCTGGCTGCTCTCGGATTGCCAACGAGGAAGGAGACACTCTTACGGAGGTTACAGGGTGCACTTGGGACGCCGCCCTTAGCTGGTGCAACTTCCCGGGCTACGAGGCTGCCATCCAGCCCCGACAGCAAGGTGCTGTCATCGATATCAATGACACTCGGGATATCAGCTTCAAGCTGATGACCCAAACCGAAGTTGGCACCAGCGACACCTTCTACTTCCTCTGTACTGGGGGAACCGAGCAAGAGTTCGTCATATTTGACTCGCCTGCTCAAATGCTCTCTATCGCTAGGGTTGTTGCCTAGGCGTTACGACCCAGGGAGACGGGCCCACCCAAAGTGGCCAATGACATCTCCTCAAGAAGATGCGCCCCGCCACGGCCACTGGCCACCCATTGATCACACCAGCACCACAGTCTGGGCAGCCAAGTGGCCATCCATAGTACACTTGTTTGCAGTAGATAGGACCCTCGTGGTCAATTCCAATCATTGATTTGTACCTACCCTGTTTACCTTCCCTGCCTGGTTACGGGTGCTATCCTCTGCACGTAGTGTCTAGTGACATTTTGATCGTGGTAGCGAACCTCAGGACGCTGCGCATCAAGCCGACGTCTCTCGACTCCTTGTTTACTCGTGTCCCCTCCCCCAAGACCCAGCGTTACATGATGGCCGTTCGGTTAGAACGGGTCAACAGATCGTTCACATCTCAGTAGTCCCGGGAGTTGGAACGGTGTTGGGACTCTCTAAGAATAGAATACTTCACTCCGATGAGGTCCTAGGTAGTAGTAATCTGGCCGACGTGCGCCTTGCGAGTTTCATGTGAATCCACTCTCGGACTACTGTGCAAGAACCGAGCTATACGAGCGAGAGCGAGGAAGCACAATCGCCGATACCGCAGATTAGCCGCTATGTTGCGCTCGATTACTTCTAATTACAGTAAGTGCGTTAGGAACTTCTCGCAGCATGGGCCCTCGAACACGTCTGGAAGCAATGCTGCACTTCGGTGACCTCCGTGAGAATACGAGACAGCGGTTTATGGTACGAGAATCTCGCTCCGCCTTTGAGCAGGCCTGTAGGCCTCGCGCCTATGCAAAGAAAGTTGTGAACAATACGACTTTTACCGGCTCCACCATCTGGTCAGAAAATCACAACGTAATCATTTATAAGCAGATGACTCAGAATGGAGCGTTTAAAGTTATTCGTTACTGACGAGGTGCGTCTAGCCAAGCAAGAACTGCGGGGTCTGCTCCTAGCATCATGCGACTCCACACTTACCTCGCCAAGCCAAAAAGAAAACGCACACTGCTATCAATCAAGAACGAACATATTTGTAGCCGCGATTCAGCAAATCTTTCGACAATTACCCAGCCCACTGCAGAATCAGGAATGCCAAACCAAGCGCCATTGCCCGATTCGAACACTTTCCATCCCAATTCAGTTACAGCCCATCCGCCATACGGCGCTGCAATTGCAAAAAGGCAATCGACCAAGTCCCAACAATTCACCGAGATCACCTGCTAAGGCGGGCGATTCAATTTTTGAAATCGACCATACGACTGTCCGGGCGGACTAGAATTGGTGGGACGGTATAGCCGCCGCATGATCACTAAACAGTGTTGGGCTGAGAAACGAGGCAAGGCGGCAATGGACGAAAGGTGTGGCAATGTACTAACGGCTTTTAGGTTTCCACAGAGGACGTCGTAGAGCAATCCGATCTAATACTATACATGACAGGGTATCATTGAGCCTTTTGATTAAGACTTCATGCATTTATCGAACTAGTTAATAGAACTTAAGATCATCATTGGAATGAAAAGTGAATTCAACCTGCGGTCTGCCTGTACCAAGCGAGAGATAAACGTACAGAGTGCCTTAAGTCCCACTAAAGACGGCTAGGACCAACGAATACAAGGTACGTTCAGCATTCATGTGATCATCCTGACATTTTCTTCCCTTCTTTCAGGGTCGTGAGTGAGTCCTGGATAACGTTGTCCGATGCTGTGATGCCTGTCGTAGAATCCGGGTGCCATTTGACCGGACTACCACGCTCTGATATTTGATGCAGGGCTTCCTTTCTCAGAATCGGTATGATCGAGTTCAGCATGTCGCGTTGGTGAATTCGCGCCTTTTCCTTGTCTTTGAGATCTAGATCCGGTGGCCGCCAGTTCAAGTAGATCTTCTGGTGGGATGCAGGTTCAACAAAACATCCCGGGTGGTTTCGTATGTAGAGCAGACAACAGTAGCAGGCGGGTTTGCTGCAGCCGATATACCGGTCTGAGTCGACAAAAGGCAATCGCTTGGTGTAAAAATGCTCAAGGAGATTAATCTCGCAATGGACGCGTGGTAAGAAGTTTGGATCTTCGTAGAACGACATGAAACGAGAATATAGTCCGAATTTCTCAGACATGTGAGCGAGCATCAACTGATAGCGAGCAACATCATCCTTTGCGTTGGATGGAAGCATGCGAACGACAATGCTATCGAAATTCGTCTTAGCATCTGTCGGCGGCGGGTGCCGTGAAGGTGGTGGCGTTTCCACACAGCGGATTTCGTAGCCCTCAAAAAGGTAAGGGAGTCTTCTGGCCGCAGCAACCAAGTATGTCGTAGCATGAAAGTGGAAGCCTAACCGTCCTATGTAGTGTTTCGCCTGCTCGAACGGATTTGATCGTAGATTTTTGTCGTTGCAGTAGATGTGCTTCTGGCTCCAAACGTCAAGCTTTCTCATCTGAGGTGCTTTGCGTGCTTCGTAGCACGACTGACAAAGCAGGGACGGGTCCGCAGGATCGAACTTGAAAAGTTTCAGCCAGGCAAAGAGTTCTTGGTCTTATTTTGTTAGTGCATCACTAAGGACCAACTAGGCTTTGAACATACCGTTGTCGAGACCTTGCCTAGATAGCAAGGTGAAACATCTTTGCATGCACCGAGCCAGGCAAGACCAGTACTTCTTAACCCGGCTTCGGGCAAAGAGAACGAAGTCCCTGGATAGTAATCGAGCCTCTTCGGATGCATCTTTTTCTGGGGCTTGAGCCACATCCCGTAGCTTCCTCAAAGTTCTGTCTAGGAAGCTTGTCACCTTCTGACTAGGATTCTTGTTTGCGCTCGTCCAAAAGACCGGGCCTTGCGGCGTTGCCTCTAACGCGATCGATGTGACCGTCTCACCACCCTTTTCGTAATCGCAGGTGTACGCTAAGCAGTCAAGAAAAGTCCTACGTAGCTGGCAATTCGAGAGATCGGCCGGCTTCCCATGTGCTAACCGAGAGATGCGCTCGCCTCTTGTTTGGCCCAGGATGCGGAGAAGGACAAGTGGCTCGTAAAAGCGACTTAGAAGGCGTTGTTGCGGGTCCTTTCGAGGTTCACCAGGGGTCTGCGCTCCTGGTGAGCAGCACTCACATGCGTTGGTAGATCTCGACTTCTTGCGTTGTGGCATGGCGAGGAGATCAACATGTAAGTTTCGGGTCTTGACAGGTGTTAACAATGGCCGAGGAATCATGATATGCTCGTATTATACGAAGCGGTCTTGGGATCGCGATCAACGATGCAATTGTCGCATCCGTCTTATCTCTGTGCCCTCAGATGCACTGTCAAACCTGTTTGGCAATCCGAGCTGTCACATGCGAAGGCATAGTACTAAATCCGTGAGAATCCGATTCAACATGCACTCGGAGTAAGACGTTGCTTCGTTGAGAGCCATTGGTCTTCCGACGCAGTAGATCGGTCAAGCTAAACTATATTTTTCGGTTTACCTTTTTCATCAAAACCATAAGGTGGCTCGTTGTTCCGCGAGTGATCCGGGAAAAGGCAAAGTATTTGGTCCACTACCCCGCACTTCCGCCTTCCGTAAGCTACTAGACTCTAGGTGTAATAAGCTAAAACAAATCGAACGATACTGAGTATAAGCGTATGTAAGACTAGAAACTATATTGGCAGACAAATGCGAACTTCCGTTACTCCGGTACAACAAGTAACGTTATAACCTCTATGGATGGAAAGAGTTCTCGTATTTGCATAGGATAGAGATAAAAGAAACCTTTGAAAAGGTTGCATTGAGATAGACCCCTTTCAGCTAATAGCAGATGAGAAGGGGAAAATGATTAGCCATCCTTAAATCCTGAGATGGACGAACTGCATCTCATGAGTGTCCGTCCCGGCTCGTGCGAAGTATAACAACATCAGCTGATGTTCATCAGAAACACTACTAAAACTGCGCAATATTTAGTAGAATGCGGTGCTGTTAGCGAAAAACCCCCTTAGAGATAATTCACAGCAAGGGAAATTTACGTAGGGACATCTAGATTATGTGGATAGCTGTGTAGTGAAAAATAAACGAGGAACGGAAGTTTGCGAGAGACTTTCAACTTACCCGGCCATCGCGACGAAGACGTCATGGCTCTTTGTCACTGTGAAAGTTCCTAACAATGCCCCAAATAAAAGCATGAATGAAACCACAACAGCGATCTTGACTTCAATTCTGTCACTCGAGAACGAGAGCGCCACGATTGGGGCTACAAAGAGGCCAAAAACCGAGAAGACGATGATGAAGTTGGCGAGTCGACCAACGTGCTCTGGTAAGAATATTTGAATACTAGAATCTTAAGGGCGCTTGATAGGACCGGAAAAGGTGCGACGAATGAAGGGAAAGGGGAGAGCTACGAGTAGATCCTCGATGAGTCCTCTGAACCAGTCCTAAACCAGCCCTGATCATTCGGATCAAAGAGCTCAATCATATCTGGATAGCGTGTTGCCATACACCACGGGTGATTGGGAAGCAGGTGTGGCCAAAATTCCGTTGATGTCCTACGCTACCGATCATTGGGCGGACCATGCAAAATTTGGAGAACAATATTATGAGACTTTCAGGAAGACCAAAATTTTCTCCAAAGACAAGTCTATTCTCAAGATTTGGATTTTGCTCTACTTTGAAATGGGAGTTCACGCGACGGAACAAACAATGTAGGCATGCTGTGTCTTGCTCGCAACCCACTGGGGCCGTGAAGCAACAGCTCTATGGCTTGTCAGAGAAAGCTCTGTAGTTCGAACAGAGCTTATGCCTCAAGATGTGAACCATTCACGGATGAAAAGGCCTGGTCTACTTGTCTACTCCCACAGCGACTTGCAAGTCAGCATGGGTGAGGCAAATCCTAACGACCTCATCGTATATGAAGCTACTGACAAATGCTCACTTACAACTCCCCTCTAAATGGCTTCAGCATTAGACTTCAATAACATTGTTCGAGCTCTTCTTTCTCGAGGAGTCGATGTCAATGGGATCGGGGGACCGTACGGAACAGCCCTCAGTGCCGCCTGCTGTCACGAGCGGAATGAAACCCTGACGGTACTACTTGATCACTACGACAAGAGTGGGAGCGATTATACCCAACACATCAAAAAGGCCCTGGATGTACTTCTCAGAAAAAAGTATTTCAAAACTCAGCCTGCTCCCAATCATCCAATCTTCTACAACCTTGTCCATACCTGTGTCGGTTTAGAGATTCCTGGTTCCTCTCTGGACAGCTGCCTCCGAGGTGCTATACGTTTCGAGGATACGAAGTTGCCAAGGGAGCTATTAGAAAAAGGAGCTCTCGTTAACGAGGATGCACGGAAACTGGAAGAGCTATTCGGGAAAGACGAGGACTTCGTTCTGAATGCTGTTCAGCTGATCACGAAGGTCAAAGCCGGAACCTTGGTACCTGAAGCAGTCTGTCGACTGCTTCGAGGAGACTGCAGATTCAGCTTACTGCTTCATGAAGGCACTGAAAGATCATTTTATGGGGTTCTTATTTGTTTCGCGTCAGACGGGGTCAGGCATCCAGGAGTCGATTGTCATGGTAGAACTCCGTTAATACTAGCAGCGATGTGGGGAGACAGACAAGCCATGGAAATTCTCCTTAACATCTCACCACAGTCCCCTATCCGCGACCTCCAGGAGGGCAATGCAGCGTACTCTACCTTCATTAATATCCCGGAGTCTCTAGAGTTCAAAACAGCCCTACACCTGGCCGCTGAGAAGGGGTTCACTGAAATATTACAAATATTGCTGTCAAGAGGAGCAGATGTGAGAGCCATGGCTGAGTCTGGAGCTACAACGATTCACCACGCAGCGGAGAACGACCATTTGGAGGGTTTCACCCTCCTCATCTAATATGGCTCGGACTTAGACGTTTACGACTATCGTGGTTGAACACCAGTAGACTGTGCCCTTATGCCTCGCAGTGGAGAGGTCGCAGAGGCGGTAGTTGATTGGTTTCTTGGGAGTCAGGGTTAGTTAATTAGCGCGGTTGATTATCGCGGCGTCGCCGATAATACTAAGAGGTAGTACGAGACCGTGTATCGTATTCGGTAACGTCCGCTCAGACTAGCTATATTTCAAGTTTATTAGAACAAAATCTAGAAAGCTTTTAGCCTGTAGTTTAACAGGTATGTTCGAGCGTAACTATTATGCTGTACTATATAGGAGTCAATAATGGGACTCGAGCGTGCAGTACGTAGGAAAATACGGCGAGACATGCGTGAGATCTTCCCAATGACGCGAATTAATTCTAAATGGTTGCGGCGAGCTAATACTACATATTGCTTATTCTGTACCGTCTCTAGTAAGCCATTCGAGAAATTGAAAGGTATTCCCGTCAAGTTTCTCCAGAATTCTAAAGGCTCAATGTCGAGGTTTCCTAGATAATCGATCCGCGTCTTGCAAAGGCAGAATTGCTCTCCCCTGTCTTCACCGGAAGTCCTTTTTTACCAACTGTCACCTACTTGAAGACCTACAGCCTTCGCATGCATCAATTTACGCCTTTTTTTACTGTCTAGGCTCCTCTTTTGAAACCGCTTCTGCAATGGAAAATCGCATCCGTGCGAAGCATGCAAAGAAGGGGATAAATGAGCAAGTCCAACCGAAAGCTACGCCACTCGATATCTTCTTTCAAATTTACGAGAAAGGGAATGGTTTCAATTATAATCGAACGAGTACCTCATCAGCCGCATTTGGTGCTTTCCGCGCGTACATGCGCTGGAGTGATGACAACTCCACTTATCAGTATGCGAAGTCGGGATACCGCTCAGCGCTACGCGATGAGCTGGAAGTCTGATTCAGTAGTGAGGATGACCTTGGCAGCTGGCATGCTCTATACAGACCTGTGGGGATTGAACCGCTGCCGCGGGACTATGGCGGGTGGTAGACGGCGCTGCGTGGGAAGCAAGTCAATCGCGTAGATTTGGTTGAACGAGATTGAGCTGGCAGGAGTGAAGAGGAGATTGTGCGAGTGTTTCGGGCTGTGAGCGAGTTAAAGAAATACACAAGAAGAACAGGAGATATTTTTCGCTGGTAGATGTGGATAGTTTAGGGGCTGACTGCGATGGACAAGTGGTAATCAGGCACTTGTAAAGAAAAACATAGCAATAATAAGAGATCAAGCTAGACTTTCGTACTATAAATAGTGTTGAGGGTGTTATGTCAGCGTCGATAGGACTGCTAGTAGCGAAGCTCGTTGAGGGCACTTTAAACCAAGAAGTCCAAACAGCGGCAGTGATGTTAGAATGTACAAAAGGGATAGCGCAACAAGTCACCCAGCCACAATGGGTGCTTAAGGCCTGCTAAGTGACGTAGCCGCTATCGGGCGGTGGTGAAGATGCCAGAGAGGAAAGCGAGCGTGAAGACCAATTCATCATTCGTCTCTCCTTGTGCAAGAGAGAAGTTTGACAAAACGGACCCAGCAGTGAGCGGACGCCGGAAACTCGTAGGTATTCGCGCCGACTGCTGACGGCGAGTTAATAGTATTCCGAAGACTACGGAGACTTGAGCGCTAGAGAACCGGTGTCGTAGGCGTGCAAATATCTCAAGGGCCAGGCTCCATGGCAGGGTCGGGACTGGTAGCAAGGGATTAAGGAATCAGTTGCCTAAGATATCTACAGGCTGCTGAAGGACAGAAATTTAGCTAATGAGGGTCGCGCTTGTAAGATGCAGGTAGCGGCTCATCAAGGTGGCAAAACGGGTTGCATTGGCTGATCAGATCATTCTGTAGGCTGTGAGCCCACACCCCACCCCTTACGGAGCGAATATCTTTAGGATTACTAGGTACGATTTATTGACACGCGCTGCTACTCATCAGGAATAGAAAAGAACGATCCTCGCATAACGGTGGATTTACCGCATGGATGTTTTGGAGCACAAGAGCCTGCTTTCTAGGCACCCGAATGTAGCGTCGCTTTAATAAGTCAAGTAATGCTAGAAGCTCTTGCACCTTCGCTGGGATAAGCCAGCTCCGGTCCTCCACACCTAAAATTACTCACAGTTATGTCCCAGTCTTGGTATGCAACGCATATACTGTAACACATTGTGATCTCTGTCGCCCATCGAGCACGTTTGAGACAGACGCGAGGATAGCGGGACATGCTTATGTTAGCTGGAGACACTTAAATAATGCGCTACGCCGAATGCTGCTAAGCGTCGACCACCTGAACGAGGAATTCCTCGTTCAGGTGGTCGACGCTAAGCTGTTCCGGCAAATAGCTCAAAAATGTACTATAGTCCTACCAAGCCCAACTCTAGATTAAGGGAGCAAGACTCGGGCTGATAAGGAAAACCAGGGGTGGTCAAAATGAAATGTGGTAAACAATGGCTGGTGAAGAATGACTCACTGTCCGATGGCAGAAACCATGTCATAGTAGATAAAATATGCCTTTAATCATCAAACCGCCAGCATTTACTTTTTACCGCCATTCTGTACTGATATTAGGCCCTTCAACATTACACCAGCATAACATCACCAACGACTAAGCGCTCATAGACAACGGCGAATACGCATTTTTTTTTTCCGGAGGATAGAAGCAAACCAGGGTTTCACTTAGATAAAAGAGGTTACATGGCTTTTTTAAGAGCATTTATATCGCAATCAACCCTTACTTATAATGTAAGAACGTAGAGAACATTCTTAACACAGCAGCTGTAAGGCTTAAGTAGTAGATCGTAAGATGGTCGTACGATAGTATGCATAGCATCGTGTTATAATATGCAGTTAATGTATCAAGGGGTTAAGGAAGTGGAGCCGTCACTACTCAATAGTATTTATAAAAGGCGCTTTGAGATCATTCAAAATCCATCACAGCACTCATTGACCAAATCATCTGATTCAAATTGCCACAATGTTGACGAAATTGACGATCCGCCTTCGCGAGTTTTTCTATCCTGTGGGAAATACCCCAGCTGTTAACCTGCTCCGCGATGTGCCTGAGCCCAGGTCTAAGCCTGAGCAGCAATGCGAGTTGAAGCTCCTGCTTCTTGCCTGTGGAGACCCACGCAGCATTCTATTCTCACTCTACTCGACCAACTTGAAAGGTAAGCTCTAAAAAAGCTATCTTGATGTGTACTAAATGATCTAGCACCCACCGTAATCCATATCACTTGCTGCGACCAGGAGCCCGCAACTTTTGGTAAAACTCCCTCTTTCGTCATTGGAAGTCTTCAATAACAAAGCCGTAGCTCGAAATATACTTCTTTTCTCTATTTTGATGGACCGATACTACATCAATCAGCCAGCACCAAGTCGCAATGAGTTCTCCCGCGTCGTTTGGAACATGTTCTACCACATGTTTATCCCCGAAGAAGATCTCTTTTTCATCCAGCATCAAGCCCAAAAGCTTTCAGACCTCGCTACTTGCATGGATACTTGGTCGTCTTCGGTCTACGGCGCGTGGGCACGATTCATGGACGAGGATACCCGTGTCCGAGTTCGCGACATATGGCTTCAGTATGCCAACACCGCATCATTCACGAAGCAGCAGAAGCGAAACTTTGAGAAACGAGGACGCAACGCAATCTCAAAGATCTATGACACCAGGGTTCGGGATCACGGACTTGTCATAAGCGGGATACGGTCGGCGGGCCCTCATGCAACCCGGTCAGCCAGCGCAATGTCAACGGCGTTCAGAAAATACTGGGCGACTGGAGTAGTCGGCGGAAACAAAGAGGATGTCGAAGGCTTGGAGCCTGGTGGAAGAGGGCGCATGAATCCGCTGTTTGCGATATCGTCTGCGTCGAATGGGGATTTCGCCGTCCACTACGGAACCGATCCTCTCCAAGGGTTCCATTTGGCACAGGCCTTCGACATCCCCGACGGTTTGGATGAGATTGAGCGTATGGTTTCCATTGCAAAATCTCAATTTCAAGAATGGTGCAACGCTTTCGTTCAGGGACTGGCTGATTCGTGTGTGGTTTTGCACCTTTATTGCGGAGACGCCATCCGATTCTGCTACGGACTCCAGGAACGTAACCCGCAAATCTCACAACCACCAGCCATTTCAACCGTATATAAAGACCTCTGGACCGCCACCCCTCTTCAACTTCCCTCAGATGAGACGGAGTTCTTCGACGTCATCGACACTTCCAATCTCCTCGACCACGTAGGCATTTGGAATGTCCTGCCAGCAGCCGTCCCTCTCCTCCGTCGTAGTCCGTGCTCGGTCATATACACTGAGAGCCTACTAAGAGCTTCAAGAAACCCGGAAACTTCCCTGGAACAGATGCTGTGTTCGGATGTCAAGACAATGTCGCTTCTTCTAGCGATTTCCCCAGTCCCATATCTAACCGGAGTCACCGTCGACAGCCACATCTCAGAGTATTTTATATTCGGCTCCAGACAGTTTCGCTTACGAGTTCCTTGGAGAATACCAGTCTTAGGAGACCAGTTCTTCAACTCGGTGGACCTTTCCAAACCCTCCGGCTATATTCAAATACCTCAACCAGCCCTTGAGCCACTGGAATTGGCCTGTATCCTTTTCCAGATGTATTTGAGGATTTTTGAGTACGAAGACTGGAGCAGAACCTTTTCCAGCTTAGATCCTCTGTCGATGATGCGACAACTTACATTGCCTATCGCAGCGGATCTGCGCTACTACACCCGCATCAACCTACCACTGCTCATATCCATGATCAAGCGCAATGTCCAAACAGATTGGGATATTTGTATGGCGATCTTCTTGGACATGGTAGAGTCTGACGCCACACTCATGATTGGTCCAAACTGCTTGCAAGAACTACGCCTCCACATGCACACTTTTGGGCTTTCGCAGGACTTGGCAATCCAGTGCCCTCCTAGGTATCTCTCTCTGCCACCATTCGAGATCTTTGGACCTGATTGCTTTGACACGGGTCTCTTGAAAGAGGCGGACATTCCTTCCGTGATCTTCGTGGCACTCGTCGTTCCCAGATCGAAGCTGCGGGTCTTCACCAACGAAAGCCCCGATACAGTAGGTACCCCAGGGCTGCACATCTCCATCACGCACGGCACTATATACCAAAACTCGTTCCATTCTATTCAGTGCTTCTTTGGACGGATAGTCAAAGGGTGTGAAAGTGGTATCTGCACAGTCGATGAAGATAGTTCTGGGTGGAGGGGAAAGTCAGATCTTATTGTTGTTTGCCAAGTTCCACTCTTCACTCTACTCCTGGGCCCAAGAAGCAGTCTGCGTGTTAGCCTGGCGGTGGATACTTCCCCATCAACTGTCCAGTTTACAATGAAGCTTGGGCTAGAAAACATCGTCTTCGAAACCGGAGTCAAGGACAGCAATCGGTTGCACTTTTTAAAAAAGCCACCACAATCTCAGGTCAACGGGGAGTGCAACCCAGCTTCATGTGGTCAGAGATCCCCAGTAAAGCGATCCACGCCTGCAAGAGTTTCCTTGGACGAATCGGCACAAGCAGAGAGAATCAGCGTCCGGGCTGACTTCGAACGGGATACGGAAGCGTCTAAATCTCTCCAGAGTGGAGCGGCTGTAGTTGTTGTGTCCGAATCTCCCTGTACGGTGACCATCAACATTTCTGGATGTCAGCCCAAAGTTCTGATATACCCTTATCCTATCGACGGCCGATCCTTGAGGACCAGAATCGCTAGGGTAAGCTTGTGGATCGAGGTCTCGGCGCTATTGACACAACCCTTGGATCCAAACGGCTATGCATCAAACCCATGTCCCGTCGTCCGCGACCGTCGAGGAGAACTCTTTTCGTGGGCGCTTCCGCGAATAAACTTGGAGAAGGCGCCTGTTATTCATATCTCGCACCAGCCTGACTGGGTGAAAGAAACCATGAACACGACATTCAGCACGAGGGAACATGTTCGACGAGCCACGGTAGGCAGTCACGATACCGAGCAAGCTCCTTCGGCCCTTAAAGAGTCCTTATTTCGAATCTTCACCACATTCGTCGATGTTCAATGTGAGGGCGCAAATGACGAAGGGCATGGAGTTGTTATCCTTCTCAGCCGAGGAGCGGATATTCGAGACTGCGATACTGCTATAATCGCTTCCGCTATCCGGCACGATGCTGAGTCAGGATCGCTCGTCCTCGACGCGTACTTTGTACCGGTATACCACACGCCAGAATCCCTCCCTTACGATTGCGAGCGCTCCACAGAAGTGCATATTTTGAGAATCTCACGCGACGAGGAGATCCTTTGGAAGCGATTCCTGCCTGCGACAGCCGAGAGATGTCGAGATTGGCAGCACCGTCACGACTGCCAGTACAGCAAGGATGAAGGCGTTCCAGTGTCTCTATCACACGGGGAGAGTCCACTGTGCTCCTGTGGCGAAGGGAAGATGCTAGATCGGTTTCCTGATGCAGCTTCGTACAGCTGCGTACGCGACCGTGCTACGCGTATCGCCATCCCGGCCCTGTTCCCTGTCCCTTACATTGAGGAAGTTGCTATGCGGAGCTCAGCATTCGATACAATTATATGTGCGTTTGAAAGAGTATTCCTGGTGGATAACGGTCTTACGTGTTCAAACGATGCTTGCGCCAACTGTGGAGCGGAAAGATCAGGGTTGAAGGCATGTCAGCGATGCAGAAAGGTTCAATATTGCAACCATACCTGCCAAAAGATGCATTGGAAGCGCCACAAAAAAGTCTGCAGTGTGAGTAGAGGTAGATAAAGGTGTAGTAGTGCATATTTCTTTTAGGACGCTCTTTGCATCTGTAGGTTCGGTAATTCGATTGAGCTTAAGACTGAAACTTTTGGTAATAAAACCATTTTCTTGTGCACAAGACATTCTCAGATGTGAGCTTTTCGGAAATAATACATGTTTACCTCTGAGTGATCTCCGAGCGTCTCTTTACTTTTCCGCATTTCATTTCTCCTGAGCTATCTTGCACTGAATAAACTTGCGCTCCTTGGATTTCTGAGTCGCTGCGACTGAAACCCTTCTGGGAAGGATTACAGGGCATTACGCCGCGCGGTAGAGTCTACAGCATTTCATGAATAAGATTATAGTTGCTCTTTGTACACCTTCCGCGGCTTGATTGACCTGTTGTGTTGAGATGCATTTCTCGCTTGATTAGTCCAAACGATTAATAATTGAAAATATCTCTTGATTTATTTTTTTCATGTCTATTTGATCTCGAGTCCGACTTTTTCCAAAGGAAATGGCTAAGCCAATAAAGAAAAATAACAATAAATAGCGAAGGTGATTGAGCTCAGCTCCAATTAGTGGCTCTTCGGGACCCTGCACATGCAAACAGCCAACAGCTCTTGTGAGCCCATTGGTAGCCTCTCAAAATCGCTAATTTCCGCAAACTCTATAGGAAACAACGTCGCAGATTCCAGCTTCCCGTCTGCGAGTGCCGTGAGAGCTGGCTCAACAGCTTTGCTGAACTTGGTGAGAACCGTTCCCTGCTGTTGATGCAGTAGCTCCGCAAACTGTTCAAACACGGCGTTCGGGATTGATATCAGCCTACGTATGTTAGCTAATTTCATCGTAACAGATCAACTCCGATACTGACCTGCAATCAGTGATCGTAAAGTCCGAGTACGATGGGCCGCTTGGGAGCAACGCAAGAACCCCGAACCCATATCGTTTAGTCAGTATCTGTAACTTCTTTGCAAGTCTCCGCATCTGCTTCAGTCTCTCGCGGACCTTTCTGAACTCTGTTGTCCCCATCATTAAATCCGGCGCGACCTTTTCCAGCAACCTGTCTGTAAGCGCAGCCTCTTGCATCATAGCAGGGTTTCCCGCCTGGGGTATATGGCTCATTCCAAAATTGGACGGCGTTTCCACGATCATTCCATTGTCCTGACGCAGGTTTTCGAGCTCTGTCTCGAACAGTTTGACCACGTGATAACGCCTCACCAGTACAGACAGAGCTTCCTGGTCGTCATGTAGACAGATTTTTCTAAATCTTTCCACGGGAAGCAGGTTTGGTCCGATGGTGTAGACAGAGGTATTTGGTTTAGTCCTGGCAACTCGAAGGCTTTCTTTAAACTGGACAAGAGATTGGCAACTGCCAATTCCCAGGTAGAGTAGATGCAGCTGTCCCAAATATGAGGAGTTAGCGCTCAATTCGGCAATTTGCGGGTGGTCCAGAAGAGCCTCTAGATCGCCGCGCCTTGAGCCTGGAAAGCCGTTCAATTTTTCCAACTCCTCATCCATAAGCCTCTGGTGCAAAGAGCTATTAGGCTGTCTTCCACGCCGCGCCCGCGAGTGATTCTCATTTCCAGTCTGTGTGGTTCTGTGTGGGATCTCAGATGTGTCTAATGGCCTGGGGTGAGAATGAGCCGTCCCTCCATTGCCGATTTGGTTTCTCTGCTCCAACTGTGCGCCCACCGCATGAAGCGCAGGCGGTCCACAGTCGTCCGAACTGTTTACGCTTGTACATTGGCCAACGCGTGAAACGTGTGTATTCCGTGCACGGGCTTCTATGATGTTAGTGATATTCCAATCCTCTGGGAGATATGACATACGCTCAGCTCCAACTAGGCTAGAAGTATCGAGTTCGGGTTCCACATCATGGGAAGGAAGCAAAAATGGATACGAACACGCAAGTGAGCCGTGTTGACTTTCATTGGAGGAACTGGTCGTCGAAGCGTTCAATAGATCCGGATTTCGATTTGGCGTGGTTGAGTCCGATATTTCGCCAGGCATGCTGCCATCATCCATCTCTAGTGCCGTAAAATTCCTCTCCTCGATTGTTGGCATCATGTCCATGAACGCATCGTTTATTCGACACAAGATGCGGAAGATCTGCGCGCAAGCATTCGAAGCACCCTCGTTAACTCTGCCGAGATCAAGCCAGATTGCACCAAAAATAGCAGTTAAAGCATTGGATAGAACCGTGGGAGAGAGCCTGTCGTGCTGCTGTCGAATGCTCCGTTTTACGAAACTGTCAATACCTAGCTTCGCGCAGGCTCTTGCCTGTCCTCTCTTGGTTCGGTACCAGCGGTCACACCTATTCACATCTTCTACCTTTTCCTAAGAAACTTGCCAGTCAAGGAGCGCAGAGTGAGACTTACTTTGAGTACCGTTCTCCACGACTACGGTATACAGTGTATGCACCATCTCTATCACACATGCCCCCAAGCTAGCCAGACCCCTGTTCCCGTCGAAAGATGGAGTTTGGTTGTCGCGTCTGTGGGCTGCCCTGAGAGCGGAATCAAGCAGCCCAATATCCACAAATTCGTAGCCAATCTTTGCTTGCAAATGTTCAGCCGCCATGACACTGAGGATTGACGATTTGATAGTCTAAAACTTAGGATGTTAATTGCATCTTGATCTTGTCTTAAACTACGTCCTGGCCTTACGCCGCAACATGGACATCATCCTCTTTACCTTCAGGTGCAGTGGCATGAATGGAAACACAGCACAGTTGCCACATGGTACAATGTTATTAGCTCCTTGCCTTCATCCTGAAATCCGGGCAGTACATTTACGGTTGCAAGAGACTCCCTTGTAGCAGTGATGCGAGAGAGTCATGCGTGTGACGAGAGGAATTAACTGCAGAGCACGGCCGAAATGTACGGCGCTTGGGCGCCGATCATGCCAACCATCGTCTGTATTTCGCTAACGCGAGCGCTAGCCCGAAATGAGACATTGCGAATTAAACAAGACAGAACCACCCATTAAGAGATTAGCGTACGACAGCCCTAATCGAGCCCTACCCCACTCATCTTTCTTATCTTTCCCCGCGCGATAAATCCCTCTTGTCTTCCCTTCCAGCTGTTTTTCCTTGCGTCCACCCTTACAGCTTATAACCTACCTTACGCGTAAGCGTACATAGTTCTGCTACTCGTGTCGGCCTAGTAGAGATAACCAAACACTCAAACAAGATGTAACACGCATTTTCCAGACTTCTACATCGATGTTATAAACTGCTAGGCCTCTCGCGCCAGTTTCCGCTAACCATGGTATCGGGACCGACTGCGCACTGACTATATAAAACGCGTTGCTTGCATGTATATTAAGTGAGGGGAAATTGACAATCGGGTGATTAATATTGTGCGCACATTGCTCTGTCCTTGCTTTGTAGACTGTGGACAGGTCTCGGATTTAACATTCGTCAAGCTCAGTGTCTCACTCCTATCTCTGAACGGGATCAAATTCTGAAATTCTCTGCTGAAAGGCTATTCATTCTCATGATGACAGGAACCAAAGAGAAATTAATGAAAAATTGAGATGAAAGAATAACACACAATTATCGTGCTTTAAATTCCCACGTGACTTCTTCCCTGCCAATCGCCTCCAACTCGACTGCAAAACAATTTTAGACACCCTCTTTCCTCATCCGTCTGATCTTCCTCCTTATCAGTGCTTTTGCGGTAAAAAATCACCAGCTCCCTTGGTTTCCATTTGATGTAGAGTATTTTGGGAATGGTCTTGGGAACTTTGTCGGCGAGTGCGTGATGGTAGAGACTTCCGAACCGGAGGGGTCGAGGGAAGCTTCTGTATTTCTTGAGTGGCCTTCTCTATCTGACTTTTAGTGATCACGATGCCGCGGGATAAGGGGTATGGGTCTTCATCTTCGACGATGCAGAAACGGGGAAAAATCATAAGCACCGCTTCATCGTCTTTTGGGCCAGCCTTTGGGGTGCGATTGCCGTTCGGCTGCTCGTGGCTGACGCCTTTGAGCGCTATCGTCTTCCAATCGAAATCTTCGAACTGAATGAGCTCAAAGCTTGGCTCAAGCCGTTCTCTAAGCCTTTGGATCGACATCCACACATCTCGTCCAGCGCAGATCAGCGGTCGGAGTTTCTCTTGGAACATGCTAATCTCCTCTAGCGGGAGGAGATTGCGGACGTAAGGCGCCATTTCCTGGAGTACCACTGACACCATTCTTTCGGACCTGGATTGCTGTTCTTCCGGAAACATGTTCAGTAACAACGATCGAGTGAATGACTCCCTTGATCTGTGCAGCGCCGCCTGCCGGAGAAGCATGTCGCGTAATCCGCTATCGGTCTCCAGGAGGAAGGTCGGGTGAAAGATGTGTTTGTCGATTAGCCTGGCAAGGATTGCAAGGATCACCGTAGTACGCATAGCTTTTGCTGCCGCAGAATTTGACGCTGGCAGAGGAATTTGGTGCTGGAAGTCGAGTGGTGTCCTGAGCATTGTCCAGGTATCTATTGCCTGAATTACGGAAGTCAGCCAGCGCGCATCCGATTCGCCTGATATCACGTACTTTTAGAGAATCTTTGGTAAGGTCCTTGCGAAAGTAACTCTCCACCAAACTGTGTACTGATTCCCACACAGCTTCAATGCTTGCCACCCTGCATGATTTTTAGCTCAAGATCTTCCCTAGACGTTGACGATGACTTACAACTTGTTATAGCATTCCTCGCTCAAAGTAACACCCAGTTCTTCTATTTCCATCAAGCTCTTATCCTTCGAACAGAGCTCTTGTTCAAGTCCCGAGACTCTAGCCTCTGCTTGTTCGAAGGATTTTTTCACGCCAGACAGTTCAGTCCGAACTTGAGTGAGCTCTTTGTTCAACCGGGAGTTCTCTGTCAGGGACTTGTTGGCCTCCCCTTCCAGATTTTTGATCTTCTTGTTTGCTTCGGACAATTTCTCCTTTTCTGCAACCCACATGTTCTTGATTTGCCGTCCTTTCTCCTTGAGCTCGCTCTCACTTGCCATAAGCCGGCTCACATCCTCCTCTTGAGCTTTGCTCAATTCCTGCAAACCACTAATCTTGCCATTCAGAGCTGATTTCTCATCCTTGAATCGGTCATACTCTCTCTCGTAAGCCCTGATTAAACGCCTACTTGCCTTCTCACTTTCCTCTTCAAGCTCCCGATTCTTCTCCTTGAGGATTTGGATCTCCCTATCTTTTGACAGCACTGACTGTTCAAGGCGAGGGATCTGGTCTATTAGCTCAGCTACATAGCGGTATTCTGGGTTCGATGCCAGAGTCTTGACCATTGCGGTGAACTTTCTCGCAAGCTCGATCGAGTCTGACACAGATTTGAGATCTGCTTTGCGACCGCCATTATCCGATGAGGGTAGTGGTGCAGGCCCTGCCATGGTTGAGATGACAGGTAAGGCTCTCGTACATGCAAGAAAAGGCTAGAAGAGTTCAGATCAAAAATGTGGAAGAGTAAATGACTTCGCCATTGTAGTTTTCTTCTATTCTAGCCTCGTAGCAAGTGGTTTAAATGCATCGAAGCTGCTTTGATTGCTGTAACAAGCCTGGAAAGTTTGATCAAACATTGCACTTCAAGTATTACGTGTTTCCACTCCATTCGGCTCTGTACAATGCACTGGAAGTACCACAACCTTTGAGACGAACACAGCAGTTCACATCAAGCAATCCTTAGTTGCACTACTTATCTGATCTAAGACGATCTTGGACAAGCTGATACATCATTTAGATTGATGAGGCAAGATGGTGAACGGATCGTAGGCAGTGCCCTGGGAGCAATCTTAGCCGTAATATTACAAAAGGTACGTTTTGTGTCATCAACGTTTTGGCGGGTCAAATGAACTTCCATTATGATCAGGTATGACTTTTATCTTTCGAGTACTCGCCTTCTAAGATAGTGAGGTCTTGTATCCATCCCCAACAATTGTGTCACAAGAAGGAAAGTGAAGTCCGGCTGGCTATCTGCTATCGAGATGTCTTATCATGCATCACGCATCTTACATGTCGCATATTACCCATTTAACTTATCCCGCATTAGGTCTTTATAAATACCATCGTGTATTTGCGAAGTATCGGTACAAAATAATAATTACTTGGACGATTTCTTTCTCTTATATTTGTTTCACTCTGAAAACTGAGACTCGTCCCTCTATCTAACCGATATCCCTTCACCACTTTAGTTGGACTATATTTTACAATCTGTTTATGTCGCTATAGAGAAAAAATAGTATATATTAAGATGAGACAGCTTTTTATGCTATAGAGTAGATGATGTTAAATTCTTCCCAATTGCCGTACTACGACACAATATAAGTACTGTTAGTAAAGTATTCTTCATTATTAGCCTTGAAAAAAATGCTAAATCGGTCATCTCCTGGTAGTTGAATCATTGAAAAAGAAAAATCATTACATGTGCGGATAATACTAACATGGTGGGTTTCGCAGCATATGCAACGATATGCATCTAATATATGTTCCCGTGGTTCCGATGATGTTGAAGCAAGGTGCATTAATTCTTTGCATTATTCTAGGCACAGATCGATGCTTAGCCGAATAAAGTCTCTTTATCCTGGAGCGTCCCTTACTTGCATGGCGTGACAGGCGCAACGTATTCAGCATATGTTGGGGAGCACGGTGTTCTCCACCCAGCAAAAAAGGGTAGCACTAAGTGTGTAGCAATCTCGTTTGTTCTTGCAGCATAACGCCAAAGCAAATTCTGCCAGATAATTCAGTTTAGCTCGACTTTTGCGAACGCTAAGAGTGAAATCTGCTGCCCACCAAGAGTCTACTCGCTCCTCAAGCTCAGTGTCGGGCTACACCAATCACTCTCTCCTACAGAATATTTTCCTGATCATCAGCAAATTGAATGGTAAATGCCGCATAATCCGTCTCTCTGGTTCCTCTAGTAGCATTGCAGTCTGCCGTGTCTTTCACTTCGCTGTAATCTGTGATCACTAGCGCAGATGGTTTCCAACTCAACGAATGGATTCCGTACCATGATGCAAAAACTTCGGATGGGTTCAAATAATTAAAGAGTTGGTCCACATCAACGTCAAGTGAAGCTCTTTGGGCGTGTGCTAGAAAAGAGTGCGGGGTAAATCAAAATCATACGACAATGCGTGCCCAAATAGCCGAGTACTATCGGTGAACACGTCAGCAACGGATCAGGAGATAGGACGGGGCTTAAAGATGTCGATTGGCCTAATGTCTCTCTTCTCTGCATGTAGGGCATTGCGTGTTGTTCAGGAGGGGTAAGACTGCGGACAGTCAGCAACTACGCCACGTGTAGAATTGATCGAAATGTTAGCGAGTGTCTTGATCGTGATTGGTCTGAGTCCGCTTATTATGGGCCCTATCCATCTCAGAGTGAACGATTAAGCTGATAATAGATGACGAAGGCGATTGAGTTCTTTTACATCAATATGAAAAGTACGCATACTTCTGGCAATAATACTATGTAGCTACACTTTTCTACGATGCCCTTCATTAGACGTTTATGTGTGAGGTTGTAGAACTCAGAAAAAATTGTGAGTTTGACGAGGTTGCGCCTCGCCACAGCAATGCGCTTTTGCGCATTACTTTGGTCCCCTGCTTCAACTTGACAGTTCAACGAGGCCATATTGGCTTGTATTATCGTGAAAGGTCAAACGTCATCGTTATATTCACCAGAGACGGGATTTACGCTTGGAATGCATTACACGCTGAACCCAAACTACTCCAAGCTTTCCGCGCGCCGGCCTCTACCTTGCGCATTCTCTCAAGCTGCATGCCATGCCACGGCTGCAGAATTAACAAATGAAACGAAGATCATGCTACAAACCGAGTCCTAAAACGGAGAATAATGTCATTCCATATCCGAGTGTGGCGGGATAGAGAGTGATCAGGCACAATATCGAGACTCTGTCATGCATTATGGGATGTATAATTGAATGGTATTAAGTAACTGGCCTCAATCCCTTGCCGCTGTGTTTCCACACAGAGTTTCCGCTCCTGAGATAGGTTTGATGGCTGACCCACCTTTTCCTCCAAAAATGACCTAGTGTCAGCCCTTCCAGTGTAGCGGTTTCGCCACATGAAGGATTTAAAGGGCTATAATACCATCGTTGAGACCATCCACATTCTTCGTATTTCATTCAACCTACAACAACGCACAACCGTGTCCTAAGAAACTTTTCTTTTTGGTTCTAAGCTGAGCTACACTATAAGACGGAAAGACGGTGAGCATATGCAATATACCCTTAATCTCTCGACACATGATCTGACTCGCCCCATAAGCCAAGATGCGAATGCTGCAGAATAGCGCAATCTGTGGGGCTCTCATTCTCCCAAGCATTGTGAGCGCGGGTCCATGTGCATACGGAATATGCCAAGCCGGATGCTCGGCCGTTGTGATGGCTTGCTATGCGGCGGCGGGATTTACGTGGGGAGCAACATTGGGTGCGACCGCACCGGCTTCGATAATTGCATGCAACACAACGTTTGGGACGTGCCAGGCAGCTTGTGCAGCGGTTCTGCTTACTCCAACCTTGTGAATGGTGGAGAGTCGTTTTGGGATGCACAATGAAAACATTCTTTAACCATATTCTTTAACTCGCCTGGCTGCTGAGAGAGGTAGATTAAACTCACAACAATTCCGAATTACAGAAAACGGTTGAAGTTATAGAGCATTCTTCGTAAAAAGGATATGATCTTTTATTCATACTCATGATGATTTGGGGGTGTATTATATGTCCACAGTTGTCCTATCCTTCAAAGTAAGCACGCAAAGCAAGTAAAAGCTGCCGTTTAGTCTGAATAGCTTCATTCTATGGTCTCGTCGCCGTCACACATGGTTATTGTAGAAGTGTATGTTGGGGTAGTCGTAGGTAAATAGCGGCGTTGCTACAATTTCCTTACTGCATGGACCATTTGTTTACGTGATGCATACAGCTCCTGCACCACAGGAGGAGGGGTCACTACAAATCAACCAACCCCGGTCCCGCGCGTCCGAAGTGTTACTACGCAATGAACCGACCAGGCGCAGGGGATTAGTATGAACAAGATTTCTCAACGCCGCTATCACTTTCCAGACGTCGCAGTATCTGTGGACGAAGATGGCAGCAGCGGATACGCGACCGTTGGCGCATCTTTACCAAAGCCCAGACCACCGTGCTTTCTCCCGTGGAAAGCCAACAATTCACCGCCGCCATTGAGTAGGCACGGGCTACGCGACTGGGCCTAAGCCTCATGCTATGCTGCCTACGATCGAACTCGATCCCACCAGCACCACTGACGATATTACAAGCCTTAAAATATCAGTCCGTGGCTATAGTCAGCACTGGAGAATTGAAATGCTACTAAGGAAGTCAATTGCTACGGTATCACAACGAACTCAATCGACATTGCCAAAGTGAGCGTCTTACTTAAACGGCATCTTCGAGAAAGTGTGAGAAGAAGAGACCGATTATGAATTCGTAAGAAAAGTCTCCCCACCTCACCCCTATGGTCAGTGTCAACTGCTTCGCTAATCCATCACGTAGGACGCCCCAGAAGGACAGTTACCGCCGCGGATGATCCGCACTATCTGTCCGGCACACTTCATCGCGCATGCGTCCTCACAGGAGTAGTGGGTATTCACGGTGGCCATGAGGCTCGAATAGGGTCATAAGCAGCTGTGCAATCATAGCGGGATCCACATTGACACGGGTCTCGGCCGTGCCTGATCCAACTTTTAAGCGCGCGCTGCGAAGTGTTGGATCAACTCGGGACTGCACTGCTGAATGAAACCGGCAACATTATCCTGGAAGGATTCATCAGTAACGTTTGTGTACGATAGAGTGATGACGCTGCCTATTAAGTCCAACTGCAATGCGCTCGCAGTAGCGAGCAAGTCCTCAAATCGTGGGAAGCTTCATAACTTTCGAAGACAAATTCTTGGCAGTGGTCTCTAAGTTCAGGCACGGCCATTCTCCGTTTAACTAGGACCAACTTTTAGGAACGGTTACTTGCCCGCTATACCAAAGGGAGGCGGCGGATGCGATCCATATCACCCTTACTGCTGCTGAAGCGATGCAACACGATGTTTCTTTGCTGGGCTGCATTTGTGATGCTTGCGATGATTGACATTAGTCCGCTGCAACAGCAAGCTGAGGTTAACCAGCCGCAATTTGCAGTAGCTGACCACGAGAAGGCGGTCGCAAAGAGGTCCACAAGAGGAGCGCTCTATGAACAGATTCAGATGATTTCATGAGACGCTCTACAATCACTTCCAAGCAATACAAGGTAGCCTAGCTCTTCAATCTTGGCTTTATGTCAGCGTCTGGTTAGGGCATCTCGGTCTTTCGGAACTGGGGAGCATTGAGTGCCTTAATTGGATTGTATGTCGCAGTCAGAGGCTGAAAAAACTCTTTACAACAGATCTGGTACCCGTTACTGGACGCATCCTCGATAATTACACCACGGTAAGATACGATGAACCGCGGAACAAGGACTCTGAAATTTGAAGGGAGGGACTGATTCACCTTTTGCAGGCTGAGATGGGAATACACAAGGAGGAGGGCTGTGGGTAAAGGAAAGGATGAGCCAATTATTATTGCTCTCCAAGCCACAGTTCAAAATTCACAAATTCGGGTAAAATCAGACAATGGTGTATGAGATATTTCATTCTAGGCAATAAACGATGCATCCACTTGTAAATTAATGCACACCAAACACATGATGCGTGATTATGTACCACACGAATGACCAATTCGTGTCAGCACATTACCTTTCAGTCGAGACAACCATAAAGTAGCTGCATACTAAAAGTTTGACAGTATCGTGATGTCGCTTGAGGATTGTGTTGAGCATTTGGCTGCATGTATTACCTCGTCAGCGATGACACAGGCACTGATGAACGAGGGCGTTTAATACGAATTAGGCAAGAGCTTAAGCGTTAAATGCATCCATCTGGGATACGAGGAACGGGCTAGACACCCGGACTCGTCATTCGGGCTTCTAGCAGTGAGTCATGTTGCTGGAATGGGAGCGTAGAATGGTCGATATGGTAGCACCAGCAAGGGCTGTAATGTAAGGATGGAGGACACAGGAGCTGGGAAATCAACAGTATGTAGTTTCCTCAATATTCCGCTCTGATACATCATTTGGAGAATGTAAGATTTGCCAAGCCCCCTTGCTAGCCGTAGTCGTTTTAAGGTCGCTTTCCCACAATGCTAGCAATGGGATACTAGGATCAGATTCAATGATCAAAGCCTTATCAGAGGTAATCCTCCAGTACCTGAATCGCTTCTATTAGGACAAACATCCAAGGCATCCAAAATGCGACCGTTTAGCCACAACAACGAGCCTTCTTCATCAGACACAAATGGAGAGCTGTCCTCCAGCCCTTTATGGACTCCACCTTCACCCCAGAGTTTTGAGAGCCATACCACCTCCTCTCATTTTGCAAAAGATCGAAAGGGCAAGAAGACTGCAAAAGGCCCCATCGATGAGCTTACGCGCTACTTAGATCTTCTGCAAACGGGGGAGGATTCCACGGATAACCCTTCTTTGTACGGCTTGAGCTTGGAGGAGGTGCTTACGACACCACTATTCTCCTGGTCAGCGAAGCTCTTACTAAAGGAAGCTGGCGAGGTCAGCCAATTCGACGCGTGCTTTGAACAATTCGCATTGCTTGGAAGAGAAAGACAGACAAGGGTTCCCGGGACTCTTTCCACAGACGCGGCGTACCGCACAGATCCAATTTTCCTAAACACGAATGCCCCATGGTCGGCTTTTCTCTGCGGAAGTCAAGGCAGTGGGAAAAGCTACACGCTGGCATGTATGCTTGAGGGCTGCCTTTTGCCAAGCAGGAGCCTTGGACGCCTTTCAAGGCCATTGCAGGGCATTGTATTCCACTACGACGCATGGAGTATGGGGTCAGTGTGTGAAGCAGCATACCTGTGTTCGGCCGGGATCAGCGTCAATGTCTTGGTCTCACCGAGCAATTACTGGAAACTCAAGGACGCGTACCAAAGGATCGGGCATTCGGCAAAGAACCTGACAGTGAGAAAACTCAGGCTTCAGCCAAAGCACCTGAATGTCGAACGCATGCTTTCCCTAATGGCGTTCAATGAGAGCAATGGAAAGGTTCCTCTCTATATGGAAGTAAGATGCGTGAATCGCCTTCCTGTAACTCTAAAATTAGCTGACAGCATGTAGGTTATCAACAAAATCCTCCGCAGCATGGCAACTTCCGGAAAGCGCCATCACGTCTTTGATTACAAGTGCTTCATTAGCCTCCTCAAAGAGGAGAAACTGTCCGCCGCTCAAAAAGGGCCGATGAATCTACGGCTGGAGCTGCTGGAAAGCTTTATGGACACTAAAAACGCCAATGCTGATGACTTCAAACCAGCCGCCGGATCCCTTACGATCATCGACCTGACGGATCCCTTCATAGATGCATCGACTGCATGTGTGTTGTTCGACATCTGTCTATCTCTCTTTCTTGAAGAAAAAGGGTCCGCTGGACGAGTTATAGCTCTCGATGAAGCCCATAAAGTATAAAGCAACGCTCAGTGCAGTGTCTTTCCGATGGGCTTTTTGCTAATTAAACACAGTATATGACTTCCTCTTCAGCCGCTGAAAAGTTCTCAGAATCACTTCGCACTTGCATTCGAATGCAACGGCACACTGGGAGCCGCATCATCATAGCAACACAAGAGCCCACAGTATCTCCAACGCTTCTCGACCTCTGTTCCGTCACGATCGTGCATCGCTTTACGTCGCAAGCTTGGTTCGCTACGCTTCGCTCACATCTTGCAGGACTATGTGGCATGGTATCCAATGACGATGGGGAGATGTATGATCTATTCAAGGAAATCGTTTCGTTGAAAGTTGGGGAGTCTTTACTATTCTCGCCATCAGCTATAGTCCGTGTTGATGATGGATGCATCGCAAGGAGACTGGACATGGAAGTCCTGAGATTCAAAACAAGGCCAAGGCTGACCGGCGACGGGGGAAGAAGTTTTCTAGCTATTCGGAAGACATAGAATCGTGTTCTCCGACGGGGGTGAGCTTTTTGAATAGTTAGATGAATGAACGACTACACCATAATCCTATTGATCTATTACTTAAGTAACGCTTAAATATCTTCTTATCTAGTACACGAGCGCAAAATTCCGTTAAATAAGCACCTTAAAAGAGGTTTATACGTATTTAGAAACTCTAATACAACCGATTATTTAAGCCTAAGGGTTTACATTATCTTAATGTTATACATTTATTTAAGCGCTACAGATTCTTCCCTGATATACTGTTAAATTAACGAAGAATATAATGAAAAATTAAAGAACAGGATGACTGGATATCACTATATTCAAAGATAACATTCGTGCTAATATCCAATTATTGGCTATTGTTATTGGTGAATTCTATCTCCATCTCGGCTGAGCCAACGAGAGTGCTCCAAATACTTTCGAGAAGATCTTCCACACAATGTATTAGACTCACGACGTGGTCATGGACACTAATCTCAAACTTGAACATGTCTCATATCTTTGAGACCTGGGTACCTCTTGGTTTAAGTGACCTTGATCTTGTCGTCGTCGTCGCCACCTTTGCCACGAAAGAACTTCCACAGAGCCACGCCTAGCCCAGCAGCAGCAGCAGTCTGAATGGAACCAACCACGATAGCCAGACCGTAGCCACCCATTGCAGCGCTTTGCATGATGGCGAAGATGCTGCCGGCAGAAACGGGAGATATGAGGGACTGCATGGCTGCGGCGGCAGTTCCTACGATCTTCAGTCAATAATAATGCTTAAAAGAATAGTTTTCAGTGATATGGTTCAGACAATATGACTCACCAGCGGCAGGACCCACAGCTGTGAAGCCAACAGCTGCCAACACCTTAGGCGCAACTACTGGGGCAACTACAATGGTAAGGATGTCGAGGACGATGAAGCCCGCCTGCCATGGGTGCTCTTGGGCCCAATTCCAGGTTTTCGTAGCGAAATCCTTGAAGTGCGTTTTGGCGTGCTGAAGTAGGGCCTCCCAATCAATGTCCGGCAGAAGGCCTTCGATCTGAGCGGCAGCTTGCTTGAAGAGGCGCTCTGCAGCTGCGAAGAGGCCCTCGCATTCGCTGCGGATGCCGGAGGCGATGAGCTTCGCGACGCATATCATGACGCGTATAGCGCGCTTGACCCAATTCATTCTGTGTGCTATGGTTCTTATTTCAGCTTCAAGTTGCATGATGTATTGTTATAATTGACGAGACTTACTGGGCACCCTGGCGGGGTTCAAGTTTGTTGAGGTTGGAACAGGCGTCGTACAGTAGATATCGTGCTCTCGTCAAAGCGCGTTGATCAGATGAACTTTCTTGTCGGACTGAGAATATATATATGGAAGAGCTTCTGTAAGGCTACTGGATCTGGAGGTAAGAATGTCACCAACGAAATCCATTTACCTGCCCCTGCGTTCCAACCCCTCACCAGCCACCCGACAGTATCGAGGGTCGAAGTTTGATACCGTTCCACGAATTTTGATTTGTGCCCTACGGAGAGACTACACGATATGACTTCAAGAGGTGATTCATGCAAAATGCGCCCGAATGAAGCACAACATCTCAGTTCTACCATGCAACCCCCAATTTTGGAAAAACAGCCCTGAATAGCAAGCGATCCCTTTGTATCATACACAATACCAAGGTACTGGACTGACCGCTACGACGGTGGCTGAAAGGGGTGCGATAATGCGACGTGCATACCCTTCACTTAACAGGTATTTCACCTAGATACGCGAGCACCCAGAAAAAGTAATTTCGTAAGGGGACCCCCCTCTCTTGATCAGAGAGTGGTAGCCAGTACAGCTCCATATCGCACGCGGTCGCTAGCATGAATTATTTTCGCTCATGCGATGGGCTGTTGAAGCTATCATCCCGATGTAAATGTAGAATTAATAATTATACACTCACGTCCGGACGATCGCTTCAACTGTCCACATATGTTCGTTTTCTTTTTTTTTTTAAACAAAAAAGCACTGAGCTGTACTTACGTTCTATTCTAAGGCCCTGCTATTCTTCGTGTTAGCCATCGACTGCAGCACGGCTCTGTAGGTAGCTATAGTGAACTCGTTTTGCTAACCGCTGTAGACGAGAGAACAGATTTGCACACTGAGAAACAAAAGCTTCCTCCCTTTAGGCTGAGATATTTCAGAATAAACAGGTAAACTGTCAGAGGGGTTCCAGTTGAAAATCTTACAGACCAACTACTCTATAATGGACCATCTACTACAGTAATTGGCACGATTTTGTGCGATTCCACTGCGTGATCGATCACAGGTCCAGTCATTTGACTTATCGTCTTGCATTACCTCATGACCTGGGACAAACCTTATAGTCAATCTAGTACCAATAGTAAAATCTATCTCGGGTGACAAGAGCACCCGGAGTGATTTGTTGCTGTGGCGCTGACTGCAGGAAGCACACCTTTGTTAATATAATTATTAACCTCAGGTGCTCTGGAGGTACTCCTGAGGGCATTCGTGGCGTCATTCTAATGTTTATATTCCGTGAAAGTAAGCGCCGTTCATGCAAGTGTCCATATGGTCTCACGCAGCCTACACGGCGGGGCGGTGGAGTGGGTAAATATATACATTGGCAATTCCAGAGAGACCATAATAGGCAGGTTCGAAAGAGGTCTCTTGAGTAAAAACGCATAATCATACTCCAATAAGCAAACAGGAAATTCTACAACAAAAAGCGTATGCTGATTACAGGAAGCCGCCAGCCAAGCAAACGGACGGCAAAGGCACCATTTCGACGCCTTCTTCCTCAACTCCACGTGCCACCGCCTCGCTGCGAACGCGGCGGCGTATCTGCTGCGGCGGGGCAGCGCGCAGCGCAGTGCTGTATGCAGCATTCTCGCTGCCAAATGTCCTGGCCCCGGGCAGCACAGCGACCCGGCGTGGAACATTTCCAGCGCGCTGCACTGGTGATCTTGCGGTGCGCATGTTTTCTTTAACGATGCGCCTGATGGCATTGATATTTGCCATCATCTCCTCTTCTTTCTCTGGCGTGCCCACCAGGTAAAGGGTTTTTTCGGTCCAAAGACCGCCCGAGAGCTTGGTGACCGTAGTCATCCGGTGGAGTTTTTCATCCCCAAAAAGAAGCATGAAGGACTTTTGGGTCCTTCGGCGCAATGTTGTATTCCAGGCCCGAAGGCCGTGCTTGCGGATAAACCGCGCGTGGAAAATTGTGGTGTGGTCTGAGACCAGTTTGTAACCGGACGAAGGGCTCGTAAAAAACAGAACAAACCGAGGTAACTTGTGCTCCCAGGAGCACCAGCCAGTGCCGCGGCAAACGGCAAGAAGCAGGGCAAAAGTCCATGCCCTCGAAGCTGCCAAATCTAGGCGAACGCTACTGAGACTGGTGAAATCGCCAAAACAAAAACGACGCGGAAGGCAAGGCAGGCCAGGAGAACCACCAGCTCGAAGAAGTCGTGGACAACCAACGTAAGGCCAAAAGCAGTGGCCACAAGCCAAATTTGGATGAGAAGAAGTCTCAAAACAGCAATTGGCCGGTCCCAGGTGGGGGATCCAGGCAACAAATGCCGCAAAACGGCAAAGACCAACGCAAGAAAACCCATGTCTTCCAGCGATGAGAAAAGCAATTGTAGCCAGATGTGAACAGGCTCCAGGGAGCGGGGGACAGCAGGCCGACTGAGGGCGATCATGGCGGCGACAACGGCGAGCAGGGCGACGGCAGCGAATCCAAAGCCCAGCGAGCGGGGATCAGCCCACCGGCAAAGCAAAACAACGAGAAAAAGTCCCAAAAAGATGGCCAAATCGGCCGACGACAAGGCGAGCCGGTGGAGCGACATGGTGGCGGGGCGTCGTCGGGTGCGCTCCCCCGCACACCGGCCAGTAGGTAGTCGTAGCGGCATTGCCTTGAGTGATGGTCTGCCGAAATGTTAGCGCGGCCGCGGAGCATTGGATGGTGGCCGTCAAGAGTTGTGCTGTGTGGTGACTTGCAGCCTGCGGCGAGTGGCGACTGGGCGCTCACCGATCTCACATGATTAGGCCATTGTGGGCGGCGGCGGACGGCGAGTAAATGGAAAGAGGCGATTATTGTGGAGGTAGGATTGCAGATTGAAGATGGTGCGAGACCGGCGTAGTGAGGTTGGAGGAGGTTTTACAGCTAAGGAAGCAGCGCAGGCGTACCTGCCACATTCGGTGCACACACGAATTCTCCGACGATAGATGACGTCACCTCTCAACCAGTCTCAGATCGCGTAGTGGGACTGGCAAAGGAGAGAACAACTAAGAGCGCGCGCGAAAGTAAGGCACAGGAATTTCGGTGTGGCTTAGAATATGTCTGGTGACATCTGCACCACGAAATACAGTGCCGTCTCGCAGCCGACGTCTAGTGTGAGGAATAGCAAAAGGCACCAAATGCAACTGTGTATCAGCTTGTTTTCAGGAAAAATAATATATGTGGGTAGTTGAAGCTATCTTCCGGACGAATAAAAAATTTGACATACACGTCCATACGATAGCTTCAACTACCTACGACATGAGCAAGCTAGCCATCGCCGCATATTTTGAAGACAACATTGGGGATGAAAGATACTCCGCAAATGCGATACTAAATAGAAGATTCATGCAGGGGTGCAGAGTAGCAGTAGAGAAATGATTCCCAACATAATGGGGTAACGAGGGCGGATTAAACAGTCTCTGTATTGTGGATTTGCACGACTTAAATATCCACACGTAGAACATCTGACGTATCATCCAACCGTACGAGGTGAGAGCCTATTCGATCCACAAACAGCCTGCCGCGGATCCACAATAACAATGAAGACAGGCGTCTCGGCAACTCTTCGGTATGAATCCCCGAGAACAGTAGTATTAAGACGGGGCAATTACCAAAAGCGACCTGTATTTGCCTCGAAATCACCGATTCCGACCCTCCTCTCCCAAAAGCGACACTTCCACCAAAATGCACCATCTTTTAAGCGCTGTAGAACTTCAACGAAATGAGATTTTAGTATTCTCTGTAGCTTAATATTATGAAGTAAGTATACAGACAGCGATTATGCTAAGAAATAAGTATATTCCATGTAAGGATGTTGACTTGTATAGTAGAGGGGTCGCTTTTGGGCGAGAAGGGTCGGAATCGGTGATTTCGAGGCAAATACGGGTCGCTTTTGGTAATTGCCCCTATTATGACCCCACAGGCAACGCCTGTCATTCCCGAATGCGAGTGAGTACAAATCTCTGGAGGATCCATGGACATATAGTATTCAGGCATTCCTGGTCATCCATAAAATTCACCCAATGGTACTCCTAGAGTATTGAGAAGAGGTGTGGCGACGATTATTCGAATTCGCTTGCATGACGCATCCCGGTCTTTCTGGCGGTAGCTGCATGTACCGTATTCGTATCAAATATTCGTGTTGCGCGGGGCTCTGCTCAGTTTTAGCCACATACTCAGGAAAGTGTCCGTCGGGCAGAGATCATGCGCTTTCCGAGTTTGGCAATCGCTACCCAGACTTCGCCAATTCGAATCTTGTCAAGAAGGCTGCAGCTCTGCAGACAGGGTTTACAGTGCAAAGATGGGGGTAGGAATCAATAATTGTGACTGACTACCAAAGTCTTATTTGCTATTGCAACAACATCGGGATTGGAAACGAGTGTTGGTTGCAGAAAATCTTTAGCAAATGGCTAATATGCTCCATCTCGTTTCTCCCATCTTGGTTGCATCACGCTGCATGGGGCGCTGTATCCCGATTGGACCACTTCCGTAGCCACAATTCGAATTCCATCCAGCTTTGCGACGACATCTTCTAGAGCCCATAAGGTCAAAGCCAGGGTATTCTGGCCATTGTAGTTGAGCACACCTTCCGGAACGGGAAAAGAAGTCTGAGGCCCAACATTGTTGACTGATCACACCACGTCAGCTTTGCAACGCTCTCGCACTAGCGTTGTACTTACTATATTTTCCAAACTGATATCCGTTGACAAATATCTGGCACCTGAACTTTGCCGGCGTGCCATCCTCCGTCGTGGCATTTGAGAGCACAATGCTCAGAGGTATATCGTAATCGCTAGAAGGCAGGTCAAGGCCAAACGTTGCAGTGAAGAAGCCAATACCGGCCTCCGGTATTCCCTCGAATGGAGACCCAGCCGGCCACGATGCTGAAGGGGGTCCGGGTTGATGGTATCCTTGGCGCTCGGCGTACATAGCTCCTTCGTTAAGAGGGCCGCGGACGGTGTCAATGTAATTTTCCCCACCAAGGTTCCCGGTGATGCTCCATGCGATGTCTGACTGCGGTCGATTGGATAGAGAGAAGTGGAGGATTCCGCGTGGCTCTTTCATACTGTCGGAGTGGATGAACGAGTTCATGTTCAAGCCCATGTGGTCCATTACCAGTGTGAAGATGTACAGCTTCCCAGGTTCCAGGGTGGGAAAATTGAAGGATTGCGAATGGTTGGCTGAATGCCCATCGCCGGCGAAGGAGCCGAGGAACGTGTCGTTGATCCACAGAGAATGGCCATACGCGGCGCCACCTTGAGTTGTGAGGTTAAATTGGCTTTCAATGCCAGAGGCGACGAAGTGGCCTCGGTAGATCAGAGACCCTGCGTGAAATCCGTAGTCGCCAGCATATAGAGAAGTAGGAGTCGTCAGGTTTCGCGGGTTGTTGCTCTCTGAGAGTGAGCACTTGGCCCACTCGGCGTCGTCGTAGGTTGAAGTAATCTCAGGTAAGGAGTCGATGTACTTCCAGTCAAGCGAGCGCAGGTCAGGAAGGCTGAAATCTGGCTCCCGGTACTTGATTGTCGTGTGTAATCTACCTCCCTCTAGACTGAAGTTGGAAGCGGGCTGACCGTTAAACGTGATCAAAGAGCAATTTGGATCAACACCTGAAATGATCTCAAGGTCCGTGGTGGAGTTGATGTCGCCTGTCAAATGTAGCGAACCTTTTGAAACGTGAGCGCTTCGGAGGAGGTAACCAGCTTTAGCAATCACAGAGGTCTTTTTCGTCGAGGAGTAGTTGCCAATGGGTAGCGGTGCAGGAAGCTCCAGAATCCAATAGTTGTAGGCATCGTTGCGCCAGAGAAGGTAAACTTCCAAACCATTGGCAAATTTGACGATGCGACGGTTCCGCTCCACTTGCCATCGGACAACAGTCATAGATCCTTTCTGCTGGACTGTGACACCATCTCCATCGCTGCTGTAATTTCCGGCTGTGGTAGGGAGAGCGAATTCATGCAACTCATTCTCTCCCCCATACAACAGCAGTACTCTCCGCTCTCCGTACTTCTTCCATGTGAATATTTCCGCAGACGAGTAGATCAAATTGATTCCACCGATATCGTAGTCAGTGACATGAATCTTCGAGTCCCGGCCGTTCAGAGTGAGGTTTCCGCCGAGCTGCGGAATGGTGAGGTTTCCAATGCTCGTAGGTACAGTAAGACGGTACGGAGTAGCGTCCCATGATGTCCAGTCCGTATGTCGAACAAGGTAGAAACGTGTCGGTTTGTTTCCAACTGGCGTCACCAGTAACTCATCGGTATTGACATAGGCATGGGTTTTGTTCTCTGGTATGGCTGTCAAGTATGCCGGTGAGGCCTGGAGAAATTGGGCTTGCAGCTTGGCCTCGCTGTACTTCTCCCTACGGAGACTGCGGTCCTCAGCAATCATAGCACCGTAGTCGTAAGATGTGTAGCCTTCAGGGTGGCCCATGTTGCCCCAATTCGTTCCGCCGTATGTCTGATGATCATCAGCTCCCTGTCGCACGTTCCGAGACGTATCTATGGCACTCACCATGTAGATATTAAGCAGCTTGATAGAACGCCCGAAGAGCTCTTTCTGGAAAACCCGCTGAAATTCGGGCCCAATCAATGCCGCACATTTCTCAAGGCCAACTCCGCCCCTACCATCGTTAGCGTTCTTGAACATGGAAACGTGGGTACGCGTGCTCCACTCACCAAGGATCTGGGGCGCCACCTTGAAACTCCAAAACAGAGTACGGCGTGGTTGGGCTTTGTTGGAGGTGGTTTTGATAAGTGTAGTCCAGGCTAACCAACTTAGTTGGATTAGACCAATTAGTAGGATTCCCGCCTATTAAGAGTCAAAGTAAGGACAATTTCGGGACTGAAGTTAGAACTTACATCCGTCATAGAATGGGTATGAATCATGAGCGTAGATATCCGCCTCTCCTATGCCGGTGCCAGGCGCCCAGTTGCCCAAAGGCACCATGTCGTTCGACACCAGTGGAACCACAATTCCGTTGCGGCGAGCCTGTTGCTCAACGTATTCCATGTAGGTTGGTTCAAGCAGCTTCACCGAGTCGATGTAGCTTGGGGCACCAACAGCAAGGCTGTATTCGTTCTCAGGCTGGAAGAGAATGATCGGGCCACCGTTCGTGATCTGAGCGCGGGCAATTTTGGCGCCTACCGCTGCCATGTATGCCTCGGTCGCGTTGAGATACTCCGGGGAAGTTGACCTGACCTCTGCCTTGATCCTTTGCAGCCATCCTGGTAAGCCGCCTCCAGACAGCTCAGAATTGATGTATGGACCTGGTCGAGCGATGAGGTAGATTCCCGCCTCAGAAGCTGCGGCGAAGAATGAATCAAGGTCGAAGATTCCCTCTAGCCGAGGATCACCGGGTCGGCCCTCGATCAGTGCCCAGTCCACATAGAACGACACCGTATTGTATCCAATCGCTTTCACCTTTTGAAAGATGTCCAACCAAAGGCCAGGAGAAGGAAGTCTGAATGGATGGAATTCAGCGGACAGGAGGAGAAGGCGTTCGCCTCGAATTGAAATTGAATGCTGATCCCACGTGACTAGGTCTTGCAGTAGAGTACCATTCTGCTGCAATATGGGAATCGACACATCTTCAGCGCATAGGCGGAAAGGTAGTACAAGGAGAATGCAAACGAATAGCAGATGCAAAGGATTCAGGATGGACATGGTTGATGTGATTGTGGAGGATCTTTGACGATCTGACTATTTGTTTGAGGCATTTCTGTGATGTTTATATGAACTAATGTTTGTTTCCCGGCTTAGACAGGGAATTTTTTTGTCTGCCTGCATTGTCGTAAATGTTCGCGTTTTCGCATCGTCGTATTCGTAAATGTAGCCAGGGTTATTGTTGTCGGTTAGAAATGGGCAGTTTCCCCGCACGAAAGCTGACGTATCAGCGGGCGAAGACGGTTTCTAGTTCAGATCACGATACCTCATAGTACACCGAGGATGTGGATAGCCGGTCGATGGCCGCGTAATGATCCATTTTGCTGGTCTTGCTCTCCTATTTGGCTGGCATTGGTAAACGGTGGTACATAAGGGCTGTGCTTATTATGTTTTAGTCCCTCGGTCCAAGAATGCCGAATTTGAACCAGATGAGGGAATTTTTCCCAACTGCAAAAACAGGATAAGGAGCGCTCTGGACGAGATTTCACATTTCTCCACGAAACATTGCTTTTAAACCCTTTAATTTGCTACGACTTAAAGAAGGTTCCATGACTACAAATTATTCCTACTGTCACGTTGTGCAGAAGTCAGTCTACACGCAACCCACAATACGAGAGCTGATGATTCTCAAGGAAGGCCCTGGCGAACATCCGTATGCTCATTCAGGCCCCACGCCTGGCTGCTGTCATCGTGAACAGTGGCACGCCTCATGTCCCTCCTGTACTTATACGCGAACTCTCCTCCCACAGCCCTGTGCATCGTGCAAGTATTGTCCCAGATGACGAGGTCCCCGACATTGTGCCACTCGACTATTGCCCGGTACTTGTCTTGAGTGGCGTGATTGAACAGCTTCTCGAAGAGCGCCTTGGATTGCTCCGGTGCCAGACCCTCGATGTGGTGGATGTGCATGGCGAGATATAGGTTCATGCGACCAGATCTTTCATGCTTCTGCACCAACTTGTGGCGGCCCATGGGGTAGTCGGCCGGCTCGATGTTGGCGAAATGATCGGGCGCAGCCAGCTTCTTGGAATGAAGGATGGAGTGGCAGGCGACGTAGTCCTTGTGCAGGAGCTCCGTCTTGGTGCTCTCATCAAGGTCATCCCACGCTGCCCGGGTATCGCAGAACTCAGTACTGCCACCAGTGCCGGCGGGAGGAAGTTCGTGGGACAACAAGAGCGAGTAGCCAGCACGGCGCGGGTTGAAGCTTGAGTCGACGTGGAAGAGGCTGTTGCCCCTGTTGGCTTGAGCTCGGGGGCTACTGGGGTCCACGATAGTGCCATCGGTCTCCATGTTGCCCACATCAAACAGCTCGTCGTACTTGAGACGGTTCTTCCTGCCTGCGTTGTTGTACGGCTTGACGTCGTCGAGCTCGCCGAATTTGCGAGCGAGCTCAATGTGGGTCTCGTCGGTGAGGTTTGTTTTGCGAAGGACGATCACGCCGTACTGGACGAATACGTCAGTGGATCGTGTAGCAAACGCCTTGACTTCAATTACCTTCTTGACCAACTCCTCAATCAGGTGGTAGCTCCTGTCGGTGACACCACCGGTGAAATCGAGACCCTCCACCTCGGCACCGAATCCAGGCGTCAGTTCTCTGATGCGGGGATTCGTATGGGATGAGAAGATGGTTTCCGTGGCGGTGACTGACATGATTAATGGTAACGTGGCCTGGTTTCCTGATACCAAGTTATTAATTGAAGGCGTTGGAGCAAGTATAGCTTGAATGAGGTATTTGATCTGTGGACTTGAATCAGATTGCTTACAAGGTGTGTGGTAATTCTTTTTGGGGTGTTCTTTTTGGAAGGGGCGTAGAAAACAGTTCGATAAATGGGATCGATAACCGCGGAATCGCCGGCTCTATATGTTCTTTCACATTCCCCATCAAGACCAGGCTCACCAGCGCTTCGGCGATGGTCCATTGCCGACAATACTGTTTCCTATAGAAATTGCCGAGGGTTCGGTCAATGTTCATCCCGAATATTTTCACCAGTTACCGTCAAACCAACCACGTTTCACCGTCCGTTGCCGACATCCGACAATGTTGGAGGCGTTATAGCAATAGTTCTGTAAGAATTGTAGCAATCCTTCTGTAAGCATAACCCCCGCATCGCTTATCGCACCACTAAGCGCCCTATGTATCGTCTGACCCATATCCGAAGAGCTACCGAGGCCCCATAGTCTGTTCAACCCCAACCAGAATGAGCTAAGTTTCGGGGCACCTTCGCACGATGCCTTGCTACATGAGATCAGGTTGCTGGCTTAAAAGTTGTCCACGCGAGAATGTTGAACTTAAGGCCCGTGCGGCGGGGGTCGGGAATACTTGCAACTCTGGACAATCTAGTCAAAGACCGTGCAGGCAAAGTTCATTTACTTGTACCAGCAATAGGAGTAATCGACAATGTTGCTGTTGCTGTGGTTACTGTTGTAATAGATATTTGGTCGGCGTTCCCTTGTCGAGCCAGATGAGGTGCTTGACGACGTGGATTTGGAAGCGATACGTGAACAGCCCACAGGGGACGGACTCTGGATGCGGGGCCAGGATCGCCGAGGCGCGGGCTTTCAAACGGATACTGTCGGCTTCTGAAGGATGAGTATTGTTCGTTGCTCGGTCGTAGCTACTGTCACAGCCTCCTACTTACTGGCAATCTGATCCGCTTCAACAGGCAGGCTGTCCTCGGCTCTGGACAATCCAAGCCTTCCGGTCAACGCACACAATATGGATGCCATACGTTACCTTAATCGATGGTCCCCTTTTGCCTCGCCTGTGACCATTCCTAGCAGATGCCGGTACTACCTTTTATCCGTAGGTCAAGCTCCGGTCCTGGCTCAGTTGGCTTGTTTAGCTTGCCTAAAATTGCAACTGGATCCAAGTAGCGATGGCCATGCTCACTTGCACGGCGGTGCATGTCGGATTTGGGCTGGCACCGAATGGAAGTCAACACACTTGCGGGGTTTTAAAAGTCGGAAGATAGACATTAAGCTCAAATTTTAGTTTGTATAGGGCTGAGAAATTTGTTTTTGTCAGCATGGGCGTTAGACTTAATTGGGATAGTGATAGACTTGCAGTCCGTCGGAAAGTCCCATCCAGAGATACAGGGGGGTATTCCACCCGACTACTAGCGTGGGTTTCTTTTTCGTGCATACCATGTGTAATTGAAGCTATCATCGAGATGTAAATGTGGAATTAATGATTGTACGGTCACTTCTGATTCCCTCAACCACCCATACATGTCCCAATTTTTTTTTAAAAAAAAGAAATGTTAAAAGAACTGAGGCCCTGCTGTTCTTTGCGCTAGCTATTATCTACAGAATCACTCTTTCCAGGAGTTCTCTCTGAATTGGAAATGCAAATACCGTTTCAGGAAGTAGTGCGTGTTCCTGAGAATTTTGGCACGCATGTTAGGAAGCCAGCCTTGTTTTGGAAGCGCATCCGACCTCAACTACTCTCCGCATCAACGCTTATCACAGCACTGGCGAAATCATGCTTGCCTTATCTCTTCTACTAAAGCCCTCACCTGATTCGCAAGATATGTTTGTGCTTGGACGCTTTTTGATTAGAGTTTTGTTGCTTGGTAATGTGTCGGAAGCTATCGCCGAGAACGGCAACCTATCCGCAACAACGAACGTAGGATTATCAAGCACCAAATCAACAAAGATGTATCTTTGCAATCCATTAGCGGTTAGCTTACCCTTCTCTACGGTGTCTTTCTAATACACCTGGCTATTAGCGCGACTCGTGCGCCTTTGATCCTGTTGCGCCCACAACACCTCCATGTGAGTGCGACATCTCTCTCCCCAAGACTACTCGTAGAACGGCATCAATCTCGATATTGCATTGTTAGAAAGCAGGTCACTCTCTCAATCTTCTATTTTGACCGTTCCTCAACATCGGTGCGCAATATGTCTCCCAATGACTCAGGCAACGACGGGGCCATCCACAACAGTACCGATCACCGCGGTGGAGATGTCGAGAAACACGAACTCAACCAGGCCCTGCCGCAAGTCGAGTCAGAATCAGACTCCGAAGACAAAGCCAGAACGATCCGCGGTCTTCCGTGGCTAATCGTCTGCATCTCGCTCTACGTCACCTGTTTCCTCTACGGCCTCGACACGACCATCGCAGCAGACGTCCAAGGCCCCGTCGTCGAAGCTTTCGGCCACGTCGAGCAGCTCTCCTGGATCGGCGCCGGCTTCCCCCTCGGCTCCGTCTGCGTCATCCTCCTGCTGGGAACCCTCTACAACACCTTCAACATCAAATGGGTTTTCATCGCCACCGTCGTCCTCTTCGAAGCGGGCTCTGCCCTCTGCGGCGGCGCCCCGACCATGAGCGCACTGATCATCGGCCGTGTCATTGCCGGCGCGGGCGGCAGCGGCATCTACCTCGGCTCGCTGCAGTACTACGCCGTCATGACTGAAGGGAAGGAACGCGGCTTCTACATGTCGCTGATCGGCGTCTTCTGGGGGCTGGGAGCCGTGCTGGGGCCTGTCATTGGCGGCGCGTTTGCCGTATCCGCGGCGACATGGCGCTGGGCTTTCTACATCAACCTGGTCATCGGCGCTGTTTCAGCCCCAGCACTGCTGTTCTACCTCCCAGCCATCCATCCGCTGCAAGGCGTCAGTATCCGCGCCCGACTGGCCTCAATTGACTTCGTCGGTTTTGTCCTGGGCGCCGGCGTCTGGGTCAGCTTCCTGCTGGCCTTCACAATGGCAGGCAGCCAGTGGCCATGGTCTGACGGCCGAACCATCGCGACCTTCGTTGTCTTCGGCGTGGTGCTGGTGCTGTACGCCTTGCAGCAGTACTTCGCCGTCTTCACCACCCCCGCCCGGCGCGCCTTCCCCTGCCATCTGCTGCGGGACCGCACGCAAGTCCTGCTCTACGTCGTAACGGCCGCCGGGACCACGACGCTCTTCGTCGTCGTGTACTACATCCCGATCTACTTCCAATTCGTCAACAGCGACGGCGCGCTGATGGCGGCAGTGCGCCTGCTGCCCTTCGTCGTCATCGCCGTCACCGTCAACCTCGTCTCCGGCGCCTTTCTACACTTCATCAAGGTCTACATGGCCATCTTCGTCATCGCTGGCGTGTTCCTGGTCGCCGGCGGCGGTCCGCTGGTTGCGTATCTGGACCCGAGTGCCTCGACCGGAACGATCTACGGCCTGACCATCCTCATCGCCGTAGGTAGCGGACTTTCCATGGTGACAGGTTATACGGTCGCGACGTTGACGCTGAAACCCGAGGATGCGGGCGCGGGGCTGAGCTTGCAGAATGTGTCGCAGATCGGCGGGCAGGTCATTGCGCTTGCTGTCGCAGGGCAGATTTACCAGTCGACGGCGATCAGGAACTTGTCGGCTGTGCTGGCAGGCAACGGTTTCTCTGATAAGGAAGTGAGTGGTGCGGTGGCGGGGGCGCAGAGCACGCTGTTTCAGGAGCTAGATGGGGAGCTGAGAAACAAGGCGATTGAGGCTGTGACGGAGGCTATGCAGATGACCTTTGTGCTGGTGCCTGTTGCTGGGGGTGTGATGTTGATTGCTGCCTTGTGCATGAAGAGGGAGAAGCTGTTTGGACGGGCTGTTGCTGTCGGTGCGTAGAAGAACGACGAGAATGTCGAATTAAAAACTTTACATATACGTCCGGACGATATCTTCAACTACCCATATATGTCTTTTTTTTTTTTAAGAAAAGACCGCGACATAATTACGCCTGGGGCCTTACTATTCTAGAAGCTAGCCTTCGACTGCGGCCCCCTGTACAATCTTTCCATCAAATCCTCGTTTCTCCCGAATATGCAAATGTACAAGGCGCTGTTTACTTCGAAGTCGGGGTTGGTCCTCCATCTGAGCTCGGGGCCTTTGTTCCTTCCAATAACGGAGCCAATATTGCTCTGGACGGCGCAAGCGGCGATTCATCTGTCTCCGTAGCTGATGCATCGTTCGGCAGAGCAGATGATAATTCGGTTCCTGCCTAAGCCGTCTGAAGCGGTACGGCATCATTCATCTCTTCCAAATACTTTTTCATGGCCTCCCTGTGCGTTTTGGAGTCCTCTTGAACGTCAGCCAGGCTGGGCCTGTGTATAACCCTGTAGAGCATCTCATCACAAATGAGATTTCTGATCTTGCTGGACGTGTCCTCAAATCCATTGTTGACCAGGACCCGAATTGTGTTCTCATTGATTCCATCCAGCTTTGCTGATGATACAACAACGCAGCAGGCTACCACAGACTCGCACACTTCGTAGAGCGACTGTGACTCGAACCTGTACGTGAAGAAGCACATATCCAGTCTACTCAGACCAAGGCAGTCGCCAAGAGAGATGGCACTACACGTAAGCGAGTCAGCTTCTGTTCAATATTGTTTGTAGATAAAGGCGGGAACTCACTATCTCTCTTCCATGGAACGCTGCCCGCGAGATGCTCCCAAAAGCATATTAAATACAGACGTGGCGAGGTTAGCCAGGCCTGTTCCGACCGGGCCGGATGAGAAATTTTGGATTTCCCGCATGACGCCATTGCTGAGGTTGTTGCCTTTATTTTGAAGAGTTCTAACGAATGTGTGCTTTGTCAGGACCTTGTCAATCGGAATTTGTTTGTCGTCATTCGACCTGTTTCTGCAAACACGTAAGATGAATTTCATAGACGAAGGTTGGATTTATTACTCAATCCTCTGGTAAAAAGCATTCATGTAATCATTCGCCATCATTTCAAGTGTCTTGAGTGTTTCAAGAGCCTCCGCTTCCACCTTTTTGTCTCCAGAAGCCAAGTCTTCTCGAACAGTGGAAAGAGCCTGTCCCATATCGGTGGCGGAGTTGGTTGGATTGGCAGTTAGATTGGCAGTTAGATTCGTGAGTAAAGGTTCCGTGTATGTTACATATAAAGTCACGACCAAGTTTCTTTATATTCGAGCGCTTGTGAAAATCACATGCCGTTGAACCGCTTGACCACCAACCAAACGTGCCGCAAGGAAACTTACTAGAGGGTATGTCATTTCTTCACCAAATGCGTCAAAGCTGAAAACAAGCAGTCGGCGGAAAACAGCTGCAAGGGTCCTGCGTACAAGGGCAGTATGTCTCATATTGAAAATTCGACCTCAAGCAACGGCAGTACTACTTGAGGGATCTGGAAGCTCTCGTTCCACGGGCCCAGACCACCAGCTGATTCAGCCTATGTCACGTCGTGGGCTTTCGGGGGTTGTGGCAGCCATGAGTGCGGAAGTACGGCTGGTTTCAGCCTCACGAGCACACCAGTTCAGCTGACCCATCCATACCGCAAGCGGAAATCACAGGTCACCTCCGCCGAGCGCGGGCGGATAGGAGGCTGTGATTTACGCGACTAGAAGACGTACTTTCGGTATCACCGCACGGAGAGGTTCGTTGGCAATCTGCTCGAGGTGGAGGCTGTAGGGCGCGCGGTTGGGGGGAAGAGGCGGCCGGGGGAGCCGCTGCTGCACGCTCGTTTTATGTGTAGCGTCGTACGGTCGCCTGAGGAAAGTTCCGAAGCTGGCAGCGCTTCAGGTTAGTGAATATGGCAGGATGAATTTCATGAACTGGAATGTGTTCAATCTGCAAGAGTGATGCGGGGAACATTGTGTCGCGCGAAGCGAAGGCGGAATATATATTCCTCAGGTAAGCTTCTACAAGATTGGAGTCCATAGTGGGGCCTCGTCTATTTTTCGGGAATTATTGCCTTTTAAACTTGATTGTTTTCCCCACACAGCAATAATACACAAGGTTTTACCTATCCTGGCTAGTAGGTGAGCTGAATTGCTAAGTATTCGCTTCCCGATCATCAGTTACGTCAGAAATGCAACAGCTTTTATATGATTGCTTGTCGGAAACATTCTGATCGGTCAATTCCCTCCATCTGCACGCCACTCATCTCCATTGACGATGGCTTCTATGAAACAGTATGCGTACCCAGGCTTCGGCGAAGCCAGCAGGAAGAGCCACTGGTACTCTTCCGCCGTCCGCATCGGCGACCAAATCCACTGCGCCGGACAAGGTATAAAACAATTTCTCCTCGCCACGTCTTCACAGCAAGCTGAGGAGCATCGCAGGCGGCTTCTACGACGCCGACTTAAACATCTCGCAGCTGGTCCCCGAGCAGATCGACCAGGCCTTCGTCAACGTCGAAACGGCGCTCCGCGATGCCGGGTGTAAGGGCGGCTGGGCGCACGTCTTCCGCATCAACTCGTTTCACATCCAGCTGGACCAGGAGGCTCAAGACGCCATGGTACGCAACTTCAAGAAGTGGATGCCCGACAATCACCCGGTCTGGACCTGCGTTCAAGTCGGCCGTCTTGGCGATGACAGGATGAGGGTGGAGATTGAGGTGTCGGCGTTCGATCCGGAGGGTGCGAAGGAGCAGGGGACGATGAAGGCGTAGGTTTCGAGGTGGACTAGGTGGGGAAATGGTCAAAATATGGGCTTCATTCACTGTTAAATTCAAGATCGAGTGCGTACTTTGAGCAATACAGCACAACTGGCCAGGGAATCACCGAGACTAAAACTGAAGCAACATACAACAAAAGTGATTGAGTTTATTTAAGATTAGCTTTTTCCCATTAACGATTGTTTCCTAGAAGCACAGAGGAGGAAAAGACAATGGAAAGTTTGATACAAATGAGCCTCACTGTCAAGAGTGTTTACATGTTTTTCGCCAACTTCATCTTCACCATCAAAGGCTTTTTCTCCCAGACAAGGAAAACCTTTTGATCTAGCCAATCCTTGCATTCAGGAGCCAGTTCCAAATCAAATTTGTACGTCATTTTGGCAAGAATGAGGCGCATTTCGATATACGCGAGGCTATTTTTCCAAGCAGGGCTATGAGTTAGCAATTTAAACCGTGAAAAAAAGGGGTTTCAAGGCTGAATACGTACTTCCTTCCAATACAATTTCGCGGCCCGAACGAGAACGGTTGGAGAGCCTCTCTGCGGTCGTTCTTCCACGGCTCCTGGTCTCCGTCTATCCATCTTTCTGGAATGAACTCGTCCGGCCGCGCAAAATTTTCTTCGCTCCGATGCACGACATACTGATTCATACCGACCGCGGTGTTGCCAGGAATGAATTTGCCGCCCAAGATAGCTCCCTCCGGTGGGATGCGACGCAGATGAGGATTTGCGCCCGGCGGATAAAGGCGTAGGGCCTCATCCAGTACAGCCAAGAGGTAGGGTAGGTCGCCAATACGATCGATCGTGATCTCTTTATCGCTGTTGAAGGTTCCGCGTACCTCTTTCTTGAGCTTGTCGTAGACCCGCGGGTTCGTGAGGAGGTAGTAGGTTACACCACTCAACAAAGTAGCCGTCGTCTCGCTTCCAGCAACCACAATTACAGGCGCATTGTTCAGCACATCGGCCTGCATGAGCTGGCCTTTTCCTTGTGCAGCCAGCAAGTGCGTCATGAAGTCTGTGTACTCGGGCTTTCGTTGCTGACGGCGAGCTACAAGCTCTTGTGTTAAACGGTGAAGCTCATTGTGTTTTTTTAAGAGGGCAGGATCAAGAATAGCCGAGACTCCCAAGAAGAGAGGAGCGAACTTCGCATTCAGGCGGACAAGGCAACGCGCCCTAGCGATGTATTTAAGTACGTAGAACGTGAGGCTGATCCAGGAGTGGTATTCGGTAGACTTGAGGCAATTGAACGACTCGGCGAAGGCGAGGTGGCCGATTACGTCGAATGTGGTAAACTGCAAGCTTAGCCGGGTTCAGAAGGGGAAGAAAGGAGGCTTCCTTCAACATACATTATACCATTTGACCAAGTCGACCGTCGTCTCCTCCTTTGCGCATCTCTCGCTCAGTTTGGTGATTAGGAGCTCCGTATAGTGTCGAATTATCGGCTCTTGTCCATGAAGCACTTTATCTGAGAAAGCATTTGACAAAAGTCGACGAAGCTGCGTGTGCCGCTCTCTGTCAGCCGTAATAATGCTAGGATGTTTTGGATTAGGGTCCCATCTGTAGGAGAAATCCTTCCCATTTTCGGGCCTTGCGACGCGATGTCCATAGATGTCTTTCCACACGTCCGCGTCTATGTATGACAGTTCATCAGGAGCCTGACGCACGATCGGACCGTATCGGTCGTGAAGTGCTCTCGTCCAGAGATGGAGATCCCCCGTAAAAAAGTGATAGCAAACAGGGAGTTTGCTGATTCGCGCATACCAAGGGCCGGGATAGGCAGCAAGAGGATGAAGATACAGATCATAGACACAACGGCCGACCAAGTAAGATATGAGCTGTGAATTTGATAGTTAGCCTCGAGTTATAACAACAAGGTCAGATGATTACCCACAAAGCATGCCCATGATTTCCATGAGAGTATCAGTGATGCGGGGCTGAAAGGAGCAGCTTGATCCATGGCGGCGGTGGGGAAATTGTGGCAAGAGCATTAAAAGTGCGCTATGATTGTCAGAAAGCCGAGTGATTTCAATCTGATACTTATATCTATTAGTGCATGCGCAATAGGCTCGTTCGGCAGAGTTACCGGGATTCACATGCTCAAACCCTTTTCTAACTGACAAGAAAGCTCGGCCGAAAAATCACGCGTAGTCGGTAGACCAACATGAATATTAATCGAATACAACAGCGTCGTAGTTACCCGTCTACTCCGGTTCGTGAAAGTTACACCAATAAACGATATGCTTATGATCCTATATCCGGTAGCCGGTGTCGAATGGCGGTAATCGGGTATCTACATGCCGAACAACGGGCGAAGCTTAATATTTGCCGCGGTCGGATTTAGCGGAATGAACAGGGATTGGTGAAGGTGCAGCCTTCACAGCGTGGATAAGCAAAGTGCGATGCGGTATTCTCGATGATCATGATGATGAATTCATAGACCATCTCGGCTACCAAAGTCAGCTTTGCACAATGCATCCCGCCCTTCCCGTATCCACTGGACTCATCTGAACCTTAGAAAGACGATGACCATGATCGCCACGATGTGCGCGCGCAATGAAGGCAGTAGCTACGGACAGGTGCCCGACATTGTGCTCACCCTCTCTAGCGGGCAGCAGAACGCGTAGCGTCTAGTCTAGCAACGACAGCGTGGCCAACAACCAAACCGATTTCCTGCGGCTACCCGCCACTTCCGGTTTGCGTGCCGTTTGAACTTAAAATATAATTTTCATGTCATCGCGTTAAAAGGCAACTTTAAACTTTGACCCCGCAGCGGGCTACACCACCGTCGCTCACGTCAGACGCAATCGCGGCAATGGTAGCCGCTGAGTTGGTCGTTGACCGGGAGGTCGTGGGCGCGGGTTGGTCGGTGGTGGCCAGTCTGGTTACGGCGGGGCTGCGAAGTTGGCTTGTGGAGGTGCTGGGGGCGGATGTGATTATTCTGCAACTGCCGGATCAAAGGACGGGTGTTTGGGTATTGCCGGAGAGGGTAGTGACGGGGGTCTACGATGGTGGGATCGGCTTGGGTATGCTGTAATTAGTGAGATGGAGAATGTTAGTAACTATTATATGAGTGTTCCTATAGCGTGATCAAACTATATTTAAGCCTTCACTTGAAACAATAGAATAACTTCCCGGGCATCAGGTCTAGAGCGGTCGCCAGGTAAGAGCGGCGTGCGGAGGTTCTGATTGGCGGACGCGTCAGCCTGCTGCTTCCCAAAAGTCACAGATTCAGAATTGCTGATTTTGCGCCGCGTTCTTTTTTTTTTCTCTCCCTCATATCGAGATTACAAGTACAGTCATAGTATTGTGCGAGATGATATCCACTAATATGGCACTTTCGCCAATTGAAACACTATTCTATACATGATCGGAATTGTCTGAAAAGAGCGCTGCCATTAATTTGTTACTTGTGTATTATTGCCCCCACCGAACGAGAGCAACGTTCTTGCGAGGTTTATCCACAAATCTTTGCCACAGTCTTTCCAACGGTCTTGCAATCGGTGAGCTTTTGCATATACTCAGGTATATCTTCCAGCTCAATCTCAGTGACAAGCGGCGTCACTACCCCTTGCCTGATGTATTCCATGACTTGGTAAGTTTCTTCGGCGCCACCCATGAGGTTTCCCTGAATTATCAGCTGCCGCTCTACTAGCTCCTTAATCGAAACTGAAATCTGGCCATTGCCAAGTGTAGCTCTGAAAGCAATGCAATGCCATAAGTTAGAAATCGAGGGCTCACTGGCAGCTCAAAAAAAAAAAAAGGAAAACTTACCCAACACATGTGATGCAACCTCCATCACAAACGTAACTCGTCAGGTCATCATACGCAGCCGTAGAACTAGCCGCAACGACGACAGCATCCGCCAAACCCACACCAGACACCATCGATCCCCGCATCTCCGCGCAAGCCTCCCGAACACGCCTCTTCACATCCTCCGCCGATCTTCTCTCCTCCTCCTCGCGCGCCGCAGCAGCAGCAGGAACAAACACATCAAACGCCCCCACGCGCGCCAGCTCCTCCCCCGCCGTGCCCTCCCCCTTCCACCCCCAATCCACACCCACCACCTTCGCCCCGAACACCCTCCTCGCCATCATGCCCACAAGGTGACTAATCGCCCCCGCCACCCCGACAACAACAACCACATCCCCCGGCCGCACCTCCGCCCTCCGCAACGCCTTCAGCGCTATCGAAAACGCACTGCGGGAGCGGCAGCAGCGCGTCCCACGGCGCGATGACGAACTGCTTAAACGCGCCGCTGTGGTGCTTCGGGAAATTCGTCTGTGCGGCGCAAGATTCAGGGACACCGCGGAGGCAGTAGGCGCAGGCGCCGCACGTCGAGGCGAGGTAGCGCGTGGCGACGGGGCGGCCGAGTAGGGCCGGGTCGAGGGCCTGGACGACGTGCCCGATGCCCTCGTGGCCGGCGGTGTGGTTGGTGGTGGGGAAGCCCGGTTCGGGGCCGGTGGAGAAGCAGGCGTCCTAGCGGTGGAGTGTCAGTTGTTGGTGGGTGGCGGGGGGTTGGGTTAGGTGTGGTGTGGTGTATTCGGTATACGTACGGAGCGGCAGAGGCCGGTCCAGGCGATTTGGACGACGACGTCGCCGGGTTTAGGGGGTTGTACGGGGATGCGGCGGAGTTGGAGGTTGAGGGTTGGTCCGACTTCTGGGGTTACGATGGCGAGTTGTGTTTTTTCTACGGGAGGGTCGGTCTGGCTGAGGTTGCTGGACTTCGATGGGTGGTGGAGGGATGCGGAGCTGTCCGGTATATCCTGCGCGACGTCGGCCGCATTGACCATGGGTGACGATGCGTGCATATTTTTCGCTGAAATTGCAAATCTACACTACGAAGCTTTGCATTCTCAATTTATACGCCATCAAGATACGATCAATGCTCCATCTACGGGCCTGGCTGGAGGTGTGGCGGAATTTGTATTCCGCCCTGGGTATTGATCCGATAGCTTATGAATATCGATCCATAATTGGACGGGTAGGTGTCAGTCCAGAAACTGGATCCGCAGGTGAGATAAATAGATTCGTTGTTGGGTTGAAAAATCTTTGTGGCAAAACCTCCCACGCCGAATGCTTCCGCGGCTCTGGTATAAGAAACGCCGCGCAAAACAGTGGCTGGGCTGACACAAGATCACCTTGTTATCAGCAACGTTTTGAAGTGTGCATATGTTAAAGAATGTTCAACACTCTAGCTGTATGAGCGGTAGCTGGCTGATTAACCACATCTGACAACGGGTGGTTACGGGTTGAGCTCGTGTATTCTGTGGAGAAGAGGATGCTGTACTAGGAGGAAAGCAGCTGTGAGCCAATGCCTTGCTAAGGCCGGCCACTTCTTTGATCGCTTGCTGCTTTTAGTCCACCTAACGTCTAGGTATCTTACACGGGGCACCGAGTTGGTGAGCGTTCAGCATGGCATCACCCATCAGGGCTGTCGCCGAAGTGTCCTATTGAGAACGGGCTTATTGGCACTGTTACATCCTCCCAAAAATGATATAGCGGCGTAGAATCGACTTGTCGACTAAGAGTTTTCCATAGGTACAGACGACTGGAGATGACTGTAAAATCACGAAGCGTCCACATTCAGATCCGCTGGCCCGGTGTGGGGGATTATCGAAGCTCGTGCCACCCACCGAGACAGCTATGCGGGAGTCTTCTCCGCGCCCGCCAGACCCGTTTGAGCCGAAGCGGGTGACTCACGATAAATGATAGCAATCTGTTATATGTGACTCATGTCAAGCAGATGACTCATATTAAGTAGATACTTTATTTTGTCCACGTAAGAATATCTATACGCTAATCAAAATGTTGTACACTACCCACATTCTTGTAGGCTGAGCTTAATACGCTGCCCACTTACCAAAACAACATGAGTGCCAAGGTAGCCCCACTCAAGGTTAAGGTTTCAAAATACGTCAACAGTTCTGGTGCATCTGTAGGTACCGCTCTATGGAGTATAGCTCAGTTGATCCGGATAAGGCGACGTTCCGTCTTCCGAAATAATGAATTTTCCAGGGCTATCGTCTTTGTACATATTAAAGCCCTACCGTCCAACTTTGCGACTTCCAAGTACCAGAAACGCAACTCGACCAGACTTCAAGCAACATATACTCACAATTTTGTTTTTTGGTCTTTTTCATCCAAGCTCAAACGTTCTTCGAAGACGAAATGACGAGTCAGAGAGCTGTGCAGGAGCACATTCCTTTTGCCAAACCTCCCCACCTCGTGAACTCCGAAGCAAATCTGAAGCCTTTCAGTATCAACATTCCAGAGGAACATGTTGTGGCGCTGAAAAAGCTCTTGGAGTTATCCCGACTTCCTATCCCCAGCTGGGAGAGCTCAGAGAGAAGTCCGTATTTTGGAGTATCGCGAGAGTGGATGAAGAAAGCTACCAACCAGTGGCTTAACGATTACAACTGGTAAGTAATCACAGTCCTCTATGGACTCGTTACTGGCTATACTAACATCGACTAGGCGCGAGTGGGAAGCAAAGTTCAACGACCTTCCGCAGTACACCATCGATGTTCTGGATAATGACCAAACACATACGGTACACTTTATGGCCCTTTTTTCTCCAGACCCGTCATCCATTCCAATAGTACTCCTACACGGTTGGCCTGGATCTGTCTTTGAGTTTCTGCCTCTACTTCGCCATCTTCGTGCGACATACTCAACCCGCCCAGACGCCCTGAAATATCACATTGTTGTGCCGCACCTTACTGGATTCGGCTTTTCATCCCCGCCCGACAAGGACTTCACTTGGAATGACAACGCGCGTATCATTTCCAAAATGATGCACCTGTTGGGGTTCGGGAAGACAGGCTACGTGGCTCAGGGAGGAGATCTCGGTTCGGCTGTTGCGCCCGCAATCGCGGTCCACGACTCGGCCTGTAGACTCGTCCACTTGAACATGTTTGTCATGCCTGCACCGAAAGGGGTTGACCTGGAGGATGATATCTCAAAGGGCGTCTATCGAGATGCCGAAGTATGGGCTTTGAAGGGAGGCAGCAACATTCGCAGTAGTGGATTCGCGTATGCCGATCTCCAGGCAACCCGCCCTTCAACGGCGGGATTCGTCATTGGCAGTAATCCGGTCAGCCTGCTTGCCTGGTAAGACACCTGGTGTTTCTAACACAAGAAATGATTTCTTCTTTATACCTCCTCTTTAGGTTCTAACTGCAATGCTGGCTCTTAGGGTTGCCGAAAAGATGGTGGAATGGTCTGATGAGCAGATACCTTTGCCACTAGAACATATACTCACCAACGTCTCGCTCTATTGGTTTTCCGGCTGCTATCCGACATCCCAATGGTGCTACAGGACCACCCGGCGCGATGGAGGAGTAGACACTGCATCTTGGTTGGCCGATGTTCGAGTACCTGTGGGCTACTCATGGTTCGAAAAGGAGAGGGCAATGGCACCGAAGAAGTGGATCGATACGTTCGACAAGATCAAGTGGTATCGTACTAATGAACATGTATGTCAACTTACACCGACCCTGCATTCCCATCCTCCCCAGAACCACATAAGGAAAGAAAAGGAGAAGCTCCAGTGCTCTAAGAATGAAAGCTGAAACATATCACTGGACGATATAGGGCGGACATTTTGCGGCGTTGGAACAGCATGAAGCATTCTGGGATCACGTTACGGACTTCGTGAGTTCTTTCTGGGAGAGGTCATAATCGCGTATATGATCTGTCTCAGCAGATTTGGGTAATTTCTGGTGGGCCGCTCGGCTGTGTAAACGCTATTAGAAACCACCTCATGCTTCATTCAGTTCTTCTAGAATTGATCACCGGATGATTGGGTTCATAATCCATTCGAGATTGGGTCACCTTTTTCGATTGGACTGCAGTGATCGCCTTACAGTATTGCAACATGTCGTCTATCTATTCCAGAGGCTGGTTCAAGACGTCCCCAACGAGCTTTCTTGTGACTGCGAGTAGGGAATCCATGTCCTTCTCTATAACGTCATATCGCTTCCTTCTTGACACCCACTTCTCGCTGCCGGTCCAGCTCTCTGTTCGGGCTACTCTATCGCGGCCATATGTCGTAATTTTGTCCACATTTGTGCGCTTCTCAGACTCTTGGACATCCTCAACAATGAACTGGATAAACATGTCCTGCAAGTCATGGCTCAACTCAATGTTAGATCTGCCGTACTGTCCCGTACTGACATCAACAGCTTCGACCTCCTCCGCAGTTGATCCAAGTCCTGAATGAGCATCCTTGGCAGACTCTTGCTCAGGCTCGACATAGCCTTCCAAGACACCCTTGTCAGCTTTCTCCAGCGCATCATGAAAAGCATCAAAGATATAGATCAGTTCAACTCCATGATGAGCGATGCCTTGATCGGGGCCAAGAAAAGGGTTGCCGAACTCGATATGATACGAGTGGACACCCACACGAGCCGGGTCCTGGCCGCGGAAGGCGGCGTGCTTGCTGCGGTATGCCTTCAGGAATTCGCCCGCACGATGGACCGGATGAACAATGGTCGGATCGGAGAAAAATTGAACCTGCGCATCAAAGAGCTCTTCCTCTGACGACGTGGGCAGGATGTTGTATGCTCGTAGGACATTCTCAGCTGCTGTCCTTGAAGGATAGCAGGCTGTGAAAGCAGCGTGGAGCTTGGCGTAGTCGCAGCAAGCCATGCGGGCGAAGCCGCTGACCTCGGTGGCCGTGGCCCCGATCATGACTTGGACGTTCTCATCGGATGTCTTGACTTCGTTGTTCAAGTCCACATCTCCCAGGTGGATGGAAACGTCACAGCCTGCATCGCTCTCCCTCACGGTCAACCCGTCAATAACCAGTATAGACAGTCCCCAATTCAGCTCCTTCATGCTTTGAAGTAGATCCTGTGTAGGGATTCTCTTCAGCATATTCAGTCGCTCGACAGGGCTGTCTGCCTCAACCGACCAGAGCCGGTATAGGTCCGCCCACCGTTCATCTGCTTTCGCCAACGACCGGAAGTTGAGACCCCCCCAAGCTCCCGATTGCAAGATAGCCTTGCGGAATGGAGCCTCCTTGGTTTCCAGTTCGGCCTCGAGAACATGTGCGTGACATGAGATTCCACCCGCGGAATGGCCCATGATTGTGATTTTGGCTCCATCTCCCCCAAACGCTGCAATGTTGCGCTTTACCCACATCAGGGCAACCTTTTGATCGCGGAGACCGAAGTTGACGCCCTTGAGAGGGGCATTGTTTCCTTGTGCCGCGAGCATGTCTGAAGAGGCGCCGAAACCAAAGATATTGAGACGATAGTTGATGGCCACTACAATAATGGGGGTTTTCTTCTTGAGGGTGCGGAGGACTAGTCGAGAGGGATCTATATACCAATTCCGAGTTTAGCATGTAGATTATGGTAGATCTTTTTAAGCCAGGAACATACGTACCCCACATGGGATAGGTCGCTGCGCCGTCCGAGAAAGCGCCTCCATGAATCCAAACAAGAACAGGCAGTTTAGTCGTCTCGGGGTCAATGTCTTGCTGTGCAAGTGCCGTCATGCTCGGGCGCACGATGAGCAAATTCAAACATTCGAATTCATCTTCGCGGTCGTCCGGAATGGGGAGGTATGATTGAAAGGAACGCGAGTCGGGTGTACCCAGTTGCGGGCATTTTGGACTATAGAATGTTTAGAAACTACTTCCATCGTCTTTTGCACCAGGTTTCGCAAATTTTGTGACTGGAGGCTGAGAGAGATCTAGTCTTACCCATTCTTTGTGGCGTCAAATATGTCGCGCGGCAAACGTTGTATCAGTTGGGAATGCTCCCATCTTCCAGGCACATGGGCGTATGGAATGCCACGGAACTCCTCAATATCGTTAGAAATGGGTGACCGCTTGCCCACGACAGTTTGGATATAGCTCGGCACAGTGCTCGTCGGCAAACCCACGACAGCGGCCTGTTCTGGCGTTGTGGTAGGACGCATGGGAGCGAGTGCAAGGTAGATGTGATGGTATTTGACAAGATGCGAGATAGAATTGGAAGGAAGAGATACGAGAGCCTGTGACGTGGATGGCAAAAAAACAAATAATGGCGGCGTGTGAGAATATAGGACGACTACCGAATGAACAGCCTGACCTGGAATACTCAAACTACCAACGGAATTTTAGTGCACCTGTCACTCTTTTGAAATACGTAAGAATTTCTACGTGTTCCATAGAAGGTCCCTCTATTTGCCAATAATATGACATACCGCATGCGAAGAAGGTGTGACTCACAGATGTGACCCACAGGTGTGACTCACCTTACGGTAATATGATCGTCGCGTGGATTGGGGAACGGGGTATCTATGCATGGAACTTCAACAAAGCGTCGTCGAGTGGAAGCTTGGTCGCCTTCTTAGAGGCGTAGTAGTGCTAATTATGTCGTTTAGACTCGCCACCTTGCTCGCCTGTTCGTTCGTTACTCGCTCGTTCGCTCATTCGTTGCGTTGTTGCGAGTAGTAGGTGCGAGCGAGTAGTAGATACGGCAAGCGGCGGTAGAATAACGTGGCTGACGGCTACGACTTTCACGAAAACGCGTGTGCACAAACCGCGCTAAACACGAGTTTATATAATATCCATTTTTTAGGACTAATAGAAGCCTAGAAATTTACTCGAAGCGCCCCCGAGCCCTCAAGTTTCCACCGTAATCCCCAGCTACGCTGAGGAAAACCCTACTTTTGCGGTAAAAACCTACTTTTACGGCAGAAACCTACCTTTGCGGGAGAAACCTACACAACTTTCCCGACCTTCCGTCCATCATCTGGCTTAGACGCTACATCCAATCCGTCATTGAGACAACAGTTATCGTCGTCACCCACGACCGTACTTTGCCGACGCGATTGTGGAGCTGTTCATGTTGAAGTAGCAAGTCATATGATAGTTACGTGATCAAACTTCGCTCTCTGTATATAAATATCTAGTCGCTATCCTGTAGTCTGGTAGTTGAGTCTCCTCTCTTTCTTTTAATGTTATTGCCTCTTTGGGTCAACATTCAACAGCTCATCCTCTACCAGTGCTCTCTTAAGCGCTTCCGGGCACTCTTTCTGCGTATGAAGCAGAGGGTTTGACAACTTATAAGTATCTTAATCGAATACAAGAAGCACAAAATTGGTAAAAGAAGCACATGCAATCAACCAATGGATCAGAATGTCAGCGCTGCGAAGCGAGCACGAGATGATAAGAAGCTAAAACAGACTACTTCACGGAAGAAGAAACTGGACGAGCGGATGGACATGGAAGTCTCAGCAAAAGGTGGTAGTTTTGAGCTCAGCCGTGACTATGCTGAGATCGATATTCTTTCAATCCGCCTCGGCGTATGTCTTTCCCTACAAGGCCGGCCGACTTGCGATTCACTAGGGCTCTTGTTTTCCTTGAGAAGGTGTGCTTTCCCTACGGAAACGGGGATACGTTGACACCAGTTCCCAACGAGGTTAGTCTCACCATCCAACCCGACGAAATAGTTGGTATTGCTGGCTTAAATGGCTTAGGGAGGTCAACGCTGCTTTTTGTTTTTTAAAATTCGCAGGCTACCGTGAAATCGAGTCTGTCCCTCTCTACCCAAACTAAGACAGCATCGCAATACATTCCCAGAGCCCGGGATGGACGATGTTTCCGTCAGACAGTGGCAGAGTTGACCGCGATCGGAGTTCGTGTGCTTCATCTAACCTGTCTAACACACCTAACGCAGTCGGTTAGTGATATTCCAGAAGGGGATGCCCACAATTTGCTCGCATCTATTGCTCTTTCCGGACGAATCATTTTCAATGTGCCGTTGTCGAACTTAGCAGGCGGCCAAAAGTCCGGTTAGCACTAGCTAAACTACTTTGATCCCTCCACACTTTCTTATTCTTGTAGTATTTATGCGGAAGAGGAGGACAGAAATGAAAGTATGCACGGGTAATTGACCCATGTGAGAGTACTAGACACATGAGACACGCTCGCCTGCGGAGATCCTTGCCATTGTTGTAGCAGTGAAAATTCGCGACGGCAGACGCCATCCATGTACGATCCTTTTTAAAGACTATCATCTTTCTACCGCTACCCTCTTCTTCACAGCCATCGTAGTGCAGTTTCATATTCTTGGAATCATGATTATTCTACTCTCTGAGCAGAGGTGATTGGCTTTTCATGTTGGAAATTCCACCCTTTTCCGCGCTCGGACGAGGAACCTCGGCAAACACATTTGGAACTCGATCCACGACATGGGTCAGGTGGAAAAACGCATGAGCATATGTTCCTGGGCGATCATCACGGCTATGTCAAATAGGCCCAGAGTTGCCGAGCGAGCAGATGTTTACCCGTCACGACCCGCATACTGACTTCCTCTTAATATTTAATCATTGTCTCTTTCTGTCTTCTATTCCCGGTCAGCTCCTTACTTCAGCTCCTCTCTCTGTTAAAGCATGCCATTTTCATCTCGCACCCTCTCGAAAATTGAGTTTACTCAAGTCCCCAGTTTCGATGATGGCTCTTCTACTGAGGATGCACCTGTGCAGCCGACTCCGTTTTTCGCGCGTCCAAGAATCCTGCGCTATATCATAGCTGCTCTCACGGTCACTATATTTGCCTTGATTTATGTTATCGCCGTCCAAGATGCTCGATATGCAGATGCAGCCGCCATATTTCAGTCCCAAGATATCATACCTCGAGGTGAGTCGCAACGTTTTCACAGCTCTATGTGTATGTAGGCGCTCATATTTAATCCACCAAGGCAATCCAATACAACGAGAGTTCACAGAGGCTTTCAATTACAGCGACCCAGACTCACACAAGGCTCGCGTGCATGAACTGTGGCCCAGCTATGTATCCGGTTGACCATTCCCTCCTTCCCGTCCATTTTGTCAATCTGTGTAGCTCATGATGACTCCAGCTTCTGTACGTATCGCCGTGAAGAATCCGCGGACCTATGAGCTCTCCTCAGGCTTCCCAAGCGCCGATGGAGATGAGTCAGTGGAGCTCTACGTACCTGCCTACGTCCATCAATCGCACTGCATTGTAAGAGTGGCTCCAAATAGTTTGATGGTACCCGGACTGACAAATTCCGCGCAGAGGATGCTTCGAGACAGCTACTGGAAACATCAGGGCTCGGGGCCTATCAGAAGCCCCGCCGAGATCGCACAGGAGCATGTGCATGTTGAGCACTGCTACGACTACCTGCGTCAGGCCACCCTGTGCTTGGGAGATACGACTCTGGAAGGCCCTGCCTACCGTGAAGATGGAACGACGAGCAACACAGACGGAATGGGGATCAAGCACCAGTGCCGAGACATGGACTTCGTACGGGCGCAGTTCCGCGCCTTGGGAGCTTCGGGCAGTGACTGAGGGAAATAAAGAATGATGGAAAGATCATGGTGTATATCTAGTCAATGAGAAGCAATTCGTGAGTCCGAACAGAATAGCAACGTCCTACCCCTACGGCATCCTCTTCTCCCCAATCATACACTGCAACTTCCACGTCGACCTATTCAGCCTCGTCCCCGTCGGCAACTCGACCTTCGTCACATTCGGATTGCCCACCAGCTTCACACAATGCCCACTATGCTCCTCGCTCCTCGTCGCGCTATCCAGCACCAACGGAAACCGCGCCTTCGCCCGTATCTGCTTCGCCCACAGGTACGCGCAGTGCTGGTAGTGGAAATTCCCCTTCACGAAGATCGTCTGGTACTCGCCCAACCGCGCTTCCTCCTCGGGGATGACGTTGATGGCCTCGCGCTCCCGGTAGAAAGTCCAGTTGTTCTCGCGGAGGAAGTTGTCGGATAGTTCGCGGTCGTAGCATGCTGGGTGCAGCCATCCGGACATCATCAGGTCGAAGACGCAGCCGTTGTCGCGGGCCTCGGCGGGCGTGGCGCCGCACATGCCGAGGTTGACGAAGGGGACGGCGGTGGGGGAGGCGGGCGGGAAGATCGCCCAGGCGAGGAAGGAGCCGCCGCCGAAGATGACGAATAGGGCGATTAGCCCGATGCCGATGGCGCGGTATTGGAATTTTCGGCGGGAATTTCGTTGCGCGGGGTCAGGATGTTTCTCGGAGCTCTGTAGGTCGTGTTCTGAGAGGGAAAGATTGCTGTCCGTGGAGGCGCGGCCCCGGAGGAGCCCCGTTGCTTGGTCCATCTTGGTGGGGGATGCTTCTGTTGACTGCAAGAGCGTTGTCGGGTGGGTTTGCCTGCTTGGCTCAACTAATATCCTGGCGTGTTGGGGTCTTGTCGTAAGCCAAGTCGGAGCGAAAGAATAGGCTGTAGTGAATGTTGCGGAAAGTTGGAGTATCAACCATTGCAATCCAGGGTTAGCAACCCAAAGGGATGGGAAAAGTTCGGTGAGCTTCACCGGTGATGTACGAGATGTTATGTTGGAAATATCCGGCTGGCCGCCCCGGTTGATCGTCGCAGCACGGATCTCGGGACGATTTCCAGTAGCAATTGCCCCCGGAAACCCGGCGCACCACCAAGTGGATTGGAAACTAACAGCTTGGATTCTCAATGGTCTGGCTGTATAAGATGGTGTGATACGACCGCGAATTTCACTATCCACTCCGATATCCTGACTCCTCACGCCTATCACGACATACCCGTTCTCAAACTCCCAATACCCACCAACATGAAGTTCGCTACTCTCATCATGGCCGCCATCGTTGGTCTCGCCGCTGCTGCTGCTCCCCCGCGCCTTCTCACCCGCAACGGTGTCAGCGCCGAATGCCCTAACGGCTGCCTGGGATCCGGCAGCGGTGTCACCTGCTGCTCGTGCCCCGGTGGCACCCCTGGCTGCTACAACTGCGCTGACGGCTCCGATGCTGATTGCTCTGCCGAGGTATGTGTGCAATAGTGTTTTGATGCATAATGACAGATAGCTAACAAGACATTGCAGGTTACTGAGTAGACACATCTCCATACTGTTGATTCCCTTCTTTGCGGCTAGCTCAAGGTAAGGCTTCATTCCCTACATGTTTGATTCCGTGACGGCTGACTCAGATAGTCCAAAGTATCCTCTCTAGTTCGAATCATACTCTGGATATGTAGCTTAGCAATAAATTCCTGACATCTACAACTGCATATTTCCGACATTCCATGACCATGTTTACTGCGTGTGTTACTGCTTTCGCGTACTACGGTCTTTCCTCTCACGCTACCAAATTTAACGCACGAATAAGAGCTGCTACCAACTAGCTTCAATATCAGGATAGGAAGTATTATGGATAAGTGACACTGAACTCCACGAGGTGTTACGCACTGACCAGCAGCTCCAGTGATAAGTATCCCATCTCCCGCGCCAGTCGGCCAATGCGACTCACTCATGTTTTCAATATTCGAATTTCTGTTGCGGGCAAACCGCTCCGCCTCTTACGCTTCTTTGAACGCCTCTCAATCAACGCTCACGGATACTGATGAGCCAGAGAAGGGCGCCGACAAAGGCGATGTGGTGAAATGCATTTCTTACCGCCACGCAGTCATACTCTACATTTCGAATATTCTTCTCGCAATCTTGCTGGTAGCCTTGCTTTTCTATAGCTCGATATTTTCCAAGTCCCCCAAGCTGGGATCATACGAGAACGGATTCACAACTGAAATCCGTGAGTATCATCTATACAGGGCTTCATAATTGCACATTCAAAGCTAATAGTGTCGAGTATAGAGCCTGACCACAATACCCTAGCCTTGGAGAAGGTCAAATTCTATGGCGGAATCCTCATTGGCGACAATGGAACATACTCGCTCAGTCATAAGCCCGGGGAGCCTGACTACTTTGGCCCTCCCGGCCGTGAAACTGACCATGCTTGGGGCAAGATTCTGAAAGGTTCGACAGCAAAAACGGGTAACATTGCGAATTAAAACTAATACTTTTATTCAGATCGATTCATTGGTGTGCTTCCAAAGGATTGGCCTCCGGACGCGGTTGAACTCAACTATGAGGACGATTTGGTAAAGGGAAAATGGTGGTTAGAGTAAGTGGGCATCCTCATAATTACAAGATGACTATGGAGGGGCCGATCCGTTGACAATGCATGTGGATATGTTTGCAGGACTAGCGGTCTTCATGCTCTTCATTGCTTAGTGGGTATCCTCATAACAGAAACTGGCATTCATCATCTAACTCAGCATTTGTAGAATTACATTCGGAGGTCATTCTCACCTGAATACTACACCAACCATCAGGATAAGCCAGGCCAACCCACGATAGAGCCCAAGACGCTCAGTCACTCAATGCATCTTAGTGAGTTCTTCAATACCAAAATTCTTTACACTACTAACACGATGTGCGAAGAGCATTGCATGGAGCAGCTTCGTCAACATCTGATGTGCCAGCTGGATATGACTCCCACACCGAGAACCTGGCGTGCCGGAGGACATGTGCATCACGCGGATACTGACCAATGGCACGTCTGCAGGAACTTTGATGCGATGAGAACATGGATGTATCCATTTCAGGAGTTCTATGAGTAGATTCTGATAAACTGTGTTAAGTTGGAGGCGTATCTTAAGAGTTAGAGTTCACGTTTTAATAGCGCTAGATTTGCGTATAAACTAGTCATTCATCTACCTTATAGAAACACATGCACTAGCGCTACTTTCAATATAAAAGCATAACATTTGTGAGAGGCTTTGCCATGTACACCTTCATCAGTCAACATGTTCTCGCAGTCATTCCTGTTCCTTACCCTTCTCAGCGCCCTTGGTGCTTACGTCCTCAATGACCATCTAAAGCTCAGCGGATGGAGTATCCCACAATGGGTTCCATTCGCCCACCCCAGCCCAGCCACCTACGTTTGCGAAACACCCCGCATGAAGCCCCATTTCCTCTCCTACGACCCAATCATGGTGTACATCGAGAACTTCCTCACACCCTACGAAGCCCAGCACCTCAAAGCCCTCGCGTGCGTCCCCCCTCCCCACCTCCGCTCCCCCCACTCTTCACTAACCCACCCGGAGCCTCCCCCACTACCACACCTCCGTCATCCAAAACAAAGCCACCCAGCAAAAAGACCAACACGTCGAAGCCACCACCCGCAACAGCCAGACCGCCTGGCTCCTCTCGCCCGACCCAGTCGTCGACTGCGTCCGCGCGCGCGCGGCGACCTTCCAAGGCTTCGCGCCGAACCGCAGCATGGACGCGCTCGCCGCGGTCAAATACGATGCCGGCCAGCAGTACCGGCCGCACTACGACTGGGACGTGTTCAACGCGCGCGCGGCGGATCGGCGGACGAGCTTTTTTGCGATCCTCGAGGCGAATTGCTCGGGGGGCGCGACGAGGTTTCCGGAGGTGAGGAATACGGCGTGGAGGAGTCGGAAGCCGTGGTGTAGGGCGGGGTGGGTGGAGTGTGGGGAGGAGGGGGAGGGGCAGGAGGAGGAGGGGTTGGCGGTCAGGCCGGTGGTGGGGAATGCGCTGTTTTGGGTTAATTTTAGGGAGGATGGGAGTGGGCATGAGGGGACGCTGCATGCGGGGATGCCGGTGGTGGAGGGGACGAAGATTGGGTTGAATATTTGGACGTATGGGAAGGTTAAGGCGCCGGAGTGATGGGGGGGTTACGATGTTGTGAGATGGTTCTGTATTACTGAAACGATTGCTTTCTTTGACTGCAGTGCTTGAATAAGAAAAAAACAAAAAAAGCAACTTTCCCGATATTCTCCATGACAGCCTCTCCCATCAGCTATCACGTCCGGCTTCTTCATTAAGCTGCTTGACCCTTCTTTCCGCCCACACCTCCGTGAGGTCGGCACGGGTATGCATGAACTTCTGCAAAGCGCCCCAGTTCCTGCACGTGTGCACTACATCTGACTGGACGAAGCTCCGCCCATGGCCCTCATACCAAATGACAGGTATGGGAGTCAGGTCAGCGTGACACATCAGCTGCTGCCGAATGTGATCAAGACAGTGATCGCGATGTCCCCTCTCCGGATACTTCATCTTCCCCGGTCCGAAATAGTGCTCGCGGTCGAGCATCCGGCGCAACTGGTCGACACAATGCAGCGTATGGTAAACATCGAGGCCCATGAGGTAGCCGACGTTGGAATGGTTATGCACCTGATGCGATGGTCCGAAGGTGGCTACGGCCTCTTCGTCCGTGATGGTGAAGTAGCGACCCTTGAGCAACGTTTCCCACGCCTCATCCATGTCGTCATTGGGCGGTCCGACGTACTCAGGCTCGGATGGGTTGTGCAGCTTGTAGCCGGTGCCGTTGTCGTACCAGCGCGGTCCGCCCCAGAACATGACGGGCTCTTCCTTGATCAACGGCTTGACGGGGCCGAACTCGGTCTTGAATCCGGCAGAAAATGACCCGGACTCGGGAAAATGGGACGCGTGAAGTTTGTCCCGGAAGACGAGAAGCGCTGTCGTGAAAGCGAAGAAGGCTGCGAGGGTCCAGCCCGTCCATGCTGCAAGTTGTGCGGAAGGCTGGGCGGTTTCCTTTCGATACTCTGGTCCCTCAAGGTCCTGAGGAAGGCGTTTGTATCTCTTAAAAAATGAGAAGGCCATGACGGTATGTGTGTAGTTTGACTGTAGTGGAGACGGCCGCGGTGTGGAAAAGAACAGTAAATGGTGAATGATATAGTGGATCTGACACAGTTAATAGCTGCTGTCCACTCGAGTGGGGCGTCTTGCGCGGGACCCGATAGACCAGCCCCTGTAGTACAAGTTCTGGGCAGTCCCAGCACCAGCTAACAAAGGCATTGAATGTCATGATAACTACTCTAAGTTTCCGAACATTCCTCAATTCAAAGAGCAAAGCTAACTTCGTGTTAAGGCCATTAATGCAATGGCCGATGGTGAAAGTCATCTTTTGAGAGGACAGGTCATAGCGACATCTCTTGGTCTTTAAATGGTCTCATGCAAGAGCAACAAATATAAAAAAGCGTGAGTCACTTTGGGGTATATATATTTCATAAGCTTAATCATCCATTCCATGTAAACGCCGCCTTGGAAAGTGCATCGACCAGAAACTCATGTCTTCCCCTCGTGGGAAGGACGTTGGCGTTCCTCATCTTTTAAGGGTACCCTCGGGCTACGAGGAACAGCCAGAGTACCATTGTATCTGGACTTCGAGAAGTCATGCAACTTCTCGAAATTCCGACATGTGTGGACTTGCTTAGGGTTTATATATTGGCCGCGGCCAGCGTGCCATTGGCTCGGTGAGATGACGCTCGTACCTTGGCACATAATCACTTGTCTTAAGTGGTCGATGCAGTGTACTAACGTACTGTCAGTCGGAGTTGAGGTTTGATATGTAATAGACTTACGTTGGTGGACCATCCCTCGATGTTCCTCTTCAGGGTAGTAGTCGCGACGCAGTGCTTTCCGCAACTGGTTCTGTTCCCGGATTGTTAATCTTACATTCGCTTCTAAGGATATTGATGACGTACCAGACAATGTAGACAGTGGAACATGTCAAGACTTGGCGGCGATGTTAGTGAAGGGCAGATATCAAGAGAACAAAGTGCACATACGTTCCTGTCCATCCACCCCTGATCCTATCCCGGTACTTCTCCCAGTCGGCATCCCAAAGCGCTTTAGCCTCAGCCTCGGAAACGGAAAAGTAGTGAGACTCTCCACCTATGATGGCGTTCCAAGCCTCATCAATTTCGGGACTCGGCTCTCCAACGTAGCGAGAAGGCGCAAGCAATTCCTCGCCCTCGGGCGTGAAATCGATGCCGCCAGTAAAAGTCATTTGTCGTAGCTCGAATCTGTCAGATGGCGCTATTGTTGTTAGTCCTGAGTCATGATCCGTGGCCCTGATTTTACCTACTGACGATCTGCTCTTCGATGAATCCGTTTTCATAGGAACCCTGGGCGCTCTCGGTAGGGCGTTTTGCAACCCAAGTGCCGAGGGCGAAGCTTAGCATACTACAGAGGATCAACACCACGCCGGCGATGGCCACCCTCATCGCGCTTCCGGTCGTGCTGCGTGGTCGCGACGAGACGGAATCGTCATCTGGAAGGAGATGTTCTTTCGAGTTGTCATCTTCCACGACTGCTTCACCCCTTCGCGGCTCGTATGCAGATAGGACGTTCTTGAATCGGGTGTTGAAAAGAGATGCCATGATTTTCAACCATGCAAAGTCCACTGTGATGAATGAATGCAAGCATTTTAAGCCGCTATAGTCCGACATGGCGGATGCTTTTCAATTCGCCGGGATTTCATGAGGCAAGTGCCCCTTCAAACCGGTGTGGGGCTGTTGCGGTGCACGACTCATGGGCTGCGATCAACAGCACTCCGGCGCACAGCATCCCAAGCTTTTCGGCGGAGAGTCATCGGGCTCTATTCACGATGACTCGCTCATAAAGACAAGGAATGATCCGGTTTTCTCTGGGACTATTTTTCCCAATTTCCTTTTGTCCAATGACCTGTGTCCGTGATTGTCACAGCCAATCCGGCACCTCTGTTATCCTTCAAGTAACCGTCAGCAGATCACCAGCAGCGATATGCATCGCCGCTTTCTAGACTACTGCTATGGATGAAAGATTATTTTGATACTCTTACATCTATTTTCCTATTGTTGCTGCATGTTCGAATCTCTCGCTTCTGCTCTGTTTTCTCTCACCGCTAAACCTCAGCCAGGCACTATCAAAGACTGCATTCAAAATGATTAGTAAGGGAGCACGGTTGGTGCTTGCCTCTCAAGTTATTGCAGTGTTCGTAAATGGCCTGGCCAAGTCGTTACAGTCTACGGGTGTCATAGACACGGCTCAAATCCTCCAGGGTCGCATGTTCATCACACTCGCTGTTAACAGTCTGGCTTTACTGTCCCGTCACCCGGATGAGCTACCGCTCGGGACCGAGGATGTGCGAGATCTGCTTACTTTGAGGACCATTGGAGGAATGTGTGGTGCAGCAGGATTCTATTGTAGGCCCTCGTTTTCCCATCTCCAAGTGCTGAAATTTCAGGCTCATGTAACACTGCGTTTTTGCAGATTCCATTGCTTACCTTCCTCTCGCCGATGCAACCACGCTGAATCTCCTTGCTCCCTTGGGAGCGAGCATTGTGGCCAAGATCTTCACGAACAACAGATTTGGCCCGGCCTCTATTGGCGCTGCGATCATGTCGTTGGCCGGCGTCGGACTCATCACCAAGCCGAGATTTGTTGCAAACCTGTTAGGTACTGACACGCTCTCTGCTGAAAGCCTTGGTGGTCACAACACCTCGATGGAAAAGGGAGTGGCCTTTTCCGCGCTCGGAGTTGTCGGAGGGATAGTGAGCAGCTCGCCTTCCATTTTTGACACAGTACCCCACTAACAGTCTGAATAGTGCTCGTACACTTCGATGGCCAAGATAGGAACTCGGGCACATCCTCTGGCAGTGACGAACTGCTTCGCTGCCGGCGTGTTGCTCGTGACCACTGTATGTTTCGCCGTCGTGCCCGGATTTCACTTCAACTTCCGACTCGGCTTGATGCAATGGTTGATGCTTATGGCTCTGGGATTTTCTGCATCCGTAATGGTGAGTCAGCATTTGGAAACTCCTCTTTCATATGCTAAGAGTCTTTGGTTGTGTAGGAATATCTTATGACGGCAGGGATGGCGACAGAAGACTCAGGCAACGCGGTTTACATGATCTATTCGCAAGTGGTGCTTGCTCTTGCTGCAGACTGGTTGGTCTGGCAAGTCAAACCCGATCTTATGTCGTGTCTCGGGTGTGGGCTGGTGGTGCTTGCTTTATTTCTCGTCGCGAGGCCAGTGGACACCGACCGGAAGAAGTTGGCGAGCTATGTTGGAAGAGACGTTTAGTGCATCATCTCACTCTGAAGGAAGTGGAATTTCGGGCAAAACAAAATTGTGATGAGTTCATAATCCTACAAATGAAAAGAGTACATGTAGTTTCTTTAAATCATATGGTATCGTAACAGAAAGCCTCAGTTAAGTAGGCAACACCTTCACCCCTACTGCTGTCCAAAATCAAAGGAAAATATGTCGTCGAGAGTTTCTAGAAGCATTTCAGCTTCCTGGTCGTTGTGTACGTAGTTGAAGGATGGTAGTGAATCCTCCCCAATGGGAAGAGGCAAGTGAAGGTCCGGCAGTTCCAATTCCGTGTCTGGACTGGTAGGCTTCTCAGTTAGATCGCAGTCCAACAGATCCGTTGCTGGTAATGGCTCCGCGAAGGCATTGCCGCCGAATAAGGAGTCAGGAGAGAATGGAGTGATGTTCGTGCCAGCAACTGAGTACTCCGTGCTCGTGTCTCCGGTCGGTGAAGAGCTAGCGATACTAGAGGGGATGGTAGCTTCATCCGGAATACCGTCGTCGGCGACGCTAGTGTGCCGCTTGAGAATGTCGAAGAGAGTACTCTTGGTCTCGAGTATCTCCTCCCGCGTCCACCCATAGGCCAATAGGCCATTCAGCAGAGCACGAGCAGCGATCCCGTTACAAGCCTCAATATCCTGTGCAAGCTCCGGCATCTGCCCGCGCAGAAACTCCAGAACAAGCTGCAAATCGCTCTTACTCAGCTTCCGCTCCCACCTGCACTCAGTCAGCACAGATGGCCCCACACGAACCGCCGCCCAACACAGGAAGGAACCACAAAATGAACAGGAAATGAATACCACTCACACAGTCGACACCCCACCCCCAACCCTAAGCACCCAACCCGGCCCCGCCATCCCCAACAGCCGCGCATAATTCCTTCCCGCCTTCCTCTCCGCTTTCACCTGCTCCACCGTCGCGCATATGCCGGCCGCCTGCACCTCCAACCCCGCCGTCACCCTGCCGCGCCCCTGCGACAGCACCAGCTCGCTCTCCCGCTGCGGATCCGCCAGCAGCTGCTCCAGATCGTGGTCGAGATAGATGTGGCAGAAGCGCGCCGCGCACGCGAACTTCTCGCGGCCGTCTTTGACGCGGCGGTGGCCGGCGTAGAGGCGTTGGAGGCGCGTCGGCGGTGGTGCTGGTGCTGGTGCTGATCCGGGTGGTGTTGGGATGGCGGATTGGTGGTGGAAGGGGGGTTGGTCGTCGCCGAAGATCGAGCCGGTCGCGCGCCAGATGGTGTCGGCGAAGTCGGCGGCGGGCGGCGCGGACTCGACGAAGCCTTGGAGGGCGCGGAGGAGGTTGGGGGCGCGGGCGGATCGCGGGCCGAGGTGGGTTTCGAAGAAATGGCGGGCGGTGGACAGGATGGAAGAGGGCGCTGGTGGGAGAGTGGGCGGGGTTGTGGGGCTGGGTCGGTCTTCAGCGGGACTGTCTGGAGGCAGCCAGGGTGAGGAGTCGACGTTAGAGTCCGGAGACCTGGGGTTGACCTGGGACGTGAAGCTCGTGGTGCTTTCCGGGCTGCCCCATGATGATGGGCTGGCGTGTTGTGTCGACGGAGGTGGAGACTGAGGGAGGATACTCTCAGCAGGGCTGGCGGAGTCGGAAGAGCAGCTAGCGGAGGCTCGGGTTTCCTCGTGAAGTTTCTTTCGTTTTCTGGTCCCAGATCTGCAGTGGCACGAAGGGCTGTTGTTTAGTCCAGGGTGGGACCGAGCTTGTTTCTGTGTCGGTGGCGTCGCTGTGTGGGAGGATTGCTCCCCCAGAATTCGGCGGCGCTGCACCCGTGTCCCCCGCGCGAGAAACCCGTGCAGACTATTGAGTGCATCCTAGACCACATCAGCCGAAGGACAGCCTTGGCAAAGGCTTAACGTACCGCCGAGGCAACGAGATCGGCCGGAGATAATTGGTCCAACGCCCACTGTAGGGCCAGGATCGGGTCCGATAGCATAACTTTCGTCTTGGCAAAAGCTTCAGTCAAGGCTTGTCTGCGATGTCTCCGCGGCACTGCAGATGGCGTGATATACTTTATAGTTACAAGCTCACGTCGCTCTCCTGCCAACGGGCAGAAAGTATCCGCTCATTCCGGCCCTTCGATTCAGTTTCCTACGTTCATACTTCAGGCCGACCGCAAGCTTGTCTGGGTGTCGATTCACGTCTGCGAGCATTTTACCACGACCATCGCCGGTCAAGCTTGTCGATTTCGGGAGGCCTGATCGCTTATATCTCGTACTCGCTGAGTCGTCCACCAGTGCGCTACTCGTGATTCGGATAAGGCAGAAAATCATCACCTCGTTTGGCTTTCCCCAGGCGCTCCGCCGGCGCCCCGTCTGCGCCCCATCTGCGCTCCGCCGGAAGCACAGATAGATCTGCAGGGCAATGGCCCAAGAAGAAGAGCCTCGTTGGCAGATTGTAGAGTCAGTGTCTGTGATAAGGCAGGCTTTAAGACGCTGCTTGAATCGTGTAATGCCGAGACGGCTACGGGTAGTCGTAGATCCGAGCGGGGGTCACTAATAAGGCAGTGTTATCGCGCGAAAGAAATTAGCCCTCAGCGATTGGCTATTTGGGCATCAGGTGATGCTTGTAAATACCGCGGCCCCTGACGATCCTCCAACGAGCCTTAAAGAGTAGAGGATATGTTGGGAAGTTGAGCAAGGTGTGTTGATGGTGGAAAGTGAAAGACAAAGTCGATTCCGGCGAGAAAATTCCGGATATGTCGCTTCATAACTTGCTAACAACACATTTCTCTCCCAAACTATAGCAGCTTAGAACCAGATTACCTTGATGCACCCTAGAGACTTCTGTTCAAAACACTTGACCTCGAAAATTTGAAACCAATTATCAAACAGATAGACGTGTTCGTTGAGGCTGGATTGTATCCTCCTCAACTCTCGGAATTATGAGGAGATTGCAGATTTGCGGGAATAAACAGGGTTCATAATAAGTCGCCATTTTCCGGAAGTGATACGTTTTAGCTGGGGCATTGTCCTTACCAATTGAATTTGTAAATTCTAAGTTGAATTCTCTCCGAGCAGTTAGTCAACTACTTCTTACTAATGAACATTTCTACCATATATATTCCTACTTCGTTCTCAATTTCGACTATTCAAGTCTGTACCGCTTTGAACAGCCATCTGGGGCATCATGTTGTTCGTGAAGGTTGGCATTATAGATAGGTGTCTCGTAACGAACAAGTAATGCCAACAAATTGCGGGCTGATAAATTTCAGCAACTATGCGACTCCAGTAATGATGTCTATCTTCAAAGCACGGAAAAATATGTAAATATTCGCGAGAAAGTATCTGTAGATGTGGTGGTCTTAAAGGTGCGGGTGTTGTTTTCTTGGCTGGGCGGAGACATTGCGGAGAATGGAAGTCTTACCGCAAAACCAACGCAGGATTGCCAAGCAAATTGTCAGTCATTAACTAACAAATTTCTCAGCATAGCAGGGCCAGGATGTAGTGAGGTCGGATGCGCTTCTGATACAAGGTAACGTAGCCGAATTGCGGGGGTTGCCTACGCATCCGGAAAGGGAAAGTGAAACAAATAGCCACCAACCAATAGCATAGCGAGTAGAGACCAGGATAAAACGACAGGAGTACCCAAGCAGTGCAAAAACCCTTCTACAAAGCTAAGCACGGGAAAATTGGGTGAAAAGAAGAGGCTTCCGTATAGTGTCATACAGATCACATCGAGAGCCGAATAAAGGTTTTCAGGCATGTTTTAGGTAGAATAGCGAAGGAGAGACGAATGATGATTGTTAATGTGCAGAAAATGGTAGATGTTGAGGACATGGAAGCTGGTGCCGAGATCGGATCTCTCAGTGGATCTCTCGGTGGGTAATAGTGTGGCGTGATCGTCGCAGCACAAGCTTTTCTTCAACTGCCATTCTGTCAAATATAGACTATTTACAGATTCGCTTATCTCATTACTGTACAGCTATGTGTGCTGACAGTGTCACGAGAAGCCCTGATTCAACCTCCTTGGCTTCCTAAACTTCCAACCAGTGAGGAAACCGGAGTCAGCGAGCTGCATCATATCATCCCCGCACGTGGCTTGGCTCAGGCGTTATCGCCCTGCATAAACCCCACCACCCCGCTCTTTCCTCTTCTTTTTTTTTCCATCTCAACAGGCATCAGATTCAACGGCGAAGGAACAAGGCGGCCAAGGCACAACAGCCACGGAAACTAACCTACCAACCCGTCCAACTCCGACCGGCGCCGCCGTTCTGTTTTCCCTCTCCAAACCCCGCGTCTCCCGCCCCCACCACCATCATCGGCCCCCAACACCACCACCACCACCATGGTCGACTTCACCCTCTCCCCCAGCGAAACCGCCACCCGCGACGCCGCCCGCGCCTTCGCCTCCACCCACCTGCGCACCGCCAAATCCCTCTACGCCGCCATCCCGCCATCCCACCCAGCCGACCGCTTCCGCGCGCTGCTCCCCATCTACGAAGCAGCCGTCGCGGGCGGGCTGATCAAGGGCATGGTGCCGCGCGAGCTGGGCGGCGCGATGGGCAGCCTGGTCGAGATGTGCATCTGCGTCGAAGAGTGCTACGCGGTGGATGCGACGGCGGCGCTGACGATTTTCGGGACGGGGTTGGGGTTGGCGCCGTTGGTGAGCGCGTGGAGGGAAGGATTGGAGGGGTTTTTGGAGCCGTTTTTGAAGGAGGACGACGAGGAGGGGGCGCCGTTGGCGAGTTTGGTGTTTTCGGAGCCGGGGGGTGTGGTGAGTTTATAAGATGTCTTTGTTGTTATGGCTGAGTGAGGAGGGGAGGATGTTGGAGGGAAACCGATGCTGATTTGTGGTGGTATAGGCCAATTGGCTGGAGCCGGGGGCGCCGGGATTGCAGACTACGGCGTACTTGGATGGCGATGAGTGGGTGCTTTCTGGAGAGAAGGCGAGATTTCCCCCCGTCTGTGAACGCTGATGCTCCGGCATTGCTGACGGTGGAGCAGCTCTGGGCCACCAACTCGGCCGGCTGGGACTTCCAAGGCGCCGACCTTGGCTGCGTCGTGTGCCGCTGCACGAACAAAGAAACGGAAGCAAAAGCAACCTGCCCCGAGGATCTCATCATGGTCCTCATCGTCACGCGTGCCGACATCCAGCGCAACCCTGGAAGCTTCGAAGTGCTGCGGCACCCAGAAACGGCCGGGCACACGGCAGTGTCAGGACCGCACATCCGGTACAGTAACCTTCGTGTTCCGCAGAAGAATCTGCTGTGTGCGCCGGGAACGGGCGTCCCTATTGTGACGGGGGCATTCAGGATGTCCGCGGCCTTGGTGGGTGCTATGGGGACGGGCATTGGTCGTGCTGCCTTTGATGCTGCGCTCGAGTTTGCTAAGTCGGACACGCGCGGTGGCTCGGGGCCCATTATTAAGCATCAGAGCGTGGCTGATCTGCTCATTGATATCAAGATGAGGACTGAGACATCAAGGTGAGACTGGAACAAGATGAGCGAAGAGCATGCGCTTACTGTGATGGTGCAGGTACCTAACCTGGAAGGCTGCACAGGCTCTCACCTCCGGGCAGGGCCACGAGCTTGCTGTTGAAGCCAAGATATATTGCTCTGACGCTGCAGTCAAGTCGGCCATGGACGCCATCAACCTGGTCGGAGTTTCGGCCTACGACACCTCCCGTCCTTTTGCAGGTTTATTGAACGATGCAATGGTCTTGCCGATTTTCGATGGTGGGAATATCGGCATCAGGCGGAGAGATCTGCAAAGTCTCTTCATGAGCAAAGATTACTCACCCTGGAGCGCCAGCATCAATTGAATGCCATGAAGGAGAAAGATGGATCAAAGGCTAAGTTCATGCAGCAATTTCAAGACATATTTCTAGATTGTGAATATCTCGCTGAAAGTCTTAACACGTAACGCCGCTGTAGCGTAGACATCAGTCTTACAGTGCCCTTTCCTTCAGCCGTACCATCAGAGGCGGCTTATCCCACAGGATATATGTCTTCTGGCTCTCGGCCCAGCCTGTCGACAACGGCTCCGCTAGTTCCATGTCGAAATTCCAGAGCAGCTTCGCCAAAATCAGACGCATCTCGTGGTAAGCAAGGTTCCGCCCAATGCAGTCACGCGGCCCAAAGCTAAACGGCTTATGGACCTCGCGCCTGTCGTTGAAAAACGGAGAAGCTGGATCAGTGCGTGCGGCGGGCAGCCATCGCTCTGGCAGAAACTCGTTCGGGCGGTGAAAGTTCCGCTCGGAGTGGTAAGCGGATAGATGGTGGACGCCAACGAGAGTCTGCAGTTCAGTTCAGCATCAAAATCTCATCAAGCCTGAAACGCGGCACAACTTACATTCTCCGGAACCATATGCCCCGCAATCATCGTCGGCGCACCCGGCAGCGTCTTCCTCTGCAGCATCGACGGCACAGGCGGATACAACCGCAGCGCCTCGTCCAGACAGGCCAGCATATACGGCAGCCGCGCCGTCGCCGCCTTGAACCCGATCTCGTCCTCACTCGCAAACGCGCCGCGCACCTCCGCCACGCACTTCCCATACGCCTCAGCGTTCGACAGCAAGAACCACGTCACGCCGGCCAGCAGCGTCGCCGTCGTCTCAGACCCCGCCACAATTAACACATCCGCATTCGCCGCCAGTTCGTCATCGCTCAACCCCTGCGGCTGGCCCCGCGCCCGCATAAAGTGCGTCATAAAATCCCCACGATCCTTCTGCTCCGCATTCTCGATCCTTCGCATCGCCAGCGCCCTTGCCTTTGCCTTATGCGCCGCCCCCACGCTCTTCATCTTCCGCGACCCCAGCACCATCAAGATCTTCGACAGCAACGGACTCATCGCCGCGAGCGACAGCACGGGAATCAGCCGCAGCGCCGTCGTGATCTGCTCCAGCCACTGGTTCGTCCTCCCCTCGCGCAATCCGCCGAACGACTCGCCGTACGCCAGGTCCCCGATCAGGTCGAACGTCGTCACCGCGTACCAGCGCGCCATGTCCACCGCGGGCCGGCCCGTCGTTGTGGCGGCGGCTTCCCGCAGCTTCGATACGAGCAGGTCGACGTAGACGGCGATTAGCGCCTCCTGCTGGCCCAGCGCGGCGGAGGAGAAGGCCGGTTGCATGGCGCGGCGCAGGCGCGGGTGGTCGTGCGCGTTGGCCGTCATGATGTGCCGCTCGCCCGGCACGTCGACGTGTGGCTTAGGTAGCTCGGGGTGGCCGTGGCCGTAGATGTCTTTCCAGGCTGCGGGGGAGATGAAGGAGATGGTGTCATGGCTGATGCGGACGGTTTCGCCATAGCGGTTGTGGAGCTGCTGGATTCGGACGTCGAGGGTGCCGCGGAAGCGGGCGATGTCTGTGAGGAATGGGAATGCGATCCATGGCTTCGGACCGGGGAAGTGGCGGAGCGGGTGGAGGTAGACGTTGTAGACGGCGGTCCAGAGAGTGTGGATGAGGTTGACTGCGATTATGAATACGATGGTGAAGATGATGGTGTGGGAGGACAAAAGGCGGGACACGAGGTTTCGCAGATCCAACGGAGGGGCATTGTGCGTGATTGAATCCATTATGGTGTTCGGCGAGGCCGTGATAGCCCGTGCATCATAGGTGATAAGTGGAGAGTTGTATTCTTTCTTATACGCTTAGCTACTTCGGGACCCGGGATCCCCTCGCACCGACAGGGCTGAAGCCGGTTTTGTGGTGATCGGAGCCCGGGATGCTGGCGAGCCGGCAACGGCAAGCGATTTAATAGAGCATACGAGTCCCGAATACGAACCGTGAACTCTAAATATATACTGCCAGTACCAATCTGGCGAACGTTTAATTACAATCTTTAAAACACGAGCCTTTAGCCGGAACAGGAAGTGCGAATCCTTCCATACTATCTTGATTGGTATTCTTTATTCTGTTTTCAAAACGCCCGAGTTCCACCCGAGACCGCTTGCGCTCGCCTTCTCGTTCGAGGTTGGTCTTTTTTGTACTCCGACAAGATCAAGGTAAGTAAAGCTGTTATCCGGATGCAAGTATTTGCATTCACATCGTTTATTCGAGGCGAGACACACGCATGAACTTCGCTAACGCCGTTGGCTTACTAATGAAACAAGCCTCGTATATACCCGCCGTACCCTCGCTAGGGCATTGAGTCAGGTCCAGGGCTGCCTGTCACGCCAGTAGCGAAGGGGGCCACCCAAGCTTTATTTGTTATCTCATAGCTGCTTCCGCTCTGTCCGAATCACACACACACTCTTTTCGAATCACACACACTCTCTTTTCGACTTCACACAACAACATTCATTCGCTACGCCACGACACGCTGGCAAACCTGCCAATTGACAATTGCAAACGTCCCGAGAAAGAGAAAACTTCGATACACAGCCTAAAATGAGTAAAACGGCAACCAGATTCACGGGGTCCATCTCTGTAAGTATTATTACTACCTTTCATTACGCCTACAGCTTGCGAGACTCAAATAATAATTTGCCAAAAAGCCCTCTGTTGTTAGGCCCGAATACCCAGATATCCTATCGGAGCAGAAAGCTGTTGGCGTCAATGCCAGTTGTTACTCTATCGGAGGATATGCATTGGCTTCTTTGGACAATTTGTCCATCTCTTCCAGAGGATCTACTTCATCGGCTTTGATGCATAGAATGCATAGAGTCTTGATCAAGCCACTTCCATCGTTAAGGGACCTGTGCAGGGTTAGTTGTTGAATTCATTGCAGAGTCCACCAGCTGACTGTTTATTGAACAGGCATCCAAACCTGCCGACGAATCTGGAAGACGCAGGCCAAACAGCATCACAGGTCTCCCGGTGCAGGCACACCGTGGGACCTCCCCGGCGTTTGAGAGCCACTCACCTGATTCATCATTCCTTTTGGAGGTTGGGATTATCCACGACCCAACGCAAAATATGCCATACTCCTACAAGAAAATCACTCAGCTCGCGGTTCCGATGGCAAGGGAAACTCCCAAGAGTATGTGGATTAATCATAAAGCCCCTCCCAGACACTGACCAACAATTACAGAGGCGCAAAATAAATCCCCGTTTCCTCACGACAGCAAGCGCCATTCAGCACCAAGTCTCGCACCTCCGACCAACCCGAGCCTTCCCAGGCGAAGCAGTTTCCGCAAATCTGACGCACAGCGGAACGCGGCTTCTCAAGCTGGTGAACGATCTCGTCCCGCCTCCCGCCGCGTCGTGTGGTGGTCGACAGGCAAGCTAGGCGCGCTGCATAGTGGGAAGCCCAAAGTCCACTTCAGCCCGGATGTGAAATGCCACGAAACCTGGTCAAGAAGCGATTATAGCAGGCGGGGAGAAGCGCTCACATGTGACAATATCACGCCTGAGCTCGCTAGAGCCATCAAAGAAGAGGTCAACTCATTCAAGAGGGTGGTAAGGCGATCCCTGCTCTTTGAACTAAACGCATGCTTACAATGCTACAGGAAATGCCTGTTCACAGGTCCTCGATATGCTACACGAATTACTTTGTGTGATGTTAATACGGAACATGACATTCTGAAAAGAAAAAAAAGAAAAAGAAAAGAAAAGAAGAACACGACACGCTGAACGCACCGGCTGAAAAGGGGCAATTGTAGCATCACTACCCACCTCCACGACTCAATATCATGGATGGTTTGCTTTCCTTTCAGCCAGCTCCGCGGCGGCCTCCATCTTGCGAACTCTTTCCAGATGGCGGGCGAACCCGCCCGATCGAGTCTCAGGTCAACCGATGATGCAACCTGTATTGAGGTTTCAAGCTGCTCTACGAGGTTCCCCCGATCGGTAAAAGCCGGGATCTACCTCGAGGGTAGCCAAAGCTCAGTGAAAATAGAACGGGAACAAGATTCAGTCTCCTCAACTCTGGACATCGTACATCCACTACGGCGGTTACCCTACTATGGCGAGAGGAATCGGGGGGACAGTCAAAATTCGAAATGATAATAAGATGGCTTCTTTGAGGGTGACTTGAAGTGATGGGAGCGAATCCCCATTCGGAGATGATAGATGATGGTTATCTTTTTCGTCCATTGGCGACCTAAAAAAATTTAGTAGTCTCAGGATCCTACAAAGGAGTATCGTCATATCAAATGTGCTTTCATAGGAGCGACATATAGGAACAACTGTTACTTTTCCGGCTAAGCCTAAAGAGAGCCGGCTAAGACTAAAACGGGAAATGCCGAACAGTGGGGTATATCGATATCATGCAGGGGGGGTCACATACCCCGCTCTCGGTTCAAATCTATCACTTCAGTTGTCGATCCACAATATTGGAAACAGCGATATGCGGTATCACTGCCCTGTCATAGGTCCGGCGATAAGTAATACTCCACTCTAGCCGAATGATGTGGAAAGTCTCCCAAACTTCTTCCCCCGCGCGCACGGCTCTACTTTACGAAGTTGCTACTGCCACCTCTGGGCGGCCGCTTCGAGCATGATAAACTTGCGCCATGAGCTATATCTCTCAGCTGCCGATCTGCAGCGAAGCCCGGGCGGATGCTGGACCTGCGTCGAGCAGGGGCTTCTCTGTGACCAAACGCTTCCTGGTAACGCCCTTCCTCCAGCACGGCAGGGGGGAAGTGTATTGATAATTACAAACTCGCAGGCTGTCTGACATGCACTTCATCCGGCTCGCCGTGTGCAGGCTATGGCTTGCGGGTGCGGTGGCCTGATTCCTTCTCCCGGCGAGTTGCAGATTTGCGGAGCAGAGGCTGCCGTGAGTAGTTTCCATTCCGTCTTAGGCTGAGAGGAGGTGATGGCATGCATGAGTTTACGTATGGCTGACAAGGAATCTATCTATCCTTTCTTTCATTCAGAGACTGATACCGCTTCACCGCTTGTGCTGGCCCCAGACCCACTGGTTCAATACTCCGCTGCTGAGCGGATGCTACTCCGGCATTGGACAGGTGCTTGAAATATCTTGACCCCTCTGCAGTAGTTAAATGCATTCCTGACATGATGCACAGATGAGATAGCCAGAATAGCACTCGCCGTTGACTACGAAGGCAACGGCTATCGGCGGCTGGTGGCCATGTGCGTCGAGAACGAGGGTCTCCTTAGCGCTATGCTTGCCGTCGCTGCTAGCCATCGAAGCAAGTGGATGAGATCAACCGACACGGAGTCGAGTAAATATGCGCGGAGGGCAATACGGCACCTGCAGAGCCAGCTGAAAACCCCGGCCGCTGCGAAAGGGGAGGGTGTCCTGGCGACCATGTTGTGCTTGACGTCGTATGAGGTGAGTGGCTTATGTCTTCCATGCATTGATTGCCTTGTTTGCTGCTAAATCCGGTAACAGGTATTCAACGGGTCGAGGAAGTGGATGATGCATTATCGCGCTGTAGCCGGGTGGATACGCTCTCAGAAAGACACCTCAGCGCTGGATCCGTTCTTCAAAACCTGGATCGCCATGATCGAGACGCAGATGGCGTTAAATACTGGAGCTAGCTTACTTCCTGAAATCGAATCCTGGCTCGACGTCGGACAGAGCCACGCGATTGACCCGTTTTTCGTAAGTGGCCAGGTTCTACGCCCCGTTCAATACATCACGCTCACTCCAGGCGCAGGGTTGCTCCGTTCTTCTCCCAAGACTGATGGTACGTAAATACATCCAAGTAGCACACAGAAAGCCAATTCAACCCACTCCCGCAACCACGCTGACGCCCCCCTCCCCCCCGCAGCTCAAAGCCTCCCGCCTCTCCCGCACCACCACCACCACCCCAGCAACAGCCGGCCCCACCATCTCCCCCTCCGCCTCCCTCCACCACCGCGCCTCCCTCCTCCAAGACGAAATCGCCTCCACCGCCGCCAGCCCCACCTCCCCGCTCCGCCTCTCCGTCACCATCCCGACCCACCACACCGGCGCTACCAACAACAACAGCAATAACAACAACAACACCGCCGCCGCCATCGCCGCCGAAATCTTCCGCCACGCATTGCACATCTACGTCTTCCGCGCCTCGCACCCGCCCTCATCACCCCTCGACGCGCGCGCCCGCCGCAGCGTCGACGAGGCGCTCAGCCTGCTCGCGCTCGTGCACGACGCGGCGGGGCCGCTGTCGAACATGGGGTGGGCGCTGGTGGTGGTCGGCGTGGAAGTAGCGGCGGATAGCGGCGCGCGGGCGTTCCTGAGGTCGAAGTGGGCGGCGTTGCATTTGTTGGGGATTGAGAATAGTTTGGCGTCGGAGGGGATTGTGTTGGAGTGGTGGAGGAGGTGGGATGAGGGGGGGAAGAGGATGGTGGGGGAGGGGGAGGGGGCGGGGGAAAAGGGGGGGTGGTTGGAGTTAATGAGGTTGGGGGGTGAGGAGCTTGTTCCGTTGGTTTGATTTGATTTGGGTTTGGGTGGTGGGTCTTGAGTCTGTGACTTTGTTGTAGCGGAATGAGGGAACGTTTCTAAATCGTTGCTGTGTTCTTCTTGGTAATCACAAATGTGGCGGAAGGCCAATGAGAAGTTAATCCGCCTCTCTCCGCTAAGCCGATAGCGGGACGATCTACTACAACGCTTCTCTTGTGCGGAACACTCGGCTAATGGTCTACATGTTCGAATGAAAAGATCATTGAATAAAGACAAGACAGCTGCGTTGAAATACGGTGACTGGATTTATTTGAACCGCGCATCCCCGATTTGTCACCAATAGCTCAATCAACGGCTGCCTATCAAGAAGACCCACACAATGGTCCTAATCGATGAGAAATCCAAGCTCTGTGCTCACGGCTTCAGTTTCCGCAACTGGCCCGGCCCAGGTGCGTACATAGCCTACGCTAAATGTTCCAACCCAACTTAGAGAAGATGCTTACTTATTCTCCCAAGGTGAGGAAGCCGCCGCGAGCTTCGGTCTCTCTCACGCCGTCATCGTTCCTCCAAATGTGCGAACAATCATTGTCGGTGGGCAAGTAGGCATCGCCGACGATGGCAGTGTGCCAGAAGACCTCGCTACAGAGGTGCGCGAAGCGTTCGAGCACGTGGGTCGAGCGTTGCAGGCCGCTGGGCTCGGCGAGGATGCGTGGGAATACGTGTACAGGGTGAGTAACAGAAAGAACAGGAAGAGCACACCAATACGCTTAGAACAAACGTGTGCATCTCGCTGACTACCGGCTCGAACAAATCAGATAACGACGTTTGAGGTTTCGACGCCAGGCTTGTTGGATGTTGTCTTGTCCACAGCTGCGGAGTATTTAAAGGACACGAGGCCGACGTGGACGGGAATAGGTGTTGCGGGACTTGTGCATCCGGCGCTGCATATTGAGATAACGGTGGAGGCGTATCTCCCAGAGACTGCGCAGCACAGGCTTTGATGTCTGAAGTCACTTGCAGCCTGATTCTATCAAGTGTGTGTAGTTTTGTTCAATTGAAGAAATCTGTGGCGGAATTGGCCGGACCTGACAACCAGACCTCCCCGGTCAGTGATATCATGTGGACATCAGATGAAACAACGCCGCCTCCACATCCCACGTAGTTCCGTCCCACAGAAGATCATCAGACGGCCACACCCAAGATTCTTCCAAAGTTTGCGAGTTAGGATCTCTCCCAGCTGGTGACCAATGCTGAAGCTGGGTCACTTCCTGCGATGCAGTGCTGCTTGCGGAATGATGCTGGCGGCGCTCAGCCTGGCGCGGGGTGCCAGAAGGCTGCAGCATGCCCGACTCCTCCTCACCGGAAGACACGAACTCTTCCAGGTCATCTCGGTACTGGGATATCCAAGCGTCGGTCACAGTGATCTCTTCAGTTGCGGGCCCATGTTCTCGCGGTTCCGAGCTTTCGATCGCGATCGTCGCTTCAACGTTATCACCAGAAGCAGCAGTACTGTTGAAACCGATGGCACTGTCCGTTTGAAATGTCATTTGGACAAACGGAGCTTCGGAAAGGTCTTGGAAGCGGGCGAAGTAGTTGCGGAAGAGCTCTGCGGAGTTGCGGCCCTCGGCGTATTTGGTGTGCGGATCAACCATGTCCATCAGCTGCTTAAGCTGCAATGACATTAGTGTTGCTTGTTCAAGATTGTAGGGGAGAATTATACCCAGGACTGAGCGGGCTTGTATATATGGCTCATAGCAGTCAACATCATGCAATTGATTTTAAGGTTTTCGAGCGCTTCGGTACGCGTAAACTTCTTCTGCTGACGGATCGTGTGGAGATGGACGATGGAGCTTTGCAAAGCGCAGTAACCAAGAAAAGGCGGCTATGGGGATGTTAATACTATTGCGCATTTGTTCTCCAGGAATACTCACCATCAGGAATTGTCCGCAGGCCATAACATCACTGCAGATGAAAGAAATGGCAGTGGCAGACGCTCGCAGCACGGATAGCCTGTCTTCGAGAAAGATAGCTGGTGCCCCGGGGTAGTTACAGGTTGCCTCCAGCTTTCCGGAAGAGCTGATGGTTATCGGCAGGAACGACCGGCTCAGTAGGATGACGGCACAATGCCATGCTAAAGGCCAGAACAGATACTCGCCGGCCCTGCCTTCCCCTCGGTCCAGCTCGCGCATGAGTCTGTCGGAGTTGAAGCGGACACGGTCGGACTGCCGGATCAAGATGGCGTCCAGCTCCTTCTTCAGGCCCATGAAAGCAGAGTCGGGCTCCCAGTGTCGCATCTCGGAGAGCATGGTTGCAGACTGCGCCCAGAATCCTTGGACTTTGTACAGGACATGAATAATGTCAGAGCCGTCACTGCACGGGGAGTCATCTGAGATCCCGAGTCGCATGTGATGATGACTCTGGATTTCTGGGGTGAAGGATGACGAGGAATGGCCGAGAGACAAAGTGCAGGTTGTAGTTTTGATATAGTTCTCGACAAGTTCGACAGTAACAGGATCGGAGGGCTGTAGCGGATGACGCAAGGCCAAAACCTGTAGCAAAGCTCTTGCAGATGCTGGTTCGGAAGGATCGTTCAGCAAGCAATGCGATTCACGTTTTTCTCAGAGCATACGCACCAAGATCAAGCCAGGCCTGAGCACCATTCCCACGGCGAAACTCGACAAAAGAAAGGATGCAGTTAGTGAAGATTTTAGCAAGAACGTCCTCTCCATGACTTTCAATGAGACCCTGCCGAGCCTGCGAGGCAAGACCATATTCAGCGGAAGCGTCGTCGAAAGCCAGGAGAATTCTTGAGGTGTACCGGGCAGCGGCGGCGTAAATCGCAGAGAGGAGGTAGTGGGGACACTTTTGCGCCTTGATCCAGGACCAGATAAGATCGATAGGGGCCATGCGGTGTTGCTGGTTGTTGGCATGCGTCTGGAAAAGCTTTAGTAAATGATGGTGCTTGGCTCCGGTAAGACCACGACTGTAAGCACAAGGTTCAGCAATCATGTAGGGTAGTGAGGTTAGGACTACAAGTAACCTACAAGTGTGGAAAATCATTTTCTAGGCCTTCATGAGCATCGAAAGTTCTTGGAGGCAGGATTGAGTAGGGCAACGGATCTGCCTGTACTTGGATGGCACTCTCTTCCTGTGGTGAGCGTGTGCAAGTGCCGGAGCATCTTTCTTCTGCAAGTACAGCCGTCTTCTCAAGCCTTGGACCACGCGGGCCTCTACGTCGTCTGTTTTTGTCAAAGACACAATCGAAAGCGTGTGTCTGACAAAAGGTACACGGAGCTACACCGCTACACCGTGACTGAAAAGATGCGATCAGTCGAGTTCGAGAATATGGGCAGGCTTTTTAAGAAGATATGGCTCACCTTTCTTTTCCGACAGGCTTCACATGCATACGTGATCTTCTTTCCATCTCGGGACATGTGGGGCATAAAAGAGGTCTCCGGAAATGCGCACGGGCGTCCAATCAAGCTACTGATTAAACGTTCGGCGCGGAGTTGTCCCAAGACTTTGACGAATATGATCGCGCATTGCCCATCATGAAGAAAAGCCGACACTACATACCACGAATCACCCTTGCACGTAGTGAGGGGTAGATACGAAGGATGCGGCATACCTTCCTTATCAGCTTGTAGGCCCTCCTATTTAGGTATCCTGACTCGACGCGGTTTTCCCGTACCCCACTTTTGACCAGCTCCCCCTCAACGCCAATCACTTTTGCTCATATGTATCCAATCAAAGTCACCTCGCAAGTCATGTTATCATTCATTCATCGCTGATAACATCAAAAAGTATTGTCTGAGGATGTCTACCTTACGAAGAGATAGACTGGTGTCCTGTTTTTCTCCAGTGAGTCCTTAAGAAATTTTAGTGTCGAAGAAGATAGATTGCAAGTGAAACCCTCGAATGAAAGAGTCTTCGGTTGAGACACATAATGAACGTTGTGTGAGTGTATTCTCAACTCGCAGTAGTGCTGAAAAGAAATCTTATAGGTTGGGCGATCGTGAAATGAGTGTGAATTGGCATGTTGAGCAAGAGGAAATATCGCTTGGGGCGAGTATTTATCCTCTGCTATTAATAAGCTTCGGCCCAGGGTTGCCAATGGTCCTTCTGGCTTGGTGCACGATTAATGCTCCATCATGCAGCCCATGGCGGGCGCGCAGGCGGACTGGCGTTTGGCCCTGTTGCTTGGATCTGCAAAAAGAATTGGGCCCCAAGGCTATTGCACACCTGGGTGACAGAGTTTACCGCGTCTTCTATATGCTTTACTTCATCCGCATAGCACGTCATAGAGAGGTGCTTGAGAGAAGCATGCCGAAGCGACTTCAGATATTCTTCCACCTTCTCAGACAAAGGAAGGAAATCCCATGGACTATTCTCCCACCAGTCAAAGTCAGGACGCAAAGACAGCGTTTCCAGTGAATCCGGGAGGACACTAGATAGTGCCACGGTCTTATCACCATGCCAACCCAGTAGCGCCTCCGGGGCAATCTCCAGCAACTTCAGCTTGTGGCATGACCGTAGGGAGGGGAGTAGCCCGAAGGGACCATGTTGAGATCCTTCCCCACCTCCAAGTGTACCGAGATCAATCGCTGTGCAAATCCAATAGTCGATTTCCAGATGCAGACTTTCCAGTGTCGCGAAGACTGGTTTCACCGCTGCCCAAAACTCCCTGATGTCAAGATGCCCATCCACCTTCGCCATCTTAAGCCCAGGGTCGGCATAACGCACAAGGCAGAGGTCCAAGTGGCGGAGGCGAGGAACGGCCGTGATGATGTTGCGCAATGTTTCTATTTCGATGTATGCATCGTCCAAACGGAGTCGTGTAATAGTCTCACTGATGGGTAAAGTAGCGGTGCGGAGAGGGGTTTCGGGGCTTTCGTGCAACGTCAATGAAATATTTTCGAGAGAGGAGCTCCTCAGAGCAGACAACAATGCCATCTCATTGATGCTTCGCTCTCCGTGATATGGCCTCCGTACACATGAGGATATAGGGTCCGGTCGTAGCAGGTAGTCCAGAATGGAGAGTTCTCGAAGGTGCGGGCATTTTGTAATAGTTCCGGATAACGAGGAATGGTGAGTTCGATGTTTGCTTTCTGTAAAGCGGAGGTCTTGAAACCGAATATGAAGGCACCTGACTGCGTTGGCTAGCGCAGGACTTTCAGCTAAAAGTGCTTCCAGAGTACTGAGCGCTTTAGTGTCTTTGTTCTGGGAAATGTCCATGGAGATGCGTTCGTAGAGAATGGGATTTGCGCGATGGTGAATGTCCCAACAGACAAGACACAGTGTGGCGAATTCGGACTGTGAAAGGTAATTCCGAAGCCTTCTCACGAGTTCTGGAAGGAGCCAGAAGTCTGAGAAGGCGCTCTGGTGCGAGGAGGAGATCATCTTGGTGTTGTGGACATGGTTCACTTTGTTGGAACAGCTCGTATTAATAGTCTTGTCTTTGACAATGACGTGACTCATACAAGGGGTGGAGTGAGGTCTCTGAGGAATGAGGCTGAGAAGGATGGCGATCCTAGTCCGCAGGTGACGTAATCAATGACTACCCGGCAGGGCAATCTAGGGTCCCGCTTGCTCTAGGCACCAACTTGCAGGAGCCAATACCAAAACGCCGGAATTTTCTCAAGCCAATCACGCATACTTCTACCACACACTCACGTCCGAACAGCGCTACTCCACCACCCTCACCCCTCCGCCTCCCCTCCCCCGCTCCTCCTCCTCCTCACCACAACCTCCACCCCCCACTGCTGCGTAAACCACCGATTGCGAAACCCCACCCCGCGCCCCTTCTCCCACAGCTCAAAATCATACCTTAACACCAACACCGGCACCAACGTTGTGATCTCCAACAACGCCATCCACCGCCCACTGCACGTGTGCGGCCCCGCCCCAAACGCGAAGAAACTCGCATTCATCGCCCGCAGCCTGTCTTTCTCCCCAACATCCTTCTCCCCATCATCCCCACCCTCCTCCTCCCCATCCCGAGACTTGGACAACCACCTCTCCGGCACAAACGCATCCGGCTCGGCATACACCCGCGCATCCCGCTGCACCACCCACGGATTCACCCCAACCTCCGTCCCGGGCGGCACGCGCACGCCGCAGATATCCGCCCCGCTGTCCGCGACGCGCCCGAGCAGCATGCCGACGGACGGGTGCAGCCGCATCGCTTCGCGGATGACGGCGCGGAGGTAGGGCAGGGCGTTGGCGCGGGCGAAGGTCACGTTGGTACGACCGCCGCCACCGCTGCCGTCAGAGTTGAAGTCGTCGTCGTCGTCACCGAACTCTGCTCGGACTTCGTCTCGTAGCCGCGCGTAGGCGGCCGGGTGGCGCAGCAGGCAGAGCAGGACGGCGCGCAGGGCCGTCGACGTCGTGTCGCTGCCGGCGGTGATGTTGCCGAAGGCGTGGGTGTGGATTTCGCGGTCGGTGAGGGAGGATGGGTTGGTTTGCTGGGTGTGGAGGAGGCGGTGGAGGAAGGTGGTGGGTTTGGTTGGTTCGTCTGCGTCTGCGGAGGAGGACGAGGACGAGGATGAGGAGGAAGAGGAGGAAGAAGAGGAAGAGCGATACTGGCGAACCTGGTCTTGCGCCAGCGCCATCATCTCGTCCTGGCTCGCGGCGCCGGCTCCGAGGAACCAGTTGGCGACGGTGGCGTTGCCGAGGAGGAAGCGGTGCGTCCAGGGGACTTGGCCGAACTGCGTTTTGCGCGCGGTGGTCAGTCAGTTCACGGCGAAAAGGAGCGGGCAGATGCTGGCGGTGCTACTCACGATGGCCATGTAGTCCGTAAACACATCCAGCGTCTTCAGCATCCCCGTCCGATCCCCCTTCCGCAGGAAATCCAAATCCCTCCCAAACGTTAGGCAAAACACAGCATCCATAGCATACCTCCTCAGCAGCTCCCCCAGATCGCACTTCCCCCCACCACTCGCCGCCGCCGCCTCATCCAGCAACCCCAACAACCTCCCCGTCGGCCCCTCCAACCACGGCTCCATCCGCACCAGCGCATTCATCGAATACGCATTAGCAGCGTTGCGCTTCATGCGCGCGTGCAGCGCCCGGTCGGCCAAAACGAACGGGTCCGGCACCAGCCCTTCGTCGTCGTGCACGGCGGACAGCTCGTAGAAGCGCGATTTGCGGAAGTGACTCGAAGGCCCGTAAATCTGTGGGATTGCACGCGGGTCGCTAATTGAGATGAGGTTCGGCGCGATGCGCACCACGCTGCCGTATTGCCGGTGCAGGGCGAGGTCGTCGTCGTGGCTGTGGCCAAGGTAGACGGAGTACATGCGGGGGAGCGTGGAGATGGAGCGGAGCCATGGCCCGGGGATGCGGTGGAGGTTGCGGTGGTAGCGGTTGTGGAGGAGGTAGGCGGTTAGGAGGAGGAAGAGGAGGGAGAATGGGTGGCTTTTGGCGGTGATGATAATGGTTGAGAAGAAGCCCGTTGCGGCCATGATGGTTTATTTGGAGTGCGGTTTGTTAAGGAAGTTGAGTCATTGGTAAATATGGTAATGTACTCTGCTTTTGATCAGTGGGCAACATAGCCAACTATGCCCGCATCGGCACTACCAGCTTATCTCTGTCAGAGTGAGCCCAGAAACCCTATCAGCGGAAAACCACCTCGGCGGAAGCATGGGTCCACCTTGAGCGGGGCCAAACGGACTATTGATTAGACCCCGCGATAGTTGCCCGCGTACACTCCATGTGTTATTCCGCCATCTGAGGGGCGGAGATTACATGGTGCGGGGTTGTTTGGCGAGACACGGCAGCATTCCGCTCCCGCAGGGGTACTCACTTCACTTCCTTTTTCGGTTAATCAGGCAAGCCTCACTGTGGCGCGGACAATGCGTGAGGCTCATGATGAACGAATGAATGTACTGAAACACAAGACCAAACTGTGATGTACGGCCCAACTACAAGCGTGAAGACAGAGAACGGTCGAGAGCAGCATTGACCGCAACCGCCGCCTGCGTGCCTTGCTGCACCGCTCCATCAATCCACCCACGCCATCCATCCGACCAGTCCGCACTCGCAAAGAAAACACTACCGTGAGGTTTCTGCAACTCGGCGAGGTACTTCGTCGCAAAGCCCGGCTTGAAGTAGCACCACGTCCCCTTCGAGAACTCATCCTTCGCCCAATCATGGTAGACCTGCAGCGCACAACATCAGCATCAACAACCTCCGCCCCATCAGCATCGAGCAAAACTCACAAGCCTCTTAACCTCGCTCCCATCCGGAAGCACATGCCCAACCGCCTCCGCAACCCCCTCCACACCGCTGCTGCCCCCCAACCTCATGCCCCCCTCCGCCTCCGCCGCCGGCCCAAAAAACACGACGTGGCTGTCTCCCGCCGGCGTCTCCTTGTCCGCAATCGCGCACACCAGCCCCTTCCCCGGCCGCGCGAACGCCGTGTACGACACCAACTCCGGCCCCGCGACGTCCGCGTGCACCTTGTTGCCCCGGTTCGCCTGGCCGATGCCGATCGCCTCGGCCTTCAGCCCTGACAGCGCTGGCGTGAACGACACGGCTTGCAGCACGTTCAGCGGCACCGTGCAGATGACTTGCCGCGCCTGCCACCCTGCACCGCCGCCGCTGCGAGGCCGGACCTCGACGATGCCCCCATTCCCCCGCTCCTGGTCGACCCCCGCGATGGCCGTCGAGAACGCCCACGACAGCCGCCCCGTGCTCCTGGCGTGGTCGAAGATGCGCCGCGCGAGGGTGCTCTGCCCGCTGCGCAGCCGCGTCGCCAGGCCGATGTCGTTGAGGCCGGTTGCGGTGTAGCCGCCGATGGCCCACCAGCGCAGCGCGTCAAGGAACCCAATCTGGTCGAGCGGACCGCCGGCCATCTGCAGGATGATGGCTTCGAGCATGCTGCGTTCGGTCGGAGAGAGCTGCGGGGCGATCTGCGAGAGGCGGTCGGCGCAGGAGAGGGTGTCCCAGCGGGCGAGGGGGGCGTTGGCGGGGTGGTGGGGCGTGGCGAGGGGGTAGGGGAGCGTGTCGCGGAGGGAGGTGTCGTCGATGGCGCAGAAGAGGGTCCAGACTTTGGTGAAGGTGGCGGTCTGCGGGCGCGTGGGAGGTGGTTAGGAGAGGGAGGGGCGGGGGGAGGGGTGGTGGGGGGAGTGGGCGTACCTCTTCTTCGTGGGAGATGTTCGTTCTGCGGTCGCCGGTGATTAGGGTGCAGTAGTCCTCTTTCCCGCCGGGCGTCTGCGTGACGATGAAGTCGTCCTGCAGGCCGTAGAGGGAGACCTCGCGGTAGATGTGCGGCATGTGCCAGTGGATCCACGTCCCGCCCATCTCGTACGTGAAGCCGTTGATGGTCGTGTTCCAGGTGCGGCCGCCAATGCGGTCGCGGGCCTCTAGGAGAAGGACGGTGCGGCCTTGGGGGCGTTGTCAGTAGAGAAGATGTCGGGTGAATGGGAAAGGCCGACCTTGGGTTGTGAGGTCCCTTGCCGCTGTCAATCCTGCGTAGCCAGCACCGATTACGATCACGTCGAAGACCGCGGACTCGCTCTGGCTGAATGACTTTGCTGGCTTGATTGCGCCGATGCACGGCAAGCCGGTCTTGATGCCGTCTTGAGGCGTCCAGTGAACGCCTTCTGAGGTTGCCATTGTGGTCAAGAATGCAGCAGTGGGCGGTGAGGAAGACGATCGGACTTTTGCTCGCGTTGGGATTCCAGTGTAGCCTTGTAGTTGAGTGTAGGAAGCTGTGAGCCAGATATGACACAGCTTAAAATGGAAGATTGAGCGGAGACTAAGGAATTGCAAACTTACTCATCTCACGACGGCACCGCACGGCAACGGCGGGACTTACAAGAAGCGGAGGCGGCGCAAAACCTGCAGAAAATCAGACCAGAAGTTAATCCGGCGTGCCCGAAGCTTGCTCCACTGCCTCCGCATCCAAGAACTCCATACTTCGCATTGTACTGAGAGAAGCCCCCTGCATCTTCTGCCAATTGCAAAATTATTGATGTGGTCCTTTTAGGAGAGACAAAACCAATTTGTTTACAGTAGAGCAAGTTCTACTAAATGAATAATGTGTGTTCCGCTAAACTAAAGTTCTTTCCAATCCTTAAGCTACCATAGCCATCTTCTTGTCTCCAGTATTCACGATCGATGTATCTTGAGGTGACACCTGGCGTGACATAGGTGCTTCAATGACCACAATCTCAGCATCATCTACAATTTCAACCACAGGCCCAACAAATCTCCCTCGCAGATAGACAATGTACCACAATATCCCCAAAGCCAGAAAACACCCAACAATAACAGAAGCATAGTTCCTAGTATCGCATCAGCCGAGACGAACATCTCTCAAGAAATTCAGATGACTTACATATTCTCCGCCGTCACCGGCCGGTACAGCGGGAAGCACAAGAAAACGATGGTAAACACCGCCCAACCCAAAGCCACAACATTCAACGGCAAGCTCAGCCTCCCAAGCGCCCACGGCCCATACTCGATTTTCCTGCCGCTACCAAACTTGGCGGCGGTGTGCAAGCCGATAGCCATGGCGTACGTCAGCATGTACAGCGCCAGCACCCCCGATATCAGCCCGTAGAACGCCGTCGAGTTGCCGATGTAAATAGCGCCGATCGCGAGCTGCGCGACAGCAGACACGACGATGCAGCACACCGGCACCTCCCACCTCGGATGCACGCTGCGGAATGGCGCGGGAAAGGCGTCGTCGCGGGCCATGGCCCACAGCGTGCGCGCGCAGGAGCCCTGGGCGTCGATGCCGCCGACGAAGGCGAGGTAAGTCGAGAGGGAGGCGAGGAAGATGGACAGGCCGCGGTTGTTGGTGCTGTTGAAGAGGATCTGCGTGAAGGGGCTGACGAGGCCGATGGGCGAGTTTATCACGGAGGAGATGTCGCCGGAGCTGTAGAGGAGGACGATGAGCCAGGGGAAGGTGATGAAGGCGTTGATGAGGGCGGTCCAGAAGACTGTTGCCGTTAGCGTTACTGCATAGTGTGGGTCTTTGTTTCATGTACGGACTTGCTCTGGGGACGCTCTTGCGGACGTGTCTGATTTCTTCTGAGAAATGGGCGGCCGTCTCCAGGCCGCCGAATCCGAACATGGGAGTTGACAGGCCGGTACAGAAGGCTACGCCGTCGTTGGTCCAGCCGGAACTGTTGAGAAAGGTGGTGAACACATAGTCGGAACTGTGCTTATCCTTGGTAAATACGAGCATGATGATGATCGTAAGCAAATAGCCACCAAGGTGTGTGCCAATTCCTGCTGACCGTCAGTTGGATTTCACCAGAACTCTCCGGTTAAACTCACCAAAAAGATTCAGGGAATGAAGCAGCTTCACTCCAAAAACGTTCAGGAGAGTATAAACGATGATGGTGAACGCATAGATCACGTACACATGCCACCTTTCGGCCTCATACGACGATCTTCCAAGAGTGACATATGCTTGAACCTGCACTGCAACACCCATCGCACATGAAGCCGTGGCAAGCCACGCATAACAGTAGGTAAGCCAGCCTCCAATCCAGGACTGATTAAGCATTAGCAATCAATCACCAGAATTAAAAAGCCAAGACTTACGAAGAGTGCGCGATGTCTCTGCGGGGACAGCTCGGCGATCCAATGGTACTGAGCACCTGATGAGGGCCATGCACTGTTTCAATCAGTCTTGGTATCCTTCGCATGAACTCTGGGCGTTTTTTTTTTTTTTTTAGCTACCTTGCGAGCTCTGCAATGACTGCTGCAACGCAAGTCATGGCGACAGCCGTCAACACATAGCCGTATAGCAGACCCACAGGACCGCCGAGAGCTAATCCTTGCAGAAACGATGCGACTATGCCTTCCCACTTCCAAAAGTTAGCATCTTAACATAAAGGAACAGGTCTGCGTTTGACTTACGGTGCCGCTTATACAAACGGTAAGGCCGAGAGCACTCCAGAAGTTGAATTTGCGGTGGTAGACCTGCGCTTTTCCAATAGCAGCGAGCGCCGCCCGGTCATCTTCAGACAGAGCGTTGTCGATCCCTGATACTACATGGGCATGTAGATGGGGAGTTGCAAGCGAGCTTTCATGCGAACGTTTGTTGAGCATTTTGAGAGAAAATTGGAAGCAGCATCGATCACTGGAAAATTGGCCTACACCTGGACTTGCAATATGCGAATCATCACAGGCACCGTTCGGCATGCTCTCGTTGTGGAGAGCTGATAGCGAGAGCATTCCAGCCAATCAGATATTAGTCCGCCGCCGTGACGCAAAAGTGGGAGGGGTTCGGCAGTAATTCCGCGCTCAGCCAGCCCCGCCATGCTCCGCACATTGTTGCCGCTGGCCGCGTCGCTATCTAGCCCGTTTCAAGTAAACCTGAAGTTTTAGTCCCTCTGTTTATCGGACGCCGCGGATACCGTAGAGTGTGGCACTGATGTTATCATTCTCACGTGTACGATAAATATATCAATGCAATTGTGTAGCAAATGATTGATCGTTAAGAAATACCTCCATACTTTTCATTTTTTACTTGCTTCATAAACATGGGGCCCAAGAACCTCCGTGATCTCCGCGTCATCGTCGTCGGTGCTGGATTCGCCGGCCTCACCGCGGCCATCGAATGCCGTCTCCGGGGCATGCACTCGATCCTCGTCGAGTCGCACCCCACGAGCCGCGACTACGGCGACATCCTGGACTTCTCGCCCAACGGCGGCATGCACTTCGAGCGGTGGGCCGACGGCAAGGTCGTCCGCAAACTAATGGAAGTCTGCCTCAACGACACGGACACACTGGACTACTACAAGTACGACGGCACGTTGCTATTCTCCGAACCCTTCCTCTTGAAGCCCGAAGACTATTACCGACTGCTCGCCGGCCACCGCGGCGAGATGCACCAGATCATTTGCGACTACGCTGAGGAGATCGGCGTCGAGATGCGGTTCGGGCAAAAAGTAGTGCAGTACCTCGACTCGGACGAGAAGCTGGGCGTGCTCGTTGCGTCTGGAGAAGAGATACTTGGTGATGTGGTTGTTGCCGCGGACGGCCCCAAGTCGCTAGCCCGCGAACAGGTGCTCGGGCTGCCCGAGTCGAAGGTCAACTCCGGCTACGCCATCTACCGCGCCTACTACAACCTCACCGACGAGCACCGCGAGAACCCGCTCATGGCCCCGTTCTGCCGGAAGAGCCCGAATGTGGCGCGGTTGTGGGTGGGGTCGCACCTGCACATGTTCGTGTATTCGTGGAAAGAAGGCAAGGACATCGGCTGGGTCTTCACGCACAAGGTATACCATCTATCTCCCCCTCTCCCCTCCGTCCACCTGCCGGGCTGACCATCCGCCCCCAGGACGACGAAGACATCGGTGAATCCTGGTCCTACCCCGGCAACATCACCGACGCCCTCGCCTACCTCGACGCCGCGCACTTCGAGCCAACCTGCAAAGAAATCGTGCGGCAGACGCCACCAGAGAAACTCGTCGACTACAAGCTGGTCTGGCGCGATCCGCTGAAAACCTGGCTCAGCCCCTCCTTCCGCAGCTGCGTCATCGGGGATGCTGCGCATTGCCACCTGCCAACGTCGGCGCAGGGCGCGTGCCAGGCCGTCGAGGACGGCGTCGTGTTAGCCGTGTGTCTTGACAAAGCGGGTGGGGACGTGCCGCTTGCGTTACGTGTGTTCGAGCGCGTGCGGTTCAATCGGTCGCATGTCATCCATATGAGTTCGGTGTCGGTAAGGGATGACTACCACTTCCTGGACTTCGAGTCGGAATTGTTCAGGGAGAATCCGGGGATAGTATCGGTGCCGAGGCAGGCGTGGGTGCTGGATTTCGATGCGAGGAAGGATGCGGAGGAGAATTTTGAGAGGTTGGCGGGAGATGTGAGGAGTGGAAAGGAGGGGACGTTGGAGGAGTTGGCGTTGCCGGCGGGTGGGGATTTTGAGTTGGAGAATAGGGATTATTATGGGCCGCAGAAGGCGAGTCTTTGAGTACTGGGATGGAAAGCGGTGGAATCAGTATATATCAATATATTTCTCAATGATCATTACGATATGAACTCCTAAGTGGTAAAATTGATTCGAGGACTGGAAATTAAGATACCACGAAGAAGAAGGGACTATATTGTGGGCTACCTTTTACATGTTGCTAATGTAAGGTATGGATAAGATTGATGGGAAAACGTCAGCTGTCGACTGTAGAAGAAATAGCCACCGGTGGCTACTAGCAACTGACGTTGGGACAAGAGCTTCTTTACCGCTAGACACGTTGCGTTAATCAATTATTGAATCAAGCAGACAAGAGCAGTGTGTGCGGATTCAAATGAGTACACGCGGAAGATAGTGCCAAATGCAATATTGTAGGACTTCGGAGAGGTCCTGCAATACATCTTACAAAGACTTCGTTTCTTCTTCGGCCTCTTTCAGAGCTTTGATATACTTGGGCGTTTTGATGAGAAAAATATCGGCTAAGGTCACCGGGTCAATTATACTGGCAGCTAATGAGAAAGGATCCCTCATTTGATACGGTTGCCAAGCACATCAGGGTGTGAGTGACATGTCAACCTCACACCAGTCATTGTGTCAGAGCCAAGCACGTAGCGGAATCGAAATAACCTCATTACTGTTGCTCGTTGTGGACCAGGACACGGATCCCGGTCGCTTAAGCCGGATGATCTTTATGCCGGCTGATCGCTTTCCCAGGTGTCCACTCTTTTCTCCTTTTATTCATTATCCCCTTTATAAAGTTTCAGCCTAGCCCAACCTCGCGATTCTATCAAATATACTTCCTTGTACGGATGCTTGATATCGTCAAAAAATAGTTTGATGGGAAGGCAGAACTTCCCGCACCCGCCCCAACCAAAGTTACAACCCCTTTATCCCACGAGTCTCATTTTCAACCCATTCCCTTTACAATCTTCCAAATCCGACATCTGAGCTGTCAATACATTTGGATCCTACAGTCTTCACGGAGCTTACGTCCCCATTCGAACTCTCTGATCGGGAAACGATGGATGAAGTACGCCCAACGGACTCTATGGAAGGCGAATCGCAAACAACTTTCGACTATAAGCCTTTAGAGTCACCAAACGCCTTTCGAACCTTCACCCTGCTTCCAGGATCATCATCAGAGCCAGTGCAGTGCACAATCAACAACCGAGCTCCAGATGATGTAACGCCTTACGAGGCTCTTTCATACGTCTGGGGAAAAGAAACAGATCGCACCAACATTGTGTGTGATGGCAAGGAGTTAAACATCCCGCAGAATCTATCAGATTTCCTTCTCCAGTTGCGGTCTCCAACCGAAGCCCGTGTCCTTTGGGCCGACTCCATCTGCATCAGTCAAGACGATGAGAAGGAAAAAGGACTCCAGATCCGCCTTATGCGCTCTATATTCCAGGAAGCCACCAAGGTTCTCGTTTGGATTGGCACGGACAGTTCGGGAGTTGCCACGTTGGCATTCGACTTTGCTTACGAGATGTTCCACACCGAACGGCCCGAGGACCTTGAACAAACGTCAGAACATTGGAAAGCCATATCAGTCCTATTTCAACAAGACTGGTTTTCGAGGAAATGGTGCTTTCAAGAGATCGTCTTGGCAAAAGAGGCTGAGTTCAGGTGGGGCGAAGCCACTATATCCTGGGAGCATCTGGGCTGTGCCGCATCCTGGATACAGGGTAAAGGTTACGAGGCACTTTCGGAACTGCCTTCCCCTGGTGTCCATCACGCCTGCCTGGCGTATTCTTTGGGGAAAATCGGCACTGTGGGAAAAGATACCAACTCTCCGGAGAACAAGATAACTTTCCCCCACTTGATGATGCTCACTCAGAGCCTTGAGGCCTCAAAAATCTACGACCGAATCTTTGCACTCCTGGGGATCCCAACAGTTGATGTCGACGGAGACAACGGTGCGACCTTCATGGACCCGGATTACGCAATCAGCAATGAGGACCTGTTTAGGGACTTCGCTAAGAGGTGCATTGAGTCATCGAAGAACTTGGATGTTCTTTCAGCTGTCTATCACGGTAGACACATAATGCAGAAAGGAACGTGGGTGCCTCAGTGGGATGTATCAAAGCCACGTTCCATCATCCCTGCTGTTCTCGGCGCAAAGCAGTTCTCTGCTTCCTCCCACCTCGGGGAATTCCGAGCATCAATCAAAGACAAACAGCTTATTGTGCATGGCGAGGAGGTGGATAAGATTGTGAAGACCTGTGGGGTGATTCCTGACATCCCAACTCTTCGGTCTAACCCCTACCTGATACAGGACATTTGGAACACCATCATCGCATTGCCTCCGGATGTACGTCCGGATGGGAAGAGCTTGACAAAGGCCTTCTGCTGGACTTTATGCGCGGGGAGGAGTTGGCAAGGGACACTCGTTGAACGAGAACAGGAGCATCTGGATGATTTCGCCGCTTTCATCAATCAAGATTGCTTCCAAACTAAGAACACGCCGGGACATGGGGTTAAGAACACGCAGGGAAATGGGATTGCCACACGCTTTACGAAAGCTCTGGCCCCGATGTTTTGTGGTTGCTGCCGAAGTAGGCGCACTCAGAAACGTGGAGTCTCGAGCATATCCGAGGCAGCATGTGATGGAAACATGGACCACGGAAATTCAGCGCGCTTTATGGAAGCGATGCTGCCGATGATTTGTGAACGACAAGTTTTCATAACATCAAAAGGATACCTTGGTCTCGGACCAGGGTGTGTGCAGGAAGGAGACCTGGTTTGTACGCTCGCAGGTGCAACGGTGCCATTTATTCTTCGAGGGGGAGAGTCAGGTCAGTACGCTTTGGTTGGAGAGTCTTACGTCCACGAAATGATGCATCGAGACGCGGAAGAGTCTTCGACGGAAGCTGGGCCAACGGTCCAGGAATTTACGATACAGTAACTGGGTCGAATATTATCATTTTGTCCAGTCATCGATGATTGCCGATCATTGGAATGATTGCAAGCTAACCACAAATTTATCTCTATGTTTCTATCTGTGATTACTTGTCTTTTGTTGTTTGCTGAATGGTTCTAATATCTTACTATGCGGATTGAGCGCTTATGTATTTAACATTTTTTTCATAGTCGGTAATTACCCCTTTTACTTACCAGTTGTCGAGGCGCCTATGTCGGAGCATCAAACGGCGTAGACATATGTTGCGAATGAGAGAAATGCACAAATAAAAGTGACATAAGCAAAGTAAATCCATACAAAAAATGGGCGATGCGTTTCAAGTCGGTATCGGCCAATGAAAATGCAGGAGGGGCACAACCTGTCGCGCGACGATCAACAGGATTGAGGTGGTGAGTGAGTCATTTTTGAATTAGCCGACGTGGATGGCTTTTGACAATGAAGACGTCGTGGCTTGAAGATTGTGAGTCATTGTATCCTGGATAAGTGCGGCCTTTGATATTCCAAGTTGATGGCTTGACACAACAGTGCTGTGCACCGACAGCGAATCTCTGAGGTGAAAACACTATAGCTGTAGGGGTGGAGTAAGAGCTCCAAAAAAAAGTGATAGTCGCTGCGGCCGCAAATTCTTACAAAGAATCTTGCGGGTAGCCGACGAGCAGCTGGTTTATATCACTAAACATGATTCGAACGGACGGTCTGGTCTGTGGACTTAAAAATAGCCGGCGTCAAAGTAGTCATGTCCGATTGGACTGATAGCTGCGGGCTATGACGCGTCTGGCAATCCTCAAAATTAGCCCACCAATCAGGCCAAATTCAATGTGTCAAATGTGTCAATAGTTTTAGTTATTATCGCCGACAGAGCAAAACCGTTCTACTCATTAGTATAATCTGGAGCGCAGGGTCACCACCACCGAGGAAATGTAGCATAAGAAACAGAGTTGTGGCGGTACAGGCGATCGAAGATCCTGCCCGTCGGCTACTTAGTGTGACCGTTATGCCGCTAGTAACCGACCCCGATTACAGCATGCACCTGAAGGTTCCTCTGCTGCCACCAAGGTATAAGACACCAAACGATCCGTAGGTTCTGCAGATCAATTGGCCAGTGTCCTCCTCCTCCTCCTCCTCCCCCAATCACCATGCCTTCCGACCACCACCACCACCACCACCCCTCAACACTAGCCATCCACGGCGACGACCCCTTCGCCACAAGCATCGACATCGCGCCGCCGCTTCACGTGTCGACGACGTTTCGTTACTCCAACAACCCGGATGAACTCCTCTCCTCTCCGCCTACCTCCGGGGGCCAGTCCTTCGTCTATTCTCGCGTCGCAGAGCCCAACACCACGCGCCTCGAAGCCGTTCTCTCTGCCGTCACAAAAGGCCATGCCCTCACCTACGCCAGCGGCCTCGCCGCCTTCCACGCCATGATGGTCTACCTCCGCCCGTCCGTCGTCGCCATCGGACACGGCGACCGCGCGGGCTACCACGGGTGCCACGGCGTCCTCGAATTGCTCAAGAAGCTGTACGGGCTGCGCGTCGTGGACCTGGAGGACGAGAAGGCGTGGGATGAGGCCGGCTTGGGAGCGGGCGACGTCGTGCACATCGAGACGCCGATCAATCCGTACGGGGAGGCGCTGAATATCAAGGCGTATGCGGAGAGGGCGCACAAACGTGGCGCGTATCTGACTGTCGACAGCACGTTTGGCCCGCCGACGCTGCAGGATCCGCTGGAGTTGGGGGCGGATTGTGTGATGCATTCGGGGACGAAGTATTTGGGCGGCCATAGCGATATGCTGTGCGGCGTTGTGGTGGTGCCGCATAGTCGGAAGGAGTGGTTTGAGGGGATGTGGACTGAGCGCATGTTTTTGGGGTCGGTGCTGGGGAGCTTGGAGGGCTGGCTGGGGCTGAGGAGCATGCGCACGCTTGATCTTCGCGTTAAGATGCAGAGTCGCAATGCGGAGGCTTTGGTGGCTTGGTTGGATGAGATGGCCAACGGCAAGTCGTCTGATGGCGCATCGGAGGACTCGGCGGCGTTTGTCACGGCCAGCGTTGTGCACCGTATTCAGCATGCGAGTCTGCAAAAGGACGACTTTGAGTGGCTCAAGGTGCAGATGCCTAATGGGTTCGGTCCGGTGTTTGCGTTGTGGATGAAGGATGAGGATCTCGCGAGGAAGTTGCCGAGCAAGTTGAAGCTGTTTCATCATGCGACAAGCTTGGGTGGGGTAGAGAGTTTGGTGGAGTGGAGGAAGATTAGCGATCCCAGCATCGATCCGCGGGTGCTTCGCTTCTCGATTGGTGTTGAGAATTGGGAAGATTTGAGGGATGACCTTTTGCAAGGGTTCAAGGCGCTGCTTGGGAAAGACAACACGAACTAGACGTATTACTAGTTTCTAGATTTCTATAGTATTTATCTGTGGATGATATTCATCAATTGTATGTTGCTTGTCAGTCAACTGTTTCATAACTCCCAAATGGACAACCAGCGCTCTGGAATTCTTCAGAAGCAACATCCTTATACTAACTCTGAATTAGAACATCAAAGAACTTTCATTAAGTGGTCATCTAGATGGTAGCTGCTAGGAAAGCTGCTATGCCTCCCAATGCAGGGAGAATGCTTCTGATGCCGTTCAACCAAGTCCACCTCGTGAGCAGTTCCTGTACCTCCCTTTCTTCATCTACCGAAACTTGCGCCGACAAGCCTTGCCTGCCAATGTCCTCAGACTTCTTGATAAGCTTGTTGTTTGTGCCGCGCATCGTCGCGATAGTGTATGGGACGATGCCGACCGTGAGCGCCGCCGCTGCGCCGTACAAGTAGAGGGGCATGGGTGCGGCACGAGATGACCAAGCGAGGAACGACAGCGATGCTGCCGTCAGAGCGGCAATGGGCGGGTTTTGCGCCTTTCCGAGCTCGTAGTTGTACCGCCAGAGTCGCGTGAGGGATCCCGCGTTGGCGGCCCCGTCGCCTTTCGCCAAGTTGAGGGCGGGTACGGAGATGAAAGATAGAGCGGCTATGTTGCCTATGATTCAGTTAGCATAGGAGTTTCATGGTGGCTGTGTGAGAGGTAAAAATTACCAGAGAGCCAGAAGGCACCGCCGATTCCGATCGCACGGGCGACGAGAATGCTTGTTGACATCGTGAAATAGGGTTTGAATGTATTGTTTTTGAGTTTAACTTTGTCAAGGGAAGTATGGTAAATAGCAGGCTTCCAAATGTGGGATTTAGAACTTATATATAAGAGCCGGCTCTATTCCATGGATCACGCTGTCTGCAGCATCGCCTCAGCGAAACATAGGCGGGGGATGTCGGTGTTTCGGTGTCTCGGAGACCCGAACGAACCGGCGTCGGGGCCGACGACTCACTAGTTCGGATTAAGGCGAATGGTGTACGGGATGTTGGAGGTCCGTTTCCTCCGAGTCCCATGATTTATTTTCTTGAGAATCTTTGCGAAAAGACAGCGCCACCTTCACATACACTGAAAGACATCTCAGTACGGCCATTTGTAATTGGCCAAAATACCTTTGGCTCGGTGGTCAGTTTTTCTCTTCGGTGTCAACCGACAAGCAGTGTGAAGGCCTTTTCTGTGATTAAAGACAACATTGACAAACTATGGAGGTTGAAATAAACGCGATATTAAGAATCAATCATCGCACAAGCTAGCCGGACATGGATAGTTGGTCCGATGATAAAATAGCATTATCCTAGGTATCCGATCGCATTCTTATCCGAGTACGAATACTGCTGCGCCTATTCCGAGCTTGGCTGTACACGTCACCTCGAGCCGGTCGCGACGACTGCGCTGTACTGATCTCGCACTGGACTGAAGGATTTTCTCAACAGTCCAGACACACCACGCATCGATACGTCCGTTGCCCACGATGCGTAATTTTCATACATATCGAACCCGGTTCCGAAATGCGGCGATTCGACTGTGGCCGATATTATTGCTAATCGTGGTTTTGATGGGAATCGCGTCCGTGCACAACGTGCCACTGGATGTTACATCCGTCAGTCCGTTCGAAGAGGACAGGTATGTGCCGTGCTTCAAAGCTTCGGATTGGAGATCTGACGATGCTGAAGATGCCATCTGCTTCATTCTGCTCCTGATCAATGCCTCTTTGTCCGCGCCGAGTGCGGCCAGAAGAATGCAAGCCTGATCCCTTATCTGAGGCTGTACTATTGCCTGCCACGTAGCATACGGCTCTTCGCTTTCGCCTTGCTGGCCTTGTGGCTTGGAGTCCTCTTCAGGACCATGGCAATCGTAGCAGAAGAGTTTCTCTCCCCGAATCTGCGCACCATCGCCCATACGTTGGGAATGAGCGAAACGCTAGCAGGCGTCACGCTTTTCGCATTCGGTAACGGAAGCTCCGATCTTTTCTCCACATTTGCCGCCATGACATCTCACAATGGCAGCCTTGCCATCGGAGAATTGCTTGGTGCAGCTTCATTCATCGAGGCTGTGGTCATAGGATCCGTTGCAATTATCCACCCATTCTCTGTCTCCAGGATGAGTTTCACCCGAGACGTTGGATTTTTTGCTGTTGCGGCTACTATGACGATAGCCTTCATCGCCGATGGTGAGCTGCAAGCTTGGGAGTGTGGAAGCCTGGTGGCCTACTATGTCTTTTATGTTGTTTTCGTTGTCTCCTGGCATTGGTACGTGTCACGGCGCCAAAGTGACAAAGTTCCTTTGGACACAGAGTCCAATTGCTGCCTCGGAGATGACGAAGTGACACATGAGACTACTGCTCTGCTGCAGCGCGACAGTGCATGGTCTCATCAAGACCAATTGTCATCCACTCTAGACGATGCCGTACACCCACAGGATCAAGCAATCACAAGCCCAGACGATACCGCAGCCATAGAAAGACATGAAGATCGAGATAAGAGCGGAGGCATTGACTCAAAAACATCTCGGTGGAGGAGCATCTGGGGGAAATTTGCAGGAGGCCTCATGTTACCCATGTGCTATATCCTGCTTTTGACAATTCCGTCATGGGAGTCGCATCCGGATATCATCGAGGTGGAGCAATCAACGGAAGTCTTCATCGAGAATGAAGTACAAGCACCGGGGCAGGATGCAACTGCTGCGGGCGAGCCAACACCAATATCTCAGGACAGAGATGATATGGAAACCATCTCTCTTGGGGCCGTTGATATCCCTCCTAGCAGCCCGGTCATCCCGGTGAAAGTGGAATTGCCAGTTGCGTCCCATGAAGAATGCAGTCGCATGCTCGTTTGCATTCAGCTCGTACTGGGGCCTCTCTTTTTGGCCGCCCTCATCTGGGCAAATTTCTCCAACGCCTTCAACTGGCAGGACCTATTTCGATACTTCCTCCCTTCCATCTTCTTCTCATTCGTTTGTTTGGCAGTTCTACTCCGAACGACATCCTCGTCCTTACCACCTGCTTCCCGGGGGCCGCTCTGCTTGTTCGGATTCATTCTGTCCGTCGCTTGGATATCCATGATTGCGTCGGAGCTTGTTGGCGTGCTGGTCACATTTGGTGTCATACTGGATGTGAGCGACGCTCTGTTGGGATTGACTGTATTTGCGGTGGGGAACTCGTCCAACGACCTCATCGCCAACACCAGCGTTGCCCGCCGTGGTCTTCCAGTCATGGCTATGAGTGCTTCCCTTGGAGGTCCAATGTTAAACATCCTCCTTGGCATTGGTATCGGTGGTCTGTTCACCATCTTCAAGGATATGCCGAAAGGTTCTCCGGGATTTCTCATTCCACGCGGATCGTATGCCCTTAACGTTTCAGCGACGTTGCTAATTAGTGGTGCGACACTTTTAATGGTTCTGGTTGGCCTGCTCTTTGTCGTGCCGTTCAATAACTGGCGTATGGATAAGAGAGTTGGCTGGGGACTGATTGCACTTTGGAGTATCAGCGTAATAACTAATGTTGCGTTAACTCTCACTGGTACAGTATAGATTTGCAATGAGGGCTTCAAAAAAGAGGTCAGCTACATGTTTGACACTGAAACGAAGAAATTGGTATACGAAATGATGTATGGTAAAGGACAGCGGCACGTCTTAGTAAATGTACCACGCGGAATAACTCTCGCCGCTTGTCTCCCCAATTTTTTCCACGATATAGAACAAACACAATCTCAGTGCGCATTGAAAGTATTAAAATGGACTAACTTGTGGTTGCATGGCCATCACACACTCTCTACATCTCACTAGCCTCATCCGACACCCCGACAGGATCCATCCAGCCCCACCCTCTCACTCACCGATTCCAGCGGTTCCGGCCTATCACATCATCCATTGGACAAGAACATCCCCTATTATGGGGCCCTACTATACCTTGCGCAAACCTTCGACTGCAACGTCCACCGGTTAGTGCGGACTTTCAAGCGAGTACGCGTATACGCGTATCCGTCTTTCTCTCATACATCGCTTTTAACTCTATCATCCTGATCGGTCTTTCACCGCTCTTCTCGAAGGGAAATAGACCTGAACAGGGCATAGGAAATCTCGCCGTATTCGACTGTCTCGTCAGCACCGACATATTAAGGGATTCATCAGGCAAACCCCCCACCAAGGCATATCTTCGACGGCCTCTCGGACCCTGATACACGTACACATATTCAAGATATGGATAATAGAACTATGCTTACTCATATTCTCCGAAGTCTCGTATATAATACTATTAAGCAATGCAATAAACGAGATGCAAGAATGACAAATGCAAACGGTGCGGGTCGCTGGGGGCGACTTATGAAGTTATGCAGAGTTGGCGACCTGAGCGAACTCGATATGAGAATATCTTGGTGAATTTGATAAATGATCGTCAGTGAAAGGCTCAAATTGTGTAGGCGCCCAAGTGGCCGAGCGATTTGTGGTTCTCAGTTCATGATATACGGTGAAAATGAACACGAGCTAAAACGAGAGCTTTTAGGGGCGTGCGGTAGTTACTACACCGGCTTACTACACAGACATACTCCTTATAAATATACTGACAAGTCAGTTTGAGCTTGGAAAGGCAAATCACTCATTTCTTCCGTTCATTATCTCACGGAGCTCAATCGAGATGCATGTTCAATTTCTTCTGAAGACACTCGCTTTTACTTTTGGCCTCGTGCAGGCGCAAAACACCTCGGCACCAATTGTTGATCTTGGCTACGCACTACATCAGGGATCTGCCATCAAGGTCTGCACGAGTGAAGGCTCTATCCTTGATTCGACTAACCTCCTTCAATAGGGTGGAAACTACTACAACTTTTCGAACATTCCCTACGCCGAGCCTCCCCTTGGAGATCTCCGGTTCAGATCTCCACAGCTCCCTTCCGTCAACCGTTCCGTCCTCAACGATGGTAAGCGGGGAGGTATATGTCCGCAGGGAACACCGGCATGGCTGGCCTTGAGTCCCGCAGTACCAGGTGTTGTCGCTGGCACTGGTTCGACGGGACGCGACCCCATGGAAACTGAAGACTGCCTCTTACTCGACGTGGTCGTGCCGAAGAAGGTCTTCGAGAGCAACAGCTCCGCTCCAGTCCTTGTGCACATCCACGGCGGCGGATATGTCGTTGGGTCCAAGATTTACTTCAGCGATCCGTCTTACCTGCTTGCTAAGAGCTCGGACAACATGATCGTTGTTGGAATAAACTACCGACTGGGCGCCCTCGGATGGTTGGCGGGCCCTTCGTTCCAGAAGGATGGCACCGCGAATGCAGGTCTGCTTGATCAACGCATGGCTCTGGAGTGGGTTCAACAACACATCCATCTCTTCGGCGGCGACAAAGACCAAGTTACTGTCATGGGCGAGTCTGCCGGTGCCGGATCTATTGTGCACCACGTTACCGTAAGCAATCCCAAGCACTAAGCTATAGATTTTCGCTCATTACTATAGGCATACGGTGGCAAAGCTACTGTTCCATTCCAAAGGGCTATTCCCCAGTCTCCGGCCTGGATCATGACCTCGCAGTCTTCCCACTACCTCGAGACCACGTTCCAAGACTTCCTCAGCGCCGCGAACGTCACCTCCCTTGCTGAACTCCGTGCCCTGTCATCTGAACAACTGCTGGAAGCGAACTCGCAAGCAATCTCGGCCGCTCCACTCGGCCAGTACATCTACGGACCATCTGTCGACGGCGACCTCATCACCGCAGACGCCAAGCAACTTCTCATCCACGGCCAATTCAACCCCAACGTCAGTCTCATAGTCGGCCACACGGAAAGCGAAGGCTACGGCTTCGTTCCCACCAACCTGACAGACTACAACGCCTTCCTCTCCGGCTATTTCCCCGAAACCGCCGTCGATGTGCGGGCCTACATCGAAGACACGTTGTATCCGCCCGTCTACAACACGTCTTTCTACAACAACACTTCGGCTCGCGCATCTCGCACCGTAGCTGACTCCATCATTAACTGCAATGCCGGGGCCTTGGCTTCTGCTTATGCTAATAATTCCTATGCCTACAACTTCGCCGTCCAGCCAGCCATTCACGGGTCCGACTACTCTTATACCTGGTACGGGTCCGTGGCCGTGGCGAATTCGACTATCGCGGACGCGCTGCAGGATTACATCATCTCCTTCATTACCACTGGGAAGCCAACCACCAGTGTGTCGGGCGTCCCTGATATGGAGGTGTATGGGTCGGAAGCTGTTGCTATCAATTTTGATACTAGTGGCATCGTCAAGACCACCGATATCGCAGCTAATGAGCGTTGTGCTTGGTGGGAATTGAGCATGATGGTGTAACCTAGGGGCTTTATTTTGCAGCGTTGGAGCTAGTACAGATATTCATGTAACATAGCTTACCACTTAATCGCACATCCCACGTTGCCTAATATTCAACCCGAATCTGCTCCGTCAAAGAAAACACTGAACATTATTCCAGAGTTTGGAATCTTCATGAAACCAACTCTTGATCATAAGCTCACAAAGAAAGTTTATGAGGTTTGTAGCACCATACTCACCGTGAGACTGTGCGGAGGCTACGTTCCTGTCGGATCACAGAATTAGAGCCTGAATGTCTTCTCAGGCGTGGATTTGCATTGGGAGATGTATCAGTTGCTGAAACCAAAAGTTTTCTTTTCACACTGGGAAAATCCTGGCAAAGTCAAGACCAGATGACGTTAATGTACCTACACTTGCACGTGGAAGGACAATATCTCGTATATAGGTTTCGTGTGATGATTTGATTCTACAAAAGTGTAAATTAAATGCAAGAAAGAGTAGGCTGTGCATAAAGGGCTTTTCAACGGGATCTTTCAATATACGCGTATCCGTATCCGCATTCCGGACAAATAACCGGATCAACACTATGCTCTACGCGTATATCAAATCCTAACAAACGAATACGCGGAAATCCATCTCTTCTGTCTAGTAAACAAGAGGGTGATACCGAAAGGGTCATAGTTGGAACCCTTCATTGTCAGTTGTATATTAGCTACGAACACGAATGTACGAGAACGGTGAAATACGAGATCACCTACACCACTGGTACTTTTCTTACCCCTATTAAACTGCCTTTTAAACCCCTACAATATCCACAACATCGTCTTCATTCTTTCATTCCCTAATCACTCTGTCCCACACTCGTTTCACCTATCACAATGGCACTCAGTGGCAGCATCTCTTCCGCGCTTAATTGCTCAACCGCCGCGCTTTCCGTATCACCCTTCTTTGGCGCAGAAATCCTCTCCGTGGAGGCGAACCTCGTCCAGAACTACTCCACGACCGTCCGCAGAGACTATTTCTTCGGCCACCCAACCCTCACCGGCACCGACCTCAACTTCTGCAACGTCACCGTCGCCCACACCCACCCCGGCCGCAACGACACGCTCCTCACCAACATCTGGCTGCCAACCGCAACATGGAACGGGCGCCTGCAAGCCATCGGCGGCGGTGGGATGGTCGCAGGGATGTTCCCGCTGTCCAACATGGGCATGGCCGGCGCCGTCATCGAAGGCTACGCCGGCGTCACGATCAACGGCGGGCTGCCGAGCGAGGACGCACAAGACTGGGCGCTGCTGAGTCCCGGCAACGCGAACCTCTACGTCCTTGAGGATTTCGCATCGCGCGGTCTGGCTGACGGCACGGTCATCGCGAAGGATGTCGTCCGCAGCTTCTACGGGAAAGAGGCGGAGTACTCGTACTGGAGCGGGTGTTCGCAGGGCGGCCGCCAGGGCATGATGCTGGCGCAGCGCTACCCGACGCTGTTCGATGGCATACACGCGTCGGCGCCGGCGTTCAACTGGAATGAGTTCCTTGTTGGAGACTTCTGGGTTCAGCAGGTCTTGAACGAGTTCGGCGAGTATCCGCACCCGTGCGAATTGGACGCTCTCACGACTGCTGCTATTGATGCGTGCGATGGGCTCGATGGGGTTGTCGATGGTGTCATTTCGGACATCGACGGCTGCACGTTTGATCCGTACACCATGGTCGGCACTTCAATCACCTGCGCCGACACCAACCAAACTCTCTTGATTACGGAGGCTGCTGCCGTTGCGGCGGATGCAGTCTGGACGGGCACGAACGGGACCGCCCCGTGGTACATGCCTGGCCACCAGGCAAACATGACCAGGTTTGACGGCGTGGGCGGTACGTCGTGTGCAAACGGCACGTGCACTGGAGCACCGCAGGCTTTGTTTACGGATTGGATGTCCTACTTTGTCATGAAGGACCCGGACTTTGACTACTCGAACATGACAAGAGAGCAGTACTTGGACGTGTATCATGCTGCAGTCAGAGAGTACACTTCAATCATCGGGACCAATGACAGCAACCTTACCGCCTTCCGCAATGCTGGGGGCAAGATGATCACTTATCATGGACTGGTGAGGCTCACTTCATCTCATCGCTACCAACCCACGCCTTCACTCTGATCATCTGTCACCGTAACACTATCTGTATATTTGATGCTGACTAGCTAAACAGGCTGATCAAATCATCCCTTTCGGAAACACAAGACACTACTACGACGCCGTCATGGCCGGGGACTCAGACGTCAAGGATTACTTCCGGTTCTTTGAAGCACCGGGCGTGGGCCACTGCTCCGGCGGCGCAGGCGCACTGCCGGACCACACGTTTTACAGCTTAGTTGATTGGGTTGAGAAGGGCATCGTACCAACGGTGCTGGAGGCAACGAGCGATGCCGACGCTAACGGGAATGTTCTGGAAAGGATTCTCTGCCCCTATCCACAGAAGGCGAAGTATGATGGCTCTGGAAGTGAGGACTCGAAGGACAGTTGGTCGTGCTCAGCTTAGGCAGATTAGGGAAGCTGGAAATGAACTGCGGTAAGTGTAAGATTAGCAAAGGCGAATAGTGCGTTATTTACTGTCTGTACCGAAACTATAATCATCTATAATCATTGCCTTGAAACAATATTCGTCATCCAATGATTCATATGCTGCCATACAATGGTGCGTTCTTCATTGCATTTATGAGAATGATATTGTAGAGTAGATACTAAGTGCATCCGCTTTGCGTTCATTTCCAGGGTCCCGCGTCTCTGAAATGACAACGAACTCTTATTTCATACGTAGCTAAAGCTATCGTCCAGACGAAAATGTCGAAATAAAAACTCTACATACACGTCCGGACGATAGCTTCAGTTGCCCACATCTGAAATTGGTGTGTTCAGTTACACTTTGACAGCGCTGTCTCTGAACCCATTACCAGGCAATTTAACGTTGCGTTCCCCAGCATTTTTCTTCACTGATTTATCTTCCTCGTACCACGAAAGCTTATCCTACTCCTCGGTCTGCGACAAGTTGGCTTTTGCACGACTTAATCGAAATATAAGATGGCATTCGTTGAGATTGTACCCTTGAAGCCCAATCTTTTCTTTTGCACTCAGAGGTGGGGCTTGTGCCCGCACTCTCTCGATGAGCCACTTTGCACTGGCAGCATAGTTCCGTCAAAGTTGAGGTTGTGGGTGGCAGGCGGCGCCGGAAGTATTGCCTTACTAGGGTCGCGTACTGCTAGATTGCAGGCAGTCGGACTGGGCGATTATTTCCACCTCAGCATGTGATGCAGGCATTCGGCTTCTTCTACTGGCTCTCTCGACTCGGTTGCAGGCGCAGCAACGCCAGTCACTTTTCGGCTGTGTCGTTTGGCGGCACAGCCTCGAACGCAAGCTTGGCGGACGGCTTAGATTGGATGTCGCAATTTGGGGCTGCTTACCTTGCATCTGTCTTACAACTTGCACTGCCCAGTACCGGATGAGATATGAACGCCCATAATGTAGCTTCCGTCATTGTCCCGTCTTTATTTATTTCTTTCTTTCTTCCTTCCTTCAGTCTTGTCTTCATCAACTTTGTGCGAACCCGCAATGGATCCCGTCTCAACTGGGGTAGGGCTGGCTGCCAGCCTTGCGACCCTGATCGAGATCGGTTTCAAGAGCTATACCGCTCTGTCTAGACTCACCCGTCAGATGAAGATTGCGCCAGAAAGTATCCTAGAGCTCTGTCGAAAGGTCAAACGGCTTGAAGAATTGCTTTCTGCGGTCCACGCCTTCGTCATTCAAATGCGCGATGACGAATTACCACCAAATTTACGGACATGGTGGAATTCCAACATGAATGATATCATGGCGGATCTCACAGCGTTAGAGGAGCTCGCGGACCGATTGAAAGTTCTACACATACAGGCCACATCAAATGGCTCTAAATTTAGCGCAAGGCTGAAGACGGTACTCTCGAGCGACGAGATTGCAAAGTATGAAACTTCGATCGAGAACAACATCAAAGAGCTTGATAGAATACAAGGATATCTTGATAGGTACGTGCCTACATCCGATCATAGTTCACAGTGGCCTGACTTCTCAAAGCTGGAAGCTACATGAAGCGCAAACAACACTTCACACCATCGACACGCGTACGCAGAGCATATCAACCAGTATCGACGACATACAAACAGCACTAGTGCGCGAGATACGGAGAAATTTTGAATCTTTCGAACCAATTATCAACGCGAGATTTGACAAAGTCAGCCAAGCGGTTGAGACAGTCCGAAACCATGTTCTTGCAACGCATGTCAGCTTGCGCCGCGTTCAACCGTCTAGTAAAGGGGAGTCCAGTGCCTGTCATCGTGGAAGCTGTAGGACACGAGTTTCTGCGACACAGCGACGGGACTGGCTGCCACGCTGGAACGTCCAGATATTTGACTTGCCCATTGGAACGCTTGTTGTAGAGAATTCGAAAGGTGGACATACCGGCATGTCTGAGAATGCACAAATTCATTGCGTCGCCTTCCGGTTTAAGCCGAAGCTATGGATGTTGGATGGCATTTTCTCGGTCGAGCACTTCTTCTCGATTGCCGCAAACAGTTCACCAACATGGCAACGCGTTCAGCGGAGGGTACCAAGTATGTTTCCGGAAGAGTTGTTTAACTCGCTTGAAAGGGCAGATCTTCTCCAACTTGGAAGTATCCTTGCATCTTCTTGCTCCCTTGAATATCTCGATCTAATTTGCACAAACTACTTGGTATGTATGGCACCATTTCCAGTAATCGGTAATGCCTTAACTTATTGCTCGCCGTTGATAGCTAACAAGACCGGATTTCGGCGGATTTGCATCATTCAGCGGTATCGGTGACCGTGTAACAGACTTTTGTTTTCGCTTCAAAACTCTGTCTGAATCCTCCAGCTTTGCCAATACTGTTGACCTCCGCTACGCATATCGAAAAGATCAGCCGTCGAAGGCTATGCTCGTGTGTAATCGCGGTACCTGGGAAACCTTGCCAATGCAGTACTTTACGGACAGCTTCCTAGGAGGGCCTCATGAGTGGCCGACCATGCTTGTCCCACCAGACGACGAGGGTTACCGATTCTTCATGCAGCATGTCTGTCCTTGTCTAGACTCAATGGGATTCGAGGAACTAGATACGATCGACAAATGGTGGCTCTCTGCACTGAATCATGAGGATTCACGGTTTGGGGCTGCTATTCAGTCACACTTGTATCATCTCGACGAGTCCGGCGATCATTTTCCTGCAACTTTGAGGCGCGTTACGGGAAAGGACTATCTGGATTACAACACTACTGTGGACGAGGTCCTTGCTGCAAGCCATACGATGAGGCAAAACTTCCTCCGCATGGTCTATGCCTGCTGCACTGCGAAATGCTTACGACCATTCTTTGATGCCGGTCATGACCCCAACACGGTTGCAAACAATGATCCTGACGACCCCATCTCCCTTTATCAAGTCGCCGTCCAAGCTCGGAACTTCCCTGTAATTCAGGAACTCAAGGCGAAAAGTTTTCAATTACCGGTTCAAGACATCATGATACCTGTCTACCCATCAATGACTGGAAAAGCCATTGACTTCGAGAAACAGCAAGAGTTACTCAACACTATTCTACTCCAACCACCAAAAGAAAATGAATCCGTATTCTCGATGGTCTACCGTTACTCTCGTGTCAACTATGCGTACGACTCGTTTAACTATCGCGTTAACCATGTGTACGACTCGAAGTATGGCCGAAGCAATCTCCTCTACCAATCTGACCTGATGGATTTCTCTGCAAAGGAGCTTTATAAGAGGGGTTTGGGAAGTTACTGCCATCCACCCTACCATCGATGGCTTTTCTTAGGTCCTGAACTTCTAGTGGCGACAATTTCCAGAGGCGAAGAACTTGTTGCTGTACCAAGATTGCTCTATTTGGGAGCGAGTTTGGACTATGCAGGACCATCCTTCTTACCGTACGATGATCAGCGAACTGCACTCGCGTGGAGTATTGACCTTGGAAGAGCGGATGTAGTCCTCTTGATGGCCATCGCAGCCAATAATTTTGAGGACTACGATGCATCGCTGAGAGCGGGTCTTCACCGGGCAAAAATACATCTGGACGCCAAACACCCCCGTCACTTCGTTGTGCCAATGCCGGATTCGCTAAGTCTCTTAGACCCTGTTTCTCGCTGGGAGGATCGGCACCTAGGGGCATCAAAGCGCAAGCGGATTCGGCGGATGGCATTTGAGGAGCGAGAAATGTCCCAGTTTCAAGACGTCTTGAGCTACACGATCCTTGAATTGGCACTTTCAGGCGGCTCAACTTGTCAGACCAAACTGGCTGCAATGGCAAGGGAGATGGAGTATTTCCACACGGCTTGCAAAGATCGCCCGGAGGACGTCTCTGGTATCCTCAATCGCTTGGCAGACCTTGTTGGACTTGACGAGTCTCAACTGGAAACTCCTAAGCAGTCTATGCGCGAGCGGTTCACCCAGGTCAAATGGAAGCTATTACGGGTGGTGAAACACGTCGGAGATGATCGTTATGGCACACTCCAAGTTTACTGTAGTCGAGCCGTGATGGCCACAGTAGGCCTCACCCTCTGCCTACGAGCCATGCTGGAGCACATGTTGTATGAGTTCATTGCCTGGGCATGGATACAGCGGGCCGCATTCAAGCGGCTCTGGCCGTTCATGTGGCTTTCAACGATGGTCCTTTTCGCGGCATGGCTGATGTAATGGCAGGTTCCTTTCACTGAGCTTTGAAGTCAAATCTCATTCCTTGGGCAGTTCACAGACATAGCTACGTGCCAGTTAGATTGAAGGAGGGTTTGGCCTTGAAGATACAGTTCTTCCGGACGTCAATGATGCCAATATTGTCAGTCGTTGGTCTTTCTCCGATCATGTGCTTAAAATGCTCTAATAACACAAGCTCATTTGTTTTCTCCTGCAATGCTCAACAAGTTCGTCCCAACTATTACTCCATAATCTACCTCAGGGCAGCAAAAGTGGCATCTGACGATCCCACCGCACAGCAAGCCTTGGTTGGCGCACTAGCCGGCCCGCAACCTGAAACGAACTCACCATCCAGGTCCGGCGCGCTGCGATTCAGCGCCGCTGGCACGACGTCGTAGCCTATCCCCTCATTCGCACATCTCCCCGTCCGAGCTCTCCGGAAGCGCGACGACCGACCCCTTAGGATCTACGTCTACGAAAACAACGATCACGCCGCCGCCGCCGCCGCCGCCCGCCTTGTCCTTCTTCTTCCACAAGCCCCTCACCAGCCCCGTCACCGTCCCGCCCGTGCCCGCGTCCTCGCCCGCTCGCCGCACGTGCTCGCCGCCGCCGACCCGGGCCTGGACGCCCACCTACAGCGCGCGATCGCGGTGTGGCAGCACTGCGGAGGCTTGCGCGGCAGGGTGGTGGCGTTCAGGGTGAGGAACGGCGCTGCGAAGACGGGGGAGGTGTGCAAGTGGCTGAGGCTATTCGCGCTGGCGGAGAGCTTGGGCGGCGTCGAGAGCTTGTGCGAGGAAATGGCGGTGATGATGCATCAAAGGCCCCGTAAGGAGAGGCTCGAGGAGCTGGGGACTCATGGTGAGATGATTGGGGCAAGTGTTGGGCTGGAGGTCGTGGATGATTTGATGAAGGACTTGATGGAAACGTTGGACATCATGCTTGGCAAAGGTGCGGTGGAGGGGGAGATTTGTAGACACGCATGAATTAAAATGGAGCTAATACATTGTTAGAGCCATGCGTTGCGCGGTCCTAATCAGGCCAGTTGAATCTCTCGATATTTCACACCCGCAAAATAGGCTTGCTGGAAAAGTCCCCCCACCCCGATTCTTTCAAACCTCATCCCTTCTATCTTCTTCGGGAAGATTACTTTGTCGACGATGTGAGAGAAGCCAAATTTCCGGTAATATACCCCACTAGATACACGTTTTGAAGTTGATATATGGAAAGCGTATATCTCATCGCCTTCCTGGTACGGGGGTATGGATGGATTGTCCTCTACCATCATTCGCTCAAAGGAGCCCCATCCAGTGTTGTATTGTTCTGTCCCTGATCCTTGAATGTATCTGCAAAGCGCAGATGCGCAAAATGGTGGATGGCCTGCTGCTTCCAGGATTTCGTCAGATATATGACCATCGGGAAACCCTCGGCCTACCAGTACTCTTTTTGGCTTTCCTGTGATGATCAAGACTTGAAGGGCCTTTTTTGTGACAGACAGAACGCCTCTTGGGCGAAGGAGTCTAGTTTCATACCATAACATTCTGAACTCTTGAATAGACATCTCGTGCCGGCCGGTGTTGGAAGAAGAGCTGAATATGGGCTCATCAGCACATGCAAGATCAAAACGCGCACGGATTTCCACCCGAGTAATCCTACAAGCTTCATACGTATCATGTTGTTGGTTATGCCATTTGACTGGCATCATGTACGAAGCCCAAGACCACGTGGGAGCTCCGCAGTTGGAGATCTTGATGACGCGGTTTTGTTCCTTTTGCTGCCACAACAGTCCATGACATAGGTCCTGTTGCAGTAATCCGGCTGCTGCGTACCCGGGCGCTCCACTGACTACGCAAATCACCCCGGAGAAGGGACTAGCTAGCACTCCCCTCATTTCGAGAATATCTTGGAACACTTGAGCTATCCCCAATGCCGCCACAAGCCGATCTGTCTCTGGTCGTGATATAGCAAGGCCGGAGTAGAGCTCTACAAACCGATACAAAAGATCATTGATGACGGTAGTGCTGAGGTGGAAGTCCATTTTGAGGGAGATTTTGCTCCTTTGGCGATCTGAGAGTGGTTCAAATGAGACCTCTTCCCCACACTCATTTCTTGGAGGACTTGTGGCGCATTCGAAATGCAGTTTAGTATCCGTGCAGTGGATGATCCTCCGGCTAAGCATGCGCTCTTTGTGAAATGCTTGTGGATTCGTGTTGTTGGCGAGAGGGAGGGTCGCCAGGCGGCGAGTCCTTATCCTCCGCCGATGACTAAGCTAACTCCGTGATATCTGCAACAATATCTAAATTTGATTGTGACAGTCATCGCCTTCATCGTAGGCGGCACCGCTGGCGCAGCTGCATCTCGGCGAGTGATTTGTTGGGATCTTGGAGACATACGGCTCCAGTGGTGGAGGAAAGAACGACCTGCCGCCATGACGTATAATTAAGGCTGTGTAAAGTTCGCGCTGCGCTGCAAAGTAGAGGCAGTTACGACAGACTGGCTACCTGCCAGTTTTCATGAGTCCGCTGACGAGATCTGTACGTTCCACCGACAAGTTTTGACCAGTACCTTTTTGCCCCTGATCAAAGTTTGCACCGCTCGGTACCAGCGTCCAATTTTCTTCAGCGCCCGTTAAAAATGGATCGCCCTGACAGCTCCCGTCAGGACACCGACTTCGAGCTCCCAGACGAAGACGGCGTTACACTGACCGTACCGCGCCAACGCCCGAAGCGACCCCGTCACCAAGCTCCGATCCCTCCACCACCCACTGCCACCGATAGCAAGACGCACCTCGAGTCCATCATACAGCACTGCGACAACATGTTCCACCTCGGAAAACAAAAGGCGCGAAAGATATCGCCGGCGACCGTCCAGTTTTTCTCCAAGATTAAGCGCAACGCTCGGGAGCTGCTGAAGCCCTCGAAGAAATTGGACAAAAAGGAACGCAAACAAGCCCTTAAGAATCTCGAGGTCAATATGAAGTATGCGAGAGGTCAATGGGAACAAGTTCATGACCAGCTGAAGAATTCAGCATTCATGCTGATGGAATACCGAGTCTATCAAGACTACGGCGACTACTTGGCCAAAAATCTCAATGTCATCACGACCGGACGAGAATGTCGAATTAAAAATTCTACATACACATCCGGACGATAGCTTCAGCTACCCATGAATCCACGCTAGCCATCGGCTGCGAGAGGGGACTGTATAGCCATCGCACAGTAACAAAAGACCCAGAAAAGAAGTCCACATTCCCAAAATAGCCCTGCAGAAACACCTTGGCAGACTCGGATCAACGGCCACGCAAGCTGAAGTTCCCCTGTCTTAGACAAGGCCCCCGCACCTGCTCCCCGGTCCACAATTCCAGATCATCATCGTCAGACATGATGTTCCCCTCCTGGTTCATCAGGCCCTTCTTTGACGGTCTGCCTTATGACGGGACCAATGACGTGCGTGCTGATCTCTCGTGCACGTCCGTGACGTCTGGCAGCAAGGAGACTTGGAACCTATTGCGTAACGTCGTTGGGGTTTTTTAAACATGTCGGACGAGGGGTTACGAGACACACCATTAAGAGGGTCGCCTAGATACTTTTGGCTGACTACCGAGGAATACCATTCGTAACCCGTTCGACACGACGGCTCCGTTCCAACCGTCACGTGCTGCTTTCCTGCCACAGCTCCGGGCCAGCTGACTTCCCACAACAAGCTACCTCGGCGGAAGGATCAATATATCGATAAAGAAGCAAATCCGTGGGTGCGCAAATGAGCGGCGCTGGATTGGGTCGTGGTGGAGATTGTGAGCGAGCAGCGACGCGGAAACAACATGCGCCCGGTGCGTTTTTCGCCGGCGTTGTGTTACTTACGCACGAAAACACAACACGAAGCTCAACAAGCTCTAGCGGGATACTTTCCGAGCGAGCCTTCCTCGTTCACACAGCAGGAAATATTGGACTTTTGAGCGTAAAAAATAAACCTTTTTCAATAATGTACAGCAACGCTAAACTAAAAACAAGGATATCTATCGTTTCTGGAGTCTATCATCTCTAACCCCATCCCAATGTCATTGCCCATCATCTAATGCAACCCGCTCTCCCCCGTCTCGGCCATATGCATCTGGCACTCGACCAGCGTCTTCACCATATTCGCCACCTCCTCCAACCTCGTCAAAACCACCTTATTCCCCTCCACGAACCCCTGGCACTGATACTTAATCCCCGTCTTCGCGCAAAACTCCCTGACGAGCGCCTGGCCCGCCCTGAGGTTGTGCCTCGGCATGCGCGGGAACAGGTGGTGCACGGCCTGGAACTGCAGGCCGCCGTGCAGGAAGTCCAGCCACGCGGGGCAATCGACGTCCATGGTCGTGCGCAGCTGGCGCTGGGCGAACGACTCGGTCGGGCCCAGGTCCGCCGTCGGCATGCCCCAGTGCGACAGGGTGATCTGCACGTGCAGGATCATGGTGATGGTGTGGGAGACGAGGACGAAGAGGACGCGGGTGGGCCAGTCGGGGAGCGTGCGCAGGAGGAGGGCGTAGCCGAACAGGGCCCAGTAGCACACCATGAAGGCGGCTTCGACCCAGCGCGTCCACCACGCCGAGCCGAGCTGGGCGGCGCGCGGCGAGAGCAGGTGGAGCCAGGAGAGGAGGTAGAGGTTGAAGCGGGCGATGGCCATGACGGGGTAGTACGTGTACTTCTGGAAGGGCACGAGGATGTCGGCCGCGCGGTCCCAGTAGAAGGTGAAGTTGTAGAAGGTGCTGCGGATCGACTTGAAGTAGGTCGGCGACGTCGAGAACAGCGGGATGTTCTGGATGTCCGGGTCGTGCTCGGGCATGTTGGTCACCAGGTGGTGCACGTTGTGCGAGCTCTTCCACCAGCCGATGGACAGGCCGCAGCAGAAATCCGCGATGAAGGCGCCGATGAGCGTGTCGATGACGAAGTTGCCCGTAATGCCGCGGTGGCCGGCGTCGTGCGCCGTGAACATGATCTGCTGCCAGAACAGCCCCAAGAACACGGCCGACGTCATGTACCACGTTTTATTCAGGAAGTAGATGAACAGGCTGAACAGCGCGGCGTAGCGCACCATCTCCTTGGCATATTCGCGGTAGGGGCAGTCGTAGAGGCCCTGCGCCTGGACGAGCTGGTGCAGGGCATCGTACTCGTCGCGGATCGCCTGCTGCGTTTCCGGGTCGAGCGAGGGGTAGTTGCGAATGCCGTCGGCAATTTCCTTTTGCTCGAGGGCGGCTGTGTATGCGGTACGCGACAGTTTCTCCGTGGGCAGGCGCGCGGCGGCCGAGGTGGCGGGCTTGGCGGCGGCGACGTTGCGGCGCCTGCAATCTCCTGAGTCGAGCTCGTGGTCGGACTGGCCGACGCTGGAGTTGCTCGAGCTTAGTGGGTCGGGCTTGGAGCTGAATATGGACGAGGCGTCGTTGTCGTCGTCGTCGGTAGAGTCTGAGGAGGCCGGGTCGGCAGCGGGGGCAGGGAGGGCCGTGGGGGCGGTGCGGTGAAGTTCGGCCCGAATGGGGGGTTCGAGATTCGTCCAGGGCTGATGCACGCGGCCGATACGGTAGCCCTTCATGATCGCCAGGGTCTTGTCGAAATGGTACCTGCAGCACCAATGCCATTGGTCAGCCCATGTGAGCCCCACACCCCGCAACGCATACGAATACGCAACGTTACTCACCTCGAGAATGAGGAGGAGGAGGGGAGGGGGGGATAGTTACACGTTGATCTCGTCCGTCGCGTCTCTGCCCACCATGTGAAGAATTGCCAGCCGTCCGCCCGGGTGACGGTCGATCCACCTGTCCAGCTTCAGCGCGTAGCCGTCGTGGATGACGATGAGCTGCCCGTCGGCGACGAGGCGCTCGACCTCGCGCGCCGAGATGAGTCGATTGCGGTCCATGATGATGTTGTTGTGGTGCAGCGAGGGAGAGTCTGCGCGAGAATGTGCCTGCGCTTTTCGTGCGCCGGCCAGACGCCAGTCGCCATGGCTATATACTGTGCTTGCTGGACCCTGATCGGCTGGCTTCCCCTTTCGCAGCAGGTGCCAAGCGGCATGCCGACCGAGCTTGTGAAGCTGAAACTGCGCCCCTCGGCCGCGTCAGAGAAGTCGCGTGGAAAAAGCCTGATCTTAGGGGGTGGCGGGGTCGCCTGGCAATCTGGCGTACGTCTTTCTGGCCAAGCCGGGTGCCACTGCCGCCACTGCTCTGCAAATACTCCGCAACGGCTGGCCAGACCCCTTGGACGCCGCGGCCCGTACGTGTCGGGTAGCCGACCACCACCTGGAAAGTGCGCGCGCTCGAGTCACGGCCCTGCGCCATGTTCCACAACAATACACCGGTCAATTGGATAATCCGCTTGCCGCTTCTGTTGGAGATGCGAAATAGATTAGCGAGAGAGCTGATACACGAATTTTTCGCTTGGATCAACCGGCACGCCTGCTGGAGAACTTGGCGACTCAGTACTTATTACTTGGCGCCACCCCAACAAAAAAAATAAACGAGAAAAAAGTATTTTTGTCAAGATAACCTAATTGGTGCGATGATACGAATCCGAACGGTGTTGTAGATTCCAATGGATTGGAGACTGCAGAAAAGCCTCGAAGACAGGAATAAGCTCAGGTTTATTTCTTCCCGATTAGGTTAGCTTGATTTGCTTGTGCATGTATATCACAATTATCGGTCGCGTTTACTGATCGTTCATTCTTTCGTATCATTCGAGCGCCGAGTACCGAGAAACATTGAGGACGACGATGCACTTTGGTGTTTCTGCAACAATTGAGTAAGTGATGAAAGAGTCATCATAGCAGCTTCCAGATTGAGAATACTTCGACTACGTACCAAACGCTCTTCAGACCAAGTCATCCACAACCGAACTACGGATTCCTTCAACCTCACACTCTCCGCTCGCATGAAATAGCCCAGCTACGGCCCCCATTTCACACACCCCCTCAACTCTCTTCCACCTCCACCTCCCTCCTCCAAATCTTCAACGGCAACGGGCCCGGATTCAGATTAAAGTGCTCATACTTACTCTGCTCCCACCCCTCCCCGGGTAGCGCAAACTCATACCGATGCACCATCGACGCCGTCACCACCACCTGCTCGAGATAACTAATATTCCTTCCAATACACCCCCTCGCCCCCGCACTAAACGTAATAAACCACGGCTGCAGCTCCTTCCCCGCCGCGCCGAGCCACCTCTCCGGCCTGAATTCTTCCGGCTCCGCAAACGCCTTCTCGTCCCGGTGCGCCACGTACGACGACATGTGCACCGACGTGTTGCCTGCCACGTACTCCCCGAACACGGTCGTGCCTTCTGGAGGTGTTTTGCGCGGCAGACCGAAGGGAGTTGGTGGTGCGATGCGCATGCTTTCGTCGAGGCAGGCGCGGAGGTAGGGCAGGTTTTTGAGTTTGTCGTAGGGGATGACGACTTCGTCGGGGTCGGCGACCGTGTCGATTTCCGTGCGGAGGGTGGAGAGGCAGTGGGGGTGTTTGAGGAGGTTGTAGAGGACGTTGTTGATGGCGACGGCGGTGGAGACGGAGCCGGCGTTGACTGCGGGGGGTTGGTGTCAGTACGGATGGGCAGTGTGCAGCAGGGGAAGGGAAGTGGCAGTGGAGGAGGGGCGGGGGCGGCAAAGGAAGGCACGAGAGAGAGAGAGACGACTTACGCATAATCGAGCACTCAGCATTAATCTCGCCCAGCGGCAGCATCTGCGGAACCCCATCCTTCGTCTCCATGAGCGCCTGGAAGAAGTCCTCCAGCTTCTCCTCGCCCGCCTCGTACCGCCGCATGCGGTTGCGCACCTGGTGCAGCACAATCCCGTCGAAGTGATCCCCCACGGCAATCCACCGCCGGTACGTCGGCGACAGCCACCGCGCCAGCCGGTGCAGCGCGCGGTACCAGCCGTACGCCCACACCAGGTGTGACTGCGCCGTCAGCTGGCCCTGCACGGCGGCGATGTACGGCACCATCGTGATCTTCCCGTCAACCGCCTCGCTGGCCACGACGTCGTCGCCGCGGTCGAGGCAGCCCAGCCGCTCGCTCAGCCCGATGTCGACGATGGCGTCCATGGTGAAGAAGTTGGTCCACCGCCGGTAGTCGACCGTCAGCTCTTTCTCATCGGGACGGCCGCCCGGCGGGAGGGGTGCGGTGCAGCGCGCGTCGAAGGCGTGGACGAGCCGCTGGACCTTGTCGGCGATCTTGTATTCCCATTCCTCCAGGTTCTTGATGGCGTAGGCGCTGGAGAGGACTTTGCGCTTGCGCGCGTGCTCGCCCTTGTCGATGACGTCGGCGAGGTGGAAGTGCGTGCCTGATTGCAGGACGTACATGTCGTCCTTCAGGCACTTGGTGCCGTGGCCGTAGATGTCCTGGGGTGGTAAGCGGAAGTGAAGGTGGAGGTGAGGGAGGGCTTACCTTGATGGCCCGGACATCGCCGTATGAAAGGGCGTTTGGTCCGACGCGGAGAACGGGGTGCTTCTTGTGCAGTGCAGTAAGGCGTTTGGATCGCTCTCCACTGGCAGACTCTATCATATACGGAATGTTGGTGATTCCGGCAAGAGGGGAGAAATTCGGATATCGACGAAGGCCTTTGGGATCCGAGAAGTACAGGTAGATAGGATGGACGATGAAGCGTAAGAAAAGAAAAAGTGGTAGGAGAACGAAAACGGCAATTCCATACATCGTGGATGCAGATGATTTTGCTTGTACGGATTCGATATCAAGAAGGATGTTGGGCCAGCTTGGAGCGAGATGCGAGCTTCTTTAATACTGAAAGATCACAGGCATCGTCATATGCAAACGCCAACATCGTGAGTTCGTGCAACGAAAGCAGAATTACCCAGAATAGCATTCTATGCTCTCGAGATGGAATATCAAGCCCGAAAAATAGTGTCGCATAAGGCAAGGCTTCCCGGCCCAAAAAAGTAACAGTTTCCGAACGTAAAGGGTAAAGACCTCCGAACATACGAGGTTAAGCCCTCCGAACCAACCACTCGATCAGCACTACCCACAAGTCACTGGCTCCCGGGACGCTTACCCTTGAATGACGATTTTGCGGGGAAAGCCTGTGCTCGAACCAAGATAGCCCCGCGATATACTAAGCGGGGCAAATCCCCCAAATTGCGGGGCAAAAGCTTGTCCACGCTTCTCAAAACAGCTCAACCTCTCCGGTTCGGGCCGTGTCCCGCCGTGTCCGCGCCGGGCCGGAACCATCCTTCGTGATGATTCATCCACCTCTATCTCATCAGATATGCGCCCGACATATGCCCTCAGGCGACTTTTACGCCGTCAGACGGTCTCGTGCGTCATTCCTATCTCCCGGAATCTCTTCCCCGCATAGATACGATGATTTCCATCGCAAGTTGAGTCAAATCGGATTATCGTTTGCGTCGTTGTTTGCAGAAATAGGTCTTCCGATACCGGTATTACCGCGTGGACGAAATCCAAGGAAGGAGGGCTACCACAAACATCTCGCCGCACAACAGATACTACTCGATGACACCCAAAGTAGATTAAGCTCCAGACTTGTATGTCATTCCCGACTTCCACGCCACACTTGTGCAACGACTTCATAACTTTTAGTGAATAAGCCCGGATTCCTTCTCGCGTACTTCTTTGGCTGATTCTCGGCTCCACTGACAAGAAATACGCCCCCCAGCTGCCAATCACTCCCCTCTCTATCCTAAAGTTTATCTACTCAGCCAGACCAGTCCACTAGTACGTCTACCAGAACATCTATCAGTACTTTCCAGTAATTCTTTTTCTAGGTCAAGGTATTAGTAAAATCTGTCTCACAAACTACTGAAGGACCATGCAGGTCAAAGAGATAGCATTCTTGAGTAAGAATCTTGATATGCTGTGTACAATCTGCTATGACTATCAGCAAACAGAGTTGATAACCTTCGCGAGTTGTACTGTGTTAAATGCAATTTCTCACCACCATAGCGAACTCAAACTATTAATACAATGGACGCCCGAACTTGAAACCCTCAATCACTCACACAACCTAAGCACTCTCCCTCTCCAACCACCCCTTATAATCCAGCATCCCCGGGAACTCGCGCCTCAGCGCCTCAACATCCGCACCATACCCCTCCTCAACAAAGAACTCAAACATCATCTTCGTATCATAGTTGCCCTCCAAGATACCCGTCGCAACCTCATCCGGCACCATCGGCAGCTCCGCCCCGCCCTTCACCTCCCTGTAGATCTCCTGCACCCGCCTCAATGCAATCTCCTCCCCCGCCAGCGGAATCATCCTCCCCGCATACCTCTCCTCCTCGACCAACGCCGCCGCCGCCACCCGCCCGATATCCACCGCCGACACCAGCTGCAGCGGGCGCTCCCATCCCAGCGTCGTCTTCCACATCGCCGCGAAGGCGGGGCCCATCTGCGCGCTGCCGAAGTTCTCGAGGAAGGCGACGGGCTGCACGATCGTCCACGTCATGCCGGCGGCGGGGGCGCGCGCTAGCAGGTGCCGCTCGATCTTGTGCTTGCTGATGAAGTGCGGGACCTTCGTCGGGTTTGACGCGGACCGCGCGCCGTGGCGGTCGACGGACGTCTGGACGAAGTGCTTGACGGAGCCCGCGGCGATGGCGGCGTCGATGAGGGCGGCGCCTTGGTCGTATTCCGTGTCCGAGGCGTTTTGGTTGTCCGTGGCGGTGGTGGGGGTTTGGATGCTGAAGACGGCGTGGATGGGTTCGGGCGCGGAGGAGAATATGGAGGCGGGGTTGTTGAGGTCGCCTTTGATGAGCTGGATTTTGGGGGAGGTGCCGGCGAGCTTTTGGGCTGAGGCGGAGGACGGGTCACGGGTTACGGCGAAGATGGTGATGTCGGCGCCGGAGTCGAGGAGGGACTTGATGACGGCGCCGCCTTGTTTGCCCGTGGCGCCGGTGACGAGGATGGTCTTGGACATTTTGGATGGGGAGGTGGTGGGAGGATGTTTGAAATAATAGTTCGGATGGTCTTGGTGAGACAATGGGATAAAGGCTGATGAGTTGCTGGACTATATTATGTCGTGGTTGCAATGATTTTTATAGATGATGTAAATAGTCTACCGTTGTTGTCGTTCGCGGATACACTACGTGCCGAAGACACATGCTTATGCGATCGTCTCTCCAAAGCGCGAAGACCGAGCCCTCGATTTGGTTTGGTTAAGCGGAGGCAAAACGGACGGACCCGCGCCGGTACACTAATACTATTTCGGCAGTGGTGGCAAAGCCGAAGACCGGTCGGATTCCAGTTGCATGCTGAAATGAGTTGCGTATACTTCATTCAATAAAGGCGATTCTGCAGGTGAATAGAATAGCGCGAAATGCTAGCGCTCTTGTTGAAAACAAGACGAATTGATAGAGAGACATGCTTGACTGTCGGGTTCTGCACCCGAACACGGGCCGCTGACAAAGCTCCTTCGGGAGACGGAGGAGACGGAGGTCCGCGTCCGATATCATTGGAACACAGATAATCCCCGTTTACAAGACGCCAAGCATCAGATACGACTGCAAAGGGCCAAGTAGAAGCTGAGACCATCCGTCCGATAGCATGATACACCACCGTTTGTAAGCCGCGCTGTGAAAGGCCGAGCCCGCGAACTGCGTTTCAGCATTCGCGTACCTTCTCGCTGTGGGTCTTGGTGTAGAACACAAGCCAGAAGTCAACACCAAGACTCTTAGCTTCATTTATTTTACGCCACAACAGTCTCTCCTCCCCTGCAACCTTGACATCTCGCAAAAGCTCCGAATTGCAGCTTAACCGCTCATCATGGACTGGGCGAGGAGCGCTGCAAACGTACTCAGGTGTACTAAGTCCTACAGTAGTCCAGCTGGTTCAATTTACAATGCGTCATGCGTTTTCAATATGTTCCAATCTTCTCAAGAGGCCTGATAGTATTCCTCTGTAAGTATAGTAAGATATTCCACGGTACGGACCAAGCAATTAGCGGCTCCGATTGTAGATCGCTCAGCTCACATTGGATGTTCTTGCAGCCATTCAAAAGGATTTGAATGTGCCACCGAGCGTAGCCTGAGTAATCTTAGCCGAGCGCAAGCGAAGCCACCGCCCGGAATCTATTGCAGTCTTCTATGGAGTGATTCTCAAGCCACTGTTTCATGTGACGTAATGGAAAGTTCTTCGACGATCACGAGCGCAAGGCTGGACTATTCTAAACAACGCAGCCACGGACTATAAAAAGCTATCTACCGCTGTGCTACCAAGCTTTCATACGTGCCCCGCTTCTGCCGAGCGAAGAAATTACGCCACACTCTCTTCGCATTGGAGCTGTAAAGCCACTTCAAAGCGTGTCAGGGTTTGGCAGGCCGCGCGTTTGCATACGTCCTTATCTTTGAGCGGGAACCAGCATGCACATCAAGTGTGTCTAATCTTGGGCTTCGGTTCGTAAGTTGTAGAACAGCCATTCGGATCTGATGATCAGCATCAGTCTAAGGAATTTTTGAGAGATCACCCTTTGTCTTGCACTGCTACCGAACACCGTATTTTATTACTGATTTTGCACTGCAAGTCAAGATTAAAATTGAACTCAGGTCTTTCATCACTGTGATCAATACTGTACTGACTCTTGCAGCTGTGGGGGATGTAAAAGTTGAGTGGAGTGACCACTCACTTTTTGATTGCTCCTCTCTCCGGACTAAATCTGCAAGCCACTATCACATGGAGTGGCGTTGAAAAGTCATTCGACGCATGAAACCCCACGACTGTCCCAGCTGAATAAACGTTGCACAGCGGGGAGACGGGATGGTCAGTCAGCAGCCTCCAACAAAACACACGGCTGCCTCGATATTTTTGATTGGTCGAGTTAGGTTTATGGTCAAGTCAATAGGCTACTTCTGGCGAACGAGAGATATCTCACAGGTAAACCAATTCGTGGATGTCATAATGGAATTTCTTACCGACTATCCACTTTACTAGCTTTATACAAGGCCAGTGAAGCCTGCCGCCATAGCGCTTACATTGCCGGGTCTTTCTCCTTCTCACTCTTAACAAAATTTACACCACTACCTTCAACTTCAGAGCAACGATGGCACGACACCGGATGTCAACCGCAGGATGGTCCAATGATGCGGCATTTGTGATGGAACCGCTAGTTCCATCAGCGACACACGGCGATGCTCCAGGAAACGCAAACTACGCAAATCTCGATCCTTATTTGTGCTACAGTACCGAAGAGGGCAGCCGTCGTGGCTCATCTCTCCAGACGCTCTCCAAGCATCCTAACGATCACCTCGACGAACATATCGGGGAACGTGGCAGAGGGTGCATGGCTGGACTCAAACGTGGGACCCAGAGGCTTCACCAGAATCTAAACTATTTCGTCAACCAGTGGTGGGGCTGGGAAGTCCTCGCGCTGTTGTTCAGCTCGGTGTGTATCATGGCCGTCGCCATCCTACTATACAACGTGCACGACCGGCCTCTTTCACAATGGCCATTCACCATTGCGCCAAACACGCTGGTCTCAATCTTCACGACTGTTGCAAAGTCGTCGGCGCTGGTTGCTGTCACCCAGGCTCTGAGTCAACTCAAATGGGACTTTTTCCGGCCTCGAACGCGACCGCTCTATAATATTGAAGCATTCAACGAAGCATCCCGTGGTCCCTGGGGAGCTCTCCTGTTCACTTATCGTACTGGTGGAAGGGCTTTGATGGCATCTGGTGCTGCTCTTATCATAGTTCTTGCGCTAGCGATGGATCCCTTTGCGCAGCAAATCCTCACGTTCAAAACCAAGCCACCGGATGTCGACAAAATAGATCCCGCCACTTGGATGCCATATACATTCGCATACCTTCCTGACTATAACGGAGAAACTGATTTACAAGTGTACTCCGGTAAGTTGGATTAAAATACATGGTAAAGAGATGCTCACAGACTGCATAGTCTCGGATATGGATCGTGCAGTTTCTGGGAGTCTCATTGATCTCCCAAAGCGCCTGGACTACGGTTGCTCGACTGGAAACTGCACTTACACAGATTTTGTATCTCTCGGAGTCTGTCATACATGCGAAGATGTTTCAAGCATTTCGCCAACTTGTCTTCGTCCGCAGAGGGAATACAATCGGGACAATACCTCTTCAACATCGTTTTGTGCTCGCCTGAGATATGATACGCCTCAGAACATCACTTTTATCATCGAAAACGGCACGTACAACCGCCCCTACAACATGAGTAGGGAGATGAATTACACCATAATCCAATCTCACACACTAGCCCCTGAGGAACTGGTACCATATATCCCAAAGGATGATGTGGTCTGGGCCTCACAAGGAACTCAGAGCCCACGAATTCCCGATAAAGTACCACATTATACAACACCCACTTTGCTTCGGTTTGCAGTTGCTCAGCCAGTTCCCATTTCTGATGTCAAATATCAAGGAAACGACAAGTTCCCATCCACAGAAACAAGCATGCAGATGACGGAATGTCAACTTAATTGGTGTGCTAAGGTTTATGAAAAGGTCCATGTAGTAAGATCATGATGCTTCATAGGTCAACATCTAGCTAACTGATAGATAGGAGAATGGAGTTATCGTGCCCGGCGCTACTCACGACTTGAAGTTGAATCCTCTTAAAGGAAGTGGCTGTTGGATAAGGGCCTCGGCTGAGGACTTCGGCTCCTGCCAGGAGTTCGTTATATCCAACCCAGGATCACTTCCAAACTCCCTTTCAGGGTTTGCTTCCAGGACATTCACCATCGGCAACAAAGAGAAAGGAAATTTCTTCTTAGACCAACGAAACATTCTTGAGATACTCAACTTCTCCATCTACAATGGGTATCCCAGTCAACCTACTGAACAATCCCATCCAAGCAGATTCTTAATCAACAGGAACATCAGCGAGTTTACGGAGCGTCTTTCAGAGAGCATGACAAACTACATACGTATGGGTCCAGGATCAGTTCGCCATTATGGTTCAGCATTTCGAGACGAGACATTCATGATCGTGGACTGGCCCTGGTTCGCGTACCCTGCTGGGTGTGTTTTAGTCGCAATCCTCTACTTCACTGTGGCCGTTACTACACGAAAGAAGGATGGAGGCGTTTTGTGGAAATCGAGCTGCCTTCCACTGGTTCTGTATGGTATCCAGCACCGAACAGATAGGGTAGATGGGGTAGACCAAAGTTTGTTGGGGATCGAAACAATGGCAAGGGCTATACCAGCCCGGCTACACAGGAACGAGGATGGAGAAATAAGATTCCTTACAGCAAACGGGTGAGTTTCCAAAACTTTTTCAAGCTCCTGCTTTTGTGTGGTTCACTTAAATTGTGTATCGTCTCGGTCATACATGGGTAGAATTCGAAGAAATTTAAGTGTATCTGTATTCAAATAACATTGGTTACCTACACCAGTAACGGCATTTTCACCATCTATCTGCAGAAACAAATGATCTTTCCTTCCTTCAAAAAGGTTTCACATGCTATATCTACATAACAAGATAACTTCTAAAATTTTGAATATCCCAGCCCACCATCGAAGCTTCTATTCCAGTATCTTCGATATACTCCCTCCCAACCTTCGTCTCCATTCAAACTCGAGGTGGCATGTCCAAACATCAGCCCAAGTCTATCAACTAAAACATCAGATTTGTATGACAACACATTTAAAGAAGATATTATGCGCAATTGATCTGCAAGGGGTCTCAAAACTAACCACATTGATCAATCAGGCATTGACATTCATATGTTTCTTTATCTTCAAACCAGTGCGCAGAGGTTGGCTGCCGTTAATGTTCGAACGAGAAAAGTACGGATTGCCTCCGAAAAGAAAAAAAAGGAAAAAAAGTCTCCAATGTGATTTCTGGCCCCACTAAAGAGAAGGGTTAAAGAACTCAGGATGCATGCGATATTAATGGTCTCTTCGTCTGTGGTCCCTTAGGAAGTCTTTTTCGCACTCCGGAAATTTGCATTGAAATCTTTTCCCCTCATGATGCTCTCTATCGTGTCTTACGCAGTTGGAGACGGTTGGAAATTCTCTGTTGCAATATTTGCATCGTCTCTTTCGGTTCCTCGATGGTGACTGCTCTACGGGAGGCCCTCTGGTGGACGAAGCCATGGCCGAGGAATTGGTAACAAGCATAAATCTGGCACAAATTACCGAAAGAAGCAGGCCGAATGTTCAGGCTTCCCGCATGTGGCAGCGGGACGAGACGCAGATCAGGATGCCAGCAGACACAAGCTTCACTCAACTTGTTACCTTGTCACCACTTATCTATTGACTAAAGAGCGACATTATTTGCTACGTAATACTAAAGAAAAAAAAAGCCAAATCAAAGATGAGATCATGTCGAAGAAGAACCACTCCCGCTTCCAATCGGCACGCCAATGCCCTGCAGTCCCACTCGCCTCTTCATCCACCCCCTGCAACATCGCCATCGATTGTACCCCCATCACCAGTCACACCAGCCCATCTACCAACCCTATCAGCCCCGCGCTTCTAGCTAGCCGCCTGTTTGCCGGAAAAGCCGACAGCACTCAGTAAAGCACGCGAACCGGATCCACCGAGAGCAAGAAGCGGCCATCAACCAGCACATCGCCGCTAGCGACACTACCACTGCCAGCACCGCAGGCCTCTCCCACAGCAGCCAGCGTCGCACGGCACGCCGCCACATCACCACCCAGCCCACCACCGCCAAGCACCTGCACACCAACACGCAAGTGCGACGCACCCCCCCGCTCACCCTCCACATCAACCTTGACCTCCCACATCCTGAACTCCACGTCTCCCACCATCGGCTCCGCAAGCGCCTTGCAAGCATCCTCCGCCACCTGCTGCAGGCGCTTCGCCGACACGCTTACCTCCTGCGCGTAGCACGCAACCGAAGACCTGCCAACAGCAGCGGTGTCGACGTCGACGAGACGAATCGCGCGCTTCGCCGGCATGGGCGCGTACGAGCGCTTGCGGCGCGCGGCGCCGGCGAGCCCGAGCTCCCAGAGCGGCGCCGCAATGTCGACGTGGAAGCCGGCGCCGGACGGGATCCAGCTGATGAGGTTGCGCGAGCGCAGGTAGCGCAGGACGTGGTCGGAGGAGACTTGGACGCCGGAGCGGACGTAGAGGGCGTTGGGGGCGGGGCCGGCGTCGGCGCGGCGGGCGAGGAGGGGAGGAGCTGGGGCGGCGTCGCGGCGGGAGAGCGGGACGGGAGAAGCAGCCCTCAGAGAGAGGGGCGCCGCAGCCGCAGCAGCAGCAGCAGCAGCCGTGTCCCGGAGCGAGAGCGGGGCGGAAGAGGTGTCGCGGAGGGAGAGGGGTGCTGATGAGGCTGCGTCGCGACGGGACAGGGGAGCGGAGTCCCGAAGAGAGAGGGGGACAGCGTTCCTCAGGGACAACGGGGTGGCCTCGCGCAATGACAGAGGAGCGGAAACAGCGTCGCGCCTGGATAAGGGCGCAGAGGAAGCGTCTCGCATGGAGAGGGGGGCAGCATCGCGCAGTGACAGCGGCGTTGAGGCAGTATCTCTCAAAGAGAGAGGTGCGGCCTCCCGTAGGGACAGGGGAGCTGAAGTGGCATCCCGCATCGACAACGGTGCAGCATTGCGCAGAGACAAAGGAGCTGCCTCGCGCAAAGACAGTGGAGCAGCTTCGCGCAAAGACAGGGGAGTGGCCTCACGGAGAGAGAGGGGCGTAGCTTCGCGCAAAGAGAGGGGAGCTGAAGCGGTGTCTCGTAAGGACAGTGGAGCAGCCTCCCGTAGAGAAAGAGGAGCTCCAGCTTCCCTTAGTGATAGCGGCGCAGCTTCCCGAAGGGACAAAGGAGCGGCCTCACGTAAAGAAAGAGGAGCAGCCTCGCGCAGAGAAAGAGGAGCAGCCTCACGGAGAGAAAGAGGTGCTGATACCGCGTCCCTCCGGGACAGCGGTGCTGCTTCACGCAATGACAGTGGAGCCGAAGCCCCGCGGAGGGAAAGGGGTGCTCCAGCATCTCTGAGTGATAGCGGTACAGCGTCTCTCAGTGATAGTGGCAAAGCGTCCCTTAGGGATAGCGGCGCTGCTTCACGGAGAGAAAGAGGTGCTCCGGCATCCCTCAGTGATAAGGGTGCTGCTTCGCGCAACGACAATGGAGTCGAAGCCGTGTCTCGTAAGGAGAGCGGAGCAGCCTCGCGGAGGGAAAGAGGCGCTCCAGCCTCCCGGAGGGAAAGAGGCGCTCCTGCGTCCCTTAGGGATAGCGGGGCGGCTTCGCGGAGGGAAAGGGGTGCTGTAGCATCTCGCAATGATAGAGGCGCTCCAGCATCACGGAGAGAGAGGGGCGATGCCGCGGAGCCCCCTGACAGGACCAAGGTGGCAATAAAGAGGGGGAGTTCTGCATACCATATGTCAGTTATGTCGAAGTTCTTCTTTGGAACGTTGGGCAACTCACGATACATTTTTCCTGGCTTGGACGGCTGCTACGTAACCGTGCAAGCGTGTTCAAAGGAACATGTAACTATCTATGGGGACGAGAGGCGGCAGCGTCTTGCAGTCTTATCGACTACAGCAAGCCGACCATCTACTCTTGGCACGCTGTGATGTGTTAGGTGCGGGGTTGCTGTGGCGGAAGAAAGCTCTCTGCCTATCTCATTCGGGCCTATCGGATTGGGTAGTTGAAGGCCGGGGCCCACTGTCAGGAGGAGGAGCCTTAGGCTTCCTGCATGAGATGGTGAAGGAATTGCCGTGGCCCCCATGCATTGAGGCCTCCATTGCCCCCGCATTGCCTGACTCAAGCACCTGAATTGCATCCTTAGAAGCACAGTAACAAACGGTACTGCATGGTGGTTCACACGGCTCGGATATCATGACATGTTTTGGCGTCCCAGATTGTGGTTCCGAATTTCTTTCCCGTCACCCTGCCGTGGACTTGGCCGTCTGTCTCTCATGTTTGTCTTTCCGCTATTCCTCTTGCACTTGCCAGTTGTTTGGAGTGCCCCAACGCAGAACCCAGACCAGGGGGGTCCTAGACATGCAACAGGTAGTAGTGAATTTCTCACAGAACAGACCCTCCCATTCTCTGTGAATGGGTCAGCTCTACCAGATGTTGACTTCGATATTGGAGAAACATACTCTGGGCTGCTTCCGGTTGATGAAAGTGGCAAAGAACTTTTCTTCTGGTTTGCTCCCAGCCAAAATCCAGCAGCCGGTGATGAGATAACCATATGGCTCAACGGAGGGCCTGGGTGCTCGTCTCTCTACGGCTTCTTTCGAGAACAGGGTCCTGTACTCTGGCCACCCGGCAGCTACATGCCACTGTCGAATCCCTGGACTTGGGTCAACTTGACAAACATGGTCTGGATTGATCAGCCTGTTGGAACTGGATTCTCGCAGGGCACACCGAATGCCACTTCATCTGAAGATGCTGCTGTGCAGTTTCTCTCGTTTTGGAAGAACTTTGTGGACCTTTTTGGGTTACATGGCCGCAAGGTCTTCATCACTGGCGAGAGCTTTGCCGGACAATACGTTCCGTACATTGCCGCAGCTATGCTTGACCAAAACGACAAGTCTTACTTCAACGTTTCTGGAATCATGATTTACGATCCCAGTTTCGGATGGCCACAAATATCCAAACAGGTCCCTATTGTAGCGTTCACTGACGCTCATCAGCAGAGGTATGTCCCCGAATTTGCCTCAGTACCGTGGCCATACTAACATAGAAAGCTTCCCATTCAACGAAACTTTCAAGAAAGAAATCCACGAGAGAAGCTCTTCATGCGGCTACGACTCCTTCCTGTCAGAGGGTCTCTCATTCCCACCGACCGGCCCGCTGCCATCTCCCCCAGGCCTCGACTCCAACGGAACAGTCACGCAAGAATGCGACTTACTCTCCTCAATCTACACCGCCGCAGTAGCCCTCAACCCCTGCTTCAACATCTACGAAGCCGGCTCGCTCTGCCCCATCGCATGGGACGTCCTCGGCACCACCACCACCAACCCAGCCTCCTCCTCCTCTCACGTGCCCGCCGACACCTTCGTCGTCGCAGAGCCATACTTCAACCGCACCTCCGTCAAAGCCGCCATCCACGCGCCCCTCGACAGCACCTGGCACCTCTGCACGCCGACCCCCGTCATCGCCAACTTCACCGACCTTTCCCCGCCGTCCGGCCTGACTGGCGGCCCGCTGCAGCGCGTCGTCGAGGCCACGCGCAACGTCGTCGTCGCCCACGGCGCGCGCGACATGGTCCTGCTGAGCGCCGGCTCGCTGCTCACGCTGCAGAACCTGACGTGGGACGGCGCGCAGGGCTTCGGCGCGGCGCCGACGGCGTCGTTCTACGTCCCGAGTGCCCGGGGCGCCGGGAAGGCGGCGGGGGCGGGCGTGCTGGGCCGCTGGGTCTCGGAGCGCGGGATGACGTTCTGCACGGTGGAGCTGAGCGGGCACGAGGTGCCGGCGTATCAGCCCGCCGCTGCGTTTAGGCAGCTGGAGTTCTTGCTGGGGCGGATTGACGACCTCAGCGCTACGACGGGGTTTTCGACGGAGATGGGGGCGGAGGAGTTGGGGCTTGTAGAGGCGGACTGCTATTGAGGAATGTGCATTTTGATTTCGTCCTCTGGCCATAGGCGTGCTGGTGTTGTGATCTCGTATCCCCAGATGCACAGTCTTAGAGCTGAGCAGCAGCCCCGCGAGGGGTCTCTGCGGGAGTCCGCCCCCAGCGTTCACGACGAGCCAGGCTTCCTGCAGCAGCAGGCAAATTCTTCGGGGGGCCGGAAAGCTTCGCTGCACATATGGCATGCTCGGGGCCCCATATGAGAGCATTTTCTTTTTCGGCGCCCTGTACCCCACTTTCAACAACCACAATGCAGCTGCGCGCCCTTTGGGTATTCTTTCCCGCGCTTTCCACTGCTACAATGCGCATCAAACCCTGGCGCCCGCCCGACATGCTAACCACCGATAGGCGTGCAGTGGGACTTCCGATGGCGGTTCCAACGAGTATTGATGCGGGCCTGATCAAGATGGTTCGATTTGCCGCCCCTCCGGGTGTTTGTGCGGTGGGAGAGCTGTCAATGGGGCCCCGTCTCAGCGTTGTTGCTATGCACCTGACCAGTCACTCAACACCTAGGGAGGTTTTTACTGTGATGATGGATCTTCGTAGAGGTTCGAGAAAACTATCAAGAGTGAAGGGGCATCAGAGATCAATAGATCTGTTTCAATACCGGATGAATATAGATGAAGTTCTAAGAACAATGTAGATGTGGACACGATTTACAACCAATTCATCCTCTGCTAGACCTATCATAATCAGTCCGTCGCACCTTCCAGCCACTGTCGTAGCTTCTGTAGAGCCCTGTACCTATCTGACACTTGGTTCTACAACAAATGAGAAGCTGGTCTTGTCTGTAGAGTGGGTAGCGTCTGACGTACCTTGAACATCGGGTCCATCTCCGCAAAGGTCTGACCCTCATGCTCGAAGATCGGGTCGTACGCTGGGAGGATGTGCTTGTCAGCTCCTTCTGTCGGAGCAGGAAAACTCCAATCTCGCTCACGCACCAAAACCATTGCTCCCCCTTGGTGGCACAATCGTGCCAGTACATCGTCCCTCGAAGATCACGGGTTCCTCTCCTGGTCCCCGGCAGTACGCAAGGGTGCAAACCGACGTGGCAGACTTGTCTTCGTACGCAGCCAGAAGGTTGCGCAGGCCGTCGTTGCCGACAGCCGAGAAGAACGGACGGCTGGGCGGGCGATTGGGCGTCAGGCAGGCGGAAGCGGGCAAGAGTGGGATGACGTACATGTAAGGTCCTGGCATGCCGTTCAGTGCGTGGAACTCCAAGGCCGTATCCTCAACGAGCGCTGGGCCATTGACCTGTCAGGGTAGAACTGTCAGCAGGGCCTCCCACGCCCACCTCCGCTGTGCCTGAAAAAAAAAAAGAAAAAAAAACGCACGGCAATGGCGGCGCGCCTGCACTTGTCCGCGGCGATGTCCCGCGGGGTGCCCTGGATTTCCAATACGTCCACGGATTGGCTGCGCAGCTCGACGCAGCCGCGAAGGATCGCAGTCGCTTCTGCGAGCTTGTTGCGGTTGCTCGTGATGAAATTCAGCACGCGGGGCCGATTTGCTGACATGATTCGCCGGGTGTATCTCGAATATGGGTTGGTGGAGGGAAGGCGAGCGTTGCGAGAAGCACGGCACGTTGGATAAGGCGACGGGCGGCCCGAGGGCCTGGCCGGGGTAGAGAGCAGGCATGTCGTGGAAGATGCATGCAAGGGGCCAGATCGCCGGGTTGGACCGGCGCGAGCACTCCAGCAACGATTGCCGGGTGCTTTGTTTTATGTACTCAACAACACTGCACAGTAGACGTACGACCGGCAAACAAAGGCTCCAACGACAGTATACCCACGCTATGCTCTATACGAACCCAATTGTGTCACGCTTGAAGGCGGTTCAGCCGTCCAGGGATCGCATTCGGCAGGCACGCGACTTATCGTCTTTGGCTGGAGGCTATTTTGTTTTCTAGTGAGTGCTATCGTAATGAAAGATTTCGTAGTCCAAACGCTAATGTTGAATACCAGTCTGGCCTCATCCGTATACCAGGAGCGTGTCTTCACCAAACCCTACCCGAACACAGGGCACTTCAGATTTCCGGTTGTCTTCAACACAATCCAATCCTTGTTCAACGCCGTGGCCGCCAGCCTCTACTTAGTCCTGCATGCTCGAAAGTCAACTGAATTCAAGCTCGAGAAACCCGCCCTTGCGAGCGTTGCTCCGTTGATGTTCATCAGCTGGGCGAGCAATTTCGGCTCTCAGTTCGGCACTGCCTCGCTGCGCTACGTCGACTATTCTGCCCTGGTGGTCTCCAAATCGTGCATGCTCTTGCCCGTAGTATCTCTCAACGTCATCTTCTTGCGCAAGCGATATCCAATCTCCCGATATGCACTTTTCCTCGCAGTCACCCTGGGCTTGTTGCTTGTCACACTCGAGAGCCCTTTCGCCCTGGCTGCGATCGGCAGCCTGAGCGGGAGCCACAGAGATCACCTTTTCGGTCTCTCGCTACTTCTAATCAACCTTTTCCTGGAAGGCTCCACCTACATTGTCCTGGAGCACGTTGTCAGTTCTCCCGCCATCTACGGTGGCCTCAGGGGCCCCCAGCGGATGCTGGCTCAGAACATCGTCGCCACTTTATTCACGGCGCTCTACCTAGTCGGAGTCCAGTTTCTACCGGAAGCCATCCTGCCAGCCATGGCGCATGAGAGCAGAGGAGAACTCTTGATGGCTCTACGCTTTGTTGTGCAGCAGCCTGCAGTACTCTATGACATAGTCGGGTATGCTGTGCTTGGCGCCGCGTCACAGCTGCTTCTCTTCGTGGCATTTCCTAGCTTCTCAAGCCTTGTTCAAATGAATATTCGCGTGGTTAGGAAGACACTCTCAATGCTTATGAGCATCCTGTGGTTCCAGAAAACCCCCACAGAGTGGCAGTGGCTGGGCTTGGTCCTCGTCTTTGGCGGAGCCATGGTGGAGGGCTGGTTGCAGAGAGTGGAGCACCTACGGCAGCAAGAGCAAGAGATGAAATTTAGAGAGAAGAAGGTGCTGTAGATACTATGGGTTCCATATCTATCATGAGATTAAGTACATACTTCACTGAAGACAGCTCTCATGTATGCCCATTTTCATTGCGGAAACGACCCATGCGATTTATCAATGATAACGATTATTATCATGATGAATCAAATTTTGCTCCATATAATATAGAACCTATCGTGGGACCTATAGATTGATTCATCCATCATCACTCTACAGTTCGCATCCGGACGGTTTTACTGACGGAGGTGCACCTGTGGCGGCTACTTCAGAATGCAACGCCGACAGTAGACCCGAGGTCGCAAGTGAGCTGGGTAGAGGTCTCCAATTGCTGTGCCTTGAAAAACTTTGTATTTGTCAGACGCAGAATTAGCGGCCTTGGAGCTTGTGCAAGTGTTGCAGTGCTGGCAATCGCCGCTTAGGGTAACAGTACCACACCGCCGATCAGGCTTCCCGCAGCATTCAGGCTTCCAGCCGTTGAACGGAGGGAGACTCGATCATTGACTACTGGCAACCGAATGCTTGGGCTTCCAATGACGAGATGGCGTGATGTACTGAGAACGGCGCGATAGGGACTGGTCAGTCCACAGAGGCACAGCATTACTCACACTCGAGCTTACTTCATGGCGAACTGTGCAATTGAGACACGCTATTGCTTCGTGTGCTTCCACTGATCGAAACTCGTCAGCCACATCAAGAGGGCGTCTGATAACACCAATTTTAAGACGATTTTACACTGCGTGAATAGCCCTCACCTTCAAGCTATCTGACAAAGCTATACTGACGTCCAAGACAGCAGAGAAAATGCTCTTCGCCACAAAGCAAGGCTACGGGAAACTCCCCACCACCAGCGACGAAGACCTAGCCTCTGACAAGCCATCACGGTCCTACATGCCCGCACGCCGCCATCTCCTCGCCGTCTTCTCCATCACGCTCGCCCTCTTCGCAGCGCTAGGCCTAGGCTACACAGCCGGCATCCACCAGGGCGCCGCCCACCACCACCACCAGCCAACTCCATCCACCAACGCCCCCCCTCGCGTCCTCGAAGAAGAGAAACTCCACTGCGGCAACAGCGTCGACGAAGCGCTCGCACGCAACTGCACCTTCGACCGGCTAACACTAATGTGGCTGCCACGCGCGTGCGACCGGTCGAGCGACGATGCATACCGCTCCTTCCACAACGACACGTTCGAGTACTGGCGCGGCGATGCCGCTCACGACAGCGCCAACAGAGATCCCGTCACCGATTTCTCCCGCGAGACGGCCGACGTCGGGTTCTGGGGCCCGCAGCGCCAGCACCTGGCGCACTGCGCCTTCATGTACACGCGCGTCGCGCGGGCCGTCGGCGGCGACGACGTGTACGACCGCAAGGTGTGGTCGGAGGACCACGCACACCACTGCGCGAAGGTGCTGCTGAAGTGGGCGCTCGAGGCGCCCGGTGTGGAGGAGTCGGTGGAGTGGGCGCATGTGTCGTTTGGGAGTTGTTGGCAGAGGAGGGTGCCTAGGCTGTGATGGGGTTACTGGGGTTGCTGGGATTCGTAGATAGATGATGATGATGATGACATGGCGCTAATGCAAACTGTCCTGTCCCCCATCGTACTCCGTATTTCGCGCCACTTTGAATGCTGTCGTTGGGCGGAAATAAGTCCGGACGATGCAGGGCTGGGGGTTTGGAGTTTCGATGGCCGCCCCGCACCTGGTCGCGTTGCTGTTGAGTGGGGGGGAAGCTGTCGTGTGTCTACCTGCCGCATTCGGGACGAGGGCCGATCCTAGCGTTGACATGAGCTTATCCGACCCTGCAGCAGGGGCTTGCCCCAATGCAAGCCTTGTTAGCTGCTAGGCAGCAAGGCTTGGGAATCAGGCTTCCTGCAGCACGCAGTGACTACACCAATGGGCTGTAAGGCGCCATCTTTGCGATGTATGGGATAACCGAACATTCATTGAGCCGTCTCGCTCGCTCGCTCGCCGGAGAGATGCTCTCCGAGTACACTCAATCTCACCATGCTTTTGCTGGCTGCTCTGACGCTACTCCTCATCCCAGTCCGGTCCCAGACGGCGGATAGCAATGCCACGGCCAACAGCAACCCGGCACACCCAACACTCGCCGAGTTCAGAGAGGCGTCGTACACGTTCTTCTCGCGCATGCGGGACGCGGGCTACGGCCAAACGTCAGCCGTCGTCTTCGGCGCCGCCTCCATCAAGAACCACTTCCCGGACTTCCGCTCCACGCCGGTAAGTCCGTCCCGTGCCGTCCCGTCCGGCCCGCCCGCCCCCCTGGCACACCTTTCTCACACACACAATCGTATAGGACCTGGACTTGGTCATCTTCGAGCCCTACGACCTCCGCCTCGACACCATCCTCGAGGCCATGGTCGCCGGCAGCGGCGGGAAGCTAAGCTGGGAGAACGACAAGGAGCTGCTGTACTACAACGGCGAGCAGCCGCCTGGTGGGCGCCGCGTGCACCTGGACGCCGGGTACGTAGATTTCGGCGTAAGTGTTGCCCTCCCCCCACTTTTGCACCCCCGGCACCCTTGCCAGTAGCAGCGGGGACCAAGAACTCACTTTTTTTTTTGATGTTCAGGAGCTCTACGGCACCGGTATGACGTCGTCGGCGGCCGCAGCGGATACGGTGACGTCGGCAGACGCGGTGCCGTACGCGACGCCGGAGGAGATGTTCATCATCAAGATCTGCGCAGCGCGGTCGCGCTCGGCGCTGGCGAAGTCGCTGCAGGACGTCGCCGACGCTGAGTTCATCGCGGAGCGCGTGGCGGGCCCCGTGCTGCAGCTGGTCGGGGATCCGCCGGAGAAGGCGGTCGAGTGCCTCAAGGCGTTCCTGCCGCGATCCAAGTACCCCAGGGAGTGGTGGTTGAAGAAGCTCGGAGTCGGTTCGCTGGAGTACTGCCGGACGGACGGAGGCTATGTTCAGCGGGAGATGGGAAGGGTGAAGGACGTGTGTTGGGGCAATGCGGTGCTGCTGGAGGGTCAACTGTAGTGTGGTGGTGGTGGTGCGAGGTCTGCAGGCTTCAGATTCAAGGAGGAAAAATCCATCATAAACATATGTACAAACCCTGAACTTGCTTGTCACACCCTTACGCTGCGCGTCAGCCAGGATTCTCGTAGGAAAAGAAAGGGAACGGCACCTACACAACCGCAGTAGAAATGCTGTGAGACATCAAAACAGCATACGTCCCCCGCGCTGCAGCCGCCGTGGACTCATCCGCCCGCCTTCCAGCCCGAACAGCAGCCCCCCGCTCCGCCACCGTCTTCTTCCTACCGCCGCCGCCGCCGCCGCCGCGCATCTCCACGCCCTCCATCACCTCACGCACCGCGCGCGCCACCTCCTGCGCCTCAGGCACCAGCCGCTCCGCACCTCCTCCACGCAGGCCACTACACCCCGTCTTCAACCCAGCACGCCAGCCGAAGAAGTGCATAGCCGCGACCTTGGCGGACGTTGCGTGAGGCATGGCTACATCGACCGTCTGCGACTGATCCACGAACGGCGCGCGGTCAGCCGCCAGCTGCAGCACGGCGCGCTGGCCCATCTCGCCCGCCGTCGCGTAGAGCTGCTTCATGGACGAAGGTAGGCCTTCTAGTTCGCGCACCGAGCCTCCATCCGCGATGATGCGCGCGCGCACGTCTGCCGTCCACAGGCCCTGCGCTGCGAGGGCGCGCACGAGGGGCCGGGAGAAGGCGTGGTAGCGTCCACCGCGGAGGAGGCGCACGTGCGAGGGCGCGGAGCCTAGCGACGACGACGAGGACGACTCGCTGCTGCCGCAGGGCAGGGCGACGAGGACGGCGTTCCGCACGCCGTAAGCGGCGATGTCGGCTTTGAGCTGGTTCCAGTCCCACTGCTCTGTGGGCACGACGGTGGTGGCGTCGTCCCACAGGTCGTACTGGAGGCAGCCGCTGGCGACGGGGCTGCCCGCGTACGAGGCGTGCGGCGTGCCGGCGGCCTGGGCTAGGCGCGTCGACGCGGTCAGGGCGGCGTGGTAGATGGTTTCGAAGATGCGGACGTTGAGGTGGCGGGCTGGCGCCGAGTCGTAGGGTAGGCCGAGCGCGATGAAGGTGTCGGCGAGGCCGAAGGCGCCGACGCCTAGAGGCCGGTCGCGCTGGATTGCTTCTGGTACAGCGTCATCGTCGAGCATGCGGTCGAGGCTGCGTGTGAGGAGCTGTGTTGCGTGGTGGAGGCCGTCGAAGTCGAACTCGGCGGCTGACGAGACGAAGGCTGGTAGGTGTAGTGCTGCTTGTGCGCATGACGAGGCCACACCGGGCGCCGCCGATAGCATCAGCTCCGACCGCAGGCCCGAGCCGCGGACCGGGCCGAGGTGCTGTTGGTTGCTCTTTCTGTTGCAGGCGTCCTTGTACAGCACGCTCGGCCCGCCCGTATCCAGCTGAGCCTCGACAATGGCCGTCCACAGCTCCCGCGCCTTGACCGTGCGGCGGCCGCATCCCTCGCTCTCGTACCGCTCGTACAGCTCGTCGAACTCGGCCCCGTAGCAGTCGGCCAGCCCGAGGCACTCGGCCGGGCACATCAGCGTCCAGTCAAGATCCGCGTGGACGCGCCGCATAAACAGGTCCGGCACCCACAGCGCGTAGCGCAGGTCCCGCGCGCGCAGCTCCTCCTTGCCGAAGCTGCGGCCCAGGTTGAGGAAGTCGAAGACGTCCGCGTGCCACGGCTCCAGGTAGACGGCGAGGCTTCTTTCCCGGCCGGCGAGGCGCGCCGTGTCGTTGAAGACGCGCAGCATGGGCACGACGCCCTTTGCCGTCCCGTCGGTGCCGGCGATGTGCGAGCCGTTGGCGCGGACGCGCGAGACGCTGAGCCCGACGTCGCTGCCGCCGCCGCGCGCCAGCGTCTGCGCGCACGTCTTGAGGGTGCTGAAGATGCCGTCGACGCTGTCGTCCGCGATGTCGAGCGCGAAGGAGGGGAGGAGTTGGCTGGGTAGAGGGAGTAGGAAGTGTCCTTTTGACATGGCGGCGTACGTCTGGATAGCGCCGGCGACGTCGCTGCCGTGCACGCTCACGGCTGTGCGCATGAGCATGTGCTGAGGCCGCTCGCCGGGCAGCAGGCGGGGTTTCACGAGCTCCTCAAAGGTAAAGTAGTCGTACTCCTCGTCCCTGCCGTGCACTATTGCCGAGTCCAGGTCTTCGGCGTGCAGTTGGACATTGCGGAACACTTCCTCGGAAACCAGGGGCGCAGGCTTGTTGTGGTACAAGTCCGAGATGACTGAGGAGAAGCGCTTCTTGGTCTGTTTGTGAAGGCTCGATATGGAAATCCGGGCTGCGAGTATACCGTAGTCAGGGTGTGCTCCCACCAAGGACGCAGCCGTCTCGGCGGCCTGTGCGCGTTGTCAGCCGCATGGGTTCCTTGCAGATGGCGGCGTTTGCCTCACCAGATCCGAAAGTTCGCTGCTGTGAATGTCATTCTGAAGAGAATCCGCCACCCGGCGTGATACTGCCCCGGCTTGCACGTACTGGTGGTGCAACCCAAACGTAAATTTTGATATGCAACCATCGAGCTTGTGCAATGAGAAACGTTCACTGCGTCCGTCTATGCTCGTGTAAGCGCCGGTCCGGAGCAGTTCCCGGCGGGTCCAGTGCACATACCTCGCTTGATGACGTACATGCTGAGCTTGTTTTTGGCCAGCGCAATGAGTATCTACGTTGATGGTCTGCGCGCAGGCGGGGTGCCCTCCGTGCATATTGATCCTGAAGCATTGTTCAAGTAGCCAGCACAAGTGTTGCGGGCAATGGACCACAGCCCCCACCGAATGCGTGTCTGCTTACGGTTCAGGCCTCATGGCGCAATATTCGAACAGGCGGCCTCATGCAATAATGTCATGATGATAATGCATTGCTTCACCCCGCGGATAACGAACCGCAGGTGGCTTGCAGTACTCCGATGTGGGGGCTGGATCCTTCGCGGCGCCAGGCGCCGGGAGGCGCATCCTTCCGAGACCAGGGCCGACTACACCCCATCTTTGGAGAGACGTGCCTTTTGGAGTTTGTTCTTGCGCAGTGCCCCGCAGATGACGGTAGGATGTTGATCCCGGCAATCAACCATTCAGGCGACTTCAACGCTCGTGGAGAGCTCTGTGGAATGAATCAATCCTTTTCCCCGGTATCAAAGTGAACCAGTAGCAGGTTCAGAGACTCAATCTGGAATATCGTCCTCCAGCTCTATCACGAAACGCGACCACCTGCTTAAATTAGCCCCTCACCATTCGGCATCGACAGCTCAAAGCAGCCACAATGGCAGCAACCACAGCAGCAGCAACCAGGCCCCGGAGGCCTTGGTCCGCGCTCCCGCTCTTCGCCCGCATCGAAGCGCCGCAGCAGCAGCTCCCACCCATCAGCGATGCGGCGAGCATCTTCCGCGACTTCTCGTGGCCAGACGGCTCTGCGGTTGCGTTGTCGTCTTCGTCCGGCTTCAACACGCTCGACCAGGCGCCGCCGCCGCCGCTCTCGTCAATAACGACGACACCAAGCCCCGTTGCAGCAGCAACATTGTTATCGTCAACGTCTCCCACCGCCCCACTACCCCGACCGCGGCTCCAGCGCCATCGAGCGGCCAGTAGCAGCCATAGCAGCCGTTCCACGGACGACGGCCCCGGCGCCTCGTCGATCGAGGGCGCACCGGCACCAGCACCGGCACCAGCACCAATACCACTCGGAGACGCGGCCACAGAAGACGCCCACTCCTCCTCCGAGCAAGCAGCAAACTCATCCGCAGCCGTCCTCGCCGCCCTCGGCATACCACTGCCGCCCCTCAACAGCTCCTCTTCCTCCTCTTCTTCCCCGCCGCCGAGGGCCTGGCGCTGCGCTTTCCCCGGCTGCTCGTCGCGCGTGGCCTTCACGCGCGGGTGCGACCTGCGCAAGCACCACCGGCGGCACTCGCAGCGCTGGTTCTGCCGCGTCGACGCTGCGTGTCCGCGGTCGGCGGGTCGCGGTGCTGGTGGGGGCGGAGGAGGTGATGACGATGATGCGGGACGGCGGTGGTGGTTTGCTAGCAAGAAGGATCGGGATAGGCATGAGGCGAAGCATTGTCCGAGGATACGGTGTTCGTGGCGTGGTGGTGAAGAGGAGGGAGGGGGGTGCGGGAGGGTGTTTAGTCGGTTGGATAATATGAAGGATCATGTGAGGAGGGTGCATGGGCAATCAGGATGATGATGATGATTTTATGGCGGTGAGGATGACGGGTAGATGACAGGGTTTGTGGAGGAGGGCGGCGTAGAATGTTGTACCTTGCTCGGCCGGCCGCTCCCCCCCAATCGCAGTGCCGGGCACCCCACCTGGAAATGAGCTCCTCTGATTGTCAGATCAGGAGGACCGGCGCTCCGTGCAGCTGTATCGCGCCGTCCCAGCTGCTGGGCAGGGGCAAGCCGTTCCTCCTCTTCCGCCAAATCTCCTCCATCACCTCCAGCGCGGCGCGGCACCGCAGCAGCGCCGGGTCGCCACCTTCATCACCGTCGCTGCTACTTCCTCCTTCTCCCGCCGTCGCCTCCGCCCTTGCGAGCATGCGCCTAAACCCCTCTTCCTGGTGCGGCTCAGCCAAGCACCCAGTCACGCAAAACGGCCACGCCAGGTGCCGCAGCAACCGGGCATCCGGCAGCGCCTCGAGCGCCGCAACCGTGGCCCCGACATTCGCACGCACCTCGTCGAGCGCCGGGTTGAAGCCCGACACGACGACGTGCAGGTACGACAGCGCGGCCAGCGCGAAGACGTGCGTCGTGCAGAAGACGCGGGCAGCCCTGCGGCGCGGGTCGAGGGCGGCGAAGCGCGTCGCGAGCGAGTCCGTCGCGCCGAGGCTGGCGGCGGCGGTGGACGTCAGCTGCGTCTCGATGGCGGCGGCGCGGGCGGCGAGGTCGCGCAGGCTGAGGCGGTGGGTGCGCTGCTGGTCTTTTTTCCAGCGGTCGAGCGCGGCGATGGCGAGGATGTGCGAGAGGACCCAGTTCGCGCAGCCGGTGAGCTGGTCGAGTTGGATGATGGTGGCGTGGGTGGAGAGGAGGTGGCTGTGGGAGTGGAAGATCGGGGTGGTGCCGGTCGAGATGCGGGATAGCGCGTCGATCCAGATGAATGCTGTGGTGACGAATTTTAGGGCGGCGGAGCTTTCGTAGGATAGCGGTCGGTCGGAGGAGGACGGTGGGACGGGGACGGCGGTCCAAGAAGCAGTGTCGGATGAGGCAGGCTGCGCCTCTACGAACTCGGCGAGGGTTATGAGCAGCGGCGCCGCCATGTCCAAGGAGCTTGTCCAGTACTCTACTCCGGTCTCCAGTGACTGCAGCACTGTTAGCGAGCCGCTTGGGTGAACGGGCATGGGACATACGTCAAGACTCAACATTTGCATCATGCATGCCAGAGCATTGACAGTGGCTCGTATGTTGTGAGGGCTTCCACTCGTTGTCAGGGAAAGCACGCAGGCTTGCAGTTCCTCCATGGCAATGGGCCGATGCTTCATTTCTTCTTCCCGCCATAGTTCATGCACCCCGGAGACTTCGTCTTGTGGAAGTAAGAGCTTCGAGTACCTGGCAGCAAGACTGAGCGTGGCGTAGTAGGTGGGCTTCGTGGAAGTCAGCAGGGAAAGCAGCCAGGTCCGGCCTCCGGCGGACAGTGGAGGCTCATAGGCCGGGAATTGGAGCCGGAATCCATGGTCCAAGTACAACATGAGGAGACTCGTTTCTCGTTCCAGAGAGCTGTCAGGCAGGCCAAGAGACCCGGGCTCCTCCGTCAGTGATCCGTGCAATGGTTCGCCGACCACCGAAAGGCCCTCAACGGCATAGCCATGGAACGCGAATTGCGACTCGTGAGAAAGCGTCGTCTCTATATCAGCCGTCGTCCAGTGGTACATGGCTTGCTGTGTTCAATGGTCGGTGTCTGATTCACTGAGGAAGCGTTGGTCTTCGTCGACCATCCTCGTTATACAAAGTGCAGCGCGGTGCCTGGCCCCTGCACCAACCGATCGTAACCAACTACCCAATGAGAAGGCTGATGCAAGGGTTGATAGCACGTCAGACCGAGTGGCTGAACGCATAGGTAGCTATAGTAGACATGGCTTGGTAGCTCCAAGCGCTCGCTAGCAACAAACGGGACGTTGATGCAAGCACCATGCGGCTTTGTGGAATCCTACCCAGTGGGACGGACCGCAATGCATATTAGCGATTGGCCCTGCGCGAGTCGTGTGCCAATCAACGGCTTGTTCTGCCGTGAATCCTTGCATCGTGGCCCCCATGGTGTTCGTTGCCCGTGAGAGGAACGAGTAATGGTAAGCAGTCGTCTACGAGTAGGAAGTAGCCCAACTGTTACGGACTCCGGAATACACGGAATACTTAACCCTTAGGGCCAAAAGCCTGCACTGGAAGGGCCGCCGAAGAGGCAATCCTGCAGGGGCCTCCGGGCACAGGACGGAAAGTTCTAAGGCACTTCTCAGGGTACCGGCAAGGGACAGCGCTCAGGGTCGACAGTTGGAGCAGGGCAGGTACTCTTGCAGCAAAGAAAAGCAGACGAGAGAATACGTGGGATGTTGACGCGTCAGAAGCGGGAAAAAGAGAAACCGATGTCGGCTAAGCGCCATCGTCACGTGAGACCCACTCGGGATCTGTCTAGATCCGGGCAGCCTATCGCTTGCCGTCGCATTGCATGGTAATGCTGAAAGACACATCAATGTAGTCAATGCTGGCGTGCATGTGTGCTTCAAGGCATGGGTTCTTGGTGATCGTAGTCCGTATCTATGACAACTGCTTAGACCACTCACTTTTGCTTAGAGTGGCGAGTTTACTCCACCCCGAAAGCACCTTTTTTCACCAGCCTTCCAGAACTGACTGATGGCTATCAACTATTTAACAGAACTAAATGACTAAAAAAAAATTATCTAGATAAAGAAAATACTGCGAGAAGAAAGACACAGCCGGTAGCAAAATAACCGCGCATGGCGTGATTAAGAACAGCTATACAATGTAGAATTCGTCAGGAATTTGTTTAGAATATGGCTGAGAATATCGGACATACAGATTACTAGCGGGAGCACTGGTATTGACTTTAAGGCGAGTAACATTAAGGACGGTAAAGCTCCAAGGAGAAAAGCATGCTAATCTGTCTTCTCTAGGGTTTAGTGAGAGATTGTGGTGATGGCGCTGATCACTCACCCTTTGACTATACTGGTATTCTTCTTCTTTCAGATCATCGAAGCTACGGTAAGGTGCATTCATGAAGCTACTAAAATAGTGTTGTTAGTCGCTATTGCTATAGACCGACGCATTCGAGCTCGTATATGTGGAATATATGCCACCCTGCTGCAATCCTGCGCCGTGATCATCCAGCCAGTAGAAAGGCTGGGTTGATACTGTAGAAGTAAGCGAGCCTGGCACTGTTGGCGTTGTCCAAAAGTCGATAAACGAGGCATTACTAAGGGTCCGCGGACGATAGGCATGGTAAGGGAGTGGGACGCAGGAAACATCCAGGTTGACAACTTGAGTGTCCATCTTCTCCGGGGGCAGATTCCACTGTACCTCTGGGAGGAGTTGACAGTGTGGGTCATTAGGGGGGTTCCACTAGTGTTCCAAAGACTTAGAGCGTGTGGAGACTGCCTCACCAACGTGTCAGCTCAATCGCCCCATAATTAGTGAAGAAGCTCACCTCGTCTTTTTCTGCATGTTTGATGTTGGTGCTATCATCTTTAGATTCAGTTGAATCTTCCTCAATCGGTGCAGTTGGTACATCGTTGGGCTTAGCACAGCGAACATTTTTGTATGCGCCAGTTTCCTCATCAGGTAGGGAAGGTCTTCTGCAGAGCTGAGAGTTGCCCACATGGTGAGCTTCGCTGGATGGTTCTGTCGAGAAGCGTCGACGTTGGCGATTTTCTTGCTCGACAAAATCTTCGACGCGTTTGCGTTTCCGGGTCGATTCGCCAAACCAGACTTGACATTCCAAACTAGAATATGGTAAGTAAATATATTCCACAATGTAAAAGTTCAAAATACCAGAATCTGCCGCCACCGGAGACTGGTGTAGTCTGTATTGAGCCACAATGCCGCATCGGGCACGCAATCTTGCCGACTCCATCGTCATGCTTATTGATAATGATCGCCATGATAATTTGGGCTCCAGGACGGAGGAATGTCCTTTCAGATATGGCCTGGCTGCTGTTTCGTGCTTGTACGAGTTCATAATTACCAAGACGTACTTCTCGAGAGCCTGGTCCACTCTTGAATCGCGTCTTGATAATGGCGTCGATTAAGTCGAAGTTGTACTCAGCAGGAATTGGGAACTTGATTCCCAACGCATCCTCGACCTTGAAGGGCTCTTGGAACCAAATCCATCGGGCATCGGCAACGTGAAAGGAAGACTTGATTTCGAGAAGGATCCCGTACATTTGCTGCGTTGTCACGCTGCAGTACTGAGATTAGATAGACACCAAGAACAGTGAGACGTTTTAAACACTTACCAGACAGTTGATGCCATGCTCATGAGAGACTTCAAGCCGCTGGAAATATCACCACATACCATTTGGTAGAGTGTGGTGAGCATGGAGTTGTTGGCCTCCACTGCATGCCTCTGTGCCCCTGAATTCCTCTCTATGTTACTCATAGCCCTCTGCACGCCCTCGAGAGTCCCTCGAACGTGTTCTTGAAAGCCTTCGGCATCTTTTGAAACCACTTGAAGCGATTCTAGTCCATGTTCAGCGAGAAGAATATTTATGGCCCCAATATGCACGCTCAAGTAGCCCTGTAGCTTCGTCACCTCCTCCTTTTTAACAAGGGACCATCGTATTCTGTGCATACTTGACTTGCCAAAGACATTTTGTTTGGCTCTTACACCGAGAGTATCCTCATACCGCCTTATTCTCACCAAGAAACCCTCGAGCGGCCGTTGACAGCTTAACGCAGCGTACTTGATCGATTCGAGGCTCTTCGTGTTCGAATTCTGTGACTTGAGTTTATCGAGTCGACGCAGGACCTGCCCGAGGCACTCAAGCTCGCGAATCAGGTCTTGGTAATCGGATTTCGCGCCGCCGGCATCTTGGAGGCAGGTGATGATCTCGGCAACGAGCTTGCCGACCGCGAGGAAGTCTCCGATGGAGAAGCCGAAGGACATCGCTGGCAGCAAGGTTGCATCAGCAGTACCGATTGCAGTGGAAAGTTGAAAGTGTGGAGGGTTGAAACAGCCTGGCCTGCTTTGCGATCGGAGCCTTAACAATTGATAACCCCCTGCGTCTTGTTGCGGGGCTTAGCGGACTCCGCCACCAAGGCTGAGCGTGCGTGCGTCGCTACTATGCGACCTGCAAAAAACCTACCGGTATGCTCTCCAACCAGAAAGGCTGCCGCGTAAGAACCAGCGATGCGTGTTTGCTGCAGCCTTTTCATGAAGAATCTTTCGCTGTCATGAAAAGGCGTGCCAGATCAATTTCAAAAATACATTATGCAGCGTTCCCACTTTCCCGAATTATGCGAAGCGATCGAAGGTGAGTCAAGGCAGGTGCGGGATGGACCAAAAGCGCAGGAAATGATTGGAAGGTGGCACTTATATGAGAATAGGAACATTCAGACGATTTTCGAACTTTCATTTACTCTCAAATGGCATATAGTTTAGGCGCTAACCGACAAACATGAGTGCTGGTCCAGCTTCAGTGCAGGAACGCTCCTCAGAGCCTCAAAAGCCTGCAGCAAGAGTGCGAGACTCGAACTGTGTACGGCAGTGATAGGCGCGATTCCCACACTGTGTATCGCACAGTTGCGTGGCACATTCTTACCAGCGGATGAGCCAACTGTAGCCGCAGACATGGACCAATAGGGCGACTTGACACGTCACACAAAGGGACCCGACGAACGGCTTCCAGATGCATAAGCACAGTCAGTATCAAGTCAGGAGAGAGCAGCAGATAATTGAGCGAATGGGAATGATGCACGTCAATTTGTTTGCAGGCTGCGCTGATTAGATCACATGCTTGACTTTCTTTGCACCGTTTGATGCCAATTGTCGAACTTAGCATATGCCCTGACTCCACTGCCAGGTCAGAAGGAAAATGATTAGCGGGGTATGTTCCATCAAAGAGTTTGTTTGGAGTATGTTCCCCGCTTAAGACCTTCGCAAATGCGCGCCGTTCTTTGCAGGTTCGGACACTCACTTCGACGCAACCCGATACCTGGTCAACTTCGATTACGCATCGCCCAGCCATGGAGTATGTGAAGACTGTCAACAGTAAGAACTACACGCCAAGCGCAGCCGTATGAGATTAACTTAAAAACAAGACTTGATCTCCATGCCCGCGGCGGTGATCCAATTGGGACAAGAGTATCGCGTTTCGGAGGCTGCCAATGCTATCCGAAGAGAATGGCCGAAAATCCATACCTTCCTATCATCGTTGATCATCCAGCTGGGCCGTGATCAATACCTACCTCTCTTCAACACCTTCTTGCAAGCATCAGGGGTAGTAGCTCAATATCTCACCGTCATCCAAGGGACAAAGGCACTCGAGAGGATTGGGGCGAGCATGGATGCTCAGACTGGTCTTTTAGCCCCGCAGAAATTCGCGAGACAGGTCTACCGGTTTGTCAAGCAGCGTTCCGCGGAGACCAGGAATGACGGATCAACACACATCTTCTTCGTGTACCACCCTGATACCGATTGGCACCCTGAATTCTTCCACCACGCCACCCATGATCGCGATCCGTTGCCATCGAACTTCCTCGGTCTCTCGGAGAATCTCGATGCCCTGTGTGTTTGGATGAGGTTCCTCCGTGGCTTGATGAACAAGGTGCAACCTGGGAAGAGCGTTCAGTTCCATATCCTGATCCCAGCATACCGGCCGTTGATCATTGAAGAACCGCTTCGCTTCTCTGACGAACTGCTTCCGCTTTCTGTCGAAGGGCACATTCACAACTCAATGCCACACGTTTGGATGAATCTTCCAGACATTTCCAATGAGTTGCTCACGCTTTCAGGGATTGGGGAACAAGCTACGTTACCGAATGACTGGACTCTCGGAGGTGTTTGGAATACATTGTCTAGCATGTTCTCTGCTGCAGAGAGACGGTCTCCCAGAACTTTGGGTGAGGAGTGTAAATCTTCTGGAGAGTCTCAGAGTGACGAGCAAAGGGAGTCAGAGGAGGACGAGATTCAGGACGAGATTTTCGTGTCAGAGGACATTCGGAAGGTCCACAGAAAACGTCGAAAACACAGAAAACACAGAAGGCATGAGCATAGGGAGTGAGACGGGGGATAGGGGACGTCTGGTTTCAGTGTTGATGTTGGTAGTCCAAAGAAGTCGATTTAGCTACCAAGACTGTCCGCAATCCTAAATACAACGAGCATGCACACACCCGCAAGATCTCAGCTGCCGATGTTGTTATGCGCATGAACGTAGAATTCAAAGCGGGAATGGGCGGGGGCCGTCATTGTACCTGTTGGGAGGCTGACAGTTCCGTGGCTGCGCGACCTTCCCAGCATCCCAGTATCAGCGAGGCATTACCTTCGCATGTTGGACGATTACTGTTGTATTAATCATGACTGTGGCTGAATGGGCCGGATTTCGTCAGCCTCTACGCAATCTCGAGCAGCCTCAGCCGACCAATGCTTATGCCGTATGGTGCAAAGACCTACATTGAACCAATTTTACATAGCTGATTTCGAGAAGGCATGTTGGACCACGTTCACAATCAGACATCTCTTTAAACGCCATTTGGCGCTTACGCTGAACCAGATTCCGAGAGTCTCTGGTAGGACTATACGTCTAGTTCCCGCCTTCCTTGTCAACGTGCAGGGACTTGGAGAAGCCACGACTGGGATCATGGCCGGGATGTATCAGTTTTGATCGGTACGGTAGGTTATCAAAAAGCATGAAGAGCGCTAAGATGGCAGAGTCGGATTATATATAGTAGACGGCGGATCTCCGCCCGCGTATCCACGCTGGATTGTGTGCTCCGAACGTTTAGAAGGAGAGTAAGGAGAGGTCAAAGGAGAGTATACGTCTAATTGAGCACAAGATGGTGGAGAAAGGGACTTGGGGAAGAAGTACGAGCAGAGAAGGCGCGGAAAGCTAAGATTGATATTGCTATGGGGTAATTATTATTTCAGAGTACAAGGTAACCTTGGTGTCAGTTTGATCCAGCCGTCAACTGGTTTTATTTTCGGTCAGGATCTGTGTGAAGTTTGGCGGGATCTGGACAGGGAGGGTTGAAGAAAGCGCTATGTTTGCAGGCAGCCGCTCCGTCACACTATGTAATGATACAGCATAACTTGTAATGGGCGCTTGCAGCTCGTAGATCTGCCACTGACACTACATGCATAGGTTACCTTCTTGTTTGGCCAAAATTGTTTTTGATTGTTGTCTATGGTAGGAAAAGAAATGGACAAATGTGGAAAACGAAGAAGGAAGAACTATAAAAACGCAAGACTGTAAAAGGATCGTCCACATTCGAATAGTACATAAGCGTACTTTCGAATCTTATACTTCCCCTCGTTGTTGCCTCATTCGTCATCCCCCAGAGCGTCGTACATCTCTAGAAACTCAGCAAGCTCCTCCTGGTAGGCAGTCGGGTAGGCGCTAAGATCAATCAAGGCGGTCAGGTTGAGGCTCTCGCGAGTAATTTCAGTGCCGTCTGCAGCGAGGTCTGCATAGCTGGAGCACTGGTCGAAGGGACTGATCTCCTCATCGCTGCTAATGACAAGGTCGCCGTCCTGCGTGTCGTAGGCGACCCTTCCCGAAGGAACCGTTGGATCCCGAGTGAGCTCCTGCTTCCTTATCACAGGGATGTATGGATAGCTGGCACCGTGTAAGCAAATGCGAAAAGTATTCATACTTGGGTAGTTGAAGCTATCGGCTGGACGTGAATGTAGCATTTTTGGTTCGACATATACGTCCGGACAATAGCTTTAACTGTCCATAAAGCAGGATGCAGATGGACTCACTATCCTTTCTTAGAACGAACCCATTCCGCCAGAGCGAAGAAAGCAAGGTTGTCGGCTATGATTACGAGCGCACAAGTTAGATCTCGTAGAAGTGGCGGTGAGAAATGTGATTGGGGGAGCTTTTACCGTTTCGTTGAACATAATATCCGGCTGGACGGCTGGGTCGGCGACCATCATCTGGGGATATCCGCGCCACTAGCTTGCATCTCTCGGGCCCATAGGCCCCCTCTGAGTACTCTATTAGCTCACCGTCCTTATTGTATCCCCGCCACTTGATTTTCAAGTCATAGATGTCTGGGTTTGGTGTATTGTTTTCTGTATCGGCGACGAGGTGGAGGTGGAGGAACTCATGAAGTAGGGTGTGCGCTTTGGAAATGTCAGCGCAGCCAAGTCAACGACGGAACTTTTGCATCACCTTGGTTCGCATATTTGTCCATATTGTACTTGTACTTTGTCAACCCTGAGGCCGATTCCACGACCTGGTCCAAGCCGGGCAGAGTGAAGAATCGCGGACAGAAATTGACCATTGGGTAGTCAATTTCATCGACGTCATTGTTTGACGCATAGGCGTTCAACGTGCCATAATCCTTCTGGTTACAGATGATGGGGCATTTATTGAATGGGTCATCGCAGCGGACCTACTTTTGTTTAGACAGGTGGGAATTGTGAAGGGAATATAACAGACCTTGATCCAATTCTGCCACGGGTTGAAATAGAACCCTGGGTAGATGGTGGAGGCTTTGGCAAATACATCTTGGATCTGCGCTTGCTGATCCTCGTTCTCCACTATGGAATGGTCAGTCTGAAGCAGTTCGGAACATCAAGGCTTGGGTCTATACGGGGAGGTGCCAAAAATTCGAGCGCGGCGGCGCTAGTCCAGTCAATATTTTCGCCCACGCCTTTCTGGGAAGTCAACCGATGGAAGTCATCGTAGGCCCGTTCGATATCCTTCTTGTACCCCGGTAAACAATCACTGCAAGACGTCAGTGATCACGAAGATCCGGAGCGCGGGAGAGCATACGTGAAACCGAACAATCTCGTTCCGTATTTTGCTGTCGTGGATATTGGAGGATATATGTCAGTAATAGGCTCGGTGCACGTCTTCTCCGACGTGTCCATGGTGAGCTCGAGGATCTGCGGGTTCAGGTTGTAGATGCCGTCCGGGCAGGTAGAAGTCACGCAGCGGCCGCCTGATGCCACCATGATGACCTTTCCGGTGCCGTCGAGGAGCTCCATGCGCTGGTCGCCTTCTTGCAGCGACGAAAAGGTGCCGAAGTTGTAGCCAGGCGTCAGGTAGAACGTCTGCAATTCTTGCCCGCCACTGAAGCCGCGAATGCTGTAGGGACCTCCGATTGAGCTGACGATGACGGCCCATGTAAGGACATCGGAGGCGGCTGAGTAGCCATCCGGTTTCTTGCTAGTAAGATCGTCTGTATCGGGGCACACGGTGCTCGAATGGATAGACTTATACCATAGCGCACCAACCGCATCGTAGCCAGTCGGAGGTTCCATGACTTCCTTTCCAGCCTTGTAAGAGCTGATAAAGGAGGCAAGCAAGGGGCGAATACCGTCGTGGGGGAAGTTGGCCTGCGTGGCATATCTGGTGGGGGCAGTTTCGTTGTTCTGCTCGGGCCAGATGTTGCCGATGTAATGGCTTTCAGGACCGTCATTCTAGAATCAAGTCAGTCACCAGTCAGTCGCTAACTTGAAGCTGGGAGTTCCTACCCATGTAAGGATCTCAATATACTCCGGCGCCGGGGACATTTGCTGAAGGTTGAAAAGTCTCCAGGAGAGGTTGTCCTCGCCAGCCCGGTATAGATTCGTCTCGTACTACATCAACCACGTGGTCAGCCCCTGAAATTCGAATCGAAACGAGAGACCCACCGAGTTCTTGTATTGCAGCATGCTCAAGCCTGGATAACCGAATGTTAGCCGGTGAAACCCGTATATAAATGGAAATCCTACCCATCATGTATGCCTTTTCGTGCGAGAAGGCGCCTTCCCTAACCCATGATTCGTTTTTCCAGTAAGATGTCTGAGTGCTGCCTCGTAGAGGCCAAGTGGATTCCCAGCTGAAGATGCCGTCGACAACGTCTCCCCAGTACTCCCACCAGGCGGGGTCAGATAGGTAGTAGCCCTCTGTGCCGTCAAAGTCGGGGACGAAGTAAATTTCATTTGCCCACTTGTTCCGCCAATCCATCCATGTCGTGTTATGGAGACCTCCGTCGGCAAAGGTGCTAACAAAGGGATACCCATTTGGGCCTTTGTAGTAAGCGCCATGACCCATATAGTCCCTGAGAAGACCGTCGAAGTCATCTAAGCCCTTCTTAGCGGAGCCGGCGGCCCACAGATCCATGCTGATGAAGAGTTTGAAGTCGGGGTAGTTGTCGCGGGCGTAGTCGAACATGTAGTTCAGCGTCTGGCGTACGAAAGATTGAGAGGGGTCGCCAATGTTCAGGGCGAATCCGTCAAGGCCCATGGCCGAAGCATCTTTGATGTCTTGGTGAGCATGGTCTTCATACACGTTTCCGACCATGTAGTGGGCAAAGACACCCCTGGTTACGGCCTTGGCCACTCCCAAGTTTGCGATAGTGAGGACAAGAAAGGATACCAACGTGGCCATGAAGCCGCGATTGAGAGCCATGATGATGAATGAGAGATCGCTTGATTGATGGAAATATGAGCGGATGTAGCATAGCCTTTTATACAACTCCTCGAGTACTACCACACACCTCCCATAGCCACTGACCTGGCGAGTGATGGCCGGCGGGTTCCGCTGAGGCAGCAACACCACCAACACCGGGCTGCTCCTCTGTCTCGATTGATGAGGCCTCATTTAGTTCAATAGTGGAGACCACAAACTCGAGTAAATGAGAAGTTCCTCACGACTATGCCTCTTTGGCTCCGTTTGCCGAAGTTGGCAGTCCACGATAGCTCTAGTCAAGTCCGAGGCTTGCGGCTGCAAGAGGCACAGTCGTGAGAAGGATTCCTAGTGGTGTTTCTCTCATGTCAGGCGCGTGCAAAAATAATTTGGTGTGCTTGCCAAGCCGCCGACAGAGAGCGGCTGCGGCGCGGAACGTGGGTGTTGCCATCGTGAAGTTAAGCGATGGTACAGAGCCGAAGGCTGACGCGAAGAACAACAAGGGGGATGACTCTGCCTCAGCAGCAACATATTGGGCAGTGCAAGCCATCGTCCGGATGTGTTAATTCTACATCTACGTCCGGGCAGTAACTTCAACTACCCATGACGTGAGCGAAAATCAGTTCACGATAGCTACCCCTCTGTACGTTTGGCGAGGCCACGGTTGGGTGTTGACATTCTTCGTGGATATGTACATACAGTTGCCTTGACAGTTGCGCTGGAGTGCTCTCGAGACGTACGTGTGACATTTTGGGGTTGCATGAAGAAAGTCTTGGCCATGCAAGCGCTGCGGCGCTACCGAAAATGTGATGAGGTTGCAGCCTGTGCGCGTGCCTGCGGCGCGGCGCAGTGGACGGTCCCCAAACTACATAGCATTGAAGAAAACGTCCACAAAGTGTTGCGCACCCTATCCAAGAAGTCAAATTACTTGCGATGCTCTGATTCATACATTTTCATCATCTTTCTTTTCGAAAATGAGTTGCATCCTCTGTCGCGGCATCACAAAGGGATCGATTGTTTTTCTGTGGGGCATTAAATTCTATTGGATCCTCGCCGCACGCGGGCGGATCCGGATCCTTCTCGCGTGGCAATATTGAGATCAGTCCAGCCCTGCGGCACAGCACCGACCAACGCTTTTCCTCACGTCCTTCCCAGCCAGCCACTGACACACAGGCACCCACCACCAGGCACCAGCGAACGATAAAAGGACCATCAGGCACTCAACCAACCACCACTTCTCATCTCCTTTCCCATCTCAACTCCTTTCTGTTCTTTTCCATCAACCATCCATCGTATCCCACAATGTCCTTCCTTACCCGCCTCCTCCCCTTTCCCTCCCAACCCGCCCCCCGCCCCCAAAACACCAAACCCCGCATCTTCTACAACCCACCCGACGCCGACCCGGACCGCGGCCCGCCGTCCTCCGACTCGGCTGACTCGGAAGTGGACGACCTCCTCGCCCTCTTCCCCCGACCTTCCCTCACCCGCCCACCACCACCCATGCGCCTCACCCTCACTCCAAAACCGCACGTCTACGGCTTCCCGCCGAGTGGCGGCGTGCTCGTCCTCACTACCCCTGCGCCGGCGGATCTGGAGTTCCTCGGCCTGCCTGCTATCCCGGCTGAAGAGATCCCGCCGCCACCACTGGAAGAAGGGAGAGAGAAAGAGGAAGAAGAGGCGTTCTGCGAGCGCATGCGCTTGCTCGGCGCGCAGTGGTGGAAGGAGGGCGAGGCGGAGATGCGCAGGGCGGAGAGGTTGAGAGGGCGCTACCGCCTCGATGCTGACGGGCTGGACTTGGGCGGGTTGCGGACGGTGCGGATTGTGGCGGTGGGGTTTGAGGCGGAGGGGGCTGCTGTTATTAGTGGGGCGGCGGAGGGAGGAGGCGGCGGCGGCGGCGTTTGGGTTTATCGCGAACGCTGGGGTCAGAGGGAGGAGGCCAAGTTCAGGCGGCGAGACGAAAGAAGGCGCGAGGACGAGGAGCTTGGGCGCGATGCTGTGGATCATGAGGCGCGGAGGAGGGGCCGTCATGCGCGGAGGAGGGAGCGGCGGGAGGAGGAGAGGCGGATTGTTAGGGTGGCCGCGGCGCGGACGATGGAGGAGAGGTGCAGGGTTATCAGGGAGTGTGAGGGAGAGTACTTTGAGAGCGTCGAGGCGTGGAGGAAGGTTGTGATGGAGGAGCACGTGAGGGAGGGGGTTCTCGCGCCGGATCGGGATAGGTTGTTTCGGAAGACTTATGAGGATGGGTACTTCCTTTGAGGTTGTTCTTAAGATATGTAGGATTAGGTTGGATTAGACTGGTCAATTCGGGTTACTCCATTAGCTAAATCCCCACTAGCCTTAGAACCACAATGGTGGGGTAATTGTCTTGAAATCCATAGGATCATGGAATAGGTCGGAAGGCTGAAAGTCCCGCGGCTAGGAGAGGTTTTAAGCATCCCCGCATCAGTGGGGCCTTGCCTGCGTGCGGTGGACGAGTAAAAATCGAGGGTTCCAAGCATTCTGTTGCAATACTATTATGAAAAGTGTGGGGAGCTCTGAAGGGAAGGGAAGAAGAAGAATTTGTATAAGGGCAAATAGGCTACAGCCGGGACACCCAAGTACTAAAACATAACAGGCTACCAACAAGAGGAAGGGGAAATGATTATGCAACATCATTTACCGGTCAGAAACAGTGTAGAGGAATGTCTGGGTGTGTACATGATTGGTCACGCACTTCGATGGCACCCAGAAAGCCACAATCAAAGCCCGTAAGATTATTGGAGAAAGGTCCGGGCAGAAATGGCATATCAGATGCCAACGGAAGTTCGAAACGATTGTGGCGCTGTGATTATGCAGTCAGAATCCGCTCGGCAACCCTCCCAATTGAGAAGAATGCATGGCAACATTTTGATTCCGATTGGACAATTCGCTAACGTCCCCTTGCGTCTTCTATTTTCGCGCACACATGACCTCTCATGGCAAATAATGAAGCGGGGCAGAGGTTGTCTGCCAAGGTACACCTGCAGGCGCTGACACGCGTCCTTCAGAGGTTCTCCCGGAAGTGCCTACTTAAGGTGGTTGTGTGAGCTCTACACAGAATTTCCTGTGTCAGGACAATATCCGTTTGATCCTACTACGCATACCGACTTCACGATCTGCTTTGACAAATGGCGATTTTTACCAAACCATTTCCTCCAGACGAGGCTTCTGTACGTAGAAGAGAATTAAAGCTGCAATATCTCATCCGTACACCTGCTGACTACCTTCATCAATAGTGGTCGAGCAGTGAAGTGGAAAAATACCCTTGCAAAATTTGCAGAAATATTGCACGCTGCATTGCACACGTAGATAAGCAAGAATACTACTTCGGCACAACTTCCGAACTGAAGGATTATGCGCATTGCAAAGATCACAAGGAATTCATCGAGAATGCAATCAAACCAGAGTTGCTCAATGAGGCAGTCGTACCGAATGGGCTAGACGAACACCCAGCATGGTCAATTCGCACAGGTTTCAACGGTATTTACGTCGATTACGCAGCCTTTCACAATGCCGTGGGGCACATGCTAGAGACTCCAAGCATTAATAATCTCATCCCTATCCGGGGATCCTGTCAGGAGGCGGAGTCTGCGATTGGCCGAGAGTTGAACCAGCACTGGATCGATCTAGGCACCATCCGACATTGGTACAACCGCTGCACGTGCGAGCATGGCGAACAATGCTCTAGCCAGGCATTCAACCTACCAGCGTTAGAGTTGCCGTGGCTGATCGATACGACAAATCGGTGTCTTGTTCCTGGATTCCCCGGAGCGCGCTATGTTGCCCTGAGTTACGTATGGGGAGTGGGAAATAGAGTCTCGACGACAAAGGCTCGTCTCCCTTTGTTCCAGAAAGAAGGCGCATTTGCAGACGGACTCGCTAGCGACCTCCCGCAAACCATCCGCGATGCCATTGGATTGGCTGAGAGTCTTCAGCAGAGTTACCTATGGATTGACAACTTATGCATCGTTCAAGATGATGAAAAGCATCGTGACCGTCTCATTCAGAACATGTCGTCCATTTATCACAATGCATGCATGACCATCATAGCAGCTGATGGTCCTGATGCTACTTGGGGCTTGCGGGGGCTTGCGAATATTTCTCAGCCTCGTCAGATTCATCATGTGCATGGGCCTGGACGGAGCCGTTTTCTGTTAAAGCCGCAAGGCACGCTCTCCGAGAGCCAATGGAATTCCCGTGGATGGACGTTTCAAGAATACATCTTCTCTCGTCGGCGCCTCATTTTCATCGATGGAACAGTGCGTTGGGAATGCGGCGAGGCTAGATGGCGCGAGGAAATATTCCCGGAAATCGACCTAGTCAAGGGAAAGTCCGAAGAACAGTATGACAACGACGATTCATCGATACGCATAGCAGACATTCTCCACCCGCCAAATCAACATCCAACACTAGTTGCAGCTAAACTTTTGCGCAACTCATATGTTCCCGATTCCCGCCAATTTGCCGTTTCAGTCGAAGCCTACAGCCCCAGGAACTTGACATTCGACACAGACAGCCTCCCAGCATTTCAAGGTGTTTTGTCCGCACTGGAGCCCTTTTTCAAACCGGGTTTTATCTTCGGTCTCCCAATCGCCGCTCTCGACGCAGCTCTCGCTTGGGAACGGGATGAAACATCCTGGCTGAGACGGAGACGGAACAACCGCGGTGCCAACGCTGGTTCGGACAAAATAGTTCCTCCTAGTTGGACATGGGCTGGCTGGGCTGGCAACATATCGGTTCGGCCTAAGCTAGAATGCTTAGATAAGACAATCCCGTTGTTGAACTGGTGCGAGTGGAAGGGTCGACATGATGATCTCCCGCGCCCAATCACTCACCAGAATGAGTGGTTCCCTGGTGAGAGATTATCCTGGGACAGCTTGTATCCCGATGTATCTTCTCAGGAGAGTCCGCTATTTACTGGTCTCAAGCCAAACATTTCCGAGGATCACTCCAGCCGTTCGGATTCTGGGACACGTGGCAGGTATCTATGTGCCCGCACGCAACAAGTGCTTGTAGAAACGTATCAGGAATGCGCAGCAGTCCCAGGGCGTGAAAGGTGGTCTCGTACCTTTAACGGTAGAGGTAAGTTGAAGATGGATGCTCTTGAAGGACAATCCGAGCGAACCAGGAAACATCACATCGTTGTTATATCTGCAGGAGGCTTTACAAACAGGCAGCCTGACAATTATAACGTTCTTTGCGTGGATTGGATAGGCGGGATTGCTTATCGACATGGAGTTGGATGTATTCGACGGGATGCATGGGAAGCTCTCGATTGGGAGTGGATTGATTTGGTTCTTGGTTGATTTCGAGTGGTTTGAAAATGATATACCTCAAATGGGTCGAAGCTTGGAGTGGAAGCTTAGGCGGGACGTTTGGAATGAAGGCAATTACGCTGTCAGCAAGAACAATCAACCGAGCATGTATTTAGTGCTTTCTTCCGGGCAGTTCAATACATGACCAGTTAGCCTCCTCAGCTTCACGCCTCAACCTACTACCACAATGCTAAGGCAAGATATAAGGATTGAAGCGCAGCCTGGAAAGTGATGTAGGTGGATTGGAAGAGGCTTGGAGGGTGATACGGGATTCAAGAGTATAACGTAGAAGGACTCACTCAGGTTGACAATGAGTCTCTCCCCTTGCTAGGGAACAAATGTCGGAACTGAGATGGAAACGAGGATAGAACAAAACTTGGATTTCGCTTAGCTCTTTGGTATCAATGATGATAGATCTTCTGACATTTTAGATATTTTCCAGAGCACTTGTTCTTATCATTCCGTGTTTGAGGGACGGAAGAGCATACGTAATAGCCCAGAGTCTAATCGCGGAAATTTTACAACATCCAGGATTATAATAAGGGTCTCCGATGTTCCTAACGCGTAAATTAGTGAGACTCTAACGCAAAATTTGTGTTTCTTTGGAAGTCTCGTGGGAACTTTCTGGGGCAGAATGCCTGATCCGGCATGTAGCCACTCATCAAGCGGCACCGCATGCGTTCCCGTACTGTGATACCATATGTAGCGGTAAATGTGTTATCAATCCTCTAAAATAGCATTCTAATTTAAATTTTTATTATCATGTTCGAAGGAGATGCCACTGTTGGTATAGATGGTTGTGGTGGTGGGGCTGTGGGTGAGCGGGGAGAAGTGGGCGCGAAATGCGGTGACGGAGTTGCAGAGGCGGGTGATCGTGACTGAGGATCCATCAACTGCAGCACAGAATTAATACCGCTCATGGAGTTGTGCATCTAGGGGGAGTCCCACGGAAGACTCGTCTTTCTCAAGAAATCGGCATCTTCGTAACCAGCTGGAGGGAGCCGATGGCCCAGTAGTATCAGAAGATGAGGTGAGCGAAGCTAGACATGTGGAATTGGACCAAGAGCCTGACATTCCCGTGTTGGCTAGAATGTAGTCGATAATTGCATCCGTCTCGGCAACGATGATGCCAGAGTCTTGCTGGAGGTAATCGATAATAAGAGTCATTCTAATAGCTTAACCATGCACTTGAAGAGACCGGTGTAGCTTAGATACTCCAGTTGCTTGACAACAGATAGTTATATATGCCGCTGAAAATATACTAACGCCTCAGGGGAGGCATTCACCGACATCATGGTCGCCGAACTTCTCTCCCAATTGAATCGGAAGCCCATCGGCGGCGGCTAAAATCACCAATCCCATTGGTGACTCGCCGCTGATTACTCAACGAGCTATGAAGTTGCGGAAAGAGAGTTAAAGAAAGCCCTTAATAATACACACAGAGCATGATAAACAATTAGGAAGCAAGTTAAAAGCTAGCGGCAGTGCTGACAAGGTGTTGTCGTAAGCTAGTAATATGCATCGGATAGATTCCCGATCCGAGAAAATTCGGTGCCCACTATAGTGTTTCAGTGTGTAATTGGCGATTATTAATTGAACATCATCACACCACTAGCCATTCCCCGCAACCATTAGCCGAAATAACTCCATAATCTCATCGGCAAGCCGCCAGATGGCTTCAGGGAAGTCGGGTAATGATTATGAATAGATTTTTGTTGATGCCGATATCACAAAGCATCAACTTCAGGATAAAAAGACCAACGAGACGCACGGCTCTCGGCAACTCGTCGGACTTCCTACATCGTACACAAGATGAACACCACCGGAAGCGACGATTACTACGACCTCGGGCCATTCCACCGTTCCGTCACAACCACGACGAGTGATGCACAGCTCTGGTTCGACCGCGGCCTCCTCTGGACATATGCATTCAATCACAAAGAAGCAGCCAAATGTTTTGAGCAGGCTCTTGTGCACGACCCTACTTGCGCGATGGCGCACTGGGGACTGGCTTATTCTCTGGGTCCCAATTACAACAAACCGTGGGAGCTCTTCGATCAGCAAGATCTGAGGATCACTTTGGAGCGGACTCACCAAGCGGCTGAACAAGCAAGGGAACACGCTGCGCAGGCTACTCCGCTTGAGCGAGCGCTTGTCGAGGCAGTACAAGTTCGGAATCCGGTCGATCCTTCGGACAGGAATTTCGAAGCCTACAATCAAGCATACGCCATCGCCATGCAATTGGCTTACCGCAATCACCCCGACGATCTTGATGTTGCCACACTCTACGCCGACGCCTTGATGAATTTGACGCCATGGCAACTATGGGACCTCCGCACCGGAGAGCCTGCACCTGGAGCACGTACCATGGAGGCAGTAGAAGTCCTTGACCGCGCCTTGGCTCAGGAAGGAGGCCGTGACCATCCCGGTCTCCTACACATGTACATCCACCTCTGGGAAATGTCTGGCACTCCCGAACGTGCGGTGAGCGCAGCCGACCGCCTGCGTGCGATGTGTCCAGATGCCGGGCATTTGCGCCACATGCCTTCACATCTCGACATTCTCATCGGCGACTACAGGCGTGCCATAGCGTCTAATGCAGAGGCGATCGCTGCGGATGACAAGTATCTCGCTCGCGAGGGAGGGATGAACTTTTACACCTTCTACAGAGTCCACGATTACCATTCTCTGATCTACGCCGCCATGTTCGCCGGACAATCGGAAGTTGCCTTGCAATTCTGCGAACGCATGGAAGCCTCAATTCCACAGGAGCTTCTTGAGATGGAGTCCCCACCAATGGCCGACTGGCTGGAGAGCTTCCTGTCTACGCGGGTGCACGTCCTCATTCGATTCGGGAGTTGGGACGATATTCTTGCACAGAAGCTCCCTAAGGATCAGAAGCTCTATTGCGTAACAACTGCGATGTTGCATTACGCCAAGGGTGTTGCTCTGGCGGCCACTGGGTACGTGAAGGAAGCGGAACAAGAGCGCGCCCTTTTGCACGCTGCAGCAAAGCGTGTTGTGCAAACACGCATGTCTTACACCAACAAATGTCTCGATCTTCTGGAAGTCGGTAAAGCCATGCTCGACGGCGAATTGGAGTACCGCAAACGTAACTACGACGTGGCATTCGAGCATCTGCGCAGGTCGATTGCGCTCGACGACTCGCTCGTCTACAGTGAGCCGTGGGGCTGGATGCAGCCTACCCGCCATGCTTACGCTGCGCTTCTCCTCGAACAGGGCCACGTTGAGACGGCGGCGGCGGCGTATGCAGCGGACCTCGGGTTTGACGATACTCTACCCCGCGCTCGTCAACATCCGAATAATGTTTGGGCGTTGCACGGCTACCACGAGTGCCTCACACGACTGGGGCGCAGTACGGAAGCTCGTATCATTCGGCAACAGTTGGACTTGGCGGTAGCTTGCGCAGATGTTCCAGTCAAGTCTTCTTGCTTCTGCCGAGACCCCACGAGGATCCGTGATGCTTGCCATTGTTGATTGAAGGGCGTTAGTCGATGTACTTTACGGCGGAGCTCAACCTCTGACCGGGACCTGTCTTTGGGTGGGAAAAGTCAAATATTCATGTATTTTCATTTTACACTGTGTATCTTAGCAACTTCATCGTTAGCTTAGACAGCTGTGCAGGGTAATAAAGCCGCCTCCCGGCTAACCACCCTCTCAGTCCTCATGCCACTCCTTACGGTTTATCCAATACCATTGATCTTCATCGCATTTTGCAACAAGATAAAACGTCTTTGTTCATGAATTATCGTCTCGTTTCTGATTTTGGAATGTGATGGGGTGACGTCAGAGTTGGAAGAATCATGGGCGATTGGTCAGCAGGATTACTTAACCAGATGACCGACTCATGCATTGGCATCGGCAACCCACAAGCCTCCATGTACACGTATGCATCTAGCTGTGGGGATCGGCAACCCACCAACTTGTAGCAGTGAATGCCACATGCATGATATCGGCACCACACAATTTGCGGCCTTCCGATCGGATCACCACATCCAAGTTGTTGGCTCTCTGCCAAATAGTCTATAGCTTTGAGCATCTCAAGATTTGCGAATGGCGAGGACGATGAAACATGATTACTTTCATTCTTTTTACCCAGTTCTCATTAGCGAGGATTTGATCTAGATCTAACAATGCGAAAACAGCGATGTGAGATTCGAGCCATGACCAATGAGCGCAAAAGCTCCATCCTATTTGTCAAATACCGCACTTGAGTGCGAAAGCCGAAGGTTCGTCTCTCCGTTCCGGAAGACCGGATAGAGCGTTTCTCGACGAACAACATCCAGGAATCATTTGAACTTGGGCAGCTTCCTATAACATCTTATGTTTCTTATCATCTATACTTTTTCTAACACGTACCTCTCACCACAAGACGCTGGAAACTCCGAACGAGCATGATGAATCAGCAACCCGATTCGCCTTACGCCGATGAGGCAAATGCCAGCTCGTCGGAAAAACATGATGCAGAGCCACCATTCCGGACAGAAGAGGACCCATACCTTCCCCAAGAGCAATCCATTGATAGTCTCAACGCCCAAGTAGATCAGCAACTCTCAGAAGGCGGCTACGGATGGGTCTGCGTGGCCTGTGCCTTCCTCATATATGCCCACTCCTGGGGAATTGCAAGTGTGAGTTTCCTTAGCCAAACTCTCCGAACATCCGCTAATTTTGTGCTAGACATACGGCGTTTTTCTCGCCTATTACAAAGCAAATGATGTTTTTCCCAATGCTTCCAGTATCGGGTATGCCTTCGTCGGTGGCTTAACCATCTCCTGCTGCGTAGGCGTGGCCCCGCTCGCCAACTACCTCTCTCATGCTATCGGCGCCAGCCGACCCGTCATCCTACTCGGTACGATTCTCGAATGTGTCGCCCTGCTTGGTGCATCTTATGCAAAGCAGCAATGGCACATGATCCTCACCCAGGGGATATGTCTGGGGCTCGGAATCGGATTCCAGTTCATCATCGTCGCGGGCATCATTCCACAGTGGTTCAAAAAGCGGCGCAGCTTCGCCAACTCGATAACCGTGGGTGGGGCTGGAATCGGAGGCTTCATATACGCTCTGGCTGCACAACGGATGCTCGCATCACTGTCTCTGCAAAAGACGTTCTGGATCTTATGTGGTGTGACGACCGTTGTCAACACTGTCAGCGCCCTACTAGTTCGGGACCGCAACAAGGAATCGGCGTCCAATCTTTCCAAACTGGAGTTCACGTTGCTCAAGAGGCCAGATGTCCTGCTTTTGCTTGGATGGTCCGTGTTCAGCATGCTCGGCTACGTCGCCCTGATGTTTAGCATTCCCAGCTACGCCAAAGCTGTCGGAGGTACGGCATCACAGGGCGCGCTCGCCGGCGCCATCTTCAATCTCGGCCAAGGACTAGGTAGGCCAACCGTCGGTCTCATCAGCGACAAGTGCGGACGAGTCGCCGTTGCGTCCGTCGCCACGCTTGCCTGCTCAGCACTATGCATCATCATGGGGGCCGTAGCCCGCCGGTTCTCCGTTGTCTGCGGCCTTTCGTTCCTCGCCGGCGCCACTGGAGGCTCGTTCTGGGCAACGGTAGTGCCTATTGCAGCTGAATTGGTCTCACTGTCCAGCATGCCTAGTTTATCGACATTTGTCTGGCTCTCGATAATGGCCCCGACTCTGATCTCCGAGGCTATCGCGCTGGTACTGGCGAAGAAGGTGGTTGCTGAGAGGCCTTACTTTTCCGTCCAGATATTTATCTGCTGTATGTATTTTGTCGCTGCTCTCTGTCTGGTCTTTCTTCTTCCATCTTTTAGATCTACCCTAGTATCAAAGATCCATAAGTAGGATAGCTATTTCTGTAACGGGTAATCCTAGACATATGAAACATAGTTCAACCTATGTACTAGATAAAGCATTTAGTTGTTTATCATTACTACTACACTATTGAACACACTTCTGAAAAGAAAAAGATAGAGACGTTGCCACTGCTTTCTTTCACACCATTGCGTGGAGCGCAACTCAGTATCATTTCCATCTCTTAGACATTGTTATGTTTTCCCCTGTCTAGAACGTTGTAAAAGCCGCCACTCTTTCCAAGGTTTCTACCAAAGAATCGAAAGACGCTACCGGGAAATTTCTGTATCCTTGTGAGACATACCAAGGCCGAAGTGGGAAGTCCCCTTTGGTTGATGGAAACCCAGTCCCGGATGGCCCAAATTAAGGCAGAACACAGCTGCGCAGATTACACTAAATTCTCTGTCAGCCACTGCACCGAGATGTATAAGCATAGGAAAATACTAACGCAGATTCCAGCCCAATGAACAGCGGCTGGTTCCGAAAAAGTGGACTGAAATACCCTTCGTGCAGCTCCTCAATGCGATAAGCACACCTGACGAGAATGAGAAGCACCGACAAGAACATAAAGGTAAGGAATACCGACATGCGTCTTGTTAATCTCTTTCGGGCAGTAGGTGTGCGGCTGCAGGTGATCAGATAATCGGCAAAAAAACCGCAGAACAGAGCCAGCGTGACAACCTGGAAGACCAAACCGGCCAACGAGATGTCCACCCCGACTTGAATGGCAGCGTTTGTTTCCGCCACGCAAGAGAGGCTACCTCCGACAGCTTGCAAAATTAGGGAGACAAGGTCACATGGAATAAATATCCAGTAGAAAAGACGGGGGTCGAAGCGTGAGATGGACCTATCAACACGGTTTATGCTAAAGGCATGCCATTAGTCGTGTTTCATATGAGCTTAAGATGGAACACGTACACTTGTGAAAGCAATACATATATTGCCGCGCAAAAGAAGACTGGGGCGACAGTTATGCAAACTTCCCAAAAGTCAGCCAGTCTCCCTCAGCAGAGTATGTCAAACGTACCAATTTGCATGAGGAATCCACTAAAGTCGAATGGGTTATTGTGAATGATGATTCGCCCAACGTAACCTATGATCTCCAAGGCACACCCGCTTATTATGCTTAGCATAACGCCCCATCTATTTGTGTAGATCCCTTGGAAGGTATGTGCGATCATGGCCACAGCAAAAATTCCGATGAAAGCTCCATTTGCCGGCAGCGAAGGTTGGTACTGAAGGATGCTAGCTTCCAAAGGACAGAGTTCCAGCGTGCAGTTAGCATCTGGGCCGAATGCAACGAGTCCATTTGGGAGTTGATCCATGCTGATCGAGTGATTATCCGGGGTGTAGGGTGGTCGAGGTAGAACAAATATAGCAGACTCGGATGCCTGCGGCTTCGTCATGCGGCTGGCTGCATATAAAGCCGATGGCATCCTTCCATTGCCATGGTCCCTACCGCTGAATGGACCCGCTTCGGCCAACTTCCGACATCCGGCACTGCCGCTCAGGTCAGCACCAAATGGTGTTCTGTATCTAAAAGGCCATGAGCGGGATTGTCCCACCAGAACCGGAAATGTAACCAGTGCAAGAGCAACTGATGCACATTACATTAGTTAAGTATAACACCACCGCAACACCGCTCCTTCAAATATTTTGGAAGCTGGTCTTGATCATGAAGAGCGAAATAGGCCTGAGAAACCAGAAAGACTGACACACTTGCACGACCCGAGCTCGCGTCCGAGCATCGCTCTGACTGCTCGAAGGATCGACCGAACACATACCCATTTCCCGATGATTAGCAATAATGTAAGCATCTCGAATAAGCAAATTTTCAATGGATGAGGATTTCCTGTGGTACGTCACCTCTCTTTGATGACATCGGAGGCGGACTTCCGGTGTTCCACCGGCTCTCCGCCCACGGCCCAACACTTCGACCATAACAGTTTAGCGGCCTTCCAGCGACCGGTACACCATGCGTCATTCGACCGCTCATCTGCCGATGTTCCTTACATAAATTCTATTCACTTAAGGAAAACTCGATAGTTGAAGCTTTTGCCCGGATGCACTTGTGCATGTTCGTATCGTGCATCTGTATCCGAATGGACGCTTCAGCTGCCTGGTCTCTATTGAAATGCGCCATGCAGGGGAGAGAAAGGCGACGGTAGGTAGAAGAGATATGCGGCTCCAATACTACCTTATATATTACCTTACCTTGGAAAAATCGAAGGAACAAACACTGGACGCCAGAAAGCTGCATTCCGATGAGTGTGCTCTGCCGGGTGGAAACTTGGGATTTGTTTTACTTACTTCATCTTGGACTAGAATACATTTGCATTACCTGGTGGAAAATTGTCAGGAACTGGATCACTACACCTCACTGTCACTCAATCGGGACTCGGAGCCAACGAAACCCAACCCAGACGTAGCATCCATCGATTTATGTATTGACGAACCCTCATACTTAAATAAACCAGTGATTCATTTATGAAGCACATCGTGTTACAATTAAATATATTGATCATCATTTCATTAGAGAAATAGCAAAAATTCCCAGCACACTGACGAAAATTTTCATGAAAAAGAAAGAAATGACTGCTCACATACGTTAGCCGAAAATTTTCAAACAGATTCGGCCGCCCGCTCGAGCATGTCAACAACCTGCGTGCGAAATGCCTGTTGCAACCTGAGATCTTCCCTCGTATCATCTTCCACACCAAATTCACCGCTCAAACACTTCAGCACTGCAGCTTTGTATTTGTTGCCTGCACGATACCCTAGGGCTTTCTCTGCGCATCGCATGAGATGCCGCTTGATTGTCTGGGGATTGCCGCATGCCTTGCGAAAACGGTCCTTATCAAGCGTTATAGCGGATTCCCAGAGGCCTGGTTGTAGCTCACAGTTTCTACTGCGTCAGCTCGCTGATTGGAATGGGTGACCCGGGTTGTGAGGTTACAAAGAAGAATAAATGAATGCATGCAACACGCAACATGAAACATGATCGCCTTTGTACTTTTGGAGCGGGAGAGGGGTCCAGGGAGGGAATCAAGGGAAAGAGTACGAAAAGTGTTGCCACTTGCCTATTTCTAGAAGAACAACACCCAGAGCGTATATGTCGTGCAGCTTATTGAACGGTTGAGATGGATTCCCCTGCCTGTCGGGGTGCCGATATATCTCTCGTTCTGGGCAGTCATCACCGACACCGCGCGAGAAGAAAGTCTCCGGCCGGCTGAACTCGAAGCCATGGACCCAGGGTTGAGACCAGTCGATATGGATCAGTGGTCGCGGCTTTCTGCCATCCTGGATACCTTCTGCAGATGTAGATGGAAAAAACAAGATATTCTCGCTTCGGAAGCTTTCGTGGACCTGTTTCACAGAAGTATTAACCACTGACTTTCGGATGGATCTAACACAATCGGGTCCATCCTTTGTACATACCCACTTGACCAGCTGGAGCTGGGAGATACAGCGACTGAGGTGGAATGCTAGACGAACTCTGTCACTCAGGGAGGGTTTTCCGATATCTGGATGCGAGAGGATGCGCAAAAGACTCATTGGCATCTGATTTGCACCATCAGTTGGGATAGAGAAGAGGAAGCCCGCTTGATTTTTCAGCATGTCGTTGGTCCATCCAGTGCAAGAGAGGGTGCAGAAGCCAATCTCTTTCGGCTGGTGCAGTAGCCTAGCTAGCCGATCTATTAGATCTCGAGTACGTGGTTCAAGATCAACCATGGTGGGCACATCTGGAGCGTAGGATCGGTACTCGACGAGAAGCGTCTCCCCGTTGTAGGTGAGAATGCCGAACCTTTCTTCCACAACGCGTGCTTCATGCAGTGCTTGTGTTAATACAACGCTGCCAAGCTCGAGCGTCTCTATAGGAGGTCCAGGATCTGTGGTTGCGAGCTGTAATGTAGCGTCGACGTTGAACCCGAGGGCTTGTGCATTCTCATCGTCTCGAAGCCTGTGGAGATGCTGCAAGTTCACCCCTATGGATGTGGCCAAGCACCAAAGTTTGATGTTCTCAGTGATGCGCCTGTTGAGCTCCCCGTACCGATCTATGATAGCTTCCACGCGCTTCTTGTCTTTGAGAGTCCATTGCCAATGTTGTAGAGACAGCAGCGAGCTACTGGAGTTATTTTGGCGAGTAAGCTTATGGATACTGCTGGTGGCTTCGTTGTCGCCGATTCTGCCGCTCCGGTGCAGAAGCAGTTGGTATGCTTGGTCTATAGTAGCGCGAAGATCCTCGAAAAAGATTTGGATCTCGTTCTGGACCTCTTTGTCGAACTTCTCAAAGAGAGTTTGATTCCCATAGATCTGGTGCCAACGGTAGCAGTAAGCGTGGGCTTTCAACTACTTTTTCTAGATACGTACCGGCAATGGCTGGAATAGGAGACATCGAAGAGCGAGAGTACGGTTGTTCTCGTTGCTAACCTTGTTCCCCAACGACCTCGTGTCCTGTCACGATATTGTCAGTAACCCCCATGTCTCAACAGCCGCATTCAGGCACATAATCTTTACATTTCCAGCGCTGCGGAAGTCTGCAATGAGTTCTGCAGTCCCATTTCCAATTTTCCAAAGCCCGTCGACCACTGCGATGGCGAGTCCGATGATGCTGATAGGGTCGCCCATTATGTATGGCTTGTGTGAAGTGTGCGAGGCTGAGGGAGTAAGAGTGAGCGGGGTCATGCAGATTCATACATCACTACAGGGCAAGTGATTGGCTCTGGATCACCCCAGTGGTTACGTAATCCTAGCCTCCCCCCGAACACTCAGCCGCACGACGCTCGCCCCGAGCTGACATCCATCTTCTTCCCTCTTACACATTTTCCATATTCCAGTACCTTCCTTGAAGCAAGCAGAGCGTAGGAGTTCGTCTCACCGGTATGGACGTGAGCGCTGAATCTGCTTCTCTGGGTTCCGTGCGTTATTGTTCCCCCGTCCCGCGAAAACGGTGCAAGGCTGACGTGCGAAAGGTGCCTTTGACGTCTCTGAGCTGGAACACATCTCATTCTCGAACATTTACATCCTCACTCGACTCAGCTAGCTTCAGTGCACCCGTTGATGTCAGACTCCAAGGACTTCAGGATGTCCACAGCGTGCTGCGAGCCGTCCGGCTGAAGCTATGCCCACAAGGCACTCTCACCGGCCGTGAGTTTGTAGGCGAAGGAGAAACGTTTTACGTCGAAAAATGCGCTATGGCGAACGACAAGGAAGCGGTTGCTGTAAAGCACCTCAAGCTCAACCAAGCAACGTCTTCCAACAACGACACGCGAGATTTCGAACGACGGCTGCGCTCCGTTATTCTCGAGCTGCAGATCATGCATCATCCCCCATTGCGCAACCATCCCAACGTCCTAAAGCTCATAGGCTACGGTTGGAATACGCAACGCAATCAGATTCTTCCGTACATAGTGGTCGAGCACAGCCCTTTCGGTACACTTCGCATGTATCTGCATGACCAGAAGGCACTACCACTCAGTTCCAAGGAGATTTTCATCGGTGATGTTGCGGCTGGCTTGCACGCACTTCATCTCTCCGGCATTGTCCACGGCGATGTGAAGCTCGAGAACGTATTAGTGTTTCCCTCCCTCGAACGTCCGGCCGCTGCCATTGCAAAACTCTGTGATTTCGGTCACTCCCTGATTCTGAAAAGCTGTGAGAATGGTACTAGTCTGCCCTACCGCGGAACCTTAAGGTGCAATATTTTCTTCTATTTTCTTTTCATGAATTTATCAACTAAACATATGCCGTTTCTGACATAAATGTTTCCAGATACAACGCTCCAGAGATCTTAAGTCAATCAGACAAACCAATTGAACTTGAAAGACTACACAAATGTGACGTATGGTCGTTCGGACTGTTGGCCTGGGAGGTTCTTCTCGACGGGATATGCTACTATCATCTTCAAAACGTTCCCAAGCTTGCCCCGTGCAAGGAGTCTCCAAACCAACTTTTAAAATTTGCAAAAGCTTCGGTAAAGCTCTCGGGGGATACACTACAGCGAGCAATTGTCATGGGTGTTCTCAATCTTACACTTCAGGATGATCCGGATGCTCGCTTCTCAGATCTTACCAAGCTCCCTATTGTGGCGAGGTGGCAGTAAGAAAGCCTCTCAAGTCTAGTCTTGTAAATGCTGAGTATCCTTTCCAGCTCCTGTCCTCAAATTGCGCTCGAAGCGACTCTTGCCCTTCATTCCGGCTCTTCCGATTGGAATTTCAATGTATGCTTCTCACGGATCTTCAACACCTATCCTTTCTCGTTTTCTAACGCAGCACAGACATTCCGCATGGACCAAGGACGCGAAATACTTTGGCACCACCAGCAGCACATGTTCCAAGATTTCGAACGTTGCCAGCGCGCTTCAACCAAGGACGTTGAAATGGGAGCAAAGTCGGCATGGCAGATGGCCATCTGCTACACTATCGGCTTCGGCGTCGATAAAGATTCCATTGATGCTATGCGCTGGACTGAAACTGCCGCGTCGTGTGGTCAGCGGTCAGCCAAGTTCATGGCCGGCATTCCCCAGAAGCGGACCTCAATTCTGCGTGAGAAGTTTCGGGCAAATTACTTAACCTTCATCAGGCAGAGCCTGCGGCAAAGCTTAGAGAAGGGACGAGACTTTCCGAGCGATCAGGACCAAGCCTACCGGCTGTTCGAGGCGTGCTGTCTAGGGGAATCTTCCTATGTGAAAAGTGTGTTGTTGAAGGATTGGAAGAAAAATATGAAGCCATTCAGGTGGCCGGCGGACGAAGGCACATGGCTCCATTGGTTGTTTATGTTGGACTCAGAGACTCAAGATGCCATCGCACAAGATGTCCTATATCCGGATCCTTCTACGACTTTTTCTCTATCGCCCATCCTGAAACCCCGTCGTTCATCGTCTCCCACTCCCTCTATTCTTCCAAATTCATATCTCTTCTCGTTCTCAATGAATGATGGCGAGAGCGGAGAAGTCGTGTTTGCAGACAATGATATGCACGAGGAGGAGGATGATGAAGAAGAAGAAGAAGAAGAAGAAGAAGAAGAAGAAGAAGAAGAAGAAGGGGATACACTTGACAGAGACCGCCGTACGGAGTGCTCCCCAGAACGATCGGAAGGCGACGATGACTTCAAGCACATCGGAGACTCGCCTGAAATACCCACACGCTCGTGGTGTGTAGACATGATTCGCTCCAAAGTCTATGTCCCTGAACGACAATGGCCCTTGCAGCTTGCAGGAACTCCGCTTGCAATTGCAGTGAGCGTTGGAGATTTGAACTCGGTGCGGATACTCTTGAGAATCGGGGCCGATCCTTGGGCGCAAGCATTTGATCCAGAGCAGTTTGGAGCAGACCGCCATCACCAGGCTGAATGGAGTGCTGTCCACTTAGCCATCAAGAACCACGATGCGGATATCATCAAAGAGTTGATTGCAGATACTTCGAAACTACCGAGCGGAATTGCTTACGCTTTGTGCTTCTCAAGCCCCTTCGAACGGACTGCGCTGCATGGTCCTTGGCAGAAAGAACAACTCATGAGAACCATCCAGCTGCTTGGAGGCGCAGAAGCTCTGCTTTCATCGACGGAACAAGGAATGTCACCATTAATGCAAGCCATAGACTTCCACGATGCCGTAGTGGCGCGTGCAATTCTCGATATTGCTCCCTTCCTCCACGTACAGCGCTTCAGCGAACCTGGCGATCCTACAACTTATACATACCCTTTTGTGTTTGCAGCCCAGATTGCCGCCCGACGAGATAGTGTCGACAGCACGGAAATCATGATGCTTTTGTATGGCATATCGAACACAGTTTTGGCACATCGCGATAGCGAGGGAAGAACGGCGCTACACATGGCTGTGACTGGCTCTTCAAAACGCGCCTCATTATTTCTCCTGGAGAGTCTGCCGAGCCTTCTCGATATGGTAGACCATTCTGGCCGGTCACCCCTCTTTTATTGCAGCTCAGACACAGTGTGTGAGATGCTGATCTCTCGAGGAGCTAAAATTGACCGATTGGACTTGAAGGGGTTCACCGCAATCCATCAAGCAGTGTTCAATGGTCATACGGCAGTGGTACAGCGTTTTTGCAGTGAGCGCGCACGTATCGATATCATACAAAACGAGTTCGGCACGCCTTTGCATTGCGCCGCTATGAAGAAAGACAAAGAAATCAGCATGATTCTCCTCAAAGCTAATGCTAGTAAGAGTTTCGTCAATGCCAAAAACAGAGAAGGAAATACAGCTCTCCACCTTGCTGCTCGCGAGGGCTCAAGTGCGGTAGTCAAGTTCCTACTTGACCATGGCGCAGACTTAGACTCCATAAACAACCATCAAGAAACGCCACTCTCTATCAGCATCCGCTACGGCTACTTTGCTGTCTTCGAGTGCCTCGCTGGCCCTACTGGCAAGCATCCTCCCCCGCCAAATTTGCCCCTGGACGGTGAAGGAAACACAGCCCTCCATGTTGCAGCGCGCCATGGGCGCTTGCAAATTGCAAAGCGATTGTTGGAGAAGGCGGGTCATGAAGTCAGCTTAAGCTCGCTGCACAATTACAGGGGTCAGACGCCGCTACATCTTGCCGCGGAACAGTGGCAGCATGAGCTGTGCAGCTTATTGTTGGTTTACAACAACAGCTCCAAGGAAATGCGTGACTTAGCCAGTGCGTGTGACCGCGATGGCAACACGACTTTCCACTTCGCCATGCGACGTCTTAGGAATACCAATATATCTCGCATAAACGACTGCCTGGACACGCTTTCCGCTATCACTGCTGTCGGTGTTGTCGATCTCACAGCTGTCAACAACGCTGGTGAGCTTCCCTGGGATATTGCAGGCAGGGGAAATGGCTGGTATGCCAGCCATAATAGCGGAATCTTCTGCTTCCTTATTGCCAACGGCGGTCTAGACGCTTGCCGAAATCTGCAAGACAAGAAGGGAAAGGACGTCGGGAGCATCCTAATCGACGTGGCAATGAAGTCCATGGACGCTGAGCTCTGCCGACGACTAGTGCAGACACGACTAGTACCGGTTGATACCTTGCACCCTGTCTTCGCATTGCGGGATGACGATCCAGATGTGCCGAGCCTGACAGCTATTGAAGCGTGGTTTCAGACAAATTCTTCGAGAAATAGATGGTTTCAAGAGTCCAATAGGAGTCCAACTAGATATGACAGAAAGACGTTGTTTGACAAAAAAGGGTCGTCTTCGAAAGGAGCTCTTCGGGGAAGAAACCCGTCTTCTAAAAAGAGCTTACTGCATTTGTTTCGGAAGGGTTAATACGCTTCTCGGTTGAGGTTTTCACTATCTAGTCGATAGGAGTTTTGTATTATTCTTATCTCTTATACCGTCGTAACCATGCGTTCGCGATATGGTTTATTAATTAATAAGCATACTCTTGAGCTTAATAGTACAATTTTCCTTAGAATAGTGCAGCGCCATCTCCGACTGATTGGAAGATCTAGACGCTCAGACAAGATGATGGTAAGTCCGTTGCCGCTTGCCGCGGTAGTCGTGATCGACACTACCCTAAATCTGCCGAAGCCGACGGTACCGACTGCGGCATCTCGTGGATCAGTAGACCCATGCATGCGGACGACCCTTGCCGACGGTAAAAAGAATATTTCATGATGTCAAATTGGTCGACTTTCGCGGCTGATGAACACAAGAAGCCGTCCGACATTCATGAACAACCGATGGTAATTCGTGGAGTTGAATGATATAGGCAAAGCCTCCGACACATTCACCAATCGCAAATGATACAGCAAAGTTCCTGCATGACAGCATTTTGGACCTCGGTGCCATTCCCCGCAATCTCATTTACCTCTCCGCACCGGATGTGATATCGGCAACCTGGTCATCTATTGATCAAGGCGAACCCCGCATTCTGGCAAATGTCGGATCTTTATCCGCCGCAGCTGCTCTTGCACCTGTGGCAATATTAATAGGTTCTATGTGAGGGAAGAGGCGTCAATACAAATTTCTGCAATACCAAGATGTGTCCTGCCCGTTGCATCCGCTTGGCTCTCTTTTTGATGTTGGGGCTCTCGCTCGGCCATCCCCACCAAAACGGGAAAACCTACCAGCTCCACATCCCGCACGGACTTACGCGGGGCAACAAGGTGGATGGGAGGTTTATCTCGTATTCGGTCGAGTTCTCGTACATGAAGGATTACGCGGGCAATCTCTCGTACGTGGCTTACCCTTCCAATGGACTGCAAGAGGTTGACAGTCAACAAGACACCCAAACACCCTGTCGAGCCAGCTGCTGCAGAGCCTCTTTGAGGCGTCCGGGTCCTATCCTCTCATACGTGTAGGAGGAACCACTCAGAACAAGAACATATGGATCCAGAATCAGACTGAAGCACTTATCGAAATCTTCGAGTCTCCTGGGGATGATCAACCGACTTCGTTGTCAGTGGGACCGAGCTGGCTGGAGTCCTTCCAGACGTTTCCTAATGGCACGCGATACATCTATGGACTCAACTTCATTGAAGGTGACGCCGGTGTTGAGCAGGACGTGCTGCAGGCGAGTAACGTCGCTGAGGCCTTGGGTGAAAGTCTCTATGCGTTTGAAATTGGCAATGAGTTCGATGGTGAGTCCTTAAGCTGTCTGAGATTTAGTTTAAATGCTCACTTACGCCCTTTGAAAGCATTTCCGATCAACAGATCAGATAACTGGTCTCTTGAGCTCTACGTAGACGAATGGTTGGGCCATGCCACTGCCATAGAGGACAACATTACAGCTGCTCAAGATGAGACCGAGAGACCTCTTTTTCAGGCTGGCGTATTTGCTGCTGATTCCGATTTACCGATGCAGGGAGACACGCCGTGGACCGCGGAGGCCGCGCTCGAACATGGTATTGCTGAAACCGGACTGGTGAAATCTTGGTCTGATCATACGGTACGATCCCCACTGAGCTACGCCATTTTACCTTGTAAACCACAGCTCCTATATCTGTATATGAACCGGCCAGTCTGGTATGTCGTTAACACATTATGCGCAGTACATGGGCGCAATCTGCGGACTTCCCGGCCAGGAGACACCAACCCTGGAAGGCACAGTCCTCAACCGCACAAACATGCTCGAGAGGATGAAGACGCACGAGGAACAAGCAGACTATTGTGCTGCACACGGCGTGCCCTACGTCATCGGCGAGACAAACTCCATTGCCGTAAATCCCCCCCCTCTTCCTCCTCCACCCCGCCTACTTCTCCTCCGCCAGAGACACATCTACTAACACCACCCAAGTGCCAAGGCCTCGCCGGCGCCTCCGACGTCTTCGGCGCCGCTCTTTGGGCCGCCGACTACACTCTGCACGCCGCCTCGACCAACATCTCCCGCCTGCACTTCCACATGGGCACGCCGTACCGCTACTCTGCCTGGCAGCCCGTCGACATCAACGACACGGTGGCGCGAGCGAAGCCGGTGTATTACGGGAACTTGTTCGCGGCGACGGCGCTGGCGGGTGCGGGGAAGAGCGTGGTGAGTCTTGTCAGTGAGGAGTTCTTTTCGGCCTATGGTGTTTTTGGTGGTGCTGATGGCGGTGGTGAGGCGGAGCTCGAGAGAGTTGTGGTTGTGAATTTACGGATGCACAACGCGACGGAGACGACGCCGCGGGGGGAGATGGAGGTGGCGTTGCCGAGTCAGATGGTTGGACGGCGGATGGGAGTGAGGAGGTTGAAGGGGCGTGGCGCGGATGTTGCGGATGGTATCACTTGGGCAGGGAAGACGGTGGATGCGCAGGGGAAGCTGGTCGGGGATGAAGTGGTGGAGGGGGTGACTGGTGAGAGAGTCTGGGTTGAGGACAGTGAGGCGGTGATTATTTCTAGTCTGGATTGAGTAAAGTCTGGTGCATTTACATGGGTAGTTGAATCTATCGTCCGGATGCAAATGTGGAATTATTACCCATCGCATGAGCGAAATGATTCACGCTATCAGTCAGCTGCAATAACCCCCCTGTAGACTATGCATGCACGTTGGCGCTACGGATGACAAGCGTATTGGTTTAGGTAACGTCAAAGATATCACATCCCGCTGCAGCCCGAAATTGAATTCGCAGCGATGGCAACCGACCGCAGCAGCCACCACCTGCGTCACATCGCGCCGGTTTAAACATGTCGCTGGTAGCCATGCCCCGGCCGATATCCTTTTCACCCCTTGCTCTGTGTAACAGTAACGAGGCTGAAGGATTCAACCGCCTATTCTGTACGCTGAGGGCTGTGCTTCAGTTACACCAAAAGGCTCAGCCTCGCGGGAGCCTAGAGCACAGCCATCGCGAGCCGGGAGGGCTATCAACTAAGATTCTTGGATAGTTAAAAGGAACGTGCGAACCCTTTGAAGCAACCGTTTTCAATTCCAATTTTTGTCTTCGCAATATTTGCCTCGCCCAGCCTGGCAGTGGACACACGGACAAAGGACGCCAACACCATTCAGTCACGAGGTTTACTGTGGATACCACTGAAGAGATGGGTGGACCACGCTCGTTCCTCGCGTCGAACCTTCCGCCCTACTCCCACCGGAGCCTTCGCCGTAAAGTTTGGGAGTCAAAATCTCGTGATGACAAGTGCTCACCCGCGAGCCAATCTTCAACAGCCAAAGAAGAAAGCAATGCTGTCATTACCATAGGTACAACACGGTCAAACTCAAACATGCTGCACTTTGCAAAGGGCGAAACCGATGAAGCACACTGCTCAGAGTTTCAGAATGTTCTGCAGAAGCAATTGCAAGAGTCTACCGGTCTTGTACTTGTGTGAGTGTTTTTCAAAATCACCCAGAGTTTTCAAATACTCATATACTATAGCGCTGTAGAGGGCCAGCAGCAATGGATTGACGGTATGCTTCGTGGAAGCTTCCCAGGATTGCCCCCGGCTTCCTACCACCAGATCCATTCCGGCCATACTAGCGGTATGACTTCGTTTCCGCTACTTAGTGAAAAAGGTGAGGATATGCTCAATTTCAAACCAGATAGTACCCGCAGCACTGATTGTACTTTCAGATCTAGCATTTGTTATGGATCACATTTCCATCTCGTCTGATGCGCAGATCTTGAACACTTCCAGAGATCTGCAGCTAAATCAGCGGCGTAAGTGGATCGCCGGTTCGTGGACGCGAGCTTGGCTGACATAATTACGGTTTTGCTGTAGAGTCCGCTGTATTCTTCCGTGTTTTCACGTGGATCTGTTACGAAGGCGCATTGACTTCAGATCCAGATCGTCCAGTAATTGTCATGATTGGGGAGCAAGGGCGTGATTTCGCCAAAGAAATCATAAACTTCTACATGTCAGAAGATTGTCGACGCTGGAAACGTCTCTGTGACCATAGTCAATGGAGCTTCCTAGATCTATATTTCCAGTTCACGAGTTGGGCTCGAATTATTGAGGCTGTAGGAGACAACTCAGCTTTCATGGTGCGGTCCCTGGCATTAACTGCTTCCGCTAGCTTGCTAACCGGTTCACAGGAAGCTATGGCATATCAAAAGATGCTCCAGGCTATTTCCATCACCCGGGCGCTTCACATGGACACTGGATGCCTTCTGGAACTTCGCGAGCACCTTCGCCTTCATAAAGATATTGTTCGCTACATCAAAAGCTCGATCACGCCTCCTTTACCACGCTCTCGTCACAGCCCTCAAATGTCAATGTTCATGGCACGCCTCGACCTGCTTCTACGCGCTCTGGATCACTACGAGCGTCTTGCGGAGACAAATATGGAACACCTTCACAACCTTCTTTGCTTGGTAGAGTGCCCCAGACTAGTAAATGCCCCAGTACTAACTGATGAGAAGGTCTTCAATACCGAGACAGTTGAGCAAGGAAGGTCTATGGCAAGGTTGAGTGCACTCGCCTTCATTTTCATCCCCTTATCATTTGTTGCTGTAAGTCAATGTGACTCTAGCCGCTTTAGAGTGGGACGCTGACAAATGAAGGCCATCTTCGGGATGACAGAAGCACATTTGCAGCCGAAGTGGTACGTAGTCAGTGCTGCACCTGTACTGCTCATCACTTTACTCGGTGCTCTCGTTTCACCCTGGATCACGGCTTATTGGGAAAGCTCTCGGACGAAGTCTTTCCTGCAGAGCTCTCAGAGCCCTGCCGAATCTACGTCAACGACTTTTTCCAATGCAGGTTCATCTCCGTCTTCATCTCAATCTCACCTTCCTATCAAACCAAATCCAAGACCTCTATCTGACACGTATACTCCACCTATTTATCGCTCGACGAGTCGCTTTGAAAATCGGATGCAGACGATTACAGATGGCTCCTACAGCCGGTTCTATCCGAATACCTTCAATGTTTTACGCGAGTTTTCTTTTTGACGATTTGCTATTGGTCGCAGATTGATATTCATTACATCTATTAAATTGGTAGCGCTTTTCTGAACTTTAATCCTGCTATAATATAGAGTATCTCGTCGAAAAATGGAGAATCCAAGTGTTACATATTATCGTTCGTATAAAGTAAAAGGAATTAATAGAGGCAGATACATCCGGGGACCTCGTACCTAAGCTTTCATTGCGAACTAAGAAAGTGTCATTGAGATTAATAGCAAGACTGATGATGAGGAAAGGCTTTGTATTTTCATACTTAAGCTATTGAGGGTATCTTTTATTTCTTAGGGCATTGGGGATATCTGAATGCAGAAAACGGTAATTGCTGAAGCAGCCACAAATGCCAAACCACAATTCCTGCACCAGCATCCCCACATAAACGCCCATCCGATAAGATCTCCACCAGCCTCACGTGGTGCACAAACATCCGCAGCCGATTATCTGAGACGTCTTCCCCCGCACCGCCCAATCACAGCGCCGCACCGGCCATGATTATCTCCAAAACACCATCCGGCTGCATATGGCGTGCTTCGCCACACCTCACGGCAACGCCAACGACTTGCCGAAGCTTGGTCCTTGAATAAGCTTCCGCCGGCGCCTCAAAACAAATAGTAGTTCTCAACCCCAGCCCTTTCCCCGGCATCCAAGAGTCATGGCAACGCCTCTCGCCACCAAAGACGTTGCCGCAACGGCCGTCTCGCCCTCGCCGCCCTCGCCGATCGACGACGACGAGCAGCAGTGGGGGGAAAAGCGGAAGCCGCTGCGTCGCCGCGTCCGCGAACTGCTGTGGGACAGCTTCGACCGCAGCCCCGCGGAGCGCCGGTTCATCGCCAAGATCGACTTTTTCATCCTGACCTGGGCGGGTTTTTCGTATTTCTCGAAGAACTTGAACTCGAATAATCTATGTAAGTCTGGTATACATACACACGCTTGTTGCATGAACTGATCGGTCCGGTAGCAAACGCCTATGTCTCGGGCATGAAGGAGGAACTGAACGTCGTGGGGAACCAGTACCAGACCTTCACCACCATGTGGACGATGTGAGTTGGAGCGGCCCGGGCCGCAGCACGATGCACCAACTGACACCAGGTGCTGTGCAGCGGCTACGTCATCTCCCAAATCCCATCGCAGCTGGTCTGCACGCGAGGTAATTCCATCCGCATCCGCATCCCCACCTACCCTTCCTCGTCCTCCCTCCACTAACTAACTCTTCCATCCAGTCCGTCTGTCCCTCTGGTGCCCTAGCTGGGAGCTCTTCTGGGTCATCGTGACGTTCGCCAGCTCGGCCGTGAAGACGCCGTACCAGCTGTACGCCTGCCGGTTCCTGGTAAGTGTCCTCCGTTCGTTCCTTCATTCATTTCGTTTCGTCTGGGAGTAGGTCGTGGTTGATTGGGCTTGGCTCGGCACGGCTCGGCTGACTCGCGGGCACGCGTGTATGTGCGTGCGGACAACAGGTCGGCCTGGCAGAAGGTACGTTCTACCCGGCAGTGCACACGGTGCTGGGCGGCTGGTACACCAAACAAGGTCTGTTTTCCGCCGCCAACCCCCACCCCTTGCTCTTCCGTCCCGATCCGGGGCCCGGGCCGCGCTGACGGGACGATCCGGAGGGAGTAAACAGAACTCGCGAAAAGGGCGTGCATTTTCTTCGCGTCGGCTTTCATTGGGTCCATGTTTAGTGGGTATCTGGTAAGCGCGCGTGTGACACGTAACTGTCTTTCGTGGTGCTTACGGCGCTGACGCGGGGGGTGACACAGCAAGCGGCGCTGTACACGGGGATGAACGGCGTGCACGGGCTCGCGGGGTGGCGTTGGCTGTTTGTCTTTGACGGCGTCATCACTCTGCCCATGGCGGTGTGGGGTATGTTGTCTATTTGGCTGAAAGATGTATTGATGGAAGAAAAAAAATGCTAAATGCATCAGGTTACTACGCTCTTCCGGACCTCCCCAGCAACACTCGCGTCCATTGGCTGAAGGCTGAGGAAAAGGAGCTTGCGCTCGAGCGCATGAGAAAGGCGGGCAAGCATCTAGAAGAGCCGTTTACGATTCATGGCCTCAAACGCATCCTGAAGAAGTGGCACTTCTGGGTGTACACGGCGTACTATACGTGAGCTCTCCCCCGCGCATCTCCACTCGGACAACGGTAACTGACACCCCGCAGCTTCTTCATCTGCAGCGAGAACATCGGGACCTACATGAATCTCTGGCTGAAGAGCCTGGACCGGTACTCGGTGTCGCAGATCAACACGTACCCGACCGTCATCAACGCCGTCACCATCGTCACGACGCTGTGCTACGGGTGGGTCAGCGACGGGCTGCAGGTGCGGGCGCCCATCGTCTACTTCTCGCTGGGCGTGTGCTTCTTTGCGGCTTGTAACCTGGCCGTGTGGGACGGCGTGCCGTTCGGGCTGAAGTGGGCGTCGTTCTACCTGACGGGCTTCGCGCAGGGCTCCGGCCCCGTCTTCCTGACCATGGTCAACGAGCACTGCGCGGGCGACAGCCTCGAGCGCAAGTTCATCCTCGGCACGACGAATTCGGTCGCCTACGCCTTCAACGCGTGGATCCCGCTCATCACGTACAACACCAACTACGCGCCGCGCTTCCTGGTCGGAAACTCGGTGACGGTGGGATTGATCGTGTGCGCAGCGGCGACGCTGACGCTGGCGGTGTGGCTGCAGAGGAGAGACGGGTAAGTTGCCCCAGCGAGAGTCTCGTGTTTGGCTGACTCATGGTGCATAGTGAAATGGAGGGGAAAGAACGAGGTGCGACAATGGTGGGAGATGCGTAGCGTGTCGAGCAAGGTGCACGTGGACCAATACTTTGTGGGGTTCAGTGGTGATCACGCCGATGGGATAGGTTCAAGGCGGTTTGATGAGGATGTGGTCGTTCATTTGGTGGGCCGTTGTGAGTTAGAGTCATGCTAGAGGATCGAAAAGGCGCCGAGCAGCGGCAGAGATGAGCGCGCTTCCTATTTTGATCTTCAGGCGCAGCACAGACCATGTGCTTGCGCTGCAGATGATGTCGAGAGGCCTGATGTGATCGTGGAGGACACGTTGCGGACGGAGGGCGCCTGTCGCTCAGTAGTAATGAACGTCTGAAAGGAGCTATGGAGGCAGTAGAGACAAGAAGTGCCGAGGGTGCCGAGACAATGGGCTGTAAATCGTTGCCCCTGAGCGTCGTGCGGATCTGCAACACTGCTAAATCAGACTGCACATTTGGGACAGCGGCGGATGGGACCGGGTCTAGCGCAGAGCCTCACGCAGGCGGTTGCGGGCGAGACAATATTGGCCTGAGACACGGCAGACTCGTGCAACGGTCGCGGCGCCCTGCAGCTGCCGCCCCAGCGCCCGGCTTTGCGCCCGCTCACAGTGTGGTGTATGGAATCGGGCGTGGAGGGATCGAAGGGAGCGACTCGGTCGAGCGCAGTGCCGCGCACCGGCAGGGGTGGATCCGTGGGCTGCGGGGAAGACGGCGCGTGTGTGTGTGATCGAGGGGCGTGTCTGGTCGAGGGACGCGTCGCGATGCGGTAATGACGCGACACGTCCGCGCTATTGGCACGTGACCGTGGTGCGCCGCCGCGGGGCTGGAACAGAGCCATTGCGGGCGGGCGTGATTTAATCGCTCTGATATGAGACACTTGGCGCGACAGCCCCTGAGAGCTTTCGGTCAGTTCCTGGGCCGATGGGCGGACTCTCGTGATGTCGGCGGGCGTGTGGAGGCCGGGGCGAGCTAGTCGTTTGCAGCCCGGGGCCAAGAAATCCTGGAGCGGACAGCGCTGCGCTGCCTTTCCTCTCCACCTCCATCGTCATGAACCCCACGCAGCCCGCCGCCAAAAAGGCGTGCGACAAGTGCCGGCTGCGCAAGATCAAGGTGACCCGCACCCGTGGCTGCGCTGAGCCGAGCTCCCACTGACGTGGGCTAGTGCGACCTGACCCAGCCCTGTGCCAGCTGCACTGCCCGCAACTTTGAATGCACATATCAGACCCCGCACCGCAAGAGAGGGCCGGCTGGAAGGTACAGCGCTGCAACCTCCACAGTGGTCGAGTGCTGACCCGATCCGCAGACGGCTAGCCGAAATCCGACAGCAGCAGGGTTGGCGGAGCGCCGAGCAGCTGCAGACGCCCACCATCTCGCCTGGCCGCGACCAACCCCATCTCCAGGACGGAGATGCCATCGACCAGCCCATGACCGCCTCGTGGGACATGCTGGGCTGCCTGCCGCAGCCGCAGCAGCCGCAGCCCGACGCCTGGCCCCAGAGCGAGGATGAGTACCTGATGCCCTCGTCGGCCGGCCAGACGTCGCAGACGTCGCAGAATGCCTTCGACGACTCCATGTTTTCGCTGCTCGCCCGCCCCCAGGCCCCGTCGTCGGGCAGCCTGCACCCGCGCCCGCCCAGCCTGCCCGACCCCACCAGCATCTGGCCCTTGGGAATCACCGACGAGAACCTCATCCGCTGGATCGACGTCTACTTCGAGCGCCTCTACCCGACCCTGCCCATCCTCAAGCGCTCCTCCATCTTCGCCCGCCTGCTGAGCCAGGAGCACCGCACCAATCCCGACTTCGGCGCTATGCTGCTCGCCCTGAGCGCCTTTTCGCTCATTCAGCCCGTCCGCATTTCTGAGTGGTCCTCAGCCTCGTCACGTGAGAACATGGTCAACTTCATGCTCTCCGAGTCGGTTAAGATGCGGGCCTCGGTCGAGTTCGGCGAGAACCCCTCGCTCGACGCCATCCTGACGAGCGTTTTCCTGTTCGCCTGCCTGTTCCAGCGCAACCAGCACAATGCCGCCTGGTTCCGGTTGAAGGAGGCTGTGGAGCTTGGGTCTGTCTTTGGCCTAGGCCGGTCCGAGTGCTACGCCAACTGCGAGGCCGAGCAGAAGCAGCAGCGCCTGAGGATCTACTATCTACTTGCTGTCACCGAGAGGTTGGTCCAGCCCCGGCAGATGCGCGCACGTTACGCTAACACCATCCAGGGCCTATGCGTTGGAGAAGAAGCACCCAATCACCTTCCTGGGCCACCCGAGCCTGGAAACGCGCTCGCTACTCGAATCCGTCTCGGCTCCTTCCGAGGGCGACGACCTTGGCATCGTCATCCACGACGAGGCCGAGTCCAACGGCATGCTCGGCCTGCTGAAGCTCATGACGCTGTTCGACCCCATCGACGAGAACTTCGTGCGCTGCTGGAACGGCCAGTGCGACAAGACGGGCGGCCGGTGCCGCTTCCTCGACGAGCAGATGGCCATCACCATCTACGAGAACCTCACCCGACACAGCATGGCAAACTCGACGGGCGTTTCCTCCATGTTCACCAACGCCCCGCCCTGGTTCATGAACGCCACGCTCAAGGACACGCAGGTGGCCGATCTCATGGTCAACGAGCAGTGGCTGCAGAATCGCTTCTGGAACCTCTGTCTCTCGCACCGGATCCTGTCGCCGCAGGCCGAGCACCCCGCCCTGCAGGTCTTCCAGGCCGTGACCATCGCCGAGAACACGCTGCGCGTCTGCTCGGGCCTGTCGCTCTCGTCTCTGGAAGTCCACGGAGTTGGCACTGTGAGTGCCCGTGAATTGATGGATGCAAAGGTTGCGTGGCTGACGGGATACAGATCGAGAAGTTGTACTGCATCGTCGAGAGTGCGGTGGCGGCGAAGCGATATAGTGAGAGCATCAGCTACGGGGCCCAGGTGGCGGCGCTGTCGCCACACGCTTTCAACAACACCAGCGCATCATTATCTCCGTCAGACCCGCTCATCCACGGCTTCCTCGACTTCTTCAAGAAGATCCGAGCGGGCCAACATCCGTTTCTCGGCAAGCTTTCGGCGCTGGTGGGGCAGGAGCTGGGAGTTGACAGCATCTGAGGCCCTTGGCGCTGGAGGCCTGTGCCAGTCCCGGCAATGAGGAAACGCCGCGGCTCCAGGCCCCCAGATCCGCGCTCCGTGTGGGGTCGGCTGACATGGTTCGACATGTTGCGAGATGCGGAGACTTGTCGATGCGGGCGGAGGCTTGGGCTTGGGCGGAGGAGTAGTAGAGGGAGGAGGAGAATCGTCGGGGAGACTTGGCCAAAGTTTCCCCGGCGCATTTCCCCGTTCGGCATTTCCGCTCTCAGCCTCGGCCCCTGCCCATCGTGAAGTCAGTGTTGGCCACTCGGCCAGGCGCGCCGTGAGCAGCGCGTCGGGCGCGCGTTTGGCTAAAATACCTACGTCACCCAGCAGCTCGACTTTCCGCAACTCTTCCAAACCCCGCCCGTCTGCATCAAGCCCTTGATTCAGTGCCTCTCTCGCGTTCCTCGCCACACGATCGTCTCCGAAAATGTCTGGCGCCGTACTCGTCGAGCGCATCACCGACTTCCGCACCCCAGAGACCGAGGACGAACCCCGCCTTCCCCTCGCACCCGCACAGGATGACTTTTCGCGGTGGAGGCCATTTTACCACAACATCGCGCCCACCGGCTGGATGAACGACCCTTGCGCTCCCGGCTACGATCCAACCACCCGCCAGTACCACGTCGGTTTTCAGTGGAATCCGAACGGCGCCGAATGGGGAGATATTGTCTGGGGTAACTCCACGTCCCGTGACCTGGTTTCCTGGAAAGTCGCCCCCAAGCCCACCGTCAGTCGCGATACTGCATACGACCATGCCGGCGTCTTCACTGGCTGCTTCCGACCAACTGCACCAAATGGCGCTCAGGACGGCACTCTTACCTACATCTACACGGCTGTCAGCAAACTGCCCATCCACTACACGCTTCCCTACAACATCGGCAGCGAGAAGCTCGCAATCGCAACTTCCAGAGACGGCGGCAAGACGTGGAACAAGCCCTCAGGAAACCCGATTCTGAACGGCCCCCCGAAAGATGTTCCCGTGACTGGCTGGAGAGACCCCTACGTTGCCCCATGGGCAAACATGGCTCAAGCGCTGGGCGGTGAATATGCAGAGGGGAAGCTGTTCGCGACCATCTCTGGCGGTCTTGTCGGAAGAACACCCACCGTTTTCGTCTACGCTGTCGATTCCTCTGATTTGTCCAAGTGGGAGTATCTCGGTCCGTTGATGGATGTCGGACTGAACAAGTGCCCGTCGCACTGGTCTGGAGATCTGGGCGTAAACTGGGAGGTGACCAACTTCATGACGTTGGCGGACGGCGAGGGTGCATCGCAAGAATTCCTGATCCTCGGTGCCGAAGGCTGCAAGTCCATCTACCGGCAGCAGCAGGGAAGCAAGCGTGTTCCGCGGGCCCAGCTCTGGGTTGCTGGAGAGATCCAGTCCAAGGAGGGGCGGACGACTGCCGATGCACTGATGGGTTACTCGTACGGCGGTGTTTTCGACCACGGCTTGTTCTACGCTGCCAATGGCTTCTGGGACCCGGAGACACAGCAGCAAGTTGTAATTGGCTGGGTCACCGAGGATGATCTTCCAGTCGATCTCCAGATCAAGCAGCAGTGGAGCGGCTGCCTGTCATTGCCCAGAAACGCTGGTCTCATGACCCTCCGCAACGTCCGCAAGGCCCGGAAATCGAGCCTGAAGTCGATCAGCTCGATCCAAGTCGAAGCCGATGCCAAGGGAACGTCGACGGTGCGGACAATGAGAATATCTCCCGACCGGAGGCTGCAGAAGTTACGCCGCTCCGCGCAGCAGACGACAGTGCCCGCCGCGTCGCTGGCTCCGCTCAACGGAAGAATTCAGGTGCCCCTCTCAAGTACGAGGTGGGAACTGGACGGCGAGTTTGCCGTGGCACAGACCTGCACACGTGTGGGTATCGCCGTTTTTCATTCCGAAGGTTGGTCACATTCCTCCGCCCACACGGCTGCCCCACACACGATCGTTCGAGAAGCTAACGGGAACACAGATGTGGAGTGCCGTACCGAGCTGTACTGGAGCCCCGCGGACGAGGATTTCGCCGTGGAGCGTCCCGATCTCGTGCTGGCGGAGTCTTCCGTCAAGATGCAGACGGAGCACGCTCCTCACACCCTGTTCACGACGCAGGACGTGGCCACAGGGGAGGAGTCGGAGGAAAGGCTGCGGGTTCAGGCTTTCTTTGACGGCAGCGTGCTGGAGGTGTTTGTCAACGAGCGCACCGCCATCACCACAAGGGTGTACACAAGCGACGCCCGGTGCGTTGGGCTCGCGTTGTTTGCCGAGGGCGATGCCCAGGTTACCAAGTGCTCGGTTTGGGATGGATTGTCGCAGGCGTAGATGCTTATTTTGGAAACAAAGTGTATCAGCTGTATTGTATTGTAGAGGCATAGACGGCATCGGCCGCCGCATGGACACGCTAGCGAGGTTAATTTCTCCAATTGATACCAACCGCCTCGATCAATTTCCGAGCTCTGGCCGCGCTGTGCCCTTGAGTCCTACTTGTACAGTACTTTCGTATTACGTCGAGGCGCAGCGGCATCCGATCAGACATGCGTCAGCAGAGCCAAGCGCCACGGCCGCGGTTAAGGCTGAGATGCCCAGCTTTCTTTGGCCCCTGTTTCGCCGTACCTGCGTTCCACGGCGTAATAGACCTTCGGCCACCTCTCCGAAATTTCTCCTTCCAGCAATTCTGACCCCAGATTCCCCGGGCTCTCAGCTCCCGCAATCGTCCCACCACGCCTCCAACCCCAGCCCGGTACCCCCGCTTGGCGTCCCGAGACGCCGTTTCTTCGCATGTCCCGCAGATCTGGAGACAGCCATGCGACTGCTTGACGTGGGCCGGCGTATATAACTGTCGCAAGAGCCGCGCCCCGGATCATCAGCCTCACCACTGCGTCATCTCCCTCTGGCCCGGTGTCAACTACTAATTAAGCGCACCACCCCCCATCCCTCCAATCCCGCCCCGTCTCCCCCGCCGCGCCCGCCCGCCAGCCGTGTGAGCCGCGCATCCCTCCCGACCCCACACACCCATGTCGCAGGAAGTCGTCGATCAGACCGTTATGGCGGAGAAGACCAAAATGGATTCGGACGGCAAGGAAGTCCAGTACCACGAACACGTCGACATCAAGCCGCAGGGCAACGCCGTCAATACCTTCCTGGTCGCCACCTGTACCATCTTCGCCGCCGCTTCGTTCCTGTTCGGTTTCGATGACAAGGTCATCTCGCCCATCGTCGCGCTCGAGCCTTTCGTGAGTTTCCCGCTCCCCCACATTCGCATCATCACTGCCGCGCAATTGCTGACCACGCCGCCCCCTGAATACAGGTCGACAAGTACCAGGGCCCCAACCCTACCACCGGCAAGCTCGTCTTCACGGCGCGCAACCAGAACCTGCTCTTCGCGGTGCCGCTGGTCGGCTCCATCCTGGGCGCGCTGGCAGCGTACCCGCTCAACAACAAGTTCGGCCGCAAGTGGCCGTTGGTCGGCGCCTACTTCATTTCGATCGGTGGCTGCTTCCTGCAGCTCTTCGCCCCCAACCTCGCCGCCTTCATCGCGGGCCGCTTCTGGAACGCCTTCGTCATGGGCATCGCCAACTCGACCGCACCCCTGTACCTCGGCGAGACGGTGCCGGTTTCCATCCGTGGCCGTGTCGTCGCTAGTATCAACATCATGAACCTGCTCGCCGGCGTCGTCGCGACGCTCGTCGTCTTCGGAACCCACACGCGCCTCGACAAGCTCTCGTACATGGTGCCCCTCGCCGTCCAGTGCTGCCTGCCCGTCATCCTCATCCCGGTGACGGCCATCCTGCCCGAGAGCCCGCAGTGGCTGATCGGCCAGGGGCGCATGGACGAGGCGTTTGCCTCCCTGCGCAAGCTGCGCGGCTACTCTGACGCCGAGGTCGCCGACGAGCTGCGCATGATGAAGCTGTGCGAGGAGAACGAGCGCAACCAATCCATGGAAGTCTCGTTCTGGGCCATCTTCGACCGCAAGAACCTCAAGCGCACCATCACCGCCGGCTCCTTCTTCTCGTTCAACCAGTGCTCCGGCGTCTTCCTCAGCACCACCTACGCTACGGTTTTCTTGGTCGACATCGGCGTCGCGTCGCCCTTCGCCCTCACCATCATCGCGTCCTGCTGCACCCTCGCCGGCACCATCGTCGCGCCGCTCCTCATCGACCGCCTCGGCCGTCGTCCCCTCGCGCTCGCCGGTATGGCTGTCTTGTTGGCCGTCGACATCGCGGCGGGCGGCCTGGCCTTCGACATGGGCGACAAGCAGAAGGTGCTCGGCATCGCGGCTTTGTCCTTCATCTTCAACTTCTTCTGGGCGTCGTCCTTCTACTCGCTGTCCAACGTCATGCCCACCGAGATCGCCACCATCAAGCTGCGCTCGTACACCATGTCGTACACGATCGCGTGGGCGCAGACCACCGCCGTCATCACGACCATCGCCGTCCCGCAGCTGACGGCCGCCGACGGCGCTAACCTCGGCGCGAAGACGTATCTGATTTTCGCCGGGTGCATGGTCGGCATTATTGCGTTTGTGTTCTTCCTCATGCCCGAGACGAAGAATAGGACGTTTGCCGAGATTGATGAGATTTATGATGCGGGCGTGCCGATGTGGAGGTGGGCTGAGTATCAGACTACGACGGAGGCGAAGCAGGCGAAGGATTTGGTTGTGCCTGAGGGGAAGGTTTTGGAGGAGTAAAGGGAGAGGTAGATGTGGGGGGGCATAGTGTATTAATCTTTTTTTTCTCTCGTGTAAAAAAATTCCTGTTTGGGAGAAGCGGGGCCTGGATTGGGTATACATCTATACATACATACGGGCGCAGAGGGCGCGGATAATTACGATGATATGTTGAAGAAGTACTTGGTTTCTGATCTGTGACGACGTCTTAACAAGATACCAAATGTGATAGTCAACTGTTTTTCCCTTTTCTCCTACTATTTAACTTAGAACTTATTCTAACCTGTTGTTGCAGCACACTTACCAGAACAAGCACACTCATCTACAAGATTAGTATCAACCCCGCACTCGCTTCCCACGAGCCCCACCCTGTCCCATACAGAGGAGTGCTGCAGCCGATTGCTAGCGTGAAGAATAGTAGGCCTCTAGAACATAGCGTAACTATGCCCCAGCTCTGCCTTAGAAAATTTAACATATGTGGGTAGCTGAAGCTATCGTCCGAATAATAATGTCGAATTTAAAATTCTACATACACGTCCGGACGATAGCTTCAACTACCCATGACATGAGCAAAAAAACGGCTGCGAGAGGGGATTGTAGATGGTCCTGCCACCTGTGAAGCGCATGCCAAGGCGCTGGGCGATAAGGGGACGGAATTGGTGTTGCTCGTTTAGAACCGCCCAGATTCGCGGCGGTGGCGATTATGTGGGGTTTCATGGCTGACAATTACATGGTTGCTGATAAGATGTTGTGGTTTCCACTCGTGGCGTGATTGGTGGCATTTGATTGGATTATATGCATGCACCAGGAGTGCAGAAGGCTCCACGGCTGCATGTACAGGATCTAGAAGTAATACAAAGCACTTCGGGTGACGACGTCCACGGAAACTCACAGCCGACGTCGAATCGGGAACTTCTACAACTGCATGAGCTAGCCGAATGCGGCCGGCGCCGATCGGACCCGCGGCCCGCCCGGGGCCGAACTGGAGATTCGTTTCAAAGTGGGTCACCGTTCCCTGACGTGCATATTGTTGGCTTAGCTCTCTAAATTCGGTTGGATCTGCAATGTGCGGGGAAGTCATCTATTGTCAGCATGGTCTTTGCGGCCTCACAGGTCAATTCTGACCAACCGACCACAGTGTAGATTGAAACCAAGATGCAGTGAGCATGGTCCACGTGTCTGCGCATCGCCACTTCACTGTGGATAAATATCGACGTAAAGGCTCTCATGTCCAGCGTCTTGCGTTCATAGCTTTGCTCTGCACAGTGCCCAATCCATCTTTCTCTACGTCCAAGGCCCCAAACTCCAGAAAGACCAATGGGGTTGATGTCACAGGATTCAACGCCTATTCGGCTTCTTGAAGCAGGGATCGGGCTTCTCATTCTATACATTCTTGCAGGCGGCATCTATCGTTTGTATTTCAGCCCGCTGGCCCGGTTTCCAGGGCCAAAATTGGCAGCTCTGACTCTGTGGTACGAATTCTACTTCGATGTTATCCTTCGTGGACAATTCACGTTCAAGATCCAACAATTACACAAGGAATACGGTACGAAAATCTTCTTTTTTGTTTACGCGGGTACCACGCCCTCTCATCCATCTGTCCTCATGCGGGTTTAGTCTATCACAAGCGCCCACTAATGTTTCACTCCTTTTCAACTTTTACTCATCTCCATCCGAGGTGGTCAGCGCGCTGATTATAGTCAGGACCAATCATCCGAATTAACCCTTGGGAGCTTCATTTCGACGATCCGGATTTCTACGATGAGGTTTACAGCCGCTCCAGGAGAACCGAGAAATTTCCATGGTCAGCGGCCATGTTCGGCAACGAATCGAGCATCCTCGCCACCGTAACCCACGAGCATCATCGTGCGCGGCGCTCACTCCTGAATCCTTTCTTCTCGAAACAATCCATCAACAATCTAGAGCCTCTGATTCGTCAAGCCATATCCACACTCTGCAGCCGATTCGAAGACTACAAAGAGTCGAAGGAACCGGTAGCTCTCAATGCGGCTTTCTCGGCGCTTACGTCGGACATCATTTCGGAATACACGTTTGGAAATAGTATGAACATGATGTTGAAGCCTGGCTTTGCACGTGAATGGGAAGAGATGACCTTGAAATCCTCTGAGTTTAGTTTGCTGCACAAGCAATTTCCGTTCTTTCTGCCGCTCTTGAGGAGGGCTCCCAACTGGTTGATTGGGAAGATCAATCCCGGAATGGAGGCCTTGATCGATTTCCAGCAGGTAACTAGTCCCCTCATATATTTCAAATAGATAATGTTAACTGGCGTTACTAGGGTTTAAAGGAACGGGTTCTTCCAATCGTAGAGGGGCGACAAACCGGGAATCAGACGAGCACGAAGCAACCGACCATCTTCCACGCGCTCATGGACAGCAGCCTTCCCGAATCCGAGAAAACGCTGCAACGGCTCATGGACGAAGTACAAACCATCATCGCAGCTGGTGCTCTAACAACAGCGCATTTCCTTGCCGTCACCTCCTACCACATTCTGGCCAATCCTCCCATACTCCAGAGATTGAGACAGGAGCTCGAACCGGTGATGCCAAATCCGACCCGAATCCCACCACTGAATCAGCTAGAACAGCTGCCGTTCCTGAAGGCCGTCATCAACGAGGGTTTCCGACTATCCTACGGTGTCACAGGGCGCCTCACTAGGGTCTATCCCGACGCGCCGCTCCTCTACAAAGACCAGGTCATACCAGCTGGCACGCCCGTGTCAATGACGTCGGTGCTCATTCACCAAAACGAGGCGCTCTTCCCGGATCCGATGGAATTCCGCCCGGACCGTTGGTTGGAGCCGGGTGCTTCCCAGCGGTTGGAGAAGTATTTGGTCAACTTCAGCAAAGGCAGCCGCTCTTGTGTCGGGATTAACCTTGCTAAAACTGAGATTCCTTTGGCTTTGGCAGCTGTTTTTGGACAGCGCTTCGAGATGGAGCTGTTCGAAACGGATCGAAGCGACGTAGATTTAAAGCACGATTTTTTCAATCCTTGCGCAAAGCTTGATTCGAAGGGTGTTAGGGTCATTATCAACTGAAGTGTCAGACAGTGATGTGCGCAAAAGGGTTAGCCAGAAACTATGCAGAACGGTAGTACATATGGCATACACTCATCCAGTTCTCCAATGAACCGTCGTGCACGTTCGGCTATTACAATGAAAAAGGGATAATAGATGTTATGTATAGTACGAACTAAGGCATATCGAAGCTTCCACCAAACCCCCACGAGCCCGATCCTTCGTCAAATAAATCACTTCCCAACCAATCTAGACTCGGTTGCACATCAAACAGTGCGTTGAACATGTCGTCTTCCAAGTTCGTTCCTGTGTCATTGATATCACCAAACGTGATGCTGGCTCTGTTTGCGGCGGCTGTTGCGATGTCATCATGCAGAATTTGTTGCAACCAAGTCCCGGTCCTGTTAGGCGAGGAAGCTCCCGTCCCTCCTTCGCCAATATCGCCATCCCGGAACATCCCCCCATGTCTCTGCGGTTCCTCTGATGTTTTTTGGTTGGTTATCCTGTTCACTGTGGTCTCGTTTCTCGTGGCAGTGTCTGGTACTTGCAGCCCAGTCGCTCGATGCACTAGTGGCCTACAGAGTCTAACAAGAGCACTACACAGCCTTTGAAGGCGTTTTGCTGACGGTGTCGGATTGGGGGCTTGGACGAGGGTTTTGACGAACTCCTCCATAAGCTCGAAGTCGCCAGCGTCCGAAGTGGCAACAACGTTGCAGAATAGAACGAAGTAAGGGCGAAGGGGGTAGTAGAGGACCGTCCTAATGATATTATGAGGCACCTGTGATAGCTTGAGATTGTAAGGGAGCGGCCTACCATGGCAAGAAAGGCGCGAGAGTTTTGTTTTGTACGCGACTGTGAATGTGACATTTAAGGTCTCTAAGAGCAATGAAGGCTGCTCTTGCATGGCCAAGGCACTCTTGCCGCTTTCCTGTATCCAGAGCACTGCTAGTATCGAACCGAAGGATCACCGTCATTATGGAATGATGGACGAAGTCGAGAGCGATCCATTGGCTGATCAGTACTGGATCCGAAGCATGCGGTGGAGAAGCCCTGATCTGCTTTAGGTCAGTGCTTGCGTTCAGCTTCCAAAAGGATGTGTCGCACACACTTCGATGATATCCTTCCTAATGTCTCCCATTTGTCGCTTTAGGGAAACGACGGTAGATTCTTTCTGCTGCGCCTCGTCCGCCATTTCAGTTGATTGATAACATAGGTCGCAGACGACTCTGGCCTGAACCTGCGCCCATCTGAAAAGGACATGCATGAATGCAGTGATAGGCCGTTTCGGTTCGATGGGGGCGATGACGTCTGCTGTGAAATTCCAGACAGGCATGCACACAGGCCGGCCGAGATTCATTGCCAGACCCTTATCAAACACATAGCACCACATGAAGCAGGCTTTTATTTCTTTCTGCTCGTTAGACAGTTGGTCATGAGGTAAACGGAATATCCGGCTCCGGGGAAGTCCAAGTGCTACGCATATACGACAAGCAATGGAAGCAAGCATCCAGCATTTCGACGTGTCGCCAAGTCTTTGCGCCAGAAAAGCCTGTCATCGGTCAACCATCGATTCACTAGAAGGTGTCACCTTACTTACGCCAGAGAGGAGCGCCTGCACGAGAGATAAGGACGGTTTCTCTAACATGTGTATCCGGCTCAGCGCTGCGAAACATCTCCTCGAATAGTTTTTTCTTGACCGCTCCGAAGCTTCCTGCAACGCTGTGTCCTCTTTTCCTTGCTGAGAGCTCCAGAGGAATGTGCTTGCATATGAGTTCACGCAGATTGAGTACTGGAGGAGGGTTTGCTCGTCCCCATCATTTTTGTACATGGTTACCGCCATGCGCTCTAAAGTTTCTTGTAAGGTGTAAGTTGAATACTCCAGATCAAAGACACGAGGATGTGTACGATAGGTCTCTGTATAGCAATCTTGTGTCAGCAAGTAGGGAAAATAAGAGTGAAGATTTCGAGCTACCTGATAGAATCATCTGGAAGAAATCCGGGTCTGGTGGAATTAAGCATTCCGCTATACTCAAGGAAAGATTGCTTTCTTCAGTATTCGTCCGCTCGGCAGGATTTTCCATTTGGCCAATGAAATCGAGGGCGGCCTCCAGGACGGATCGCCTGTCGACGCTGATGTTTTGAGACCTTTCGTCGAGGGTGCCCTGGATGAATTCTTGCGCTTCACATTCTGTCGCTGCGAGGTCAGGAGTTGAAATGTTAGAGACGGCAGGGAGTCCATCTTCTGCTGGTGGATCATTTGTTTCCTGCTTTGGTCGATCGTTCGACGCCGATGACTCTGGGCCTATGAACCGCGCCCGTTTTGCAGGCTGACTATCGCACTCCTTCTCGAACGACATATCCTCGCCAGTGGGGCTGGGGCTGTCCCGAAACCGAAATGCCGACGTGCTCTTAGCAACAGTGGCGTTTTGTTGCTCGGCGGGCGAATCGTCGAGATCGCCATTTTGAATGGCCTCGCTCATGGGAAGAAAGGCAACAAGTCGTGTTACGGAGCTCTCAAGGCGAGAGAGCCGATTGAATAGAAACTCCATTCCACTAAGGGTATGGGGGATTAACGAAACCGACCGATATCTTCCCGGCACGGAAAGCTAACGCACCCTCCAATCTGAGGACCTTGTTGGGGCCTTGCACCACGCTTGGGACGTGTCCTTACACAGCTCGCGTTCGAATCGACACAATTGCCACATGGCTCGTTGCGGTCGCATTTTACTTTACGAGCATAGCAGAAGTCACACTGGTGGACCTGTTAAAATGATGGATACAGGCGGGCTTTTTGCAATGCATGGGAGAAGAGTCGTACAGCAGGGTGTGGACGTCGATTGATGTAAACTGGAAGGGTAGTCATGGCGCGAATGGCTTTCTGTCCTGAGCTGAATTAATGGCAAGAAGTAGGAAGGCCTCGATTTTTAGGAGAAAGTTCGGGCAACATGTGCTATTCTGGCTTAATGGAGGTGATATAAGATGGGAAAGTGATAGGAAGTGCGGGGAGGAGTTCCAGGGAATCGGTGGGCTAGAATAGTTTATCAAGGATTTATGACATAGTTCCCTAAGTGAGGTATCGAGTCTCGTTGCTTACTATTGGTTGAGCGCTGTACGCGCAGACGGACTTCGGAGGAAAATACCCGACTAGTTAGGTACTAGCGCCTGCATTTATAACTGTCGGTAAGATAGAGTTAGAAAAGAAAGACACTAATAAGTACTCTATTACTTTACTACATACAGGTGTAGAAAATGAGGATAAGAAGCGGGATGCATAGATCTATGATGGTACGTTGAAGTCTTTGAGTTCCGTCTGTAACGGTGTGCAACGACTTTCAACGCCATTTTAAGACATTAACCGTAATATGGACCATATTATCGAGACCACGGTCAGTATTGGAATGGATCTTCACGCAGAAGACGTTTAATGGAATGCGCCAGATCGGTTTCCTAATGGAAAGGTGCAGACGCGCTGTGTGAAGGAATGCGTTTCATTCTGGAATGTGGAATAAACTTGCTAATGAGTTTCATTGTCTCTACACGCCCCTTGCCCGAAATCACTGATATATCTCTTTGCGATACTGTCAACACAGATAGTTCTATGCTCTCACCATCCGCGATGAATATGAGTTCTTTTCGCGCCCTATATGGACGATCTTCCTTACCTTCATTCAGTCATTCCTAGGGAAAAGGTGCCCCGTTCGCCAAATCAGTCTATGCTGCATATCCACCGCCTCCTCGACGTCATGACCCATCACCGAATCGACTCGAGAAGTTTTCTATGCGCTCCGATCATCTGTTCGAGCTCGCAGACAACGTTGGTATAAACAGCATTTCGTAGGCCCTCGGCGTCCAGGTCGTCCTCAGCGGAGAAGTTGCAATCAATGCACTTCCGCGCGATTCTATGATAACGCGGGCCAAGGTCCGTATAGGAGCCATCGGCGAGGATGCGTGCGCTTATCACGTCGTGCTGCTGCGGGCCGAGTTGCTTGAAGCTGCTGATGTCTTTCTTGTGACCGATCTCCAGGAGCGCGAGGCCGAGCTTGGCCAGCGTCATGTTGCGGATGCCGTAGTTGTAGCGGTACGTTGGTTTGGTGACAATGGAGTCCAAATGCTGGGCTGAATTCGTGCTTTGAACAGGCTGGGGATCGCTTGGGTCAGGATTCTTCTGTGGGAATTGAGTGGTGAGATGGAGAGTTTGCAGATCTTGCACCAAGTCGTCTGGGGAGGGCTCGTTAACATTGCCGAAGAAGGAGATGTCCCGAAGCTTCCAATCCTCGGAAAGCCATGGAGTCAGGTAGTATTGTAGTATGGTGGAGGCCAGTTTATGAGCGAGAACGAGGCGCTCGAGCTGGGGAAGAACGGCGATTTTGCTATTCAGGGGTAGCGAGTCTTTTCCATTTGTCTCCAGATTTTGTCCGGCTGAGGCCCTTCTGCCAGCGTCGTAAAAGACGAACCTGAAAGTTTTTCGGCTCTCCAAAAATCCAAGGCAACCAGTTGTCGAATTGCATGTCTGATTCAAATGACAGCAGAAACTCTTGGTATCTCGAAGATTCATCATGGAATAGCATTGGTCATTGGGACCAGCCTGGGGAGCAGCATCTTTGAGCACTTTCGGGGCTGATGACTCCAAACCATCCTCTTTATCCCATTCGCCGCCGAACCTTACCCTCTTCTTGGCCTTTTTGATTCCTGAAAGAAGGGAAGCAGCTTTCGAAGGTGGATCACAGGATGAGGGCTGATCATCCACCCGCAGCTGTAATGAGGAAGTAAGCTCAGTAGTAAGTGTTGTAGCTAACGGTGGAGAGGTCAAACTGTCACTTCTGGCGGTAACAGACTGTACATAAAGCCATATCGGTGGCTCAGGGGCCCTGTTATTACGTCAGATGATGAATTAAAATTCTACTTGGGAGTAATGATATCACGTGAAGATGAGAGGGCTCACTAGCACCAAGAAATTAAGTTACGTACGGTGAGCTGATTTTCGGGCCCTTCTGCCGGCAGGAGATGGCCATATCGAGGCGAACTCTTTCGTAGTCAGCCTCTGCGTTAAGGAGAAGCTTGGCTTGATGAGCTTCATGAGAGGCATTCGAGCACGACCAGGCATCCTCAAGGGACGAATGGAGCATGTTCGAAGCTTCACGAATTTTTGAATAGGCTGACGGGATTCGCCTCGCCGTGATGGTCGTTGACGAAAAGTGGCGCGGGTTCTGTACTGCACACTTTTGCTTGCGAAGGCTTCGGAATTTGGCATTCCAAAGGTTGAGGCTCTGGAGAGTTTTCCTGTATCCGCTTTCCTTGGTGGACACCTTGAAGGCGTGGCGCAAATCTTGGATGGCCGTCGATGATGATTCATTAGTCTAGAAATGCAAGGGTGGTAAGCAACGGCGGCAACTACTTTCGGAGAGAAAAGAACGCACCCCGCCGCTGTTCGAAAGCCTGTCAAGACGGGCCAGATCTGCCGTCGTACTGCGAAGCAAGTCCCGGATCTTGACCACAATCTCCTCGCAAATCGCGAAATCGTCTCCCATCAATCGCTGAAGACCATCGTTCACCCGCTTAACATCGTCTCTGTCCCATGGTCCGTCGTCCGGGTGTTGCAGCACACTCAGCAGTTCCTCCTTGTCATCCACCACCGAGGCCAGCAAAAGGTGACATTCAGTGCGGAATGCGCGCTCTTCGAGGCGAAAGTCCAGCTGGATCTCGCGAACGACATCGTGGTGTCTCTTGAACGTGTCCAATTTCTTACCTGCCCATCCATAGGATTTGAGGATCTCGAAAAAGATTGGCACCACGCCGAAAACTAAGCCGGCAACCTCAATGCCGGACATGGTGGGCCAGCCTTGTTGATGGCGAGAGCCACCTGTGTTGTGTTAAAATGTTGAGGAAATCTGCGACGGTTTATCAGTAAGGCGCAGCAAGGCGCAGCAAGGCTATCATGCAGCCTGTTGCAGCGGCTAAGCGCCTCCACACCACGCCGGAGCCAATCACTGCGTTGCCACGCCGCCTGCATGCAGGCTTGGAAAAGTGGGGGCGAACGCCCCGCAGCTGAAAAACTCTCCTAGAGAAAGGCTGGCCGCGTCCTCTTTGTTAAGTCCTGCTGGATTCGAGTTTCGCTCCGTTCGCGCGTCTCTGGCTACGGCTATCTCCCACCACTGTTACCCGGCGACAAGTTTGGGCTGTGCCCAGCAATCTCAGCCTTGTGCAGTATTCCGCGCCTACAAATCACCCAGCGAAAGCGTCGCCCTTTTTTTCTTGCAGAATGGCCTCGGATGATGATATTGAGAAGCTGAAAGTGCAAAACTTTGAAGAGCCAGTCAAACATGATGACGAAGTTGGCCCTGTTGGGAATCTGTTTGGAAGCTGTGTCCAGATACTCCAAGCTTTGTCCACCAAGGCCCGAGAACTCGACGCAGCTTCGAGAAAGAACTACCACCCTGATGGACCACAGCGCTCTGAATCAGCCAATGAGTCCAGTAGCGCTCAGAGCAGAAAGGAGGGACGAGTCAGAAAAATGGCGAAATCGGGCTGTGTGACCTGCAGGAAGCGCAAAAAAATGTGCGACGAAGGAAAGCCAAAATGCAATAAATGTGTACGCGACGGGTTTATATGCGATGGCTACATCGTAAAATCGACCCGGCAAAAACCGGAAGCGCCCAACAGCAATTCCTCAGGACAAGGGACAGAGACCTTTCCCAAGTCTGGGCAACCACTGCCTCTTGTTGGAGCGGCTAGTCAACTGCTGGTCAAGACTTTAGAGAGCAACCTGGCCACATTGATTTTCTGGGACGATGAGTTTGGCGCGTTGAGCGGTCATCTTGACAAGGCCCTGGAGCACTCGGAAGAGAATCGCGACCTGACTTTGGCCACCCTCATCTCATTGGCAGATTTCCTGAGCCATGGTAAGGCAACCCTATTCTTCGCGTGTGTGATACTAATATTCTTGGTAGACCTCTTGAATGCTACCCTCCCGCTTACGACTTACCGGGACGATATACGACAGAAATCCAATATCCATGCTCGAGTTGACAAAGCTCGAGGCATAATCATGGACACGGAGACACCCGGTCGCGAGGAAACAAGGAACATTCAAGATTTGTGTGAAATTCTCGACTCGAAAGTTTCTCGGCTCAACGTGCTTGGCCCTATCTTGGAGGAGTCCATTCCGTCTGGCACAGTCTTCGAACAAGTCGCGGCTCACAGTCAGCTTAACGACCGCCCGGCACACCAATACTACGCAGACCAGATCAGCATCAGATTTCCCAACGCAAGTGCCTCCCTCGTGGAAGTCCTTGGTAAATGCAATTGGGAACGTTACATGCGTATCCATAAATCCCGAGAGGAGAATGCCCAAAGGGAGGGAAGTCCTATCGGCGAAACGGAGAATATGTCAAAGTTCCACGATTCTGGCCTTGGAACGTCCGTGCCTGCGCAGTCAGCGTTTGGCGTCCCTCGAGGATCTTTTTTGTATGCAGAAACAGAGGTATCCAAGAGAGCTGAAGCTAGTCACAGGCGGCTTCCGCCCCTATCTGAAGAAGGTAGAAGAGGCTGGCCTTTCGTGTGCGACATTTGCAACAGTATTGTGCGTATTAGGCGGACTGGTGCATGGAAGTAGGTTACCCTTCTTGGTAAATATCCATCCCTGCTAATTTCTAATAGAAAGCACGTCTTCTCTGACGTGCTCGCGTATGTCTGCATCTTCGATGACTGCCCTTCCGAGAGGTGTTTCTTCGAAGATCGGGATGCCTTGACAGCACATCTCGGGAACCAGCACGGGTTTGCTCCCACATGGAAAAGTGCGATATGTCCGCTATGTCTCGAGGAGACAGGTGATGGCATGAATGCTATCTCACTGCACTTTGCCAGACATATGGAAGAAGTTGCCCTTGGTGCCATTCCACGAACTGCAGAGTCCGATGCGGGCTCTGATGAATCATCTACTATGGCGTCGTCTGAGAACGGTCGAAGCAACAGCTTCGAGCTTGACGAAGAGTCAAGGGAGAAGGGGATGTGTCCCGTCGAGGGATGTGGCCGCGTATTCAGGGACCTCAACGCTCACATGCTTACTCACATTGGCGAGCGCCCGGAGAAGTGTCCTATCACGACTTGTGTAAGCTTAGACCCTCTACCACGTCTCATGTGATCGGTCAGTACTGACTCTCCTCGCAGGAATATCACATTAAGGGTTTCGCTAGGAAGTATGACATGAACAGGCACACCTTGACCCATTATAAAGGAACAATGGTGTGCGGCTTCTGTTCCGGCTCCGGCTCTGCGGCCGAGAAGTCGTTCAACCGCGTCGACGTCTTCAAGCGCCACTTAATCTCGGTTCACGGCGTTGAGCAGACCATCCCCAACAGTCGTAAGAAGACGACATATAATGGCACTAGCGCAGCAGGCACCTGTTCTACTTGCTCGGTCACCTTTTCCGACGCCCGAGAGTTTTACTTGCATCTCGACGACTGCATACTTCGTGTTATACAGCAAGCAGATCCGTCCGAGGCCATCAACCAGCAGTTGCTCTCGAGCATCGCGGATGATGAGGATGTCAAAGAAACTTTGAATAAGCATTCGTTGCCAAATGAGATGACCAATCATCATGATGACGACAGCCTGCCACCCCAGTCTGTCCGCGGCAGCCCCCAGGTCTATGGTCTGTCCCGCACAAGCTGCCGAAGCTGGCCGCACAGAAAATGAGCCTTTGCTGACCATGCTGCAGCTAACTACGACCCCACATCCCCGAAGTTGGTCGGTATCGCAAGTATCGTGACGACTGTCTCTGACGAGAGTCATGAGAGTCTCTCGCAGCCCAATCAGCGCACGAGCAATTCAGAAAAGTTGAACGTTGAGATCAAGATCCCCGCCGCCGAGCCTCGGGGCTCCATGTCACGCAATCAGAGCCTCGCCGAGGTCGACGAGGATGAGAACGAGGACTGGTCCGACGCTGTCGGCGTCGACATCGAGCCCGAGGAGCAGATCCCTTTTAAACCATTCAAGTGCCCGGTGATTGGGTGTGAAAAGGCATACAAGAACCAGAACGGTCTGAAGTACCACAAGCAGGTGAGTAAAGGGCTCCCGATAACAAAAGAATTGGATGATCTCTATCACTAACTCTTGGATTTCTGTGCAGCACGGACACCAAAACCAACAGCTTATGGAAAATGCGGACGGCACCTTTTCTGTTATCGATCCGGAGACTTCCGTGCCATATCCTGGCACCATCGGCATGGAGAAGGAAAAGCCGCACCGTTGTGAGACGTGCGGCAAGCGATACAAGAACCTGAACGGCCTGAAGTACCACCGGGCACACTCTCCGCCCTGTAATCTGGAGCTCAGGCTCAATGGCGGAGAAATAGCAGTGCCTATGGCTATGAAACAGGCCCTGATGGATCAGCATTACGATAATCCTTCACCTCTGCATCGGTACGCAGATGAATTACGCAACCTGACCGCCATGGCCTGGGTTGCTAAACAGTCAGCGCAGTCAGCGCAGTCAGCGCAGTCAGCGCAGTCCTCCAATGCTACAATACCGCCTTCTTTCCAGAACCTCCTAACAGACAGATTACAGGCCGCTCATCAGGCTCGTTCGAAGTTGCCAGAGTATTCTTCACGCGGAATCAGTCCCTTCAAACAGGGGTCGCCGCTCGCACCGCCGAGTGGCCCAAGTGACACCTTCTCCTCGACTCAGATGCATCAAGCTACCGCGGAGCAATCGCGCGAGCCGTATCTGCCAAAGATGGAGGCAAATTTCATGAAAGACTTCAACTGCTGCGGTCTCACCCTGGATAGTCTGCACGAGCTGCTGCAACACTACGAAGAGGTCCACGGCGCGCCGTCCGCGACCACGCAGAGGCCATCGATATCCGACCAAAGCAGCTTCGACAATGGCGGGAAAATGCAGCGGCAGTCAGGCACGTCCGATCCCAGGACGATTTCCCCGAAGAACGCACTGCTTGATTACTTCGAATCGGAGGAAGACTCTATGAAGCCACTTTTCGCAGATGCTAGCGCTACCGACTACGACAATGCACATAACAGTAGCGGCCCCGACGCTGGCCAATGATTTCCGCAGTACTACCTCTTGAAAGTTCACGGACCAGCCTGATCCGGCGTCGCCAGCCGATGCACCTCTCTGCAGACAACACACGAAAACCTGCTTGAAAGACAAGAAGCAATTCTACCCGTCGCCGAAACAAATGGACTCAAACAGTAATGACGACAGCAGCGTGTCTGTGCGAAGGGTCAGCAACCCGCAACTCGACAGTTTCCAGCCGTTGCAGCGCCCCAACTCAAGTCAGCAGTCCTCTCACGGCGACCAGCAACGGGTCAACGATGAGACAACTGCCATCTCGCAGCTCAAAGACGCCTTGAGCGGCCATGATGTCCTTGGCACACTCTTTGAGGCGGTCAGCCCCGCCAATATGAGAAATGACTCAGCCTCCGCTCAGGTGGGCTAGAGGAGTGCAAGACTTGCAACATGCGCTTCACCATCACCCTTTCGAACAAGCATAATCCCGAGGGAGGACTACCATATACACCCTTCGGTAGGAATCTGGTTACGAAACCTGTTCTGTCACAGCATGAGAAAGTGTTGAAAGCGCAACCCGGTCACAGGTTTGGCGGTGGTGGTGAGAGCTACTGAATTGAGTGAGTGGTGTACTGGTGATCTATTATATGCTACAGAAAAAGAAGAAGCTATGTTTGTTGAAGGAAGTAAACTTTGGCGTTTTAGGAAACTTCCGTAGAAAACGGCGTTAGAATCCTTCGGAATGAACACAAGTCGAAACTTGCGTGGCGATGTAAATGTATGGAGCTGTGCTGAAGAAGTACTATAGTCTCTAATTTGTGAATATACATTGTGCCTTCCTACAACACTCTCAAAGCATGATATTCTTACAATTTGCCCCTCATGCTGCAATAAAAGGAAAAAGCTTATAGTTAAGTAGTGCCAATGTCGAGCAACTAGGCCGAGGCGATTGCGTTCTTTCCGATAGGTTTCGCCTTAAGCCAGAGCGGATCTTTATACCACAGACCCCAGTAGCATTTCTGGTTAGTCCAAGTGCCACGGCTGGCCTCGCAAAGCTCGAAATCAAAGTGCCACAACAGACTAGCCGCAATCAAACGCATCTCGTGCAGAGCCAGGCTATTCAAATCATCAGTCCGATGCGCTTCCAGGGAGTCCAGTGTCTAAACTTACTTCTTGCCAATGCAGTTCCTGGGCCCGTAAGAGAATGGCTGGAAAACTTCCCGGCGATCGTCAGCGTACTTTTCGTACAACGGGTCGGACGGCATCCAGCGCTCCGGGACAAAGGTGTCGTGATCCTTGAAGTGGTGTGACGAGTGGTAGGTAGAGTAGATCGAGATGGAAACTGTAGTCTGCAAGAATGTTAGAGGTATATTCGTATGAAACGGGGTCTCTCTCCTACCTTCTCAGGTACGAATTGCCCGTTCACCTGTCCGCCGCCATTGAGGACGATGCGTGGAGGTCCCAGAGGAGTCGCAGGGTACACTGAGGCGCGATTTGTCAGTCATAGTCTCAGAAGGGATGTCAAGAACTTACTTCGCATAGACTCATCGAAACAAGCTCCCAGATACTTGAGCTTCTGAATATTCTCAATGGTAAGGTCTTCTTCGGTTGTGAAGCTGGAGCGGATTTCCTGCAAAAGTTTCTCCAGTTTATCCGGATTGGAGAGGAGGTTGTACATCAGTCCGGACAGCGTGGTTGCAGTCGTCTCGGAGCCAGCAGCCATGAAGAGGTTCGCGTTGGCCTTCATGTCCTCAGCGTCAAGAATTTTGCTGTCCTCGTTGTTGAGGACCAGGCTCCAGAAATCAGGCTTCTCCGTGACTTTCCCCTTTGCCAGCCGCTTCTCCACCATTTCAGTTGCGTACTGCGTGCTCTGTTGTTGACTGCTCTTAACACGCTCCGGCAGCATCATCGTAACCAATTTTGTGACCAAGGGGAACCTATCCGCAAGCGTAATGAACGGCGCAAGGATGAGGCTCTCGTTGAGACTTTCAACCCATCCGTACATTTTACCGTCGTCAAGCAGCCCAAGGCTCTCTCCGAATGCAAGCTCGCCAATGATATCGAATGTAGTGCAGTTGAACCATCGGACGAAATCGATCGGTTGCTCGGGGTCCGCGACGACGGATCGGGAGACGTTGCGAACAAGCTTGTTGACGTGAGCGCGGATGATGTGCTCCTGGGCCTTGAGGGCGCGGTCGGAAAATCCGGGCTGGAAAACCTTCCTGAGAGCCTTGTGATGGGCGTCGTCAAATGTAGCGAGCAACGAGAAGCGTCCATTGCTCTCCGGTCCGTACTGCTCCGGGTCCTTCATGACGGTCACCCCCTTGTGGGCTGAAGTCTTGTAGCCGTGGAGATCCTTCCAGACCTCTCCATCGAGAAAGCTCAGCCTGTTCGGCGCAAGGCGAACTGTTTTGCCATATTGTCGGTGTAGGTCATAGATGTAGCTGACCAGATCACCCTTGACCCAATACCACAGGTAAACGACTTCGGTGAATGTCGAAAGGAACGGACCGGGGATCTTTGACAGCGGGTGGAGGTAAACGTTGTACAGCCCTTTGGTTACGAGTCCAATGAGAACTCAAGATTGTGTTAGAACATTCTCTCCTGGAATCTTTGGCGGTTACTCACTGGCCAAAGGTATGAAAGCTAAGAGCGTCCACATCGACAAAGGAGACTGTGCCGGTGCATCAGCGAAAGATGAGATTTCGCGCAGTGAGTTGGAAGGATCGAGATTGTAGTCCATGTTTCGTGGTGTCAATTTGCAATGAGTATACTTTTCCCTCTTCGAGGGCTTCGAGCTTATATGTATCGTCTTGCACATTCAACGCGGAGAGACTCATCCTGTAGGTCATCCATATCCAGTAAAAGCCTCGCGGGCACTGCCACATACTTCGCAGCATCATTGCTATCTTCCGGTCTGCAAGGTGTACCATGAACGCTAAGACAAGATTCGGCCGGTCGGCTCTCACGATGTTGTAGGCAGACGACTTTGGTCATCCGAGCTTAACCGAACTCGGCCGCCGCGACCCGCGGACTCCGGTGCCGGGCCCGCATTCCCGCCATCCAATTACACGCAGTCGAACAGCAGTGCAACGAATCGCGGTAGAGGAATTAAGCTGCCTGCATGAGTAAGCACACGAGGCACTGCCACATTTAGAATATTCTTCGCGCGTTTTATACCCGATTGGGATTCTGAGTTGGATTCTCGTACGATCGTCACTACGTTGACACCTGCGTTTCGGCTTCTTGGCCTACTCCAAGAGCCGAAGTTTGGAATTGGAGGCACTTCGTACTTAATTTGTCAGATCCCGAGGGAAGCCTCTCCGCCCCACACTCTCCTCCTTCGTCCTACCGAACCTATCGTCCGAGCAAGCATGAATCCAGTGAAAATCGGCAAAAGTTGCGACGCCTGCAAAGACAGGAAGGTCCGATGTACCAGTAAGAACCATGAGTGTCACGGTCGGAGTATTACTCACCGTATGGCACTCCAGAGCGGAACGAGACAGACTCGATCTGCATCCACTGCCAGGGAAGCCGACCCCTGATGCGCATTCTTCGTGCTTTCGCTGACAAATTGATCAGAGACGCAACACTGCATGTCACTTCAGTGCTCACAAGAGACGTGCACGAAGGTTGGAAAGTTCGTCCAGAGCCTGTACGAACACCTTTCCCCTGTCATCCGCGGCCGACTTACGTTTGTTCTTAGCTCAAAGTTCGTCACTGGAGGTACAGGAGTCACCAGAAGGCGCTTCTTCCGTTCAAGAAACACTATGGCCAAAATATACGCCACCAAGTTATCGGGTCCAGGCAAAAGGAATGACGTTGTACATTGACCATTTGCTCGAGGACCGCACAGTCACCGATCGGAAGGTATCTGAAGGCATTTTCCGTGCAAGTAACCATCACAGTAAGTCGAAAGATCCGGTGGTGGTCTTCGCTTAATTGATAAGAAACTACCAGTCGTGAGTTCCAATATTGCCTTCTTTTCTGAGAGACGGCTATTGGCTCTGAACCAGCGCTTGGGCCACGACAAAGTGAAGGACCTTCTCGAGAAAATTGAATCAACTGTAGGAGAGAAAATAGAGGCGATGGACTTTGTCGCTTCTTGCTTCAACGCAAAGCCTACCTTGGAATCATGCAAGCAAGAGTCAGACTCTTCCCGGAAGGCCTACGTCGAATGTGACATGTCCTTGCTCTCACCGCATCTTATCACCTACTAACAGATCCAGCGTACTTCGAGTATTTACATCCACTGTACCCTTTTCTTGATCAGGACGTTTTTGTGCAGCGGGCTTTCGGCCCTCAAGCTGGACCACTGCTGGCGCAAGACCCCGCCTGGGCCGCCCTTTACTATGCCGTGCTCGCTATTGGCTGTCAGTATCATGGCGAGGGGACATTTACGCCAGGCAAGGGGAAGGCATGGAACTTTTTCAAGGCCGCCATCTCCCTCATTCCAAAGTTCACCTTCCAGAAAGCAACTCTGTTTCATACTCAGGTTTGGTTCTCCCATGACTGTGATTTGGTGGCAGTAACTAACGGTCACAGGCTATGACAGCAATGGTGAGCTTCCCATCGATTTGATGGTAGGGCCTATCTGACTTGTAAGCTGACCATTCCGTAGACGATCTTCTCCCGCAACTATCTTGGTATGCCGATCGACGATTGGCTCATAAACGAGACAGCCCGTGCAGCTCGAGAGCTCGTCTTTTACCATGTGAGCCTTTCAAAGGCGGGCGCGGAAACTGTATCGAGAACTTTCTGGGTTGTTTACTGCCTAGAGAAAGAGATTTGCTTCACCGATGGGAGGCCCTCTGTAAGCAGTGACTCAGTACACGAAAGTCGTACGGAAAGCTGACTTTTTAGACTATTGCCGATGAGGATATCGGATGCGCCGTTCCAAAAAGTCCGGAGCCTCATTTTGGCCACTTTGACTGGCTTGTAACATATGCTCGCCTTGCCCGGATCCTCACGAAGACGTACGCGTCACTCTTTTCCGTGAGTGCTACACTTCAGTCGCGTGAGGAGTATTACCAGGCAATCGATTCTAGGCGTGCCGAGCTGGAGCAATGGAAAGCTTCCCTCCCACAAGAATTTCAGCCTGAACACCCCATACCAGCATCCCACAAGTCCACGCTTGGTTCTTTGCAGATCGCCCTCAGAATCCGGCTCTCGTACTACAACCTTGTCGCAGTGTTGTCTCGGCTGACCATTCACGTGGGTAAGGGAACGGAATCCACTCTCAGTGGGCGAGCCAAACAGGGGGTCAAGGCGCTAATACATATGTATCAGGTAGTGGAGAACGTCAGGCGAAGAGCTTGGATACATTGGTCAGCACGGCACGGTCTATCGTGGATCTGTCCATTCACATAAACCAGGAATCTTACATGCCAACCTGGTACAGCCACATCTTCTCCTTTACATTCTCTCGCGAGCTGACACACGGTCAGGATGCTGAGCAGCATGCCTCTCGCAGCACTATTCATCCTCTTCGACTTCACCGTACACAATCCCACTCATCCGGACACAAGTCTGAACCTCAAGCTCTTGGACATCGCCTCTGGTTACTTCAGCCGGCTGGACCTTGCAAGCGGCGGAGCGTTTCCATGCGGGATGCTTGCCGAGTTCACCCACATCGCCCGACAACACGTTCACTCTGCGCAGTCTGAAAAACCGCAAGCCCAAGTGAGCACTCCAAACACCGACATGTCCCCTGCGCATTGGGGTGATTGGAGACCGCCTCTTGGAATGAATGACCCAAGGGCGCTTGAGGTATGTCTACTCTAGCCGCTTCCAATCGACGCCAGGCCAATGTACTGAAGTCAACGAAGCAGCAACACGGCCCTAATGGAATTGACCAAGTGGCAATGCCCGATCAGTCTTTTTTGGGCGCAGGTTTTATTGGTATTGATAATCTGGGCTCGGGGTTGGACCTAATGGGTTTATTTGGTCCGTTTACTACTGCTGCGCCCTTGATACCTTAGATGAGAGCGCTTGTGCTTGAAACTGTTACGTAGGTAGCTGAAGCTATCGTCCGGGTGTGTATGTAGAATTAAAGATTCTCTATTTTCGTCCGGACGAGAGCTTCAACTACCTACCTTATATTACAATCATAAAAAATTTCTGACGGCGGAATAACCGAGCGGGGCGGATCTACTCGAGCAGTAATAATATGACAGACAGAGGGCTGGTCCAACAGATTCCAATCACTCGGATGTATCAAGCTGGAAGCTCCAATCACGGTCAAGGAAATAGAGAGGGTAAACAAGATATCAGCCAGAGTGCTCTAGGTCGGAGTGTCGACCCGTGAAAGGGAAACGAGTGGGGCTACTTTGAAAATTCAATTGATTCCTTTCTCCTGATTTGCAAAGTGCTTACAAATTTAGCTGCTGGTATTGATGGTCAAATGGAGCCGTAGATTGTCTCCACAAATTGTTAGTCAGAGATGTTTCAATACAGCTTGTCTTGGAAGACGAATCGGATTTGGTGCATGGGTTCGGGGGTTCGGAAGCTCGGGGGTTCAAGCTCGGGTCTTCTCCAAGTTCAGGTGGTCGGCAGGGTCAACTCCGATTGGTCTCTACTACTATATCTCTCGGAAAAGCCCTAATCTCACGGGAACTGCCTGCATTGTTTGTAATGAGCCCCCGGGCCTAGTCACTACAGCGCTTGGTGTAGAGACTACTCCTCTTTTCCAAAGACGGTAAATCCCGATCATGGCGCCCGCAGGTGCCTGCGTCCATACAGAGCCAAGTTTCCAGGTTATATTGGCGTATTCTTCAGCCGGAATATAAGAACGACTGTGGCTCTTCTAAATGCACCTCTTTCACCTGTACCCGGGATCTCTCCTATTCGAAAGGATCAACGCCAATCCCGACTTGCGCAACCATGCTTGACACGGATATCAGGAACACGGATGTGCCGGCAGACGAAATGACTTTGAGGCAGAGTAGAGACTCTACTGACCACAGGGCGATATTTCCGGAGTCACCGGATGAATCGTCTGACGACACCGAGTTCCGAACAGCGGAAGACATCAGATCCCTTGCTAGGGAGATGAGCAGACATTCCATGTTTCTTACCCATGAGCCGGCCGGTCTTTTCCATCCAGAGTCCGGGTCTGATTTGGACCCCAACTCGCCGTCCTTTAGTCCGCGCAAATGGGTAAAAACTCTTCTGAGGGTAGAGGACTTGGACCCCAACGTCGGGCCCCGACGCAAGGTGGGGGTCGCGTTCAAGAATCTTAACGTTCACGGCTACGCAGAAGGGGCCGACTATCAGAAGACCGTTGCCAACGTGGCACTCTCGATCTTGCAAGCGGGACGAAGAATCCTTGGCCAGACTGGCGAACGAGTCAGCATTCTACGCGACTTTGAAGGCGTTGTCGAAGCCGGGGAAATGCTTGTTGTGCTGGGTCCCCCGGGATCAGGCTGTACGACATTATTGAAGACCATTGCAGGAGAAACTGAAGGCATCACTGTCGACGAACAGTCAGAATTCAACTACCAAGGCAAGCATGGCCCGAATCAGACACAAGCGCTATCACTAACGAGCAACAGGCATAAGTGCCAAGGCCATGCATCACCAGTACAGAGGCGAGGCCATATACACCGCCGAAAATGACATCCACTTTCCAATGCTCACCGTCGGCGAGACATTGTCGTTTGCCGCCCGAGCTCGTGCTCCCTCGAAACTTCCAGGTGGAATATCGTCATCGGTCTACACCCAAAACATCCGCGACGCAACAATGGCCATGTATGGTATTCTTCATACCGTCAACACGCGCGTAGGTAATGACTTCATACGTGGAGTGAGCGGCGGAGAGCGGAAGAGAGTGAGCATCGCCGAGGCGACTCTGGGCCGCTCACCACTACAGTGCTGGGACAACAGCACTCGCGGCTTGGACAGTGCCAATGCTATTGAGTTCTGTAAGAACTTGAAGCAATCAACAGAACTAGCAGAGTCTACAGCTATGGTCGCCATTTATCAAGCGCCGCAAAAAGCTTACGATGTAAGAAGCCTCTACCAATTCTCATGAGGAGCCAAACTCACGTTGATTCAGCTATTCGACAAAGTCACGGTTCTGTACGAGGGCAGGCAGATCTATTTCGGGAGAATAGACGAAGCGAAGCAATATTTCCAAGACCTTGGATTTGAGTGTAAGGCTTGCCCCCCCTGGTACCCACCCGCCGCAACTGACACTTCCTAGGTCCTGACCGCCAGACTACGCCCGACTTCCTGACGTCGATGACCAGTCCAGCTGAGAGGATCATCAGGCCGGGCTATGAGAATTTGGCCCCTCGTACCGCGGATGAGTTCGCGCGGCGATGGAAGGCCAGCCAGGCTCGCATGGATCTCCTCGAAGATATCGAGAACTACAATCAGAGGTACCCCATTGGCGGTGAGGACAGCGCGAAATTCTCGGAGTCATTCCGGGCACAGCAATCTCGTGGCCAGCGATCGCACTCTCCCTACGTACTTTCGTATTCGCAGCAAGTCAGACTTTGTCTCTGGAGAGGTTACAGGAGGCTTTTGGGTGACCCGTCACTTAGTCTGACGCAGCTGGTGTCTAACATCTCTCTTGCACTCTGTTTGGGATCGGTTTTTTACAACATGAAGGCTGACACCAACAGCTTCTATGGCAGAGGCGGTGTCATTTTCTTTGCTCTCCTCCTGAACGCATTTGGAAGTGCTCTTGAGGTAAGCATAATATGATGGCCACAGCTACAGAGACTGACAAGCGACAGATTCTCACTCTTTACGAGCAACGACCCATCGTTGAGAAGCATGCCCGATACGCATACTACCATCCCTCAGCCGAAGCCATCTCAAGTATGTTGATGGACCTACCGTACAAAGTGGTCAACAGCATCCTTTTCAACCTCATCATCTACTTCCTCCCAAACCTGCGGAGAGAACCTGGGGCGTTCTTCTTCTTCCTCTTTGTCTCATTCGTCAGCACCCTCGCCATGTCGAGCATCTTCCGGCTTATCGCATCCCTCTCGCGCACTCTGCCCCAGGCAATGGTGCCCACCGCGGTCTTGATCTACGGTCTCGTCATGTACACAGGGTTCAGCATCCCTATCTCCTACATGCGCGGCTGGTCCCGATGGATCAACTACGTCAACCCCATCGCCTATTCGTTCGAAGCACTCATGGTCAACGAGTTCCACGGCAGGAACTTCAGCTGTGCGGCATTCGTACCGTCCGGACCGGGTTACTCGGGCCTAGCGCCAGACCAACAAGTCTGCTCCGCCATCGGGAGCGTGCCGATGTCTCAGACGGTGAACGGAGATGCATACACCGTATCCAGTTTCCAGTACCAGAACGGTCACAAATGGAGGTAAGTCCCAACCGCCCCTTTCTGTCGATGGCGGGCAAGCGGCTAAAATCTTTGCCACAGGAACGTCGGCATCATGTTCGGCTTCTTGGTCGGGCTGACGATACTCTACCTCATCGCCGCGGAGCTGGTCTCGGAGAAGAAAGGCAAAGGCGAAGTGCTCCTCTTCCTGCGTTCCAAGGTCCCGGCACGGTCGAGCGGTCGCGACGTCGAGGGCGCTGGTGCGGCGGAGAAGCCCTTAGCCGCTGCCGTACGTCCGTCGGACGCGCCTCCGTCGATCGAGAAGCACCAGGACGTTTTCCATTGGGAGGACGTCTGCTACGATATCAAGATCAAGAACGAAGAGCGCAGGATACTGGACCATGTTGACGGCTGGGTCAAACCGGGCACGCTTACTGCCTTGATGGTGAGTGCTACGATGGCGCCGTCCTTCCCGAGTAGTCTGGCTAATGAGTGAACAAGGGCGCATCCGGCGCGGGCAAAACAACGCTCCTGGACGTTCTTGCAACTAGGGTGACCATGGGTGTCGTCACTGGTGACATGCTCGTGAATGGACAACCCAGAGACGCATCTTTCCAGCGGAAGACTGGATACGTACAGCAGCAAGACATTCACTTGGCTTCGTCGACGATCCGCGAGGCGTTGGAGTTCAGTGCATTGCTGAGACAAGGGCAACATATCCCGCGCGCGGAAAAGCTGGCCTACGTCGACGAAGTCCTCAAGTTACTGGATATGGAAGAATACGCTGACGCTATTATCGGCGTGCCAGGCGAGGGTTTGAACATCGAGCAACGGAAGAGGCTGACGATCGGCATCGAGCTGGCCGCGCGACCGCAATTGCTGCTATTCCTAGACGAACCGACTTCTGGCCTGGATTCACAGACGTCCTGGGCTATCTGCGACCTGATGCAAAAGCTGACCAACAACGGCCAAGCGATCCTTTGCACCATCCACCAGCCATCGGCCATGCTTTTCCAGAGATTCGACCGGCTGCTGCTCCTGGCTCGTGGTGGCAGGACGGTGTATTTCGGAGGTGAGTTGTCCTGCTGCAGTGTGGCCCGACTCGTGCTAACTGCTCATGCTGCAGAGGTCGGCAAGGGTGCATCTACGCTGATCGAGTATCTCGAGCGCAATGGCGCGTCGCCGTGCCCGCCGGGCGAAAATCCAGCCGAGTGGATGCTGCATGTCATTGGAGCGGCGCCCGGAGCGCACACAACCGTCGACTGGCCGAGCGTCTGGCGGTCTTCAAACGAATACCTTCATGTGAAACAGGAACTCCAGAGCCTCAAGGACTTGGCTGCAGTTTCAATTCCAGCGCAGGTGGATGACAACCAGCACTCGGAGTACGCAGTGTCCTTCTGGGCACAGTACTGGCAGGTTCAGAAGCGCGTGGCTCAGCAGTACTGGAGAAGTCCTGTCTACATCTACTCGAAACTGAGTCTTGTCGTTTTGAGTGTAAGCCACCCTCGTCCTGCAAGAGGAAGAAGCTAATGGGTTTCCAAGGGTCTCTTTGTTGGCTTCAGTTTCTACATGGCTGAAAACACCATCCAAGGGCTTCAAAACCAGATGTACTCTGTTCTTATGAGTATGCTGTTGTTCATACAGCTCAGCGAGCAGATTGCTCCGGTATTCGTCATGCATCGATCCATTTTTGAGAGCAGAGAAAGGCCCTCGAAGATGTACGGATGGAAAGGTAAGTCGCACCTCGATGCAAATGAGATCAGTCTAACCTTCAAGCAGTCTTCATACTGAGCAACATTGGCATCGAGGTCTGCTGGAATTCCCTGATGGCTGTCCTCTTCTTTTTCTGCTGGTACTATCCCATCGGCCTGTACCGCAACGCCGAACTATCCGACGACACGACGCTGCGCGGCTTCAAGATGTTCCTCTTCATCTGGATCTACCTCCTCTTCACCACCACCTTCACCTACTTCATCACCGCCGGTCTCGAGTCCGTCGACACCGCCGGCAGCATCACCTCCATGATCTTCAACCTCCTCCTCATCTTCTGCGGGTAAGTACCACCACCACCCCTACCCCTACCCTCCAGCCTCAACACAACCCACCTGACACACGCCCAACCAGCGTCCTGGTCCGCAAAGACGCCATGCCAGGCTTCTGGCACTTCCTCTACCGCGTCAACCCCTTCACCTACCTCGTCAGCGGCATCCTATCGACTGGCATCGCCCGCGCCGACGTATCGTGCGCGGCCAACGAGTACGTCAGCTTCGCGCCGCCCGCGGGCCAGACGTGCGGCACGTACATGGCGCCGTACATCGCTCGCAGCGGCGGCTACCTGCTGGACCCGGCCGCGACCGACGCGTGCCGCTTCTGTCGGCTGGGCAGCACGGATGCGTACCTGGCGAACGTCGATGCGCCGTACGGCGAGGCGTGGTGGAATTTCGGGTTGATGTGGGTGTATGTCGGGTTTAATGTTGTTGGGGCGATGGCGCTGTACTGGGTGATGCGGGTGCCGAAGAGGGGGAGGACGAAGGAGTAGGGGCGAGAGATCTGTCGTGTCGTAGACTGCTGAATTCCTTTACAAGCTAAGCCATGAGCCTGAAATGTGAGAAGGGATAGGTGCTGGGCATGTGAGTCTGATGCTGAAAGAGCGATGAAGATGATGATGATGGATTCATAGGTCGTCTCAGCCGGCTTTGCGCCCGCTATGGACCAAGGGCGATGACGAGGTAGGTACGGTGGGGAAAGTGTACTGCGGCGGCGAGAAAGGCCGAGGAAAACCTAGTTCACCATGCATATTAGTCCTCATTCACGACTTCTATCAGTCCCGAGTCCTCGGTTATCGGCTATAGGCAATCGGTCTTTAGTCTTCGATCCACCAGCAGTCGTATATCTGTCAAGGAGATGTCACATAAGGTGCAATCGAAAACTTGTGGGATGGCTAAAGATATTGCCGCCTCGGCCGAGCCCCTGGGGATCTATCCGAACACGGCGAGCGGGGCATCCCTGACCTACCTTCGTAAAAGCACCAGATGCAAAGGATATGTGCTGATGTTAAGCCCGTCGTGGTGGTGTGGTGTATCAAGGAAATTTTCTTTTGTGCAAAGTCCGCAAGCTTATCCAGCTGATTCGTCGCGGTAAGTCGTTTAGTATGAGACTTAACTCTGAACAGAATGGAGAAGGTGTACGGATGCGTCTTAAAGAATAGTATTCAAGTGACCTACGAGGAACTGTGTAAGGAATCACGAGCATAACGGTTAGAATGAACAGAGCAAATTCATCGCGAAAGTCATTCTGCCTCAAAAAAGGACCACCACTACACAGACGTCATCAACTACGGATGTAACAGTAGAGAACGATCGAGAAGTGTGGATTAACGAATACGAGTGGACCGACCTCTTTGTGGGGAGTAAAGCGGACTTCATATGGGTAGCAGCGCGTCGGTCTAGACAACTCGCCTCCACTATTCTGCCTTAGCAAGGGATCATAAAGGACATTTAAGAGGCTTTGGGCCGATGGTGTGGTGTACAAGTCACGCTTTCCGGTTTTAATACGAGAGATGCTCCGTGCTCAATCATATACAAAGCTAGTAGCCCGTGTCAAGTTGCAGACTATGACACTCGAGCCACTGTAACAGCCTTGGCACAGCTCGTATCGCTAAATTTAGCTGCCAATGAAAAGCCATCCGATTACTCTGTTGACAGTATAAAGTGCCTAGAAGTGTCTCTCACTGCTATCATCAAACACTTCAAACTCCAACTTCCAGTCCAATTCCAACATTCGTTACCAGCCAAAATGCGCTTCTCTCTCATTGCTGCCACCCTCGCCGTGGCCACTCCCATCCTGGCCTCGCCCCTTGTTTCCCGCCAGGAGCCCAATGCGAACTGCAGCGCCATGGCGGCCTACCAGTTCCCTTCGCAGACGAGTGACTTCTCCAACGTAAGCTATTATCTGCAGAGGACAGTATCAATTCCGATCACTAATATTTTCAGGTGTGCAAAACTTGCTACGATATCGCGGCCGAGAGCGTAAGGATCTTGTTTCGAACCTTCGCCGGAAGCTCTCCAACTGACCATTGCTTAGTGCGCCTCCGCTGGAGCTGACGAGGCTCACGCCTGCACTGCGACTAGGATCCTGGTAAGCATGGGAATTAATTTGCACATTTTGGCTCGGCTATACTAACAGTGGTTGAAGTCCTGGTCCATTATCGCCCGCCAACTTGCCGACAAGCAGTGCACGGATAAGGGCACTGCCAGTGCTGCGCTTGCTTGCACCTCTGACAAGGTCAATGTAAGATTCCGATTCCTTTCCCAAGGTCTGCCTGGAAACTAACAAAAATACAGGAGTGGGCCAAGAACGGCGGCTGCAAGCCCCCTTTGTAGATAGGAAGTGCCTCTAATGTCTAGTACTACCTCTACTTGTTGCAATATGTACTGTAGAAATATGTAGATAGTCAAGCCAGCTGAGCAGGGTTTTTAGCCGCCTCCCGGTTAGCCACTCTCTGTCTTCATACCACTCATTCAGTGCATCCGCAATCAGACCCTTCTTCCACATTGTGCAACACTACTGTTTCCGTATCTGATTACTATGGTGATTCTGCTACATTTGATATCAAACATATTACCTAATATCTAAACAGGCTCAGATGTGCATGCACTCTCAAACCCTTAACACAACGAGGTGAGGATAAAGATCCCGACGTTGGGGCCTCAAATCTTAAAAGTGTAACCTCCGTCCGCTGATTATCCGTGTAAACGGACATATAACGTAGAAAGCATCCCCACGCAGGAAGCATCCGCACGCAGGAAGCAGATGGAATGCAGAAGTTCGAGGTAAGTTGCGCATTCTAAGAATTTTGAGAGTACGGCCGGCATCTTTACAGGGATTGTTTTGTAGTCAAAATTCGATTCAAAGATCTATGGAGGGGTAGATTGGGGTGCTTTGGTGGGCTGGCCGTTCGTGCGACCCTTTCAAACAGTCCGCTTTGATCGATGTCTGCCGTCATGAAGCTGGACGTTAACAAATGAAGCGATTTTTGACGATGGCTGGTGATGTGGAGGGCCCGACTCTCACCCTTGGCTATTTCCGTTGGAAGGACGCATGCATGATTGGGTAATTCCCCCGTCGGTGGTACAGAGCTGATGGGGTAGCAAGCAAGGATACAGAAAGACAGGCAGAATTGCAAGGCTGCGGGGTTCTGTGTTACCAAGGCGTCCCAGTTGCCAAACCACGACATATCATGTCTCATAAAGTCAATGCAGAAACGTAAGGGCTGATTAGCATCCCTAATAGCTGGCCCAATTGTGTCCAGCATAGAAAATGGCACTTCAGCCGCTGATTATGACGGTAACCATAGTCTCGCACGGAGTCTGATTCATTCTTCACTCTCGAACGCATTCTTTTCTGGATGATAGCCTCCCCGGCCCAAGCTTGGTACGGTTCGGACAAAATATGGAAGACTAAGCAAGACGCACGCTTCTTCAAAGCTTTCCAGAAACCCTTGATCTATCAGCAGGACGTGAGCGGCATCGCAGCTAGTCTTGGTATCCAGGCGCTGAAGGCCAGAGATCAGCTTTCTATGAGTTCTCAATCCAAAATTCCTGACGACCAATGGAAATTAGAAATGGAGTTCTGGCACGCTATCACCATGGCTCAACTACAGAGCTCTTTTGTCCTGTCTGCTGCAGGAACATCCAATCCTGAGATGGGCCCATATCTCACACGACCGTCAAATGCCGAAGAGAAACAAGTCTGCCGAAACCAGGTTCGTCCCTCCAAGTGCTTTTATGGTAGAATGGAAACTGATTAGTAAAACAAAGAAAATACGCAGCACTGCCTACACCTCCTTCAGTCTATTTTGGCTCTACTTCATCCTAGCAACCGGCAGTGTCATCATCGTTCTGTCGTATGCGATCGAGCCCCTCATCAGCTGCATTTTGAAGCGACGTCGCTTGGACAAATATTCGTACAAAGAGTGGTGCACGAACGAGACCCTGCAACTTCAGCGTCTTGCTCATGAAGAACTGGGCGTGGGAACTTGGATCGACACAGGCGAATACGTGCCCATCACGAAGCCAGGCGAACGCCTGGCAACTTTGGACTTGACCGACCCGAGCCATCCCCGTCTGAAGGCTCCACCGCCCACACTTGACGTTTTGCTTTCCTGCCCAGCTGCGGAAACACTTACTCGAGACGACGAGGGCAAGCAGACTTGAGTCGCCGGAGAGTGCTCAAGAAGGTTTGAACGTACGTCATTGTAGTTACAGTTGGTCACAAATGATTTAGGCCCTAATTCCCGTGAATGGTGATTGAAAAGGCCGATTCTTCTGCAAATTATGTACATCACACATGCTCCCTACTTCACGGGTATTCTGCAAAAAAGCCCATCAACCTACAACACTTGAATCTCCGGCGCCTGCCAAACATCCCAACCCTCACTCTCCTCGCGCTCCCCAAACGGCACCAGCGCCGCAAACCTAATCGAATAGTTCCCCGGCGCGATCTGCGAGCCGTTCCCCAGCGCACCGAACCACCAGAAGGTGTGGTAGCTAGCCTGGGTCTGGGCGTTGCGGTAGACGTCGTAGACAGGGAAGGTGAAGGTGTCGCTGGCGTTCTGGGTGGCCGGGTTGAAGTAGGTGTACGAATCGGCGCCGCTCCAGCCGGTGGCCGGGCCGACGTAGCCGTTCTCGCCGACGACGGGCGGGTAGACCCACTGGGATTCGTCGAAGCCCGGCTCGTAGATGTCCCAGCGGATCTCCTCGGTGCCCCACTTGAGCTTGACGTAGACTTTCGGGAAGTCTTGGGCCGAGGTGCTGAGGTTGAAGGTGTAGCTGTAGCAAGAGTGTTAGTTGGGTCGAGTCCCCCCCGTCCGTCGGGCGAGATGTGAGTGTACTTACGAAGACTTGGTCTTGATGTTCTCGGCACTAACGCCAGAGGTGGAGAAGGGGTAGGTGTTCTCGAAGATGGGCGTCATCTCCTCCTTCAGATCCGACGCGAGGCCGAAGTACGGGACAGACAGCTGCTCGCCGTTGCTCGCGGTAATCACAATCTTGCCGCTATACGCCGGCAGCGCCGTCGCATTCAGCCCCTCCGGCAACGAGAACGTAAACGTCGCGTCCCTCGTCTCCCCCGGCGCGACCGTGAACTCCCCAGCCGGCAGCGCCACGTCCGGCACCGCCTTGATCGGCGTCAACTCCGTGAACTTCTTCAACCGCGGCGAGAAGTACACCGCCGCGTCCCACACCTCCAGCGCCTCGAAGCCCGCCGCGTCCTGAACCGCAAAGTTGTACGTCAGCGGCACGTCGCCGCTGTTCGCGATCTGCACCGTATGGCTGCCCTTGAAGTTCGCCGTGTCGTTCAGCTCGAGCTTCTCCCACGCCAGCTCCGTCGAGTAGTTCAGAACCTTGAACGCATTCACCAGCCCATTCCCGACCTGCGGCACCGGCGCCGTGAAGCCGTAATCGCGCGTCGTGCCGTCCGACCACGGCAGCGCGCCGCCGCTCGCGACGATCTGCGCCTGCAGCGCCTTCGCGAAGCCCGTGCCGTGCACCTTGCGCCCGCCGAACGCGCCGATGTAGAGGGCCGCGATGCCGGCCACGTACGGCGTCGCCATCGAGGTGCCGCTCTGCACCGCGAAGCCGTCGTCGAGGTAGGTCGAGAAGATGTTGCCGCCGGGCGCGGCGACGTCGGGCTTGAGCGAGAGGTCGTACAGGCCGCCCCACGAGGTAAACGTGCTGGGGCGGCCGCCGAGCGCGTTGGGCAGGCCGACGACGCCGCTCGCGGTGTTGGCGGAGAAGTCGGCCAGGACCTCGCCGCCGGCCTTGACGGTGTCGATGATGGCGGCGCCGGCGTCGGCGGTGATGAGGGCGATCAGGCTGCCGGTCTCGTCGGTGGCGAGCGAGACGAGCGGGCTGTCGTTGTTGTAGAAGAGGATGTACTGGGCGCCGAATTCTTGCAGGTTGGCCTGCTTGGTGGCGAAGGTGCAGGTGCCGCGGCGGACGAGCGGGATGACGCCCGTCAGGTTGCGCGTGTCGGCGGGCAGCGGGTCGCAGGCGTCGGCGGGCTCGGACGTGTTGAAGGTGAGGGGCACGATGGGCCAGTCGGTGATGGTGGCCGGGAAGTTGTAGGTCGAGGGGATGTAGCCGAGCGTCGTGGTATTGGACGAGCTGTTGGTCCTAAAGGTGGCCGAGAAGGGCTGCGCTGGGAAGCTTTCCGCGTCGACCGAGGCCACGGCGATGACGTCCTTGCCCGAGGAGCCGCTGCTGGCGAAGAAGGGGCCTGCGGCGCCGGAGTTGCCGGCCGCGATGGTCACGACTACGCCCTGGTTGACGATGCGGGAGGCGACTTCGGCCCAGGCTCCGTCCTCGAAGCCGCTTGCGCCTCCGATGCTGGCGGTGATGATATCAACCTACTCTGTGGTCAGTATTGAGCCATGCAAATGCATTTCTCGAAACACTTACATCATCAGCGTATGCGGCAAGGAAGGATTGAATCAGTGTGTCCTCATCGGTGGAGTCCTAAAGCGACCATGAGTATCACCATTGCAAACAGGGAGCAACATGAAGCTTACAACAGTAGAGAACACCTTGTAGCCCCGAAGCGTTGCCTTGGGCGCCACACCAACCCAGCTACAGCAATGGTCAGCATCCAGTGCACTGTTCACAACCGACAAGAAACACTTACTAATCCGTCTGGCCAGCAATAATACCCGAAACGTGAGTACCGTGACCCATGTTGTCATTCGGGTCATCATCCGGAGTCTTTTCCCCAAGCGGCCAGTCTGTCCCACCCAATCAGCGCATTGCTCCCGGAGACTGACCACAAAAGGGGAAACTTACTGCCATCGCCAACAAAGTCGTAGCCGCCGCTGACCTTGAATCCCTCGCCAATCCCACCCCCAAGCTACTTAACTGATCAGAAACCGTAGGCTCCCTCCTCGAACGCAAGACGAACTCACCGCAGGATGGTTATACGCAATCCCCGTATCGACGACCGCCACGACCGCGCCCTCGCCGTACACGCCCGCCGCATGCAGCTTATCGACACCGGTCGAGTTGTGCACGGTGTAGTTAGCAGCCGCGGCGTCGTCAGCGAACGTCTGCAGGTCAATCGGCGGCGCGAGCGCGATCGACTTCATCGGCCACACCTTGGCGACGCCGGCCAGCTTGGTCAGGTCATCGACGGTGTAGCCGTCGGCCTCGACGCTGGCGCCTGAGAAGATGTCGCTGTCGAAGGTCTGCACGACCTTGATGCCCGGCTCGGGGGCGGCGCGGAGGCCAGCGGCATTCTGGGGTTGTCAGTGGTTGGTTTTGGAGGGGGTTGGTGCACGGGGCGGGATGGTCTTACGCCGTGGTACTCGATGATGAAGCGCTTGGGGACGACGGCCGTGCTGTTCGTCGAAGCGGCGTCATCCTGGCGGCGGTAAAGAGCGGCGGTTGCGCTGCCCGCGAAGGGGAGCGCGTGGAGGATGTAGCGAAGGAGCACCATCGTGAACGATACGCCTGGGACGCCTAGTACCACCACCAGCTCGAGCCATTCTATCCTTATATTGTGGTTTTTTTGCCAGACAAACGCAGATGCCGTTATCGATGGCGAACTATGCGCAATCGTGTGAGAAGCGCAGAAACGAAATAAACACGAGTGCTACGGTCGCAGCCAAGCCGGCGCAAACCTCTCTCAACACCTCTCAACCTGCCTCTTTGAGGTTTTGATCGTTCGTATAGCCGTTACCAGCAGTGTGGTGGAAATGAGGTCGACAGCATGAACGCGGCAGTGTTTCCATCTTGGCTGCATATGCAGCCGCGGACATAGATCCGGCGAATGGGCTGCTCGCGTGCACAATGTATATATATGTACGCGGGAAAATTCCCGATAGGCTTGGCTGCTTGGCCCGCCGGGATAGAAGCAGTTCAATAACAATAAAGCATTATTAGCTGCTGTGGTCACCTGCTGCGATAGGGATGTACGATAATATGTTTTGGCAGCGAGCTGCAGGGGGTAATTCGTATGTTCGGCGGACGCCGCAAAGGGCACGTATCAACCTTCCTCTTCTAGCGGCCATCGATAGTGTCGACAGCAAGGAGGGCATGTTAGCCGGGGCAGGGGAGATGGGGCCGCACACCCACACACACACACCAATTCAAAGAAGGGGCCGTGTGTGGGTGGGCGGCGGCCCACTCCGGTCGTACGCGGACGCGGCGCGGGCACAAAGCAGAGCCGTTGACTGGCCAGGTATTGGTGCGCGGGCCCCTGGTTAACTCATCTCGGCAATTCCCTCCGCCAAATCCCCCACCTTTCCCTTCGCCGCCCCCCCTTCCGCCCTCGACCACTGCGTTCGAAGCAAAACACACACACGCACCCACCAGCGCTAGTACAATATAATCCTCCCCGTGGAAAAGTGGCTGTGGCGTTCCGTTATCATACGATCAACAACCCATCGCCTGTTCCTGCATCTCGCGTTTCAACTATGGCTGGCTGCCGCCAAACCGCTACCCAGCTAGGTAGCCAAGCCACATCCACTATCTGTCTGCTGCAACGCACGCAACGGCAAAATATATCCCGGATAGGAAAGACGATTGCTGACGGCGGCGGCGGCACTCTTCGGAGATTTTAGCAGGATGAAGGCACAAAGTACCATACAGACGCAAGTCATCGCAAGCGGCAGGGCCGATCTCTCAGAAAAGAGTATGCAGACCCTGCCGTGCATGCGGCTCCCGGCCAACCACCCGGTCCCCGGAAAGTAGTTGGGCCCAAAAGCTTAACCGTAAGCTTAACAGGTGCACACATGTCTTGTTGATATGTGCTCTGAATCGACTACGGAGTGAAAAAGGCGTGAAGGTTTTCGCAGACAGGCTGGTGTGCGTCACGGGTTTGCTATGCTTGTTTTACATATGGTATGCACCGCATGGTGGTTGTAGCAGCAGGTTCGGCAGAAGCGCTGCATTGATCAAGTAAATCCGGATCGGATAGCGGACTATCCGCTACAAGTGGGTTTGGGCTGGACGGTGCTTCAAGCAAGAAATTGGTGACCCGCATCGTTCCGACAGTTGTGACGATCATGGCCCTCGAGAGATCGAAGAACGCTATGTCGGATCTCGCAGTCACCCAAAAAGCTGCGGTTGATCATACAGCCAACCCACTTGTGGCCAATGCTTTCCTTGTCACGAAAACTAAATAATGGCGCAGGTGATTTTTTGAAGCAATAATTTTGAACTTTTTTATTCGCAAGAGGGGGTATCTGTCTATAACTGTTTATTGATTGTTTAGCCAACTCCATCACTCCGGAACCATCTATGCACGCAACACGTCGACTATTGGCGCATTCGGGGTTTGTCGCGTTTGGTATCGGAAAGAGGTTGTCGCAATCGGTATTTGGCGCATTAGGTGATAGAAATAGTCGCACTCGGAGATATTGTTGCATGGGTTGTTGTTGCGTGGGGGCGCATCATTCTGCACACTCAGTCGACGGTGGGGGGGCCCTGGTAGTTGCGGTGGCCCCAGACGACGTACCAGCCCAGAGACAGCATGACGAAGGCGAAGAACACAACCGACGCATAGTTCATCGTTTCGGCAGCAACGGGGATCGTGGTGGGCATGCAGAACAGCGGGATGGCGAGCAGCGACCAGCCTGTAGATCTTGTCAGCACACGGGGGGAATCAAGGGGGGATGTCCAACGTACAGAGAGAGACGATGTTGCAGAAAACACCCAGCTTGCCGAGGTGGAAGCTGCCCTCGGCGATGTGGGTGCGGCCGCCGGCCAGGGAGACGGCAATAGGCACGGCATATGAGGCCGTCAGGCAGATGACACCGACGCCAGAGAAGGCGTTGAAGGCGGCGGTCGAGCCGAAGTAGATGACGCCGAGGATGATCTGGACCACCATGCTGAGCATCATGGCGTTGAAGGGCACGTCCATCTTGTGGTTGACCGTCTTCCACCACTTAGCACCGGGGATGGCACCATCACGGGCGAACGCCCAGGTGCAGCGCGAGGTAGCAGTGGTGCAGCCGATACCGCAAATCAGGGCCAGTATGAACAGCGGGATCGTCAGGATGAAGGCGCCCACGTCGTTGCCCACGGCCGCCTTGATGATGGCAGGCACGGGCTGGCCCGACGCAAGGTTGATCAGCTCGGTCAGGTCGGGCATCACGAAGAGCAGCGGCAGCAGGAAGAGCAGGCCGGCGAAAGTGTTGAGCACAATGGTGCCGACCATGGCCTTGGGAACCTGGGTAGCAGGGTGTTGCACTTCCTCACACATCCTACAGTCACGAGCATTATTACTGAAGCACTTATGGGGGGAGGGGCGGGGAACACAAAGAAAAATCTTACGAGATGATCATGCCAGTGGACGAGGTCGCGTACGCTGCCTGCAGCAGACCGACGCAGAACGACCATCCTGCCGGCCAGCCCGACTGAGGCTCGAAGTCACCGAAGACCCACTCAGCGCTGCGGCGGCCACCCTTGGCGCGCGCCAGCACGGTGATGATGATGGCCAGCACGCCGGCAAACGTCCAGTAGATGGCAGCAGTCTGTTTGCACGTCAGTTTGCATGGTCACAGCCAAACAGGGGGTCATGTCACGCACGTCGATGTACGGCAGGTAGCGGTTGCCCAGCGAGGAGGTGGCGTTGGCCACGAAGGTGATGGCAAGGAAGGTCAGGAAGGTCTGCCAGGTGGTGGCCTCCCAGATACCGACGCCGGGCTCCGTCTCAAAGATGTTGATGCACGAGATGAAGAAGAGCGTGGTGCCGAAGTTCACGGCGAGGGTGATGGTGATGTTGCCGACGACGTATAGCCAGCCGCAAGTCCAACTGGCCAGGCGGCGGTAGCTGGGGGGTGCAAGCATGAATGTCTGATAGTAGACGCCTAGCATTGGTCGTCAGCTGGCGCGCGCGTGATAAAAGAGATAAGACAGCCCTTACCTCCAGCAGTGGGGTAGACACTCGTAATCTCGCCCAGGGACGCGGCGACGCAGAGAATGATGAAGGACACGCCGACCCAGCCCCAGACGATGTTGGCCGGGCCACCGCCGACCAGCGGATAGTACATGGTGGTGGCCAAACCGTAGGGAATCGCGGCCAGCACGAAGGACATGAATGCGACCTGCATCGTCGACCGGTTCCTGGACAGCTCGGGCGCATAGCCCATGGCCTCGAGCACGGCGTCGGCCGATCCGACAGCATCCTCAGGCAGCGAAGACTTGTCGGCGCCCTTGCCGGTTAAGCTGATCTTGCGTTGGAGGCCATCGCCATTGGAGTGCTCGTAGGGGGCAGCCATGGTGACGGATAATTCGAATTGGACTGGCGACGAGGACGACGACGGCTCGAGAGAGACACCCAAGCCGCGAGAGGTTGTTGATTGACTGCGCGCGAGGGAGCGAGGGATACAGGCGTGCGAGTCGAGGCGGCGGAGGCGTGGTCCTTATGGCAGGGCTACGCCGCGGCACTAGCGGGGCTGTGGTGAAATTACGGCTTAGGCTTGTCAAAAGGTTTTTAGTCCGCAGTTTACGACTGGGGTGACGTCAACGCTCCCCACGCCCTGTTCTGCAACGGTAACAGAGCCCCCCTTCGGCCCGTCTCGCATTATTGGGGCCGCTCCTCCACTCGCGGTGGCGCTCGCTGGCAGATGCTGCTCGAGGAAATGCCACCCCGTTTGTGCTCTCCGGCTGCCCCCACGACGCCCAGAAACTGCCGCTGCCGAAGTGCGGCTAGCGCCCTTCAGGCCTCCAGTTGTGGCCGGCCTCGCGCTCCGGCTCTTCAACGCTTCTTTCCACTCCCCGGCACCACCCGTCTCTCCCGCACGCGACCACTCGTAACCTTGCGAAACCGAAGGGGCCAGCTCGAGGGGGCGCCAGTTAGCTGGGCGGTGGCTGCGGAGGGAGGTCAGATCAGGCCAAGTGGCGCTCAGCAATCGCGTAGTATCTAGCATATCGCAGCACGACCGTCAGCCGTTATCAGCACGTGGCGATGGGGATCGGATCTGTCGGACAGCGTGGCTGCCACGATCTGACTTCCGTTTGCGTCGCCAATCGGAAAACCAGGGTCCGACGTGACGCGAGAATGAAGAGGTGATGGAACGAGGAATTCTTCCAGAAGGTCGGCAGGTAGCGAGGATCTAGCGCCAAGGAAGAGGCTTGCCGTCCGCGGAGAGCTCCCGTAGCGTCGAGGCTCAGCTCAGCTGCCGAGCGAGGAAGGATGAGCCTTGAAGGTTGAAGCCGCGGCAGGAGCGACGCGGCGTTCCCGCGCTCCAGGTAGCTTCGGCGTGCGGGAGTTCTGATTGGCTGCCACCCGCAATCCCTTTCCGATTCAATTGCATAACCACTCTCGTCGACCGCTCGGGCCCTCCGACGCTGTTCTGAGGCCTGCTGTCCGCCGTCTCACCCTGCGAGCGGCGTCGTTGCTCATCACCGCAGACGAGCGGCCCTGCGTTCTGCACGTCTTCTTCCGCCCGGCACCCGACTCGCTAATCCTAAAAAATTTTACCCCATCAGGCCACAGCTCTTTGTTTCTTGTGCAGCGCGCCTCCACTCGGTCCCCGTACAAGGTTACGTAAGTCAAGACCAGCGACAAATCGGCGGCCGGTACGCCGTACAGCAGCACAGAAATAAATGGGGACCCCATCCTTCTTGCTGGTGTCGGTGTGCTCTGCGGGTCCCGACGTCAGTGAAACACCAACAGCCTTGCCTCACCATTTCCCGACGCGACACACGCGACAGGGCTGTCCCCAACCGATGCCTCCATAGGGCAGCGCCCGAACGGAACCGCCACTCCAAAGGGGGAAACACGTCTATAAGGCCGCGATCCTACCGACAAGGACGCGTTTGTCGTTTCATGCCTCGAAGAAGTCGAGTCTTGTGGCGGCAGCCAGCCCAGCTATCTCACACCACACGGCTGTCCCCGTCCTATCGCGCCTCTCCCAATTCCATGCCTATAGTTAATTCACTGGTACGCGCAAGCCAAAGCGCCACCGCCGCTCCTACCTCGTCCGACCCAGGCACCGAGACAAATTTCAGGACACTGAAACGATAAGAGGAAAAGAGCAGCGCTACTCATTAATGGCATTAGGTATATCTCTCGGGGGGCCAACGCGTAACGGCCGTTCCGCAACTACAAACAACGGCGCCGTAATAATAACAGGAAAACGCAGGCGCCACCCACACCACACTAAATCCGTCCTCTTCTCTCTCCCTACTCGGGTAAGTCGGATTGTTTTCCCGCCGGCGAAATCGAAAGCAACAATGCCTCCGAGGCTTGGCAGGTGACCTGCACGGAGCCCTTCTCCCCGTCGACCTCGACCTCGTAGCTGTCGTCCTCGTCCACCACGACGGCCAAACCCTTGCTCTCCGCCGTCCACTGCGTGCCATCCCATGTGATATCGGGTGCCTGCGCCCCCGCATCCGGTCCGGTCAGCCGCTGCACTTTGACCGACTTGACGCCGTCGAGACCGGTGAGCTGCAGCGTCTTGTTCGGGCGCGCCGCATCATAGCTCTCGCGCCAGAGCTCGAGGTTGACTATCGCAATCTTGGTCAGTTCCGCAGAGTTGTACGCCGCGTAGGCCGAGACGTCTTCGTCGTCGACTTGCAATTCGGCGATCTGTAGCTCCCCCGCATCCCCAATGAAGTCGGCGACGAAGACGTTGCCGTAGAAGCTGCCGAGCGTCTGCGGCGGCATCGTCGCGTTGTTGATGGTCGTCGTCGATCCTAGCCACGGCGAGAAGGGGAAACGCGAGCCGAGCTGCATGTTGACCCTGGTCACGCCCTGGTTTGTGCATTTCGTCTCGGTCAATGCTGATCATGGGGAAAATGACAAAAGCAACACGAAGGAGTAGAGTGACTTACGAGCGTTGCGACGTACAGCAGCCAGTCGACGGTCCATAGCGCCGTGCCCAGGCTTGCGGTGAGATCAAAGTCCCGGATGCCGGTGCCGTTGCCGAGCGCGCTCGCGGCTTCGGCGATCAGGAAGGGGATGTCTGGGTGCTCGCTCTTCATGTACGCGATGCGGTCCTTGAATCGGGCGTCTGTCTTGCTCCTGATGGCTGCCTTGTTCATCAATGTTGCTGGATGGTTTGTCAGTTTCTGCCGTTGAGCTCTTGGGTCGATTGATACGCACCGGCCATGTCTTCGCCGTCTTCTGACTGGTAACTGCACGCAATTCAGCTACTCGGCCAAGCTGCTCATCGTAAGAAAACTTACAAGTGCTCCGAGACGGATTTCACGAGTTCTTTAGAGAGACCGGCGTCGAATGCGTTTTGCCTATCCCGCAATCAGCTCCCGTTCTCGCGCGCACAAGGAATCAACGCCCACGCACTCATTCCACGGATCCGCCACGAGATTCGAGTACGCCAGCGCCTGGAAATTCGGTCCAGACCCCAGCGCCGAGACGTTGCCCTCAATCGCGTCCGCAAACTCGGTAAACTCAGCCACGTAGTCCTCGGGACCGTAGTCGGCGGGGCGGTCCGTCTGGCCAGGGAAAAATCCAACCGCGTTGTACAAATCCGGCTCGTTCCCGATCTCCAGCGCGTTGAGGTTGCCGGCGCCAATCGCGTCGACGCAGTCCTTCGCGAAGGCGACGGCGTTGCTCAGGTTCTTGCGCGCGAGGAACACCTGCAGGTCCCACACGACATTGTCGCCGGAGAATTGGCCAAAGCCGTCGAGCCAGCCGCTGCCGACGGTGATGTTGGCGAAGAGGCTGGAGAAAGTCGCGAGGTCGGGGTTCTCGAAGCGCACCGCTTCCGCCTGCGCGGGGTCGTACCGAAAGTGATCCCTGCAACAAAAAAACGAACGAAAATTGATCAGCGGTCCCGCGCGCCTGGATGTTGGGGCAGGAAGCGAAAAGGCGTGATTGCAGCCTTGACGACGACGTACTGGGTCGTGCCGCCCACGCGCAGGTACGTCTTTGCGCCCGTCTTGGCCGCGAATGTGGACAGCATGTTCACTGAGAATTCGTTCGGCGATGCGTCGTTGCCTTGGCGCGCGTGGTTAGTCAGTTGGAGGCTTTCTTCGTTCTGAGAGGGCAACAAACCGCTGTAGTCGATGAAGTCTCGCCCTTCTATGGCGAAGCTCAGGAACGACTGGTCCAGAACTGCGCTGGCATGGTCCGGTACGCTGCTGGATACGGCAAGCTGGATGCAATGCGCCGGCGCGGACATGAGGAGGAGCAGAGTTGCACAGGACACCCAGAACGATGCGCGGCCGGTGTTCCTGCTCTGGGACGAGCTCGAGGGTAGAATTTGGGGGAGCATCTTGACGGGGAATCAGGGAAGGCAATTTGCGTCAAGTTGCCGTGGGTCTTCGAAAGAAGATCCGGGAGTTCCTGTTCGGCAAGAACCAACCCACGACGGACCCCGAGGATTTATAAACGGCGCACGCGACGACAAGTCCATGGAGCGGGGAAAGGCGGGGCACGAGGTCTTGTGGGAAGCAAGGCAAGGGGAAGGGAAAGAGGTTAAAGTGGACCTCTTGCGGCTCAGCGCGGCACTTGGGCGGTAGCTTGGGGCTACCGCGGCGCCGAGCTTGCTGCCTTACATGCTACATGCAGGCCTTGACTGAATCAGATAGGGGAAAGTATCGATTCCTGATTCCTGCCGTTGCTATTTGCGGTAGTATGGCGATGCATGGTTGCGCAATGCTTAGAGCGAAGTATGACGTGGCCCAGAGCGCGGGAAGGCTTGTGGGGGATCCGCCGCGAATCCAGCACGAGCTTCGTTAAATTGCCCATCCCCCGCTCTCCGCCCCCCACCCCCGCTCCCGCTGATTCCGCCTCTTATTTAAACTCTAGACCCTGACCATGGTAACCTTCTTTTGCCTCGAAAATGTCTCGCACGAAAATTGGGAGTCCGACTGACCGGTGGGGGCTGTGCGACCATGCCACGAGCAAGTGCGTCCGGCCCACGGCATCGGAGCAACGGACTTGGCCCCAGAAACCGCCGTCGGGAACCCTTCTGCACCGCCCCCACATGGATGGTCATCCCTCCCATGCTCATTGGCCCGTCGCAGTAGTCAGCAGTTACTGCAATAAAAGAAACAGCCCTTTAAGACCTCACCTGACTCCAACTACAAGCGTCGCCAAGTTGCGGTCTGCAAGGCCCTTCTTCGTCAGCATCTCGGCCCATTTCCTAATCCATTCTCCTGCCGATCCCGGAGTGTCTCAGTCCATCGACGACGAGTCTGCTTAACGAACCTGACTTAAGCAAGCCCACGTCCAATCGGCGTGCGCCATGGTTTCCTCGGGATGGACTCGTCACACCGGCCTATAAAACATCTGCAGCCAACCTCTGGGCACACCAGCGATACCTGGACGAGGTTGCATCCTTTCTCCCGTTTCTTCGCCGCTGCACATCTGTCATTGTTGGAAAAAAGCCCCTGCTGCATATTTCATCCATCAACCATTTTCGTGATCGGCGCATCGGAGAAAAATCAATACCATTATTCTTTAAGCATCTCTCGTCTTGGGATTACATCATAACACCGCGTCTTTCCAGCGCAGTTTCTTTCCACGCATCTCATCCAACCTCTCTCAAGCCGGATTGTACCCCTTGCTCCAATCCACGCAGTTGACGTCCAGCAGATCCTCATCCATGTTGCGGCAAGTCACGAGATTCGAGCCGTTGATGGTGCGGATGTCGATGTCCTGAGCAACGATGTTGGAGCACGTATCGGGGCTCGAGCACACCAGATGCGCCACGATGGGCGAAAATACCCTATTGGTGCGGCCGCGCACATTCCGGAAGGTGACGTCGGTGATGTTCAGCTTCGACTGCATATCACAAATACTCCACATTAGCCTTGCGCCGCCACAGCCACACACGCACAAACCCACTCTCCACCACCTACTACTACTACTACTACTACTACTACTACTACTACTACTAACCCTGAAAAAAAAAAGAAAAAACTAGAAACACAAACTCACCGGATGCTTAAAACACTCCTCCTCATCATCCTGGCCGTAGCACTGCGTAATCGTCAAGCCGTAATCGACGTTGTCGAGCCACATGTCCTCGTACGTGACGTTGCGCACGGCGCCGCTGCCGCCGCCGCCGACGAGGCTGACGCTCTTCTCGCTGAAGGCGTTGGGCCACACCTTGATGCGCGCGCCCTCGGACGAGTTGTACATGGCCGCGTTGCGCACCAGGATGTTCTCGACGTAGTCGACGCGGTCCGGGTACTGCCCCAGGCTGCCCACGCTCATGCCGTGCGTGCCGTTGCAGATCATGTTTTGTACGAGGATGTTGGTTGCGTTGGGTTTGAAGGAGACGCAGTCTGTGTGGAGGAGGGGTTAGCGTGGGGGAGGGGGGGAGAGGGGGGAGGGGGGAAGGGCTACGCACCGTCGCCGTTTGTTACGGAGGAGTTTTGGACGGTGATGTGGTCGGAGCGGTAGATGTCCCAGCCTGCAACTGCTCGTCAGCCCGAATGCCCCGCTCACCAAACAGCAGGCGGGAAACCCCCTACCGTCCGTGTTCTTCTCGAAATTCTCATTATTGCTGACGCTGTGAATCCTGATATCGGTAAACACGACGTCCGACGAGTTCCCCACGAAATTATGCCAGAACGGCGAGTTCACCAGACTCAGATCCGACACCGACCCGCCGTGCATCTCGACCGTCGCGAATAGCACGGGGCGGCGGTCGTGCTTGTTCTTCGGGTAGTGGTCCCACCACGCCTGGCCCTGCCCGTCAATAGTCCCACCACCATACACGTTCACGTCCTCGCCGCCCAGCTTGAAGAAGCTCGTCGCGTTCTGGAAGCCCAGGTCGAAGCTGTTGTTCAGCCAGTGCGGGATGTCGTCCGTGAAGGCGATGCGCCCCTGGATGTCGATGTCGATGCGCGCCAGCCCCGTCATGTCGAGCGGCGAGTTGATGATGTACGACTGCGTGGCCGGGAAGACGACGTGCCCGCCGTTGTTGCAGTCGTTCAGCGCGGCGGCGATGTATTCCGCGTCATCCGTGCTGCCGTCGTTGTGGCTGTCGACGACGCAGGTGCGTGTCCGGGCGGGCGAGTTCTCCGCCGTGGACGGCCGTGCGGACCGGATGCTGGCGAGGAAGACTTCGGAGACGGTGGCGGCCCAAGTGCTCGAGGCGTAGAGGGCCAGGAGGCTGAGGGCCGTGGAGGAGCGTGTGGAGGAAACCATGGCGGCGGATGGTGGTCAATTCGGCGTCGAAGAGGCTCTTTCTCCCGTAGCCGCAGATGCGTGGTCGCCAATCAACTTATACTCGCCACGACGAGCCCGTACCAAGCCTTGCGGTATATTGCTTTCCCCGCATATTTCCATCTGGCAAGCGAAGCAACGCATACGAAGCTCGCGACCTTTGGACGGGAAAATTCATGAAGGCCAAGGCTGCCGCCCCACGTCTGCGGCTCGCCCCCGCTTCCCCGCTCTTTTTCCCCAATCTGTGGGGGATGAAGGATTGCGCCGCGTGGTTCGCCAACGGGAAAAATCGAGGAAGCTTCGAAGGCCAAGGCTTTAGGGTGGAAATTGGGAAGAAATGACGGTGAAGGCGGGCTGCGGTTGAGGTTGTAGGCTCGGAAAAGGTCCAAGTCGGAAATGCGGGTTCGCGGAAAAATTGCCTATCGAGTCAACATGCATAGCCGAGGTATCCGAAGAGTCCGCCTGTTGATTCAAGGTCGGTGGGTTTTAATTGGGGAAAAGATGCAGTGAGGGCGGCTATTGGACGGTTCTACTAAATAATGTCTAAGAATAATAAACTTCCAGATAAGCAACTTTAAGTTGAACGACCCTGTTCCAGTATTCATCACTTCGCCCTCGCGAAAAAACCACCATCATCACCAACGCTCACCCACTACCACCACCACCACCATCCTTCGCCTCCCGCACCCACGTCTCCGCAAACCCCCGCTGCACCCGATCCACCGCCCCCAGCCCCCCCTTCCCCTTCCCCCCCTCAATCCCCCCCACAAACGCCCTCACCAACCCCATCACCACCTCCACCATCCTCCCGCCCTTAATCCCGCCCAACAGCCCGCTGTCCGGCGGCATCCTCTCCCTCAACCCCAACGCATCCACCAACAACGGCAAATCGCTAAAATCAAAGTGCGCCGCGCCGCGCACGCCGACGTCGCGCAGCCACCCGCTCTGCGCCGCGCTGAAGTTCGTCCACGTCGCGTCCGGCCCGGGCGGGTCGTGCTGGCCGGCTATTTCGAGGAAGGGGCGAGGGGAGAGGTCTGGGTAGGGCTTGGTGGAGGCGGAGCCGTTGCCGTGGAGGTCCCAGATGTCGAAGAAGAACCAGCCGTCGATGTTGGCGCCGGCGAGGAGCGGGGGGAGGGAGGGGTCTGAGGTGGTGGAGGAGGGGGAGGAGGAGGATTGTTGGGCCATGATGCCGGCGGAGGCGGCGCCGCCGATGCTGTGGCCGAAGACGAAGAAGGTGGAGGGGTCGGCATGCCCGTTGTCGCCGTCGCCGCTGAGGGAGTAGTAGTGCTGCGCGGACTGCTGCTGCTGCTCGGCCTGCTCGGCCTCCGCGAACTGCTCGGACGACGACTGCTGCTCGACCAAGCTCCGCAAGCACTCCGGCCCCCGCCGCAGCAGCGCCGCGGCATCGGCCACGCGGTGCGCGTAGATCTGCTCGAACTGCGGGAACGTCCAATTCGCCAGCGGCGGGAAAGCGCTGCGGGCGCCGCCACTGCCGTCCAGGAATTCGAGATAGGGTGGCTCCCCTGGGTGGTCGATGGCGTAGACGGTGTAGCCCCAGGACGCGAGTTCGGAGAGGTAGGCTGTGTAGGCGAAGCAGGGCATGCCGGCGCCGGGCAGGAAGAGGATGGCGGGGCGGTGGGGGGTGAGTGGTGGTGCGGGCGCCGGGCAGGTGCCGGGGTTGGTGGAGCTGGAGAGGCTGGGGGCTTGCCATTGGAGCTCGGTGACGAGGGAGGAGAGTAATGATGGCGGGATGCCCAGAGCGGTGCCCCAGATGTCGGCGTTGGTGGCGTCGACCCACGGACGGGTGCGCTGCGGGACCGAGAGCGTCGGGCCGTAGGTCGTTACGAGCATCGTCTTCCCAACGCCGCTGCCGTCCGGCGCCGTGAAGTCGTCTGGCGTCGTGTGGTTGAGGACATGCTGGTTCTGCGTGACGTAGTAGGGGCCGGTGGGTTTGTAGAGCAGGACTTCTGCGGAGGTTGTGGTGCCGAGTAGCGCGAAGGTGACAGCACCAGCATGGAGCCTCATTCTTGTGACGCGGGCAGGGGCCGTGGATACGGCTGGAGATGTATGCGGTGGTCGAAGTAGGGCTGGGGGTAAGCAGCTAGCGAGGTTGGCTCAACGGGTTCCCCACCTTCCTTTTTTAGGGTGGCTGCTTACTCACTAACGTCATCCGCCTCCCCGTGTAACCTTTCAACTACTTGGGACATAGTGTGCATTTAGACCATGGATCCCCCACAGTTCTTCCGAACAATGGCTTGATCACAATAATTTCTAACCCTATACTCGATCGACATTCGCTGATATCAACTATAAACTGGTTAAGCCTGTGAGAAATTACAAGTCGCATGTATGTCCATATATCTGCTTTTACTGCCCGCAGAAAAAAATCACTCTTCCTTTCTCCAGAGACATGGCTTGTCCCCTTGTCTAAACCTGAAGTAATAATGGCTGCTTACACCTACATGCAGCATGCGTTCATAGCGGAGCAACCAACTTACTTGACGTACTCTTAGCTATCAGTTGTGGTATTACCAACTGTAAGCTCACGTGTTCTGCTTCAAACGTGTCTAACACCTATTGGTTAAAACATCTTTTGAGCAGGGCTGCGCGCGGAACTAATGAGCGAGACACCGGCAGAATAAAAAGCAAAGCCTCCGCCAAGGCAACAAACACCATTCGAATCTCATATTGAAAGACAATGAGTAAGTTCCATTTCCAATCCATGAGGTGGCTCTCACCAAATCCACTTTGCACAACTATTCAGTGTCGACCATCGAGCAGACTTGCCGAACCATTGAGAGTGCTGGAAGGGAGGACTCCGATTGTGAGAAAGAATCCGATTCATCCCCCATCTATTACCAGAAGGATCTCGGCGAATCTCTACTTGGGTGCCGATTCTGTGCTGAAATCCTTTCGCATCCCTCCGGGGTGATACCTCCGAACTGGGCACTCTACGATCTCTTCCATTCCGATTGTAAAACGTGCGTAGATGAACATTTGACACTTTGCGACCGGTGCAGGCACTTCAGACTTCGGCATCTCCTCCAGTGTACAGCAGGAATGTATTTCCAACATGGGATCCCGATCCATTATACTAAAGAAAGCATTCAAAGCCAAGAGTCCCCGAGCTGCACAATTTGTTCCTTCATAAGGGAAATTGTACGGGATGTCACGAGCGACTTCAGCGATTCTGGCGAGATTTACATAACTGGCCCTGATGAGCCATCGACTAAAGCAAGTGGAGTCTGGCCAGAACGTTACGCGCGTACGAGCTGGTGTACTATGATCTGGAACCCTGATCAAAACACAAGATTTTCTACTTTCACGCTTGGACTAGGTCTCAAATCCGCACGGTCATCCCCGATCGGTCTAGCAAGTACCATCGAATATCAGTCAACATCTATGGAGGAAGATGCGGGCTCGGACTCCGAATCGAATGCAAAAAATAGTCTCCAGGGATGGTCAATGACAAGAGCAAAGATCTTGGGTGATATCGTCAACTGGGAAGCTGTGAAGAATTCATTCGCAGTTTGCCACAATGAGCACCAGCATTGCCACTCCAGTAGATTTAAACCGCCGACAGGCTTCAGGCTCATCGATACGAAAGACAGATTCCTGGTAAGACCCAATGGAATAGTCGAATTCTGCGCATTGAGCTATGTATGGGGAAGAAGGGAGAATTCAGAGCTGAAAGAAATGGAAATGCTTACAAAGGATTCGCTGGAGAGGCTGGAGCGGCCGGGTAGCTTTACGGAGTCACCGTTGCCTAAGACGATCGAAGACGCCATCCAAGCATGCTCCGCTTTGGGATTCCGGTACCTTTGGGTCGATCGCTTATGCATTGTTCAAGATGATGAGAAAAGCAAAAACCGTCAGATCGATGCCATGGGGGGTATTTTTGCATCTGCAGAGCTGGTTCTCATAGCCTCATCGTCAGAAAATATGCATGCCGGTATCCCTGGCGTAAGCAACTCGCGACAGACTGAACAGTGGAGATTGAGCTCGTCCGACCTTGATCTCATCCGGTTGCCCCGCTTGGATGAAATGATTGAAGGGTGCCAATGGCGTACAAGAGCATGGACATATCAGGAAGCTGTTTTGCCTCGAAGAAAGCTGTGGCTTACCGGCACTCAAGCTTATTTTCAATGTTACGAGGGCGTATTCAGCGAAGACACTCTTCATGCCCCAGACGACGGCAGCGCTTACACCATGGACCGGACTCGATCCAGATTTCCTATCCAGCACTACTTTGCACATTTGAAAGTCTATAGCGACCGTTCCCTTACTTTCCAGTCTGACATCTACAACGCGTTTATCGGAATCGCCAACACGGTCTATGGAGCGGATGTCTTGGTTTACGGATTACCACGCCACGATTTCGATCAGGCCCTGCTCTGGATCGCGGGAGACTATGCCCCCGATGGCCGCGATGCCGAAAACATCACATTGCCGAGTTGGTCCTGGGCTTCTGTTGACGGCCAAATCGAAGTCTTAGACTATGATTGTTTCTCTTTCTGTGGCACTCTTGTGCAGTGGACAGTATGTGTGGAATCTGAGGGGCAACTTTCGCTTGAGCGCATCGACTCTGACAACGCACCAATATCCTGGATTGAGCAACAAAATCTATCAATATACCGCAACTGGGAACCTGATATGTCGTTGGATGGGGGTCATGGTCTTTCGCCTTCCCTGTATATGGCATTGGTTTGGGGTCAAGATTGCATTGGGGCACCACGACCCTCTGGATTTTGGTCCTTCAACAACCACACATTCGACGAGATGAGCACCATGGCGCACGATCTCTGGCCTACTTACAACGCATATTATCGAACTATGGATTCGGGGAAAGATCAAAGCCAACGAGATACAACAACCTTTCCATCAACTCGTATCCCTGGTTCCTTGATTGGTCGCGTGCAGACGGCAATACTAGAGATCCTGATCAATAGCGATGACGAATGGAAACTGGTCTATAAAGGCCGCCAAATTGGAGTCACGTATTTGTCCACGTCATCTTGGCGGCGTGGTTCCACAATCAAGGCCATTGCACTCTCGGTCTTCAACATGGCCGACCCAGAGCGGAACAACCAATTCTATCTGCAAAAGTTCTCATCTTGCTATCCTAGTATTCGCAGGGGGGTCTCTGCAAGGGAAGAGAACAAGAGGGTTGTGGCTGCCGGGGAGGAAATATTGCGGGACCCGAAAGAAAATCTAACGTTCTTCGATTGCAACGGAGAGGCTCTCCTACCGCCCCCCATGCTGAGGCTCATGATTATCGAGGAAGACGGCCCGTCGTACCGTCGAATTGGTCTGGGGTGGGCGTATCTGGCGCGTTGGGTTCAGACAGATCGCAAGTTTGAGACTGTGACGTTGATATGAAAATGGGTTCAGGTGTTCGAACTGCATGTCTTGCGGAGGGGTTACAGAGGAATAATTTGTTGTTTCTTAGGTCAAGGTGTAGTTCACAATCTAGTTAGGACTCTATCGTCCTTCGATGCGCTAGTATTTTGCAGAGAATCAATACAGAACTTGACAGTGACTTCTTAAGCCTTTCACCGCGTGGTTTATAACATGCTTCTGCAGGTGGGCCGTAAAAAATAGCGGCGAGGTTCCGCATTCAAATTGTTTAATCGACATAAGATTTCACTACGAGAACAAGCGTTATTTCCATCGTCTAAGACTTGACTACTTGCGCATCTGGTGAATGTGGCGTTTCAAGAACGGTAGCAGCGAATTTCCTGGCAGGTATTTCCCTCTCAAACAAAACATCCAGTTCCTCGAACGTCCGGTTCTTGGTCTCCGGTAACCTAAACCAAGCCCACAACAAGAGAAGCGTCGAGAAGCCAGCAGCCGGGAAAGCTGCTTTGCCGTGCAGATTGGCTTCCGATGGATTGAGTAGATAGGGAGCCACAACGATGTTGACAATGGAGAAGATGTAGTACGCGTTTCTACCCACCGCAATAGTCTTCATGCGGAGCCGAGAAGCAGGAACTTCGGTTGCAATGGCATAAGGAACGGGTCCGATGGTGAGACCGTAAACCGCGAACCAGAGGAGCATGATGCAGCACTGGGCCCAGCGGCGGGCCGATGTTGCGGGTGCAAAGTCAATCAGCGCGATCAGCCACATGATCGGCGCCATGATGCAGAGTCCCGAGATGAAAATTGAGCGCCGTCCGTATCGACCTTGGAAGAACCACGAAAATACGGTTCCGAGGAAGGCGATGCTGAACGTTCCCAGGCTGAGCTTGAATGAGTCGTCGGTGGATAGACCGGCTTGCTTGAAAAAGTACTGTAGGAAGTCAGCTATTGGACTATTGATCAATGTTGGTGGAAGAGCGAACCGTCAGATAGTTCTGGATAGCTAAGAAACATTAGCACTCGTTCTCATGAGTAGGTAGGAAAGCTTACCGAAACCAGTAAGCACTTGACCGCCCCAAGAAACGGAGGCAATCTCGGTTCGCCGAAGGTTAATGCCACGGAAGCAGTCAATGTAGTTGGTACCAACGTTGAGATCCCTCTCCATCTGAATCGTGTGAGTGATCATGGCCACCGTCTGCTTGCTTCTCCGATCCACATCAGCAGGATCACCGCTGCACAGCCGCTTCATGGTTGCTTCGGCGTCAGCAATGCGACCCTTGCGAACCTGCCACCAAGGCGACTCAGGTGCGAAGCAGATGGCCAGGCTGAGAGGCACAGGCCACATCCACTGGAGGGCAAATGGGATCCGATAAGACCATTCGGTGGGGTTGTGGATGAGACCTTGCAGGACACCCGTGGCGAGGATACGTCCGGCGGGCCAAGTGAGGTTGCAGAAGGTTGAAAGGTAGCCGCGCAGAACAAGAGGACAGACCTCAACCGCGTAAGAAGGAGCCACGGCGGCAAACACGCCCCACGGGAGACCGCATAGAAGCTCGCCGACCAGAAGGACCTGGATGTTGGGTGCGAAAAAGGTGATGAAGATGAAGCCGGTAAGAGCCGTGAAGGAGCAGAGCATCAGCCTTCGAGGACCCATGTGTTCCACCAACCATCCGTTGACGAAGACGCCGATGATCATGCCAAAGTTGGAGGTGAGACTCAGCCCGAGTTGCCAGGATGCAGGTATAGAGTAAGAGCCGTCGTCGAGAAGCTCGCCATACTTCTTTTGGAACGAGGGGTAGGCGTAGAAGGCAGAGACGATCTGCATGTCATAGCTGTCCATACTGGAAGGCGGTCAGTAAATCACAGCCAAGAAGAAACAAAACAGCACGTGAACAACTTACATGCAGGCAAGAGACACAATCACGGACCAGATGACGGCTTTCTTGTAAAGCTTCACAGCCTGGGTGAATGTGAGTTCATGCTCGGCTTGAGTGGCTTGGGCAGCCTCGGATGACAGTCGTTTCCCATCAACGTCGGAGAACTCAGCGCAGCCGACTTCGGCTGTTTTCTCAGCTGAAGGCATTGCAGCCAAGGAGACGGAGAGGCTGAACAAGTGAATTGGCAGTGAAACGATGCTGGCAAGCCAAGCAGAAGACGAGGAAAACTTTTGCAGTGAAACTCGCGGATCAAACTCTAAAGCAAGGATATCGTGACGGAGAGACCGCCGCTGCGTGCATTCCCTTTATACCGTGCGGAAATCATCCACACCCAGACCCTCACCCAGGCGCCAGCTCCACGACAACATCGACTTCGTTTCGCGCATGCAACAGCCCCTCAGCCAGGGTTGAAGCCGATGATACCCCGTTCAGCAATGAGAAGCGCATGCATCAGCCGACAGTCCAATCGGCATTTGCATCGCGAATGCGGGGAAACAGGGGTTGCGCCAAGTGAACGGGAGAACAAGCAGTGTTCGGCCTCGCCGCGCGGCTTGCGCGCTGCAACTTTGAGTACGTCCGCAGCGCTTGTCTGGGTTGGAGAGGAATTGTGGACTTGCGATGCGACTGATATGGTGAGGTTTTGATATGGCGTGCTGGCGCTTGGCGAGCACGTCAGCGGGTGCGAGAGGTGAGGCGGGCCAAACGCATGATGAGCTTGCCCTCATGGGGAAACTATGGGGAAACTGCCCCCCCGGCCGGCCATCAGGACACAAACAGTTGCCGACAAGTGGCTATCTCCGAGCTGTGTCGTCGGGAAAAAGGCTCGAGATCCCGCAGTATGTCACATTCGAAATAGAGCTCGGCTACGACGCTGAGGATTTTGTGGGGCACCCCGCCGTGCCACCTTAAACCATTATTATTCTAGAGTAACACGCGTTTGCTCCATCTTGAATAATTCTGGCGCCTCTCTGAGTTGGTGCCTATATCATGGGGATCTAATCAAATAGTAGCACTATTCCCCATCAAGAATTATTGATGATCCTTCCAGTGGACTCACGGACCACAAAGGTCAGGGCGACTCAGACGGTTTGCGATATGTTTTACCTCACTGTTTGAAAGAAGCCAGATGAATTTTTGCCTGATACCGATAGCAGCCGCTGGAGGCGGTTGGTGCTTTTACGACTTGTGACTTCGCTGAAGAGAGTGCAGCCAGCTCGGCCGGTGCGGCGCGCAGCACGTCTCCCTTGTCAACCATACCCCGTGAGAACAGCTGTCTGTAATTTCGGCCCCAGCCAGAAGTTCCCGTGTGACCATTTACGGAGCTTCCCAGAAAACGGACAGCTAGCGGAACAAGCTAGCGGGGTAGGTAGAGAGGAGATCGACGTCGCAAAGGTCCAAAGTGGTGGCTGATTCAGTATGTGGGGTACTGAAGGGAGCAACACAATGGCGTGTGTTACGACAAAAGATAGTAGAGCACACGTTACAGCGCTGTAGCTATAGATTTCCAGCTGCATTTGTACTGCATAATTCATGTCTGCATATCACCGTTGATAATAATCATTAATGAGAAATTATAGATGCTTCGTGAGAGAGCAAGCAAAAGATAAGGGTGGCTGGGCCTGATCATGTTTCCGCATTCGCTTCCCATGTGATGATGAGGATTTCCGCTTTCGGTAACTTTTGAGGTCAGCTCCTAGCATGGTATCATCATTTCGATCAGCTCACATGAATATTTTCTTCCGCTAGCCCAATTCCCTCGAGCTGACTTTCACAAGCGTGGCCTACGATCTTGGGGAGCAAAATAATTTCTCTAGTCACTTGGTTGAACCCAGAGAACAGTCCTCTCTCACATGGAAAGTATTCTCAGGATTCCGTGATGGAACTCGTAGCTCGGATAATCGAGCCCTTTCACATGCTGATAGTAGTATACAGCATATAAACAAGTGCTTCTCTCTCACGAGCGTGAGCTTCGTGCCCACACAATTTCAACAGACATTGCCAGACATCACGTTACATTTCTCGAGATGCCTGGTTCACTGCATCAGTCTTCCCATGAGGCCTCTAGGCCGCGAAAGCGTCTAATCGTGTGCTGCGATGGCACATGGCAAGCTTCAGACAAGACTTACGGCATCACTCCTTCCAACATTGCCAAGCTGAGCCGTATGATTGACCGGGAAGATCGTGACCCGGAAGATGATAGGGTGATTCCCCAAGTGGTCTACTATCAGTCTGGGGTAGGAACTGGAACTGCCGGGCCACTGGCTGTTGGATATGAAGGTTAGATCAATAAGCCTGTTTGGAGATACTTATTGCTAATACGACCACAGGCAGTGTCGGCGCGGGACTTTCAGAGAATGTTTCGACAGCATATCACTATTTGTCGACAAATTTTCACGCCAAAAACAGACACGAAGGCTTCACCAACGACGAGATTTTCCTGTTTGGCTTTTCTCGCGGGGCTTACACTGCTCGTGTGCTCTGTGGACTGGTGACCGAGATGGGACTCCTCCGGCCCCAGCAGCTGCACGAATTCCCCAGAGCTTTCGAGATCTACAAAAAGCTCAGTAAAATGGCAGCAAAGAAGACAGACAAGGGAAAGCCCTTCATTGACTGGATGGACTACTTTGTCGGAGACTTGCCTGCTTCTGACAGGGATTTCTGGCATGGACTCCGAGTCTCGAGCAAGATGTACGACAATGTGAAGGTCAAGGCAATTGGAGTCTGGGATACTGTATGGACCTTTATATCTCAAACTTTGCTTTAGCTGACGCAGAGCAGGTGGGCGCACTTGGACTCCCGGAAAGCTGGTTTTCCAGGACGTTTCCTTTTTTCACCAAACCTTTCCAGTTCCACAACACCGGCCTTAACACCAGTAAGTCCGCCAAAAATTCTCCAATTACCTTTCCTTGCTGACTGACCATGACCTGTAGATGTTGAAAATGCTTTCCAAGCTCTTGCGCTTGACGAGCACCGAGGCGCATTCCCACCAACATTGTGGTATCTGCCCAAGAGACTGCTTGGCGATCCCAACTGCCCAAACCTCAAACAATGCTGGTTCCCTGGATTCCATGACTCCATCGGAGGTGGAGGTGCTAAGCTTCAAACCTGGGCTACTCAATGGTTCCCGAAGCTCATGAATTGGCTTATGCCGGACACGTCGGAAATGCACGAGGTTACTCTCGCCTGGATGTGCGACCAAATCAACGGCCTTCTCAGATTCGATAGACGGGCTGTCGAAGACGTTCTTCTCCAGCACGGCAAAACCCGAGGCAACTGGGCTGCCTGCAAAGAGATTGATAACGCCAAGCTCGGCTGGTTAATCTTCTACAACCCCCTTGCCGGATCATCCCACACGAGGACGCCAGGCCAGTACTACGGCGAGTATCGTGGCTGCCAAACCAATGAAACCATGCATCCCTCTGTGTACTACCGCACGAACAACGTCAAGCGTCTCCACTATACTGGCAGGCCGCTCCGAGAGCGTCATGTTTGGGCCTACAGCGCCTGGCTGCCGCAATTTCACTTCGACGTCTCCATCGCTCTTGCAGTCCTGGCAAAATTCTTCCGCCTCTTAACCATCGGACTCTACTGGTTGGCAGCACCGGTTCGCGCCGCCTTCCCTAATCTCTGGGGCTACGTTTCGGAGCTTTGGAACTTGGCCGGAGACCTCGTGCACCTGACAGCGACTGCGCTTGCCCACCTCGGACATCTCGCAACGATGTTCCCCTTCACGTTCTTCTTCCTGGATGAACCGCTTTGGCGTTGGCAGGACAAATCAACAGCGCCCCAGAAGCCTGACGGCGCGAGCTGGGTGCGAGGAAAGGTCCCGCCTTCGGTGTTCCTGCAGGACGGCCAGCAGGAGATCCACCTCCAGGAATGGGTCATCCGCGAATCGCCGGCGCACGACATCAACTTCGAGAAGGAGATGCTGCCGGAGAACTTCTGGAAGAAGCTGGACAAACGCAACCGCGACTCGATCAAGCGCGCCGAGGACTCTCCCGACTACCGCACACAGTTCTGGACCCGCACCGAGTGGAACCACCGACACGACGAGCCTACGAAGTACAGCAAGTACAGGTCGCTCCACCATCACAAGCAGACGACGATCCCTCATCCGATTCATGAATTCAACCGCAGCATTCACAACACCCTTAGCGACACCCACCGCGTCGACGAGGCGGCCGACAAGATCGAAAATGAAGTCCGCGACAATCTCTACAAGGTCCACGACGACCTGGACAGTCTTTCCCACGATGTTCGCGACGGGTTTAACGGTGCTGTCGGCATGGCCCATGATGCCGTTGACAAGGTTCTTGACGATGCTGATGCCTTGCGTCATGGCGCTCACGATGGGTTTAACGACCTGCATGACGGCCATGATCAAGGTCACAATGGGTTCAATGGTCACGATCAATCTAACCCGGGTAAGAAAAACAAGAAGCACGCAAAGCACAACGGGAAGCATGGGGAAGATGACCATTTGTTCAACGGTGGAGCTGTCCAGTACACGTGATGACAAACTCCATTTCGAGGTCAAGGTGTCCAGATCCTATTAGGTGGCGCTGAAAGTAATGATGGATCAACTGAGAAGTATGCTTTGAATGCTATTGGAGTTTCTCTTCGAGATTGCAATTGATATCATGGTTGCTGTCTATTTCTTGCATGATGGTGATGTATGCTTGTATGCTTCCCGATATGATTGACGTCGGTATCGCCGCTCTGACTGTTTCGCACAATCGTTTGCTTGCAGGGGTCTGTTGCGCAGTCTCGAAATTCCGGAAAAAGTGGGGATCGGGTTGGTCTTCACTCTGACAAGTACGTTCACGAAGCTTATAGGTGGCGAGCTTTGATTCGGTCATGTCATCGTGATCAGCATCGGCTTTTCGGCGAAAGGCCGACCATGACCTGCCTCTTTACCCCCCCATGTCGGCCAATTGCCGAGGTGTTGACCGGGGGACTGTTATGCGGGGAAATCCATCCCTGTTGACAATCAACTTCACAATCGCTGACTGAAACGCGGGGTTTGCTGTGGAAACCGCCTCCAATGTTGCAAGGTCTGGTCGGTCAAGAAGTAGGAACCAGATGATGAAGGCCCAAACGTAATAGCTCCGCCGAGCTGGCATGTATAACTAGCTTTGTCTCTCTTGATCTCTGGAACACTTTCGCGATGCGTAAAATGTAGAAGATAAGCTTAGATGTACAAAGATCCACTATATTATCCTTCCGACCGGGCTAAAGGCTTCGAAGACTGGTCGCACACCTCATCTCTCTGACCAGGTGAGGGCTACATCTTGCGGCCGAAGCATTTGGAAGAGAAGAACTATCCCACTGTTTGCAATGCAATCAGCCGCCCTTTTTCTAGCCTGTTCCATGTCCTCACCAGCTAGTTTCACAGGGTCAACACGATGACTGCGAAACATCGCTGCCATAATGGCAACGTGCTCGACCTGTATGAATTTCTTTCCAGGGCAAGCCCTGTTTCCGTCAGACCAACCCAGGAAAGTACCGCGCGGTGGTGTGAAAAGATGCTCCCTATCGATAGATGCACCGTCCCCTTCTGCCGTCAAGATCCATCGCGACGGCTTCCATTCCAAGCTATCATCGCCCCAATATTGAGGATGAGTGTGAACAGCATTCATGTTGAGAATGACTCGAGTATTCGGCGGGATTGTGTGGGACGTGCCATCAATCACGAGATCGGTTGTATTGTTTTCGGTGCCTTTGCAGACGCTCAGGAGAGGGTTGTACAATCGTAGGGTCTCGTACTATTCCTCTGTTATTTCTCGGAACATTCGTAGGAAAGTGAAAATCTGAAACACGTACCAGAACAGCCAGGCACCTGTTAAGCCTGGGGAAAGAGTCGTAGTCCCAGGAGGAGATGTCTTTGTCTTGGAAAACATGCCTGATCTCCTCACCTATCCATTCCTGAACCCATGGGTGCACAGCCAGCAGGTAAAACGTATAGTTCAGCGCATGGGCTGTACCATCATGTCCTGCAAAGTTGAACACAAACATATTTCCAAAAACCTCCTCGCGGGTTAATCCGGCCCTTCGCTGGTTTGGGTCGTGCGCGTCAGATACAGTCTGCTCCATGGATGCCCTTACCAAATTCGTCATTAAATTCTCTCTCGTCTCTCGTTTCTCCTCAAATGCTTTCCGCTCTTCCTCGTAGTCCTCAGTCATGTATTGCTTGAACGATGTGATTGCCTGACCGATGCGTGCCAACCCACGAGGATACTTGAGTCGCGCAAGAAACTCCGCACGGAGTGCCAGGATCAATACTGCATTGTCGAGAATTTTGGCAAGAGCATCTCGATAAGAGAGCGGACCTGTCTCCGGCGGTTGCGCGTTTCCCTCGAAGGGAAATGATTTGCCAAAGCTTGCACTCACCAGAACGTCCAGTGCGAGTGTTCGACAGTCCGTAGCGGTGCTTCGTACCTCACCAGAGCTCTCCCAGAAATCAAGCATCTGCCGTCCCTGCTGAAGGGCTTCGTCCCAGACCAACCTATTGGTCTTCTCCGTGAATGCAGTAGCGGTAACCTTGCGATGACGCTGCCAGTCCTGGCCGTAGGCAGTAGATATGTTGGGTCCAAAGACGTCTAGAACCGCTGCCTAGGTATTAGCTACTACTCAATTCTCTAGTGTAGATATACTTACCCAATAGCTCCGCCGGCCTCTCAAAATCATGACGGCGCTCGCGCTGAATCACGTCATGGATTGCTTCAGCGTTACGGAGGTAGATCCAATTCTTTCCAGGTGACACAAACAAAAGAGCGCCAGCATCACCAAAATCGGCATATGCATGGTACTTCAGTTCCCATTCCCAGCCGACGTGGCAAAATTTGCTGAAATTGCCGTTCCCAAACGGGACATATTTCAGCCAAGGAACAATGTGCCGGCCCAACATCATCCAGATCGGATTTTCAGGACTGATGGGAACAATGATCATTGGGAGTCCAATTTGACGTGCGATCGCATGGTTTCTGAGGAGACCAAAAATGGTAGAGAGAAACAGGGCCGTCAGAGGCCCAAAAAGGAGCAGAATCCAGACAGCAAACATTGCAAAAAACCAGACAGTCTTGAAAGTGTGAGGGGAAGGAAATTATGTGCACGAAGGCGACAGCTCCTTTTGGCGCATCTTGAAGTATTCGACGAGGGCGCGAAATCAAGACTACGCCGCATGCGTGCCAAGGCGGTTCCGTAAGCGCGCGCACCAATATTATTATTATTAGCGCCGTGTTTTGATAGGGCGGCGGATTGAGGCACAGGCGCGGAAGTGGAGCCGGAAGAGGATGTGTTCGGCCGTGTTCTTCGCTTAAGCCAGAGCTTGCCATAAGGAGTGATGATTCTCTTATCGCTGCCTTGCGCGGAGGGGGAGGCACAGCATTCGGACTGAATTTTCTTAAGGCGTGACGCTCAACTCCGTCCGCGTTATTGATAAGATACCTGGACGAAAATTCGTCCGAACCACAACGCACCTGCGATTGTGTAGTGAACAGAAAAAAAAATAAGTCGAAGAAGACCAGCACATACAACAATGCCGTTATATGTACAGAGATCTCGAGGAGCGTGGCTAAGGCCTCCCAGACTTTGTGACCTGCCCCAATCTGAAGTAGGGCTGATAAATATTGAACGTGTAGATCAACACGGAGATTTCAAAAACGGTGCCACAGATGACTGCGATCTGTGCAATGCCATGTTAGTATTGATTCTTCTGACTTCTCTGGGGTTGGGATCTTACTGCAATATCAGACCGCCGCAGGTTACTCCGTCCCGTCTGTGTCAAGCCCCACAAGAACACTACAAAGCCACGAAGCCATAGATATATGCTCCATTCCAACAGCCCAACTGGTGCAGTCCAAATGAACGTTCGAGCTTGATGAGACTTGTATATGTTGAGAAGATTTGTAGTAGAGCAGTTTCTCCATTGCAGCCACGAGGAAATATTTCGGTAAGATTGCGACTCTTTAGGAGAACACAATTTAGTGAAGACCCGTTACCACTGCGCTGACGGAGAGAACCAAAGCGGAATATCACACTACTTTGACTATCGCAGAGGATATCATTCCCATTTGTAAATCAGAAATTTGCGACCATGCAAAACCGCCAAAAGTGATCGTTGCCATGATGGCGCCCTTGAAGGACCATTTCTTGACTTCGGTTAAGGATGTTTGCAAGCTTACGAGAACACCTACGCTTGACAATTGAACTATCAGGCTGTGCATCCATTCTTTTAGTATCCATTGCTTCTCGTCCGTTGTAAAACTGTCAGAAAAGACTCTAATACACTACACACACCGAAATTGGCTCAGAAGAGCCTGTCTGCACTGCAGCCTCATGTGTCCCACTGGTTTGCAGTTAATTATTCATCGGCGAGGACATGCATCCCTGCCACAGCCACAACCTCTCATCTGTTACATTGTTCTAGCGTTTACGCAATGCTTGGGACACTAAAGTTAGTCCCGTACGTACAAGGCATTAATGCCTTCGGAATTCTTAGACAGAAGCTCTAGCCGTACGGCTCTTTCCCCCGTGAGACTACTTAACTTTTACTATATCTTCTCCCGTGCGGGATTTTAGTCCTTGGGGGTGTAATTTCTTGTGCCTGAAGTTGCGTCACAACCGGCCAGTGATATTCAATACAGTAGCTGTAGACCGCCTGCACGGGGAATGGTGGTGGTGTGCGAAGGATTCCTCTATCTAGAGATGGCAACGGTGGTAGGACAACGTGGCGATGCGGCCTTGGCTTGCGGATCTAGCGGTGTGAAAGCGAGGGTATATGCAGAGGGAATGGGCTGATATTCGTGTGCGACTTTTCCATTGTAGTCGACAGGTGCATCGCTTCCGAAATCAGAGACATAAGACACTTACACAGATAGCAGCCAATCAAACGTCGAGCTCAAAGTCACACTGTCAGCGCAACTCCGTCATTCTCGAATGGAATGCGGTTGCACGTATCCCGCAAATTGGGGCTCTGCTACCTGAGGCTCAAACCCAAGTACACGGAGTGCATCTCGCCACGCACAATCTTCTCTGACAACCAATGGTACCTCATCTTCTCCCCCACACACCTCCCTCTTCCGTAGGCCTGATCATGCATTCTCCGATCCTCCGTCAGAGCAGTCATTTTCCCTTTCTGCCACGGCTCTACCGGATGAACACATCATCATTGTAACCTTGTGGGCCTCCTGCGTCTCGGGGGCACACTGAACGATCAGCCTCAAGATCCACCCAATTTGGTTCTGATCTACATACGGCCACTTCAGAACCCAATCAGCCAGTACCGTCGCGCCAGGGAGGCTGTTGCGTCTGAACAGACCAATGGCTTCGATGCACACAAGCCCTAGTTTTTGCACTCATCGAAATCTCGCTACAGCAATCTTTCTCGCCATCCGCCGAACTACAGCACAACATCTGAGGCACATTCCCTGAAGCCCGCTGGTGGTACTCTGAGGCTACACGATCCGCCCTTCATATCAGAGAATCACCGGTTTACAGTCTGACTGCATAATGTGTGCACGACCGGCGCCCCCTGCGGCTGAAGGCATGGTATTGATATGATGGCTTTTTTTTTCTTAAATGCGGCTCTTGGATGTGGCGTCGGACAAGCTTTGCGGCGCAGTCGTTTTATTATACGCCTCTCGATGAAAACGGGACGCTTCCTTCCGCATCCAATTATTAATGGATGGTACTCTTCATTATGTGGAACGTAGCTAGCCATTCGGCGTAAGACTTCGTTCGATGTTTCAGCCACTAACTCAAGACAGTGTTGTTTGTTTCGAATACTTTTACTCGGGTCCTATCTTTAAGCAAAATTATGCGGCTCCTTAGCCAAGTCAAGTAATGATTACCCAAGCCATCGTCAATGGTAGTTTACTCAATTTTTGTTGCTATCTGCCTCAAAGAATGCTCAAAACCTGGTGTTCTTTTTAGATGCCTATATATCATAGCCGATGAACCAAATCTGGATGAGTGATGTACATCATGAGTGTAATGCCTTGTTGGATTTTGTGATCTACGTCATGCTTTCCAGGTCATCCTCCTGGGGGCCTTAACTTGTCTTTGTATTGTCATACCTTTCCTAAAGGCAAGAGGATAAAGTCCTCAACACCTTTCGCCAGTCAGTCAGGGTTTACACTGGGCAACACAAGACGAGCCTCGTCGTGGCAAGACACCAAAAGCCGATCATCCTGCAAGACAAGATGCTCGAAGCAAATTGTATTGCAAGACGGCCTGTCAAGTGTGGACTGAGGGGCCAGACCTCCGGCGCGTCCCCTCATAGAAGAGTAACCGCCGGGATGTGCCATACCTCCAAGCCACATGCTAGTAGAGATGCAGTGCGAGAATGGTGGCGTGATACAACAGCAAGGACCTCAGTACGCTCCCTAACACAATGAAGGCTGTCGAACTGATTCTGGTGCTCCATCAGAGTCCCTCTGGCGTTACCCTTAGCGGCACCGACGAGCTTTGTGTGTTCTCAATTCCTTGACATGTACGGCTATATAAAGCCGACCTGCTTGCTCATGAATTATCTCCATCATTAAACCACACCCATAAACACTCCAGCTCAACTATAACGCCACTCATCCGAACCCCAACCCATCTCTCAGCCATCATGCAGCCCTCTACTATCTTCGCCATCCTTTCCGTTCTCGCCCCTTTCGCTGCCGCCCACTGCTGTCATGTTATCAATGAGAACAACGAATGCAGGGATGGCAGCTGGGGTACTCCGTGCTGTGGCCAGGGCGGTTGCAACATCTTCTGCTGCAACTGTGACGGCGGTACGTTCGATCATGACAGAACGGATGCTTGCAGTGCTATGACACATAGCTGACGCGGGATCTAGGTTGCCGTAGCGATAATCGCAAGCTAGCCAGCCGCGCCACCATTGACGGTGCGGCAGACGCCGACACCTTCAGCGTCGCTGATGTCGATGGCACCGGGAACCTCACTCTTGCCCAGTACACCCAGTACATGGGCGCTACCGAGGACGACGAGATCTACGTCAACTGGTTCAAGCAGTAAGTACTTACCGATATCTCTGCATTGTTGAGGAGTGTGACGCTGATGATATCCCTACCAGGCACGACAAGAATGGCGACGGTGTTGTCACCCCCGACGAGGTCCGCCTCAACTAGCAGGATCTAGTTTTGTTCCTTTTACGCTCTGCAGGAAAGGCCACGACACTCTTTTCTGGAATTACCACAGTCATTTCTGGTATGAAGGCGTCATAGGGGGATAAAAGAGGAATTTGGACGTGTACTCTGATTCAGTGAAGCGATGCGGGAAGCAAATGTCTACCTCTGCGAGGTAGATGCGTCAATCTATGCGACGTCGCAATCTGGATCATATAAAAAATAAAAGAAAGAGGCTATTCAAGGCCAGCTCTCAACTTTTGGTTTTGCACACTGTGATCTGCTCTGATTTTGAGGCAACTTGATTGATAGTACTAAGAGTATTGTTAAACCAACCACGTCTCGTGACTTTTGTCCGCATCAGCTTTCGGTAACTTTTCCACTTCAAGAACGTCTGATCTTAATTTACCTCCTTTGATAAAAAAAATGTGCTGTTAACGGTTCTGCATGGAGCTTGATATCCACATACGGTGACGAGAACTTGTTACAACGGCATCATAATATTGGATGTCCATGAGGTGATGAATACTGGCCACGTCTTTCCACCTCTTTCCACTCCCATGCTCTGGCTTTGTGGAAACGGTACTACAGTTGCAGCAGTTCATTTCATCCTTGAAGCAGTCTCAACTCTTCAAATGCATCATCCAGCTGCGCGGCAGATACATGGGCACCGGAATCACCGATGTTCTATGAACAGATCAGCAGTCAAATTCTGCCAGAATTACTCATGATGTGAGATTTCGAACGTCTCAAGGTTCTCTTTGCCGTGGGTCACTCTTTCCAGGCCCACCCACATTCCATGCTAAGTGAAAACTTTCTGCGGGACCCTTTCCAGCCTTGCCCATCCACCCTACCAAATCAGACTCGGCGAGCCTGGTCCCACGATCTAAAAGATGAATGAAGATAGCTCTAATCTTGCAAAAATAAGGCCTGACATAACTCTAGTGATAGCACTTGGTGTGAACTCGGCGGAGGATAATCAGCAGATCACGCTTGGACCTTTCGAAAGGAGTATGGTAGCCGGACCAGACGCTACGTGCCACTTCGCCTTCCCTAATCAAAAACGCAACCGCACTGCTCAACTGCCTCAAAATATAGTCAGATTGCCGATGGAGTCTGATGCGTAGTGTGGCCAGGTTTTGAAGTCACTAGCACGTTTTGTCGGAAGATTAGAAGCCCACAGTCCGTGCAAAATTCGTACCTAGAGGTCTGTTCACTACCTGATCGCGGGCGTAAAGTGGATTTGATATTTTACATGACGATTCATCCTATCGCATTATCTTCATACCGCCACGAGTCTTCGTTTTCAAATTTGTAGCGTTCAGCTAACAGCTGGATGCAAAAACATCTCGTACCTCTGTTGGTCATGGGTTACATCTTCACAATTAAAAATGGAGCTCACGTCAGGAAGAAAACTCTTGCATCCCATGACAATGTGGTCCAAATTGTTACCAAATCTCCTGATCTGGATCCTGGGAGCCGTTGATTCAATGGGCGGCTTCATGTTCGGCTACGAGTCCGGCCACATCTCAGGCATCATGGCCATGTCCGACTTCAAGCACCGTTTTGCTGACCAAGCTGATGGCACTTTCGGTCCTGCGCGGTCCGTTACCATTGTAGCCCTTCTCTGCATCGGCACTCTGATCGGCTGCCTATGCTCTGCGCCGCTCGCGGATCGGATCGGTCGCAAGTTTTCCATTTCGCTGTCGGCGTTTTTCTACATCATCGGCGTCATCATCGAGATTACATCGAGTCGCGTTTTGGTGCAATTTGGCATTGGCAGGCTCGTTGCTGGCCTGGGCATCGAATGGCTGTCCATGTGCGCGTTTATGTACCTCTCCGAATCTATTCCGAAGACGAGCCGCGGCGCTGTCATTTGGTCGTATCAGCTGTTGATAAGGGTGGGGATTTGAACGGCGTGCATGGTAAGTCAACCGTCATCAAAAAGCTTTAATTTAGAAAGCTAACTTGTGCACAAGTCACGTATAGTACTAAGGGCTGCTAGGAGGTTAATAATGATATTAACATGATATCGCTAAGTTTTGGTCGTTAGGAGCATTCTCCAAGGAGAAGTCTCCAGCAAAATAGTCATATATAGGCATTTTTACAGGTATGTTGTCTGCTGCGCCCACAATCAGAAAGTAAAATGGAGGGCGGACTCTATAGCTAGGTCAAAGACTGAGCAATAAGCTGGCGCAAGTGAGGGCTGATGTATATATTTATCTATTCATTCTGTTTAATATCCCTTTCTCCTCGCAGGGCCCGGGCGCCAGGCCTGCTGTTGATCACCAAGGCGAAGAAATGAGAACAGACATATTATTCGAAGCACAGCCCTTAGGGGGTGCTAATAAGGAGCTTAATATGGTATAATATGGAAATGGATTGCTAACAAACGAATCCTGAAGGGATTCGATGGCGGTCGCCAGGGATAAGTGGGCTTCGTCCAACACAACACAAGGCAAGGTAATGTGGTCTGCACGTGGCCCACTTGCGGCTGGCATCTATGGAGCAGGCACCAAATCACGCCTTGTCGTCGAGGGGATAGAGGGAATCATTCCTTTGACGGTCCGCTATCGGACCGCCCTCTTCCGGAAAATAATTCTGGAGAAGCTCCAGGACATCAGAAAGTCTACCCTGCTTTTCTTCAGACTTCTCTGCTTGAAGACAGTCCTGTACGCAGGCTTCAGCCGTTAGACCTAGACTATCTTGAATGTACCGGTCGGCACCCTTGTCGATTAGGTAGCACACCAGACCCCCCTTCCCCTGAGTTGCAGCATCGTGAAGAGGTGTGCCGAGGTCGATATAGCGATAAAAGTCGGATAACGCAGGATTGTCGCTGTACTTGACCGCGTTCAACCACCCAACCACGTCATATTTGCCTTCTTCGAGTTTTTCGACAAGAAACTTCATGACTTCGTCCTCTCCATAATCTCTCGCTACAGCATGATGGAGTAACCATCCCTGATGAAGGAGGCCACCCTTCTCAAGGAACAACTTAATGATGTCCTCAGACGCGTGCTGAACAGCGAGCGAGAACGGAGTAATATCGTCCTTGTCCTTTACGTTGGGGTCAGCTCCTTGGTCGAAGAACCAAACGGTAAGATCCCGATCTGGCGAAATATGGCTAGAACAGTTATAATCAGCTCCGGACACAGAAAAGCATGGCGTAGGAGCTTACCCAAGCATTGGCACAGAATCATTACGCCATGGCTGGTCGAGGTTACGCCATGGCTTGTTGATGTCCCATCTTCCCTGTTCGCGACCGTAATGGAGAAGAACTTCGAAAACAGCGATTGATTTTCCGATCATCGCCCCCTCCAACATCGAGGAGGTCAACTCACATCCAGCCGAGAGTAAGCCTTCGACAATGTCTTCTCGGCAATATTGGGCAGCATCTGCCGCGATGTGCCCGAATTCTAGCTGGGCGTCGCCTTCACCTAGGGTAGAGACTGCTTCGGTAAAGTACTGATGTGCCTTCTCGGTAAGCGGTCTATCAGCACCCTCTTCGAGGCATGCACGAAGGTATTTGATTTGCTCGTCCATAATTTGTGTTGGAGTTGGGAAGTTGTTGTTAAGTTGAGTGTTGTAGTTGGTAAGTCGTTGTCTGTCTGTTGAATGTTGTGGTTGAGTCGTTGTCTGAAGGTGGGAAGTCGGGTTTTAGTACCTGGGGACGGATTATATAATTCCGCGCCGCACTAGGCTTACTTGGTAAATGGGCGCTTAACGCGGCGTAGTTTGCATCATCTTCTACCGCGCCGCAGAGTAAACTTTGTTAGCTACTGAGAAAGCGTTGACAAAGAGGCGTAGCTGTGTTGATGCGTTCCAGGCTGCCGTCGGCACAAGGGCTTGTTTCTAGTACCCGGGTACGTAATTCCGCGGCGCACGTATCTCCGGCTCTGGGCTTACTTCGTGGATAGGCGCTTAACGCGGCTCAGCTTGCATCATCTTTTACCACGCCGCAGACTAAAGGATGCTTTTGATTAGCTACTCGGAGAGCGTGAGTAAAGAGGCGTAGCTGTGTTGGCTTCAGGGGGTGGGGCGTGAGGGTAGTTTTACCGCACCGGGTCGCGCGCGGTGCAATTGTGGACCTCAAGATACAATACTTACCAATGTCGAGCAACCGCCGCCACCGCCGCCTCGAGCCATCGCGGCCCATCATCGACGCCTCACCTCCGGCTGCTGCTTCCACCCAACGCCTCCGACGCCACCTCTACCCGTCGATGTGTACTTTTGGAGCTTAACAACACCAGCGCCGCCATACCCACGCCATCTCGGTCGGCATCCCGCCGCCATCGATCGGCTCCAACTCTGCGCCCCAGAACGAGTCAGGGCCTGCGATAGCGGATGCTCCACTGCCGCCTCAAAGTTTACGGCCAAATCATCCGACTTTGGTCCAGTACTTGGCAAGGATCACGTGATTTCGCGCTGCACGTATCTCCGGTCCGGGGCTTACTTCGTAAATGGACGCTTAAGTAGTAGTGGGTGCACGGTTAAAGGGCATGATGTTGGCGTTGTCGACTTTTGATCTTAGCTTTTGATTTAAGGGAAATATTACAAGCCAATCCAGCGTTGCCGAGTAGTCAATTAGTAAGGAGATAAACCCAGACCATAGCGGACGTAAAGCCGGCTGAGACGACCTATGAATTCATTATCGTCAAATAGGCACTTAAGGTGGTGTAGTTTACACCATCTTCTGCCGCCGCAGACCAAATATTGCTTTTAATTGGCTACTCGCAAAGCGTTGACAAAGAGGCGTGGTTGTGTTGGTGCCTTCCGGCTGCTGGCGGCGCAAAGGCTTGCGCTTATTAGCTACGACTCCTTCACATCCCAACTAAGAGGCGGCGTAGCTTATCAATAAGCCCCAATCTCGTCCTTTCTACCCATTCACAATGACAGGAGCATCTCAGCACAACCCGCGCGGGTATTACAGTGGGGACAACATTCACGGCTCCCCTCCGAGACATCCTTCTAATATCACAATCGAAGAGAGCTTCCTCTCTAATTCGCTTGATCTACTTGCCACTTTAGGCGCCGTGTCTTTACTAGCACCGCCAAAGTTTTAGAGGGGCGGTTCAAGGCGTTACGCCTTCACTGAGCCTCAATTCCCTTACTTTCTACGGATTTACAGTCCAAGACCGGCATGATTTATATATATATATACATGTAACCTACCCGCACTCCATCGTCTATTATCTAGCATCGAACAGGAAAAATATATTAAGCGTATATTTAACCCCTTCATCGCCCGATCCATCTCTATTAAGCAGAGAATTTAGAGGTAGTAGTCTTCACATAATACTAGCTTATGTTTTTTAAGAAAGGCACTAATGTATAAGCTCCAGCAACTACCGTTCCACACCCTACAAAATGGAAGAACGCAGCACAATGGAAGAACTCAGCCATTTCCATCAAGCTGTCTCAGACAAACGGCTCGACGAACTGGACATGAACGAAGTCAAAACCACATTTTTCGGCGTCAATAATCTCGATGCACTTGGCACTCAGAACCTTCAGAGCTGCTCTGTGATCGCCATAATCTCTAAATCCGCAGCCGTCATGACACATGTTCAACCATGTCCAGACAGGAACGACCCAAGCGGTATGAGCGGAGACGAAAACATGATGGAAAAGTTGGAGGAGGTCAAAGCAGAAATCGAGGCTTACCCGGACGAATTTAAAAAAAACGAACGTCGTGCTGTTATTGTCTTTGCTAAAAATCACAGGGGAATTTGTCTCCCAGATCAGAAAGCAATCGTGGAGAATTTTCTCCAGGACGAGCTGGAGTTCAACCTGGCGGACGGCAGTAAATTTCAGTCCCTCACCTACAACGTCCCAAACAACCGCATGATGACGGGATATGGAACGGTTCTAATTGATTCGGCAGCTCCAAACCTGGACTTTGGTTTCCCGAGGACTTATGTGGAAGACCAAGTTGTTCTGTTTGATGGATGGCGTAATGACAAGCATAACAAGAGACCTATACTACGCGAAAACGGGATAGATAGTCGTTGTGAACCGAACGGGGCTTTTGGATTGGTATACTGGGATGGATGGGAGTGGAAAAACTTCGATTCTTACGCTGGGCGGCACTCAGTGTCCTGGCAAACCGCCAATACTGTGTATATCCAATCTTTCACGCAACCGCAGGATAACGATGTCGTCGACCAGCCAGCGGTATAAACTCGGTTTTTTTTATGTCATATATTTTGCTCTAGGCTTACCCAATCACAATCATTCTTTTACCTGATCATTCTTTTACCTAGAAAATTTAGAGTCATTTTGAATTTAACCTAAAAAGTCCTCGTTTCTTGAGATAAATGTTATTGACCTATAGATGAGTCTTGGTACACTTGCCTGCACCAATTGGGGCTTCTACTGCCTCTCATGTCGCCTCAAGAAGAAGGCAGTCTCGGAGCTTGATGGTGTCGAGCGGTCGGCGGTGGCAGTCACACGCACGGCGTTGACAGCATACCATAAGATATAGCCGGGATACCCAGACAAGGGCGCACGAGCCTTTTTTTTTTTTGAAGCCGCTCCGACATACAGAACATCCACTTGCAGATCTTAAGATTCGTGTTCGGTAATCTTAAACTAGTCAAAGCCATTTTGGCGCTATCTCTGGCATGTTGCCAGCGTATTCACGCTATCAGCATGTTCGGGGGTACAAAGCCACTTTACTCTCAATGTTTCGACGATGTTGAACATGTCGGCGATGGCGTGACTCATCTCAATGTAGCACTGTCATTGATCAAGATGTTTAGGATCGCTGCCGACTTCGGCGGGATTTTGCGCTCCTTATCAAGGAAGGGGAGCGGTCCGCATCAGCTGTCGGCTGCTTTTCCGCCTTCGGCAATACCTTGCGCTTACGCTTCCGTTTAAGTAACTTGCAATACGCCCTCCACAACTGAAGCCACAACATTGATAATATTTTGATCCAATACGAAAGGATCATCTGCTCTGCTTCATTCTTTCAGGGGATTATGAAGGTCAAGTTGGACAAAGATAAAAAGAGAGGTAGCTAGAGTCAGACCTTCACGAAAGGGCTAGTGATTGTTAAGAGCACAAAAATGATTCGATACAATTCAGAGAAAAGCCTGAGGATAAGGCATGCGCTCCCACAGAATTTGAAGTCCATAAAGACTAAGTGGAATGTTATCATAGGCTCGAGAACAAGGACATCGTTTTGCGGCGCTCTCACCGAGAAGGGCAGAAACAGGTCCTGCAAGGCGATGTCACATTCTATACTCAGAGCTCCACCACAATCAAGTCTGTCAAGGTGATATTGAAAGGGATTCGCAAATTGAGGTAAGCTAAACCTGTTTAGCCTAATTCTTAACCCAGTACGCCCCATTAACCGCGTCTAGCTGGTTGACAGACCCACTCCAACCTCAATACGTTGAACAGAAGGAATGCGTTCTGTATCAAGAGCAGAACCTTCATGTCTTTGTCAAAAATACTGGACAAGCAAGCAAAGCCAGACAAGGTTTATACCTATGGCCTTTCGCTGTCACTTTCAGTGGTGACCTCCCTGAATCTGTGGACTGGTTGCCGCATGACTCCTACATTTCCTACACTTTAACAGCAGAAGTGGCCACTGGCATCCTTTAGAATACCACCAGTACAACAGAACACCTGCGACTTATCAAATCACCCTCCTTCTGGGCCGACGACCTGGGTTTCGCCCCTGAGGTAAAGTCCCACCTCTTTCCATTCCCATGCTTCAGCCCTCTGGAAGCTGCACTGCTGCATCTGCAAAAGCACTAACGCTTCCCCCCTTTACCAGTTCCGCGAACTATTTTTCCCACCCGACCACACCTGCCAAATCACGCTTGCACAGCCTTACCAGCCAGCCGATGGTCAACTCGATCTCGACTTCGCACTCACACACAACCAATCGAATATCATCAACATCGAGAACATGGCCTTTGAGCTCTTCCAAGTCGTCCATCTTGCCGTCACCAAAGACGGAAAACCGTGGAGCGCCACCAAGCACGAGCGGCGCATAATATTCACTACCCAGACGCCACATGACACAACGGAGGCCTTCAAAAGCCCTGACTCGGAAGACGGTCGAAAAATGACACGCTTCTCCGTTTCGCTACAACTCCCACTTGCTCCGTACACGTGCGTGCAGAGTATCGATGAGGAGAAGCTGAAAGTGCGGTACCAAGCTGCGTGCTACGGTTCGTTTGAAGGACGCAGAAGGGAAATCTTATGAGGTAAAGATGGATGATCCCACTTGCAACGGATTTGATGCTGACAAGCCTCGAAACAAACAGCAATCAGTTCACGTTTTTCCAAAACTCTTCGCTCCGATTCGGACGCGTCGTGAGACGAGACTGGCTCCAATCAGCGTTGACAGCGTTGCAGACTGCCAATGTAACGAATCATCGCCGGATGAGGCCTGCGTGTGTGATCACGGGATGGAACTGCCGCTTTATGGCGAGCATGTTTTTGATACCTTGTATCAAGGGGATGCATGCCTGTCTGCGGATGATGTTATGACTTTCGGCAGCGCAAGATAAGAGATGCCCATAAGTGATACAGCATTGCAATTACAGCACAATTCAAGGAGTCTGAACTTCTACTCGTTCCTTCAATGATTCGCTAGGAGACGAACGACTTCGGCACGATGAGACTCGTTTGGGAGAGATAGCAATGCGTGAGCATACTGTTCGTATATAGGCTTCTTTGCGTAAGACTGCTTCATCAAAAGACACCCCTCTGCGCAAGCTTGAGCCGTCCAACCTGGACTATCTTCAGTGTCCGGGTCGACGCCCGCCCTGAGCAGGTAAGACACCAGATCCAGCTTTCCCCAAAATACGGCCTCGTGGAGAGGTAGTACTTGGGGAAAGAAACGGTTGCATGGATTAGGTGACTGACTAGGCATATCAGACGGGGCGCGTCGACAAGGATCGTCGTATCATGGCTCGGTTGAACAATTGCCCAAGGGATGACAAGGAGATCAACTTTTCAGAAAGCTTAAGATGGTATAAGATAGTAATGTATTGCTAAGAAAGAATCCTTAAGGGATTCGATAGCAGCCGCCAGGGCTAATTAGGTGTTTTCCAACACTTAGCAAGGCCACGCAGTACGCACGTGACCTACCCGCAGTCGGAATATGTGTAGAATGCACCAAATCACGCCGTGTAGGTAGAGTAGACGGAATCATTCCTTGTGGGGACATGTGACTGCAGGAGACTAACGATCGCGCGATGCCCATTTGCCCAATGCTCAGCCACGTGACCAGAACTATCTACGACGGTCGGCTTAGCACCCAGTTCGAGCAGATAACGCACCAGTCGCTCCTTTTTCTCCTTTGCGGCATAGTGGAGAGGTGTACCGAAGCCGAATCTAGGGTCGTTGAACCGCTCGTTGCGGCTGGACATGACCATATCCAAACATCCCGAATCGAGGTAATTGTTGAAAAGAAGCTCGATAACATCTACATCCTGCTCTCCCTCCTCTTGTATATTTCTCAATACAGCGTGATGGAGTAACCATCCCTGATTAACGTCGCCACCGTTGTCAAGAAATTTGTTAATAACCGCTATCGGAGCGTACTCAACAGCAAGAGAGAAAGGTGTATAGTCTTTGTTGTTCATTATGTTGGGGTCAGCCCCTTGGCTGAAGCACCAATCGGTAAGGTCCGAGTCTGTTACAGCATGGCTAGAACAGTCACAGTTAGCTCTCGAAGCAGAAAAGCAAAGTGTAGAAGCTTACCCAAGAATTGGCAGGCCAGTTGGCATGCATGGTTGATTGATACCCCATTTTTCGTGATATTTCAGAAGAAGATCGAACACAGCGGTTGATTTTTGATCAATGGCCCCGTTAATGGCCCCTTCAAAAATTGGAACGCCCAATTCACATCCAGCGTTGAGCAAGTACTCGACAAGGTCCGTTCGGAGGAGTTCAGCAGCATCTGCCATGAGGAGTCCGAACTCCAGCAGGTTGTCCTCGTCGTCGAGAGGATGGTCTAAGGTGGCGTCATAGATGCTCCGAGTATCCACGTGGACACCAGCTCGAAGGTTTCGAGAAAGCTCCTCAATCTTGTTAGGCGCGTCCATGATTTGTGTTGGAAAGTCGTTGTCTGTCGCGTTGAGTGTTGTAGTTCGTGAATCGTTGTTTGTCGCGTTGAGTATTGTATTTGTCGTTGTCTGAAGGCCGGAAGTCGGGCTTTAGTACCTGGGGACGTATTGCATGATTGATCCGCGCTGCACTAGGCTTACTTCGGAAGTGGACGCTTAACGCGGCTTAGTCTGCATTATCTTCTACCACGCCGCAGCCTAGTGGTGCTTTTATCCGCAGGCAGCAGCTTTCGCATCTACTTTGAGTTGTGATTTGCAGTGTGATATCATACTACTTGCCCCACTTGTTTTGCAAATTTGTAATACGAAAGCGAACCGAACAACATATGAAAGTGCACAGTGCATTAATTTTGGGGGGCCTGAACAAGCAGGTCGCATTCATTTTCAGTCCCATCTCAATAGTGTTCTTTTTTAAAAGTGTTCTAGCAGGTGTAAAGATAAGAATGCTGTTAATGAATTGTTAATAAAAGACTGTATTTTACCTGCCACGTTATAGCATTGAATTCGAGATTCTATATACATTAAATGAATTTAAAACATGTGATCCAGGCTCTATAGCTCATTCTTCACTGTAATCTGAAGTATTCATCCTCTTATGCCCACACTAATTGTACCTCCTGGCGGTACGGGCTATTTGGTAGACTCTCAAACCGCCCAATAGACTCAACCAAGCTGGACAGCCTCCCACGTAGGCCCTACAGAACTGAATGCGTCAATATGTATCTGCCCCATGCCAACTCGGTACGCCGTGTCGCCCTCCATCGCTACCAAGAGTACGTTGTATAAAGGATAGTCTATTACCCGAAATCGGTCCTCATTATATACATAGTAGTACCTGGGCGGGGACGGATGAGGCGGGTTATTCATGGAGTGTTTTGCATTGTCTTTTGGTGGACAAAAATTTTCCTTGCATGAAGGCTTCCAATGGCGAGGACTTCCGTCTAATTCTTGACCGTACTTTGTACTTTGTTGGATTGTGTTGTTTCCTCTGGAAAGTGCCACCAATCGCAGGTATAGTCTTGACGAGTTTTGATTGGTCAGAGGAGCATCCAAGATGAGGTATCCAGCAAGATAACTCTGCGAATCAAAGATACACACGCAGAGCGCTCTGAGAATCGAGACACGTATCGCATCCTGAGGATTAAAGTGGAGACCGGGTTCTGCCGCTGAGTCGAACACCGGAGCAACAAACGCTGCGAAATGCAGGACATTGAATGGCGCGTTCTGAGTTTCGTCTGCGGGTATCCCGAATGGACGCTGAGCTGGCGCATCTGCTCTTTTGTGGCGGGTATTAAGACCTGTGCTACCACTATCCAGTGGATCCATGTCTTTTTGGAGCCAATTCTGGCACCAATCCTTTTGGCATATGATCGGCAGACACTCTTTACCGGCACTTGAGGAGGTACAAAGCCATTTCAGTCTCGATACAGCCGGAAATTCCTCGACAGGGTAATCGGCGTGTGTGTGCCACCCGGCCCAACTCCAGCTCGGAATTAGTTGTGGGCATCTTCTTTCCCCTTGTTTCAGTTGATTGGTGGGAATGTAATCATTGTAGGTTGACTTCCAGAACAGTTCTCTTTCCAGCATGATATCTGGGAGATTGAAGAGCGGCGTGGCTTGGGTGTGTTTGAATATGTCATGAAATACTGCGTCAAACGCTGGCAGGACGTCTTCATCGTACGTCAGGCATCGGGACGTAAATGTGTGTACCGCATCCTTGTAGGATTTATACAGGGAAATCCGATCCGAAGACGCATATGGCCGAAACTTCTTCCACTCGTGTGAGTCTGGATCATGCGGTTGCAGCTCTTCCAGATAGATAACATGGTCGCAGATGAAGACCACTTGCTGAGCAGAGAACAGCAAAAGTCGTTTCGACAGCAACATCTCCTGGAAGGTCCATCCTCGAGTGAACCACCTGGATTTCTCGATAAAGGAGAATGGAGAACATTCTTCGAATAGCAGCCTCGTTAGACGAAGCCCCCGGACTGTTGTGTATTTTTGACGAATTTCTCGCGGTATGCTTACGCCAGCCAGACCAGAATCGGCGTGGTCTCCATTTGCGTCAACAATCGTGAGTGTGGAATTGCCGTATATGGCTCCCATCCTACCGATAGCCTCTCTCTTATTAATTTCATCATCTTGCAAGATGCAGAGAGAATCAACCCACAGATATGGGATACCAATCTGAGCTGTCAACTTAATTGCGTCGATGATCGTTCGCGGCAGTCCAACATTTTTGAGTCCCTCAGGACTCTCCAGTAGATCTTTTGAGGATTTAGTGTATAGAACCTGTGGAAAACCGCCCCACACGTAGCTTAGAGTGGCATATCGAATCCGGCCGTGAGCATGTACTACGCAAAACCGCTCAACGTCGATCAAAGCGAGACTCTGATGAGTTGGCTCAGTCAGACTGGTGGAATGGCGTTTCTCACACAGTTCAAGCCATTCTCCAGCCATTGCCGGCTGAAAAGTGTTTGGGCAAATCGTTCTGGCGTTCATGGGCTTGTCACGATTCGTTGGTCGGATTTGGGCCACTTCCTCCCAATTGGGAATCCAGCCCCCTACTTTCAAGTCGCGATAGAAACGCCCCGGCCCATTCAACGAGAAATGCGATTCCGTTTCAGACCCCCAAATGTACATGGTACTTCCTGGAAGGTCATAATCCTTTTTTATCAAATCCAGAGACTCTTTTCCCAGAAGTTGGCAGAAACCGCAGTTTGATTCGTCCCATGCACGGTCCCACGTCCCAATCTCAATGCGTTCTCCTGGACGTCCAAAGTCGTCTTCAGAGCAAATTCGACCAAAATCTATGTGACGGCATACTTCGCATAGATACTCCGGATCTGATAGGAGGCGTTCATCCGGGTGCTCGATCCACCACGGCTCCGGGGGAAGTTCGGGTCTTCGAATTTGCCAACCATGGCCGTCTTTCCAGAAATGCCCAGCATACTTCCGTGAGCTGCCAGCACGCGAAGCAGATGATGACAGAGACGACTCATCCATCATCCACGGTTAAGATTTTTTTGTTAGGTTTGGTGGTGGGTTTGCAACAATGTTCCGATGAGTGTGACAGGGATGGAAGATTGCACGTACTTGCGGGGGTCGTGCGAACTCTTAAATTGTTGCAAAGAAACGAGTGCTGCTGACTAACTGCTGATCTCCAAGGCCGTGGTCCTACCAAAACTTAGCAGAGCAGCTGCTGGGGCGGTGTCCGATAGACCTTCTCCACAACCTTTCAGTCATGAAACGGCATTCTGAAGGCGGGTTGGTCGAGATATGGCTGAACTGTTCATTGACGCCGAGCTTGGCGGCTGTGCCGCACCAGCTGAGCAGCACGAGCAACTAAAGTGGGGATCTCAATCCTTGTCGAGCCGAGATTGCCGCCGGCTCCAGGCAGAAGGCAAGCTATGGGGATGCCCGCAAGACAGGCCAATCAGAGCGCAGAGGGTTTATGTATTTGAAAACAGACCATGAAGGAACGAGTTTGACATCATATTCCCATTACGTCTCTATTTTTTTGATAGTCTCTATAGTGAAGATTTGAGAATCATAAATCATTAACAGCCCCCCTCCACACCATGAAACTAAACACGCTCGCCACGCCTCCTCCCTACCTCCGCACCACAGGCGTCTGCGGCAACTCCACCGGCATCAACGACTTCCTGTGGCTCCAATCCGCCTCCACATACGCATTCATCGGATTCAACTCATGCACCACAGGATACTCGCGGTACTCGACCGGCCCACCACCCATCTGCGCCTCCCCCGCCGCCCTCACATTGCCTTGACCTCCCTCCCCCCCTTCCCTCCTCTTCCTCCTCCGCATCGCGCACAACCACACCACCGCCGTAATCACCCCCGTAACCACAGCTCCGATCCCCACCCCCACCCCCATACTCGCTCCAGGACTCAACGCCGCGCCACCATCCCCCTCCGCACACGCCGCCGTCTGCGTCGCGACGACGAAGTTCGTGATGACCGGGGACGCGGATGTGGTTGCGGCAGCGGTGCTAGACGCCGACGACGAGGAGGAGGAGGGAGCAGCGACGGAGCAAGCGGTGCCGGCGGCCGACGGCTTCCAGAGTAGAGCGGGTGTGGCCTTCGCGTTCGTGACGTCGACGAAGCCGCTGTCGACGTAGCGGTCGGCGTCGTCTTGCTGGGCGAGCTGCCAGTGGCACTTGCCGGTCCAGGTCGTGTTCACGGTGTAGACGCGGTTGCCGTTGCCGGAGAGGCCGTTGATGACTTCGACTGTCGGGCGGGGAGAGAGGGTTAGTGTTTGTTGTTGTGGCGGGCGGGGAGGGGGGAGGGAGGAGGAGGAGGAGTGGTTGGGGAAGTACATACGTTGCGTGGTGCCGCACCAGAAGTTTAGGACGGCTTGATTGTATTCGGAGAACCAGGTGACGTTTAGTGTGTCGCCGTTGTGGACGAGAGGGACGTCATCGGTTTTGCTGGGGAAGGAGAAGTAGAAGGAGTTAGTTGATGCGATGCATTGTTGTGCGAGGAGCAAGAGCAGCAGGGTGATGGTTGGGTGGCCGCGCATCGCTGATTATTAGATATTAAAAGATTAAGAGAGAAAAGAGGTCGTGGAAATGCGTAGTGAATGGGCCACCGGGGCTCTAAGAGTCTACTAGACAGAGCTTCAAGATTGTCGGGAAGGCGTAGGGATATACTGTGTCAGTTCGACATTGCACGTACAGCACAGCATCGGAGCCGCGCGACGTAGCTTTTGCTAGCGTTTTGACTTCATGCAGACTATAACCGGCACCAATAATGTTTCTAAATTTGCCGCCTGATGCGCATCTTTGATTCCATAAATTCATTGGGCTGCGCGCTTAGCTGCTCGGCTGTGGGGCGGATTGCGGCACAGCGGGCGCTTACTGAATCATGCCGCCAACTCCTCTCCACTATGACCAGGACCATCACCCAGATATGGACTACTCAAAAATCAGAATACTCCTATTCTGCTCTTCGCTTTCAACAACCTCGCTAAGCATTCGAATTGTAAAGAGCACGTCCCTCATCGACGCCTCCGCCCTCAGCACGTTCATGCGCTGCAACGTGCCATCCTATGCTACCGCAGCCTCGCTCGTTGGCCCCCACGGCACCGAGCGTGGCTTTAGTAGCGCAATTGGAGCACCGGTGCATGGTCGACAATCAAAGGTTCCAGATTCACGGGCCGTTTACATCCCCGATCATGCAGCCGAAGTCGCTGCCAGACAAGGCTATTCCGTAACTGGTGAGGGGTCACTTAACAGCCTCGCTATACTTACGCCTTTGTGGGCAGGGATTGTGATCGGGCAAAACATGTATGTTTGTGGCTTTGATAGTGATGATGTCTGTGAGTGGTGGGGAAATAAGTATAGGCAGTTGGCCTTCGCAGCATCGGCGCACGCCGCCAAGGTAAACACCAATGTCACTAAATATGCCGTGGATTTCGCAAAGCAGCACTGATTTTGGATGTCATTCTCCCGCTGGCAGCTCTTACGTGGTCTATGTGGCTGCCATCACTGATGCTTCTGGAAACACACTTAGTAGCGGCGCATGAAGTTTTACTCTACCTTTGTCGTGCGGGTAATCGCCAGCATCACTACGTCGGTATAGATGCAGATATGTGGACGTTGGAGGATAATTGCGGCGCATTCGCAACTCCGCTACTTGCAATCTTCGACGTTGCCGCAAGTTCCAGTTCATGAGCACGCTTATCAGCTCAACAATCCCGCAAAAGCTGACATACAAAACAGAGCAGAGATGTATAATAAGTGTAGTGTAGAATTGCGAGCCAGATTTAACCAAATTCTTACTTCGAGAAAGCTTCGGCCGTTAAAAAAGTGTCCCTGTGAACATAATTCTGAAATAAAGAGGAACGAAACATGAATATCAAAGCTCAGCGGGTTCAAAACAAACAGTTGTTTATGGAGAACTGCGCATTCTTGACTTCCTTCAAAGAGACGGTCAATCATCTTACGAAAAGGAATAGCCATTCCAGCCTCCCGATGTCCGGGTCGGATTGTCCATTGGTGAGAATGGCGGTTGGGTGAGAGCTGTGGCCTGGAGGTATGGATTCACAGAACCCTGGGGGCCCAAAGCTGAGGGATCGAAATCCGCGAAAGACCCAGGATTTGCAGGCGGTGCCCAACCTCCGTTCGAAGGGTCGAAGTATTGACCTTGAAGCGTGATCCAGGGCTGTATTCCGACTGATGGTGTGTTCTCGCACCCGGATGATGCTGGTGACAGCATATTCACCGCGTGCTGAGTGTCGCCTACAGAAGCGTGTGGCACAGTGTCTTGTGTATCTGTTGAGATGCAGCTTATCTGCGGCTGTCCACGTGTTCGGTGGTTCATCTGCTGCATAGAGCTCACCATGATCCGAGGTTCGTCATTGCACGGTGTCATCTGATGTCCAGGTCCGATCTCAGATGTGTCTTCGAGCTCTGGAGTCTCCCGGAGACTACTCACCCTTGAACTCGTGGCAGTGTTTTCATCTCCACCCAGAATGTCGTGTCCAGAAAAGAGTGTGTTCAGATCGTTAAGCAAATGAGTTGCCTCTCGCTGTCGCGCTTCTGGTAGATCTTCAACACCTTGACGCATCATTCCGAGACACATGTTGATGATATTTCCAGAATCTAGCACCAAATATTAGCGTTAAAGAGGAATTCTTGGCCCAGACGACCTACAAGGAGATGGGACGTTCGCCTTGGCGAACTCGTCATCCTCGAAGAGGATGAGCCAAATTTGTCTCCATTTCTCTTCATAGCTCAGCTTGCGCTTGATTAAGCTGAGTTTTATCTTTTGATCTGGAGTGTAACCGATCCTCCTTTCACCATTCCCGGGGCACAGCTGAGTGCGAATATGATCTTGAACCGCACGAGTTGTCTGAAAGCACTGGAAACATGAGTAACAAGGATAGCCTGGAAGCTCATGGCACCGCTTGAGATGCTCACTTGATTTATCAGTATGCCTTCAGGATAGAAAAAGCACGGATGAGAAGCTTACGTTAGCCTGTTGGGGTCAGAAAATCCGGGAAGCACACAGGCCCTGACGATGGCTGAGCTGCCAGGATATCGTTTGAAATACGGACATGCCAGCCTTTTTTCGTTGTCTTCGGCAAAGGTTTTGGCTCGCTTGCGTTTCCCTGGTCCGCTCCCCCCTCCAGGGCCCTTCTCGTCATCGGCGGATCTTTTCTTATTCGAGGAAGAAAACCCTCCGGGTGATCTCCCAGGAGAATCCAGTTCCTGTCGATTAGAATCGGATGGAGAGCTAGAGCTAGAGCCAGTGTTACCTGCCTGTGTCTTGATACCTCCTGTGATGCTCGTCGAGAAAGGGTCATGTCTAGACTCAGACGTGATGATGGAATGATTGGTGGAAGTCTCATTTCGGTCAGATGCCCGAAACCGTACACTTCTGCGCTCTAGAACATCTTTCAAAAGTCCAGAGAAGAAGTAGAAAGCTCGTTGGTTGTCTGAGTCTGAGCTGTGTTGTTGAATAATTGACTCCAGTGATGCAAGTAGATGCAACGCAGATGACGTTTCAGGGTCGGTCAAATTATGCAGGTCAGACGGCTCGCCAAATGTCTCATCCAAATGAAGAATTTCCTGATCAGCTTCTGAAAGAGTTGTCTCAGATGACAAGTCGGCCGCTTCCTGTGCTGAAGAAGGTAGTCCCCAATCCAAAGCAATGCAGCTACAATCGTCATCCATTGAATCAGGATAAAAGGACGATTGAGCAGAATTCTCAGGGCTGGGATAGCATTGCTTCTGTTCTACCGAGTGAGTGATGTCTGGCAGTAGAGCTCTCCAGTCCTTGTGTAGATCTGGATGATTCTTCTGAATCCACTCGGTGATCCACTGGGTGCATTCGCGAAACGTACGATCTAGGTATGATCGATGATACATCTCGTCAAAGAAAGACGGTTGATCGAGACGAGCGTTACAGTCTGACGAAACCATGAGCGCTTCTGTGGTGGCTTGCATGACCTAGGATGTCACTTACACGGAGATGGGATCTTCTTCGGGGCCTCTTTGTCTTCAGCGAAAATGATTCGCCAAACTGTTCTCCATCTCTCATCTTCAGGATCTGACTCTGAGGCACGCTTCAACTCATCCATTTGTGCTTGCGTTAACCTAAGGTTACTTCGGCATACGGGATTGGATGGTGGAAGACCCTCTGTAGCCATTTGCAGGTTCTCCTTTCGTGGTTGAATGTAAGTCGAATTGTCCGAGAAGCTGGGGCGCTCACAATCGAGCCGGGAGTGTTCCTGATAGAGGTGCTCCCTGGTCTTGTGAGTATTGAAAGAAGTCAATAGGTAGACGTTCAGGACTTACTTCATTAAATCAACAGTCGCAAATCCAAGGAAGCAACAGGATGAGGACTTTGGCAAGCGGCCGGAGAATCGCTTCTGATAGGGACAAGCAAACTGTCTACCAGAGGTCTCCGTCTCCGATAAGCGACTAGAATCCTGTCCCGGGCTTTCCCCTCCATGGCTATCATCATCGCCTTCATCTTTTCCGTCTTCACGCTTACCATGCTTAGAGCCTTGGTTGTGTTGCTTCTGCTGGTTGTGGTGTTCTGAAGTGCTCAAAGACCGCTGGGAAGACTGGTCATTCTTGATGTCGCTTGCATCTGTGAGACTGGCACCAGCCCCACTGGATGGTTTGTGCTTGGTGTTCTGGTGTGCGGGGTTTCCTTTGAGGTCATCCATTGAAATCTGCCCTGTACGATCCCGAGACGGGCTCGTCTCCCGCTCCACAATTGTTCTCATCAATTCCGAGAGGCATAGCATGACTTGAATATGGTGTGCGATCACCTGAGAGCTGGAGGAAGCGGTACCGCTGATTTCTGTAGCAGGTGGTGGTGCTTTGCATTTACGCAGCTTCGGCGTCGCCGTTGACAAAGGTTGGTTTTGATGAACAAGAGAGTCGACGCCTTCGCTGAACGATTTCGCATGTTTACGATTGACTCCATTGTCAGCAAAGCAGTATTCAAAGACAGCAGAGTCACCTTCCGAGAGAGAGCGACAGCGATGATCAGTAGTGACGTCCGGCTCGCTGCTCCTGATTCCATTTTTCCCATTCAATTGGCCTGAGAGTAGATGTATCGGTGAGCCGTAGCCGAAGCCCACTTCGAGGTTTCTCTTCTCGTGATGCGATGGTTGACTGCGACACCAAGCCTTGCCATGTGCAATCGAAAAATTCTGTATCGGTGAATCCAGAAGCTGAGTGCTATACTTTGAAGGCAACGACATGTCCTCAGGCTGGTAGAGCATCCGCCGGCGCGTGAGGGAATTCATGGTGGGAGAACAGAGATGAGAGCCTTGAGTATGGAAAACTTGATGCATATCTGCTGTGCCAAACAGGGTTATGGAAAACATAGAGAAGGAAAGGACATGCAGTATGGACGAGGTGAAAAGTGGCAAACAATTATAAGGAAATGGTATGTCGAATCAGGCTCGCATTCGAGCAAGGCTGAATTTGCTTCGACGTAAATATGTAGCTACGCACTTGCGTATTTATTCAAGAGTACTCTCCGATGCAAGGCAAGGGAAAAGTGGTGGCGTGCCAGACTAGTCCGAATTGTGTTCCCGGAAGATCTTGGCTGTCCACTGAGGTGCCTCTATGACGCCTTGCTGCACCTTCATGCAACTGATGCACTCCACACGACATGGAATACGCATGTAAGATTCATGCACATACCGAATTGAGGCTCTTTTCTCAACTCACAGAAAATTCAGTTATGGATTGGATTGGGACATAAATCGACGAAGCCCGCAGCCCAACACTAAAAATCAACTATGCAGGATTTCCGCAAGGATGCCAAGAGACATATGCACCAATTCATCATTATTTTGAAATTTTTGGTGGCTGAGAAATTGAAAGCTCTCAGATTTAGCACTACAATTGATTCAAAATAGGCAGAAATAGCGAGCATGTGGAAGATACCAGCGCCTGACTTCAGACTGACGGTTGACTGAGAACTATATCGTTGACAGTGTCGCAAATATTAGCGAAAATAAGCTCTTGCGTAAATGTCTTACTAAAGAAGAGCTAATATGTAGAAACGCAATTGCGAAGATGAGGGGCGTCAGCTTTGTGCTACGCAAATCTACGATTCCGTCATGATTGGCCCGTCCTCCCGAGTGTGGCGTGTAGTACGGTCAGCACAATTCTTGTCGATGACGTAGGGCAGCTGAGCTGGTTACGACGTGCACAAGGCTGAACCTTCCTAGATTCGCCGCAGTGCCAAACCCGGAACTAATAATAGTTAGTCCAGCCCTGCTGCCGAAGTTTGACTATGGATCGCTTCGTACCTCGTACGAAGAGATCACTTAGAGGACAGAATATGCATGTATGTAAGAAGTCGGTTAACATGATTGAATGGTCGCTAATAAATTTATTATGCAAGTTTTTCTAATCGAAGCCTATCTTCGGCAAATTTCGCCGCCCTATCTATCATATTATCTACAATTTTCCTTTTTTCAATGCTTACTCATTACCACCATCTCCCATCTTGAATCATCATTGTGGCAGAAAGAACAACTGATCAGCGATCTATATCTCTAAGTTGTTCAAATTTTTTTTTTCACACTCCTACATGCCTTTCTTCAATGTCAGAAGTTTACCAAACCGGACAGCCACCTCCAGCGATATATTCAACCAGAGAACGCAAACCGTATACCTATAGCTACAAGGAATGGTCATTTTCGAACGTTGCGAAAGATTCAGCTCCCTTCCGTGCAACACCAACTCCCCTCTCCTCTTTGAGTCCTTCCGGTAGTTCTTCTATCGGTGGAATTATATGATGAGATTTCGTCGGAAGTGACGGGACTTTCAAAAACTTCAATATTGTGGCAAGAGGCTCAAGTTAAAAGAGAAGATGAAAAAGATCTGACGATTGTCTCTCATGGACGGAAGTCACCCTACCATTCATTCCTTTCACCAGCAAATGGAAACGAGCACTGGGAAGAGACAACGGCTCATACGCAGTGGCGCAAGCAACGTCACTGTGCAAATCTGGTTGAAATGGCTGTGTGGCATTTACGATGCATACCAAGTTGCAAGAGAGTTGGAATACTGTGATAATTGCTCAAATTCGCGAAAGAGATTGGTAAATCACTCCGACGAATACCTTGTTCACGGAGTCATTTCAACAGATAAATACGGAATGTTGGCTGTTTTTGACGGACAAGAGGAGGAAAAAATGTTGAATTACGCGCGCCTGGGCTTCTTCGAAGAGGAATGACTCAAATCCCTGGGACATTCAACACAAACGCACCTGGATGAACGGTAAAAGAGAAGCTCGAGAATGGGATATAAGTGCATACTAGCATTAGGGGAAAGAGCGAGCGACTCTGATATCTTATAGGAGTTGTGATTAGAGCCTTTCAATCCTTGGACCTCATGCGTTGTCATGCCAACGAAGCACAACTAGGGCAGTCGAATACGAACGAACCCGGGATGTCATGATAATTACGAATTATCCCATCAATAACGAAGAAGGAGTGAACTGGACCAGAAACGGACCGAAAATCGGCTCGGAACAAGCAAAGACAGTACGCAATACTAATGCGCGAGTTTCACTACCTCAACAGATTAATTTAAGCTAAAGATATACAGATATAGAGCAGATCAACGACGTTCTGGTCCAATTCCTTTGATAAGCCGGAGATTTCATTACTACCATACTATGAACTTTTCTTTCCAAACCCAACGCCGACCCCCACCATTCTATATTCTATTCACAATCTTCCCATTTCCCAACCCTCACTCATCCCCACCATCTCCCAATTAAAACTGCCACTGCCTCAACCAATTCTCAAACAACCCCGCATCAACCTCCTTTAGCTCCCTCAAACACTCACTACACTCCTGCGTATGCCCCGTCTCCATCGGCGGCAACGACCCGCCCTCAGCCTGCAACCCCTCGTAAAACTCAACCAGCTTCACACCAGGCTTCTTCTCAATCTCCTCCTTCGTCAACGGCGTCGCCTTCAACGCGCGCATCCACTCGCTAAACGGCACCGCCTCGAGCTCGACCCCCTGCTGCTCCCGCTTATAAAACGCCTGCACAACCGGCACGAGCTCCCGCCACGACACAACGCGCGGATTAACGACGTGGAACACGTCGAGCGGCACGCTGCCCTGCGTCCTTCGCAAGCGGTCGAAGCTGGCCTCGACGACGGTGCGCGCCGCGGCGTCCATCGGCACCCAGTCGACGGCGTCCTGGTTGCCGAGGTTGGCTGGGACGACGCCCATGTTCTTGCTCGTGTGCACGATCGACGGCAGCCACTCGTGGCGGTTCCAGCAGCCCTTCTGCTGTCTCGGCCCGGCCAGCTGCCCGCAGCGGAAGATGGACGCCGGGACGCCTGCGCGCTGCGCAGCGACGGCTAGGATGCGGCTGGCGACGTGCTTGCTCTCGCCGTAGCCCTGCGGTAGGGGCGCGCTGTCGTTGTCGATGAAGGTCTCCGGCACAGCAGCAGCAGCGCCCGAGTCGCCGACGCGCGGCCAGTTGGCGACGGAGGCGATAGAGGAAATAAAGGCGACGTGGGCGCGGTGGCGCGAGTGCAGCGAGAAGTCGACGACGCGGCGGGTGCCGGCGATGTGCGTGGGTTCGTAGGACTGCAGGGCGTGGTTGAAGTCGACGGCCCACGCGTTGTGGATGAAGAGCGTGGCCGACGCCGCGAGCTCGTCGTACGTGGCCTGCGGCAGGCCGAAGAGGTCCTGGCTGAAGTCGGTGCGGAGGAAGGTGACTTTGGAAAAGTCGGGAGCCACGTCGCGCTCGGCGAAGGACTGGGCTTGGCGGGCGGCGGCCGAGTCGGAGCGGTTGAGGCAGTAGATGTGGGCGACGGAGGGCATGGCGATTAGGGTTTCGAGGATGTAGTTGCCGAGCGAGCCGGTGGAGCCGGTGAGGATGACGGTCTGCTGCTCGGGGAGGGAGGAGGGGAGGGGCGCGGCGGTCTGCGGGAGGTCGGATGTGTATTTCTCGACCATTTCAGCCATGATCTGCTCGCGGGGCTTCGCGGGCTGGGCGTCGGCGTCGTTCGCGGAGAGCTTGCTCTGGATGGTGGCGGCGAGCTTGTTGACCGAGGGGCTGGCGTAGATGTCGCGCGGGAGGACCTTTGCGCCGCGGTCGGCAGCGTCGTCCTTGATGGCGTGGCTGATGGAGCTGGCGAGCGCCATGACCTGCAGGGAATCGACGCCGAGATCAAGGATGTCCTGGTCGTCCGTGTGCTCGTCCTTGAAGAGAGGGACGGTCAGGCTGATGGCGTTGCGGACGAACGCGCGGATGGTAGGCAGGTCAGCGTCCTTGGGCAGGTTTCCCAGCTGTTCATCGAAGCTTTCGCTGGAGTACAGAGCATCGAACTCCTGCGCGTAGAGGTTGACAGTCGCACGCCTGATAATAGATCCCTTCGGTGCGCGGACGAAAGGCTTGTCCTTCTTGGTGAAGGCGACCTTGTTCTTCCAGACTTGTGCGTGAGCAGGAGCCTCCTTGTTGGCCTCTTCAACTGCAGGCCACAACTCGGTGAGAAGGTCGTCCAGACTCTGTCCCTCCGGAACCCTGCTCCAGTCGGGCTCGATGAGGATCGCCGGCTGGAAGCGGTTCTGGCCCACAACGACGGCGCCTCTGACCAAGGCATGAGCCTCCACGGCCTTCTCGAAGCTGACTGGGTTGAACTTCTCGCCGTTGCTGAAGACAATCACATCGTCGCGGCGACCCTTGTACCTCCACAAACCCTTCTTGGTCGGGTGCTCCTCCCACAGATCCTTGGTCCTCCACTCGGTGATTTCCGGGAAGTTGGAAAAGACGGAAAGGTACCTGGGGTCGACGATAGGCTTCAGGACCTGCTCGTACAGACCGTCGCCAGCATCCTCCATGACAACACCAGAGTAGGGGTGCCATTCAAAGTATTCCCAATCAGCCGGATCCTCAGGCTCCAAAGCCATGATGAGCGAGGCTTCTGTAGACCCAATGATGGAGTTGATACGGGTGACCTTTCTCACGCGGTCACCGGCTTCTCTAGAAAGGGGAGCTCCACCGAAGAAGATATCGTCAAGTGTAGACAGAGCCTTCAGGCCCTTTTCCGTCTCGCTCAGCTGTTCCAAAAGAGCTGGGGGGAAAAGTGCCGTAGTAGCCTTGCGAAGGAGAAGGATCTCACTAAGCATGTTCTCGTTGAGCGGAACGTTGAGGGGAGGAAGCACGAGAGGGCCAGTGTAGATGCTTCGGGTCAGGGCAATGGTGCCCATGGCGTGGTAGAAAGGAGCAGGGACGAACATGGGCTTGCCATCAGCTGTCGGTCCCATCCAGCCTTCGGAACGGTTCTTGCGACCCGCAGGAGCCTTGATGTATTTCTGGTGGTCGATTTGCGCAACCCAGGCATTCGTCAAGTAGATGGGCTTGGGAAGCCCGGTGCTGCCAGACGTGTGGATGATCAAGACTTGTTCAAGCGTGTCCTCACGACCCTGGCTCTCATAGTGGCCGTGCTGCTCGCCAAGAGCAACCATCTGGTCAAATGTAGGGACCTGGTGGCCATGGAGATCTTCTGAGTGTTGCTCAAAGACATGCAGGTGGTTTTCGATGCCTTCCGAAAAGATGTAGTGAGTCGAATCTGTGCGCTGTAGGAGGTGCAGCTGGGCTTCGTCGGAGTTACGCAGGGAAAGCAGCATAGCCTGTTTGATGAAAAGTTAGCTTCAAGTCAAAAGGCTATTGGAGTGGTGCCAAGTAAGCTTACTCTGCGGTTTGTTTTCATGAGAGCGACGATAATCACCGCATAGCGAACATCGTTGAGTCTTGATCAATAATCAGCAACATACTTTGGCCACGGACAAAGTCAAATCTCACCCCATGTAAGCGACAGTCTCACGTTGGTCTGGAACCGGGCCAACTGTCCTCTCGATCCACTTGCATGCTCCGTTGATAGCCTTTGCGAACTCGCCAAAGGTGATGGTGCGCCAATCGGCGTGAATGTCGGAAGAACGCGGAGTAATCATCCACTCCCTCGAGGGAGAGCTGGCGGCGATTTCATCGATGCGGCGAGGAAGAGGAGTGTTGGCGAAGGGGGAGTGACCGGCGGAGAAGTTGGAGGGGGTGGTTTGTTGGATGGAACCCATGGCGAAGAAGGCGTCAAGAATCGCTGTTGAGGTATCACTGAAGCTGGAGGTATACGCAGAAGAAGAGAAAGCTGGATGATGATGCTGAACGAAGAGCAAAAGATGGGATGTTTCTGAAGGTTATATACAACAGCTCGTGCGAGACAGTTGCTATGTGCGGTTGAAATGTGCGAGACAGCGCCGTCCGTGACGTGCTTGGTGCATGGAGCAGCGTTCCAAGGAGCTGGGCCATACGGGCGGCATACTGTGGTGAGGTAATTTCTGGTAGGGTCATTGCCACATGGTTTCTCGAAAAGTCCGAAGGCGGAGAGGTTAGAAGGGGCTTTCGCTGGATAGCCTGGCACAAAATCTGGTGCCGGTGAGCACAAGGATGCTCTGAGGGTTGAATGTCGGGTTCGGCTGAAGCTCGAAGCCGCAGACTAGTGCACGACGATCGCAGCGTTGACGCGTGGGAAGGGTCAGGATCTTTCAGTTGTCGCAACCTTGGGTGCTGCGGCGCTCCGTGATTGGGTGGAAGTAGGACAGTGCAGGCGTTATCTCCAGGAGAAGCTGCGATGGTTGAGCTAGCGCACCGTCAGGGCTCCAAGCTCCACCTCGGCCGAGAGAGACGTGATCTCAGAGCGAGGAGTTAAAGACGTCAGAGCCGAACCCGACAGAGCTGCCGGGCCGCCCGAACGCGGGCCGAGTAAAAAAACGCAGCACAATTCGGACATGCCAAGCAGCACAAGCAAATGGGTAAATGCTTGGTTGAGGCTGGGCAGATCAAAATCCTTCGTCCCGCCAGCCACGACGCAAGGAGGCGCATGGGCCGGCCCGTTGCCTCACGAGCCGCCATCTCGTGAGGTTCGATCGAAGCTTCTTTGCGGGACCCACCCCGAGGGGCGTCGTATCCGCGGTCGAGACAAAAGTTGGCCACGATGATGTAGCTGCGGACGGAAATCGGGGAAGGCTCGCGCGACGCAGAGATATACCTGTTCGTCCAGCCGCACTTTTGTGAAAGCCGAGGGTATGCTGTCCGTCGGCATATAGAACAGGCAGTTGGCTCCGTCCTGCCTCTACACCTGTCACCACCCAAACCCACCCTGCTCCGCGCTGCTGTAACCCTCGACTCTCCTCACCGACCCCATCAGGACGACGACCGGAAAAAGTGGACCCTCGCCGGCGTCGGCTGCGACGACAAGAGCCATCCGAAGACGGCTGGTACGATTACTTATGGACAGAGCGTGAGAACGACGTGATGGGATGCGTGGTGTCGCTAGCGTCGCGATGGTAGAGGAAGGAGGGGTGGCGGAGCGGAAATCTTGCGTGGTCGATCCCGCTGCCGTGCCGCCCTCCGCTAGCCACTGCCGCCGCCGCCATTGCGGCTGACTCGCTTGTCATCCGCTTATCGCGCCCAACTCGGCCTATCTGGCACCGCGTTTCCTTGCTGCGGTCGCACAGCCCGTTATTACCTAGTTGCAGCCGCCTTGGAGCAGTGCGCCGCGCCTGCCTCCCACTCTTGGAACGCCCATAATGGCCGTCGTTCGCTCCGCCCGACTCGCATCTCCAATCGCACCTCAACGCCCACCATGACCGATTCACCCCCGCCGCACGAGAAAGCGTCCCCCTCCGACGTTCGAGAATCGTCTCTCGACGCTGTCGCCGTCGCTGAGAATGCCGACCAGCTCCACCGCCGTCTTTCCAACCGCCAGATCCAATGGATAGCCATCGGCGGCTCCATTGGCACCGCGCTGTTCGTCAGCATCGGATACGGTCTGATTGAGGGAGGTCCGGGCAGTCTGTTCATCGCTTTCACGCTGTACAGCTGCATGATGGGCTTGGTCAACAGTTGCCTCGCTGAAATGGTCATCTTCATGCCTGTCAGCGGCTCATGGATGCGCATGGCCTCTAAATGGGTCGATGAGGCTCTTGGTTTTACCGCTGGCTGGAATTTTTATTTATACGAGGCGATCTTGATCCCTTTCGAAATCTCGGCTCTCAACCTGGTTCTCGGTTACTGGAGTGACAAAATTCCACTCGCCGCCATCTGCGCTGCGTGTATCGTCCTCTATGCGTAGGTCAAATCGGTGTGAAGCCGACCCCGTCTCGGCTGATCTTGAGTAGGATCATCAACTTGTTCGCTGTGCGCTGGTACGGCGAGGCCGAGTTCTGGCTCTCGTCGGGCAAGCTGCTCTTGATCTTCATGATGTTTGCCTTCACGTTTATTACCATGGTTGGCGGCAATCCTCAGCGTGATGCCTACGGCTTTCGGTACTGGCGAACTCCGGGTTCGTTCGCCGAATACGTCACTACCGGCACTCTGGGTCGCTTCGAGGGCTTCCTTGGCGCTTTTTACCAAGCTTCGTTCACCATCGTCGGGCCAGAGTATGCGCAGCTCCCTATACGATATCATTGCAATTCTAACAAATACCAGGTATATCGGCATGGTCTCTGGTGAAGCCATATACCCACGCAAGACGATCAAGCAAGCCTTCAAGACCGTCTACTGGCGATTCGGCTGCTTCTTCATTCTCGGTGCCCTTTGTGTTGGCATTGTTCTGCCCTACGACGATCCCAAACTCAACGCCCTTCTGGGAGAAGGTGCAACTGGAGACGCCGGTGCCAGTCCATATGTCATTGCTATGCAGAACATGGGCATAACCGTGCTTCCGGACATTACCAATGCCTTGCTTGTGACGAGTATCTTCTCTGCGGGGAACTCATACGTGTAAGTTGACTTCATACTTTATTGCACGTTGCCTAATCACCCATGAAGGTATGCCGCGACGAGATCGTTGTACGCGCTCGCTCTCGACGGACATGCACCAAAGTTTCTCAGGAAGGTCAACCGCCAAGGAATTCCCATCTGGTCCTTTGCAGTCACCATGATCTTCCCCTTCCTGTCGTTCCTGTCTGTGGGCGCGAGTGCCTCAGAAGGCCTCAAGTGGCTGGCCAATCTGACACAAGCCGCTCAAGTGATGAACTACATCATCATGTGCACCGTTTATCTCTTCTTCTATCGCGCCCTCAAGGTCCAAGGCTACGACCGTAACACCCTTCCTTATAAGGGCTGGTACCAACCCTACACGGCCTATCTCGGATTGCTTTTCATGATTTTGACCGTTTCTACTTATGGCTATACCGTCTTCCTTCCAGGATGGTGGAACACCGGCACCTTCTTTACCTACTACGCCATGGTTTTCGTGTGCATTATACTGTTCGCTGCGTATAAGGTGATCAAACGGTCCAAGATTGTTCGTCCGCAGGATGCCGACTTGGTCTGGGAAAGGCCAATTATCGATGCCTACGAGGCGTCAATTGACCCTCCTCTCGGAATTTGGGAAGATATTGGTAGATCAGTTGGATTGAAGAGGAAGATTGGAAGCTCTGAGGATTGATGAGAATCATCCAATAGCTCTTGGAGATACCCCTCCTCTCGGACTCGTGTGTCAGAAGTATTGACGCGATGCTACATTTTTTCTTCGTTTTCGGGCAGTTGAAGTCAACTTCCGGACGCAGATGTTAAGTTCACAAACTGCACAGATACGTTCGGAAAATGGGTTCGACTGTCTACGCAAGCATGATGCTTTTTCTAGAAATTTTTTTTTGGGAAGGCTGGATTCTTTCAATACCGCTGTCGATAGAAACAAAGGCGGCTAGAAGGCAGAGTACTTAGAACGCGCAAGCAATAAATCCATTCGATTGTCCGCATTGATCGCCCACTTCCCTTCGAATCATGCGTCCCGTGCAGAACGGTTGGTCAATGCCACAGAAATAGGCTCGCTGGGTAGGGCTGAGGTTTCGGGGAGCGGCGGGAAGCGTGCGTGACCCCGCGTTGCTTATCGCGTCGCCGGCGGCGTCTGCGGGGCAGCACCGATCTCTCGCGACTACATCATCAGCACTCTAATTCGTCCCACCCGCTGCTGGCGCCCTCACCCCGCCTCCTCTACTTCAGCAGTCTGTTCACGATTTGAGCGCATGATGGCAGTCACCGACAATCTCGGCCTGTCGCCCGAGCAGGTGCAGTTCTTCGAGGAAAATGGATACCTCTTGATCCCGGACGCGCTGTCGCAAGAGACGGTCGCGGAGCTCCTGGCCGAGTCGCACAAGATGCTCAAGGAGTTCCCCATCGAATCACATCCAATGACCAAGTTCTCGACCGGCCAGGGCGAAAAGGAGCACGTTGGCGACGACTACTTCCTCGAGAGCGGCGACAAGATTCGTTTCTTCTTCGAAGAAGGTAAAACCTCTACAGCCACACACTCTCCTCTCCCACAGCTCCCCCCCGCAGCTAACATCTACACAGACGCCTTCGACGCCTCAGGCAACCTCACGAAGCCCAAAGACCGCGCCATCAACAAGATCGGCCACTACCTACACCAACTCTCCCCACCGTTCCGCGCCATGTCGCTGTCGGCGCGCAACGCGGCCATCGCGCGCTCGCTGGGGTTCCGCGACCCGCGCGTGCTGCAGAGCATGGTCATCTGCAAGCAGCCCGAGATCGGCGGCGCGGTGCCGCCGCACCAGGACTCGCCGTTCCTCTACACGGATCCGCCGTCGGCCGTCGGCTTCTGGTACGCGCTCGAGGACTGCACCGCCAGCAACGGCTGCCTCAGCTTCGCGCCCGGGTCGCACCGCACCAGCCCCGTGCGCCAGCGCTTCGTGCGAATGAAGGAGGCGACGGGGAAGAGCGAGGCTGGGGGGACGGGGTTCGTTGAGAATAAGGGCGCGGTGTTTCCACCGAAGATACGGGAGTTGAGGGAGAAGAAGGGTGAGGGGCTGGGTCCCGATACGGGGATTGAGAGTGAGGTGGAGTATACGATGGGCGAGGTTAAGGCGGGCACGCTGGTGCTGATACATGGGAATGTGCTGCATAAGAGCGAGAAGAACTTGAGCGAGAAGAGCAGGTTCATCTACACGTTTCATTGCATCGAGGGCGAGAACGAGTACGACCGGCTCAATTGGCTGCAGCCGCCGGCAGAAGGCTTCTCCAAGCTGCCGGTAAATGCATGAGCATGCATGACGGCGGAGTAAGCCGCATGGAGGGAGCTGCAAGGGCAACTGCTCACGCGAACAACGGCGACGGGGGATGGGTAGACATTGCTGCCGCGACACGCGACACCAAAAAAAAAAACTTTCCATTCATAGGTGTTTACAAAAAGCTCTCTCAATCGCGCCGACTTCGCTCATCTTCTCCCAATGTCGCCCATCCGGACTTGGAGTAGCATCACCGATCTCCGAAGGCCGAGGTTGCCCTGCGTCCCGAGTTCCTGACTAAAATTTAACTTCTCTTTTCTGACCTCATAGCGACTTCATTCACCATGATCGCCAGAGTGATGGATGCATTCGTTTATCCGCGCCGAGGTACTTGACACATTTTGCCGGCTCCTGCCGCCATCGTCGATGCTCGGTATCATCCGGTGTTCTTTTAGCTACATTCGCCGTGAGTTACTTTCCAAGATCTAGCCACAAAAGGAAATTCTCGGCCCTACAGTGGGATAACTTGTACAGGCAGGTACCGCAGCGGATGAAGGTGCATGTGAAGTGAATCAAGCTAAACAATTCTGGCTGTCGGGTCCATGATCCAAAGAAGGACGGTCACCTGGAGTTGCACGAGAACCATCTTTGCCAGAGCCTTGGCTACCCATTTCGCATCTCAAACAGGGTTACGCCTCTTTTTCCCAGAAATATCCAGCTCAAACATCCATTCGTTGAGCTTCAGAATGATTTACACGGAAACTGCTCCGAAACCCTTCGGCTCCAGCTCGTTCCATCCCGCACTCGGTTCCCTCCACGCATTCGGACGCATTCGGGTTCTGAACGAGATTCGATGCGCATCTCGGCTATCGTTAAGCCACCAATCCCAAGGCAACGGTTAGTGCAGCCTTTCTGCACGAGCACTGCTGCGAAATGCAGAAGTGCGTTTCAAACAGACAATACGATGCTTCCCAGCTGCAGCCGTCGCCAACGGCAAACCCCGCTTGAGCGGTTTTTGCCCTGCTCAAACGCCTCTTCCGAGGCGGGGCTTGAGGATAAGATTAGATGCTCGGAGATCAACTGACTTGTGACGCGTTCGTGCGCCTTGACTCGGACTTTAGCAGGGCCTTGCGACATGATTGGCAGAATTGCAGTGGCGCTCTCGTCCGGGACCGACATCGCACGGAGCCGGACTCGCCGAGCAGGGTGAAAAATCTAATCTGATCAGATGCCATCCCTTCCCCATGAGGAAGTCATGGGCGTGATGGACCCGACCCTGCGGTAACGACCATGTTCGAATCAGCTGCGGGCGTTCAGCCAAGCAATTTGTCCTGCATACGGGTCCCCCGATGCGTGAATTTGCGGGCAGGATGCGGCGTGGGCCATTTTTCCTGCCTGTTTCCCTTGTCGCCTCCGCAGGGTTGGCTCCACATTATTGCTGCTCGCTGAGCTGCGGGCACGCCCCATTATTTGTCGCGATTCAATCCTGCGGGAATGCAGTCCTGCCCTGTGGCCCCCATACATATAGATCTGCTGCCCTGCTGCTAGCCGGGCCTCCTGTTGGCTTTGCTTGGCGTCAATCATCGTCCCAGTCATCCTCAGGTACAACGCTTGGTATTTTCAACTCTCCCAGGGTTGTCCGTCATGGCGGACGACATTCACGCTTCGCCTCCGCGATACGAACATGTTCGCAACAACAGCAGCAAAGCACAGTTCGAACTCCGCACGCAACCAAGCTCGACTTTCGACGAACACACCAAAGCAGGGTCCTCCATCCTCTGGGCCGACAACGATGGGGACAATCGCGAGCATACGCAGAACGGTGTCAAGGAGGTGGAAGCCATCACGCAGACGTGGTCAAGACGGTCGCTGGTGATATCTTACCTTTTGTAAGAACACCCAGAAAACAGGGGCCGTTGGGGAAGCTTTGCTGATTGGGAGGAAAAAATAGGATTCTCATGGTCTTCTTCGTGGATTCCTTGGAGCAGCAGATCTCCAACAACCTGCTGCCGTACGTCTACAGCAATTTCTCCGCGCACTCGCTCGTCACGACGGCCTCGATCGTCTCGTCGGTCGTCGGCGCCGTCGTCAAGCTGCCCATCGCGAAGATGATCGATATTTGGGGGCGGCCCCAGGGCTACGTCGTCATGATCGGAGTCGCGACGATTGGTACGTACCTCTCTCGTAAACACCAATCAAATCGTCCGTCATGCGACTAACACGGTTCCTGTGCAGGCCTCATCCTCCTCGCCGCCTGCAAGAACGTCGAGACGTACGCCGCGGCGCAGGTCTTCTACTGGGTCGGCTTCAACGGCATCGGCTACGTGCTCGACGTCTTCATCGCCGATACCTCTGCGCTGCGCAACCGCGGCCTCATCTTCGCCTTCACCACCACGCCGTACATCGCCACCACTTTTGCGGGCCCCTCGGCCGCGCAGTCCTTCCTCGATCGCGGCGGCGTCGAGGGCTGGCGCTGGGGCTATGGCGTTTTCGCCATCGTCGTGCCCTGCGTCACGACGCCCGTTGCCTTGATCTTCTTGATCAACAGGAAGAAAGCGGTCGATGAGGGGAAGATTGAGGGGAAGAGCTGGTGGCAGGATGACGAGCGGGGGTTCTGGGATAGCGTGAAGTATTATTTTGTGGAGTTTGATGGTGGGTTTTGGTCCCTTTTTTCTTTTTGGAATCCTTTCTGGCTGCCTACGACGGTGATGCTGACTTTACACCGCAGTCATCGGCATGGTACTCATTTGCGCGGGCTTCGCGCTGCTGCTCCTGCCGCTTTCGCTGGCTACGTACCAGACGGACAAGTGGCGCTCCGCATCCATCATCTGCATGATCGTCTTCGGCGGGCTGTCGCTCATCGGCTTCTACGTCTGGGAGAAGTGGTGGGCGCCGGTGCGGTTCATGCCCTTCCACTTGCTAACAGACAAGACGGTGCTGGGCGCGTGCACCGCCGCGAGCATCTCCTTTGTCGCGTACTAGTGAGTTACCTCGTATCTTTTTTTATTGGAGTGGGGGCGCTGATCGGAGGATCTACTACCTATAGCTGCTGGGACTATTACTTCACGTCCTACCTCCAAGTCGTCCACAAGCTCGACATCTCCATGGCCGGCTACGTCGGCAACATCTTCAACATCGGCTCCTGCTTCTGGGCCGTCTTCGTCGGACTGTACGTTCTTCCCCCCATCCCCGCCCCACTGTCCCCTACCGTCCCCCACTAACACTTCCAAAACAGCGCCATCCGCCAAACCAACCGCTTCAAATGGTGCGCCCTCATCGCCATCCCCTGGATGATCCTCGGCACGGGCCTGATGTGCTACTTCCGCAACGGCGAGTACCCCATCGGCTACATCGTCATGTGCCAGATCTTCATCGCCTTCGCCGGCGGCACCGCCGTCATCTGCGAGGAGATGGCCGTCATGTCGGCCGTCGCGCACGCCTCCAACACCGAGACCGGCGGCGACGGCGTCGCCGTCGTGCTCGCGCTGCTCGCGCTGTTCTCGGGTATCGGCAGCGCCATTGGACTCGGTGTCAGTGGGGCGATTTGGACGAATGTTTTCCCGGTTAAGTTGGCGGAGTACCTGCCCGAGGATCGGAAGGGCGATGTGGCGAGTTTGGTGGGGAGTTTGGTGTTGCAGCTCGCGGAGCCGGTGGGGAGCGAGGCGCGGATCGCGATTGAGAAGGCGTATGTCGTGGCGCAGCAGCGGATGTGCATTGCGGCGACGTGCATTCTCGTGTTGGCTTTCCCGTGTGTGGTTGTGTGGAAGAACTTCAACCTCAAGGATGTGAGGCAGGCGAGGGGCACGGTTGTTTGAGAGCGGGTAATCTGCAAGAGGGTGGAGATGCTCGGCCCCTCCAGGGATCGGGGGTAGGACGGGAGAGATGGGGGGGAGACACCGGGGCAGACTCGTGTGTGTGTCTCTGATTCAGTGTTCCGACCTCTCTCTCTTTCTTTCTCCCGATTCGTCCTGTGGGCGTAATGACCGTAACGAATTCTCTTTTACTTGTACGTAAATACGCACGAAGAAATATACCCATGTCGCCTTTTTTGGTTCTTCTTTCAAGCCACAGTGGGTTTCCTGAAGATTAGTGCTAGTGACACATGTGAAAATTCCTCTATTGTGTAGCCGGATCGCCAATTCGAATACACACACATGTGGGGCTTTGAAATTGTACAGAGACGCCCAGGCTGTAGTCTTCAACTACGGACGTAAGTCGAATGCCAATGTCTCTGACGAGACAGGTTTGGGAGAGGCCTTGTTCGCGTGCGGTTAGAGTAACTGGCAAACCTACTATGCAGCAGCCTCACTCGTCATTGGCGCGATCATATTAAACCCTTTTTTTTTCTCTCCCGTTCTTCTACTCATTAGCCGCGATGACCGGCGCCGCACGACGGGCTGAGCTAGGCCAGGCTCATCGACGTCCGGGGCCCCCAAACCACACCGTCGGGTCGAGCAAATCTGCCGGGCTGGCGGCGGATTTTCTTTCTTTTTCTCGGCCTCACCCTCCGATGCACGCAAGGAGATTTCCCGACGGGAGGGATGAGACCGGAAAGTACCATGCACATGATGAACTTCTGCGGGAAGTTTTTGGGCTGAGAGATAGTAGCAGGGATTTGGTTCGGGGACTCATGGCTGCGATTGGCAGCTAGCGCCGTACCTTGCAGCAGAGCCCGCTTGACGTTGGTGGGCTTTCTTGTGGCTTGCAGGCAGGATTTCTTGGGCCGCTGCAACGCTTATGCACTGCCGGCCCGAGATGATTTTCGATCGGCCGGGGTACATACGTACGTGCGAAAGAACGGGTGGGGGCGGCGCGGACGGGACGTACCGTTTGCTATGTAGGAGGATGCTGGGTATGTTGGGCGATGCCGGCGCGGTGCAGGGCGGCGCAGCGCAGCGCGGGGCTGGACTGGGCCCCGGTTTGCGTTGACCGGTGTTCTCGGTGTTCTCCGGTTGTCTCCTGCAATGCGGTGCGGCACGAGACTGGGATTGGGGAGCGGGGATGCTTGGTGATGGGCGGCGCAGGTGTGAGGTGAGGCATGCGGGAGTGAGGCGAAGGTGTTTTTTTTTGTGGTTCTACTTGCTGGGAGAGAGACTTTTGAGAGTGTGTTTGGGGATTGACGGCTGTACGGACACATCGTTTAGTGGTATTTATCCTGTTTGCTCCGCGACAAGTTCGTTGCTTTGAGGTGCGGAAGTTGTGAGTCCGTGAGGGCCTGCATGTACGGCTTGGTCTGTGCGGGTTGCTGGTGTAGACAGCGGGGTTACACGAGCAGCTTAAAGATACCTTGTGGGTGATTGAGTTTCGAAAACTTCATTCCCAAGCTTCGCGCATGCTGCGATGTTTCAGAGAATGCAGTGTGCCTCTGAAGACCGAGAGCAACGCGTAAGTCCGAGCGGGGGCTGGTGTGGTTCCGAAATGGTGTTAGTCGTTGCCGGGGGTCAGTGCGCTGTTACGTAAGCTAGCGCGTGCCATTTCCAACCTCGCCCCGTGGACGCGCTCTCCCCTACGACTCATCCACCTCATCCATCGCGTCGCACCCCCATTGTCATCAACTCGACCTCGCCGCATCGGCTACATCTGTCACCCATCTCCCTGTCTCCATCCCAGGCTTCCTTGCACCTCGCACTCATCGACTCCGCCGCTGGCGGCTGTGCTTGTCGGTCGCGCTGTGCCCCCAGCCACACCGCGTTTCCACCAACCTACCACCACCGCCTCCCCATCGCCATCCACCCTTCCGTCTGTCCCCCATCCCCATTTTTTGCTTCTGTCAGCGTTCCTTGATGAGTTTCGAGATGGATGGACAAGTGGTTTCGCGGATTGCGATGTCGGGCGAGTTTGGGTGATGCGACCGTGTCGGACGCGTCGCCTTCAACTCATCACCGCCACTCGCATCCGTGGTTCCACTAACGCCGCCGAACAACTACCGGTGGAAACCGCAGCAGCATGGTTCCGCGCGTCTGTCTTCAGACTACCCCTCGAGGCCTCTTTGCAGCGGTCCGGTTCTCCATCGCGAGGACCACCCTCAAACGCTTTGCGGCGGTCGGTCGCGGACAGGTGCTGGGGCTTGCTCTCGGAGCACTCCAGCGGTCCGGTTTGCTCATCAATGCTTTGAACTACCCTTGGATCGTCTGCAACGGTCGCGTTCTCAGGCGCTCAGTTGCGATCTGCCCCCGGCTGGCCCTTGCAGCAGGTCTGTTCTCCAATGCGAGGACTCCTCTCGAGGCTTCCGTGGCGGCTGGATCCAACTGGTGTAGAGAACTCTCCTCAGATGACCCATAGCGGTAAGGTTCTCGTTGGTGGGGTGAACTACCCTTGAGTGTTCTATCGGTTTGTTGTAGGCGTAGATGCCTATTTATGCAGCTGGGTGTCCTTTTTTCATTATGTAGCGCACTAGGTCAATATCGCCTTAGTAGAACAATGGAGGCTCGGGTCTCCATCGCTTCTGCTCGGGCAATTTGTCTTAGTCCTGAAATACAGATCGATTCCAGAGCAATCACTTGCTGACTTCTACAACGTGCAATGTGTAGTGTTCCACTCGTTTTCATGATGGAAAGTGAACGGTTTGACCTCCTGGACTACGTCAATGAGCAAGTCCTAGCAGAATGGGTGGATGCCGACACGTGTGAGACTCGCACTCTCGGGTCCCTCTCGACCATCAACAAACAAGATGCCGGACTATCGTTCAGAGTTGGCCTCGATGCTTCGTTAGAACAAGCATTCATGCGCTTCTCGATGAACGTGTCAGTGCGGGTATCCGGACGGCCGCGCCGAAGGCAGCTCCTCCTCGTCCTCCCGCTCCACGTCCTCTCGTACAAAACCTCGGCCCTCGAATACGACATCCTCCGGACCTCAGACATCGGCGAGTCCGCCGCGGCGGTGCATGACGCCGGCTTCTCCGACTCCGGATTCGTCCTCCGCGCTCAGTTCAGCCTCCAGGAGCCTGGTTACGTCTTAATGCCGAAGTCGAACGCCAAAGCACTACGGCCAAGCACTTCGACCGCCGCCAGCCACCTCGCCGCCATCAAGTCCCTCTCCCAGGCTCTGTCGTTTACGCTCTACATCAAGCCGAGCGACTACGCGCAGCAGGGCGTGCGCATGATTTACGAGTACCTTCGCAACGACACGCTCAAGCAGTATCCGCTGCACTGGGACGCGCTGTACGGCGACCACGGCGCGCAGGCTGTCGACTGGGCGCAATGCGAGCTGGGCGGCGGTGGGAAGGGGAAGGGCAAGGCGCCAGAGCTCTGCGGCGATGCGGCGGCCGAAGAAGATGACATCGAGCCTCCACCTCCGTACGTGTCGGAAGTGCGGGACGACGAACAGGACGAAGAAGAAGAAGAAGACGAAGAAGAAGACGCAGCAGCAGCAGCAGCTCCGCCGCGCACGCCCAGTCCACCGCCGTCGTTCCTCGCGTTCCACCAGGCGCCTTCGCCATTCGCTTTCCCGCCGTCGCCGGCGCTGGTCCCGCCGTTCTTGCTGTCGCCGACGCAGTGCAGCGGCAGCTCGCAGGGGGCGCCGTCGCCGGAGGTGCTCGTCGAGCGCAGCGTCACGCACTACGATTCATCCTCTTCGGCGTTCTCCTCGCCGCGCGAGGTCTTGTCGGCTGCCGCGGACCAGCTGTCGCAGCATGCCGGCTCCGACGTGTTCACTATCCCTGCCACGCCGGAGTGCTTGCCGGAGATCCGCGTCCTGCTCGAGGCGCAGGCGGCGGCGCGGGAGAGGGAGATGGCCTTCCGGGCAGCGGAGCGGGAGCGGGAGCGGGAGGAGCAGCTACTACGTGCGGCAGCAGCAGCAGAGGAGATCGGCCGCAAGCGCCGCGCCACGTCTTCGCCTGCTGCGTCGCCGCCGAATGCCAGCGGGAAAGCCGGGCGGCGGCCGGAGACGAAGCGCGTGCATGCGGCGGCTGATGATGAATATGATGAGGACGACGGCGCGCAGGGAGGCGTGGACTTCCTCGCCACGGCGGCCTCGGCCTTGCTGTCTCTACACAACGCCCCGACGCCGCCGCCGCCGTTGTTCCCGCCGACTACGTCTTTCCCGTCTCTCTCGGCGGCGGCGCCCTACGCCGCGCTGCAGTCGAAACTGTTCCCCCAACTCGATATCGACACCGCTCTCCTCCCGCTGGCACCACCGGAACCAGCACGAGCACCACCACCGCCCCCGCCCCCCACCAACAACCAAATCGCCCTCCCCCCTCCCAAACCCTCTTCTTCGTCCTCATCCTCGTCATCATCATCAACCCCCAACCCCCTCACCTCCACCCTCTCCACCTTCCTCGCCCACGCCCTCGCCCTCAACCCCCGCTTGTACTCGCACCCGCGCCTCTCGCGCCCCCTCCTCGCTGCCGGCGCTGCTGCGCGCAATCGTGACAGTGCGGCGTTCACGCGGCTGCGGGCGCGCATCGTGGCGGAGGTGTTGTGGGATGCGGATGGGACGGGGGAGGAGAAGACAACAAGGGGGGAAGAAGCGGAGTGGTACGTTGCGGATATGGAGGCGTTGGTGGGGTGGATGTTGGAGGTGGATGCGGAGGCGGATGTGCGGGTTTGGGAGGAGCTGGTGGGGATGGGGAGGGCGGCGAGGGGGGGCGATGCGGAGGGGTATAGGTGGAGGAAGGGGTGTGTGCTGGGGAGTGTTTGTGTGGAGTTTGGGGAGGGGATGTGATTGTGGATATACCAAGGTAGATGGGATTTGTTATGAATATATATATTTATTAGTGCTTGTGAAAGACGTCGTTTGTTCGCTATCTTGGTAGCTCTGATGGATTGTTGTTTGGTGGAGCTCCTCGGATGTGGCGTTGATGATCTTGCCAATGCAACTCGTCTATCTCGCTTGTTATTTCCTCTAACATTTTGAGCGCGCTACACTAGTCCCGTCTTCGTTCCTGGCTCGCTGTTGTGCTGACGTGGAGGGCACAATGGTAGGATTGTCTGGCCAAGGTATATGAGTCAGCAGCCGCGAACGAAGAAAAAAAAATCAAAACGAAATGTCACATTGACTCTTATCCACATTTCATCCACTTATCGCTGGTCGGAACCTCGGCAATATAAATTCCAACAACGAGGACGTCTTCCAGCAATCCTCATTTTCACCACGTTAATCATTTGTCATCTTCTTCCAGCAAAATGCTTCTTCAACTTTTGCCATATGTTCAAGGCATGCTAAAGGCATCTATGAGCCTTCATGGGGCCATAGCTTTTACGCTTCTGGTAATCCTTGTTTCGACTGTTGTTACCCGATCCGGAAACATATCCAAGACACGTAGAGCGTTGAAACACCTACGCAAGGTCGAAGTAACTACCAGTAACATGGCGGACCAATACGATCCCCAATCGGACTCATCAATACGCATCAAGGCAATCTACATTCATCCCGTCAAGTCCTGCGGGCCTATCGAGCTAGATCGCGCTTTGCTCACCAAGGCCGGCTTCATGTACGATAGATGTTTCGCAATTGCAACGGAAAGCGCCAGAGTCGACGCGGGATTGGAATGGCGATTCATCAGCCAGCGCACCAAGCCACAGATGTCCCAGATCAAGACGGAGCTATGGCTCCCAAAGAAAGACAGCAACCCGCACGACCCCCTCGTCCAGGCAGGCGGATGTCTCGTCCTGACATTCCCCGACCCAGAACCTCCCACCTGGATCAACCGGCTCGACGCACTCCTCCACACATGGACCCCATCCACACAACCACAAGTCTCCTTCACCGTCCCCCTCCAGCCCACCCCCACCCAGCTCCACGCCTTCAACATCCACCAAAAGGCCTTCGCCATCCACTCCCGCACCGCGCACGGCCTAGACCTCAGCCCCATCCCCTCCGTCGCCGCCGCGCTGCCGCAACTCAAGCAGTTCCTCGGCCTTCCCCAACGCCAACCCCTCACGCTCCTCCGCTGCACGCCAGCCACCCTCGTCCGCACCAAGACGGACCTCGCGCCGCTCGCGCACATCGGCTCGCCCTCCCTCCACGGCTACACCGACCAGCAGCCCCTCAACATCAACAGCCTGTCCTCCGTGCACGCCGTCTCCGCTCTGCTGCCGCCGGAAAACAGGCCGCTCAACGCGCTGCGCTTCCGCGCGAACGTCTGGATCGCTGGCGCGCCCGCGTACGACGAGGAGACGTGGAAGAGGTTCCGCGTCAGGCCGAGGAGGAGCAGTGGGGGTGGTGTGGAGGAACAGCAGCAGCGCGTGGCGGCGACGATATGTGTGGTGTGCCGGACGTCGCGGTGCACGATGCCGAATGTGGATCCGGAGAGGGGCACGTTTGATGCGGATGCGCCGCTGCCGGGGAGGAAGAGGGGCAGGCCGCAGCCGAGCGCGACGCTGGTGGAGTATCGGATGGTGGAGACGGGGAATGGGGCGGCGCTGGGGTTTCTGGGGATGCATTGCGTGCCGGAGGATCGGAGCTTGGAGGAGGCGGGGGAGGAGCGGGGGGGAGGGGGGTTGTGGGTGGCGGTTGGTGACGAGGTTGAGGTGCTTGAGCGGGGGGTGCATCTCACTGGGTCGACGGCTAATGAGTACTGAAATCGTTGTCTCGCTGGTAACAGCCTAAACCACAGAGATTCGAAATCTATCAATTGTTGCAAGTATTACCCAACAGGCCAACCCCCACATCCAGATTCCAGACTGGTCTTGAATAAAGGATCCAAGCCACCCTAATGGAGCCACAAGAAGTAATGATGGAAGATGTTGATGAGGCCTCATCGGGATATCTAAGTGCACGGAAATCGGCAGCCAGAAATCTTACTACGAGGACCACTAGCCCGAACCAGCTTTCTCTTTTCCTCAATAATGAAGCTACCAATCGAGAAGAGCTGATTGCCCGAAAGAGCCCAAGATTTTCAGCATTTCGTCACTAAATCGATAGTCGCCAATGCTTGCGGGACCGCGTTACTTCTCATTGCTTTTTCGACATTATCCTTCCTCTGGCATACCGGGGACGAAAACAAGAACTGGCACACGGTCATGTTGAATGGATTGGTCAGGCTGTCGCCCTCACAACAATTGAAATACGTCTTGCACTTTCAATTCGAGCTGTAATGGCCACTTCAATGCTTTCTTCAGACTTACTCAAGACTGATGGCGATACCTTCCTCTATCAATCGGCAACCTTTTCTCTCATGCACTTAGACGGCATGCACCTCTTTTTGCCCTTCTACAAACGCCTAGAAAGGAGAAACGTTCCTATATTTGCCTTGGTCCTTGTACTTGGAGTCACCTCTCTCCACAGTTACCTCCACGCTCTTGCTTTAGGATGCTCGCTCTGGAAAAAGGTCAAGAAAGAAAAAAGCAACCTAAGGGCGAACTGAGAGCCCGGGTTTCGTCCCATTGTTACCGTCTTCGCAGATCTATCTCTCCCTTATAAAAAATAAAAGTAACATGTGTGGGTAGTTGAAGCTATCGTCCGGACGTATATGGATATCCAAAGTGCCTCTTGTATATCCATATATGACATCAGAGAGACCTATACATCATTGCGCCATTCAATCGTTAGTAACTGTCAAGGACTGGGTGTCTGTGGTCTTATTGTGAGGCTAGAAGGAAGAATTGAATCCCTCCCTGCCCCGGGTGGCAGTGCGACCAATGTGCGCAGCAGTTGTCAGCTGGACAATTTTCAATAAGGGCACAGATCGAGGAAGAATCTATAACGCATGAAGCCAGATCCGCAACTTCAGCCTGTGGTCCGGCCCGGGTGAAACTTGATGGGGTCACTTGACGGTGGGAGCTGAAAGCTATGGCGGTTTTGGAAAATCCCTCAAAGCTGACGCAAATTTCCCTGTACCTTGCATTGAGGCGTTGAATTCATCCAGCCTCACTCGTACATTGATCCGAACAACAGTCGGAATTTCGCAATGTACATACAATTCAGTACATAACTGATAGGCGGAAAATTTCTAGAACACAATGGTCAAAAAGATTCAGAATCGGAAAGTGTCGCAGAAATAACATGCACATCTGTACACGGTAATGGAATTCTGATTCGTGGTTTATGCCAATGCTCTTGCGCCCTGAAAAAGCCTGAATGGGAGCGTGATGCAGTGAGTCAGAATATTCATTTATAGATAATCCGAGGTTCGGCGACAAACGGAAACTAGGTCGTTATACAAGCTTTGTCAGCACTGTGCCCTACTCGGAAGAGCTAGCATCCCCGAACGAGGAGACAATACTATTCGCAGCCCCGCAATCCTTCAAAAGCCTCATCGCATAAATATTATAAGCTTACCACCCTCTTTAATTCCATAACTCCTCCATCCTCTTCGTTCCTGCTATCATCATCACTATCACCATCACAATCATCATGTCCAAGCCGAGCATCCTACTTATTGGTGGCGCGTGGCATACACCCGAGCATTTTCGGCCCCTTCGAAACTTGTTGGAGAAGGCTGGATATGCCGTCCTCTGCCCCCGCCTGCCAACCAACAGCCTCTACCCCCCGCAAGATGCACTCGAGCAAGGCGTCAAACTCGTCCGCACCCTCGCCACGCAGCTGATTGACGAGGGTAAGGAGATTATCGTCCTGATGCATTCCTATGGCGGCTACTTCGGCACCGAGGGCTTAACAGGCCTTGGCATCAAGGAGCGCGCTCCCAAGGGACTGGCCGGCGGAATCAAGTGGTTGGCGTACATGGCCGCAGGCCTCCCACGGAAGGGAATGGGTGCGAGCGATATCGAAGTCCCCATCTTCGAGGATGTCGGGAAAGGCGGCCCAGTCGACCCCATGTCAATGGTATTCGAAGTATGTGTGTCCGAGTGAGAGAAAGGAAAAGAGACGTCCCAGAGTGTAGCAGTACTAACAAAGGTCAGTTCGATCTGGTTCTCCTCCCCAGGGATCCCGTTGCAATGTTCTACCACGATGTGCCAGAGGATTTGCGGAAGCAGGCTGTTGCGGATTTGACTGGGTTTGCAAAGTGGGGTCTGATGGCAAAGGTCGACAATGAGTCGTGGCGCAACATCGACGTCGCGTACTTGAAGTGTACAGATGACCGGGCTTTGCCGTTTCCTATGCAGGAAAAGATGATTCGGGATGTTCAGGAACTTGGGATTGAGGTGAGGGTGAGCAGTTGCGACTCGAGTCACAGTCCGTTCTTGAGCCAGCCTCAGACTGTTGTTGATTGGATCGAGGGTCTAACTGCCGTGTAGAGTCTGGAACTCTCTGGCTTGCAGAGGGATCTTGCTCAAGTCTGCTCTGTTTGTATACCATTGGGCTGGTATTTGTACAATAAGCGTAGCCATACTTCTCAACTCATAATTGTTCATGATGCTAGACACATGAACTTAAATCCGATACGGAGCATACAACATGTGCCATCTGTTAGCTGAAGGGATCAAGCCAAAAATAATTTCAATAACTTGGCAATATGCGATAGAGTTCTGGCTGCTTAATTCTCGTTGCACAAATCAAATCCGGAACAGGTCCAGCGCGCCACATGAGCAAAAAGCAACACGTACAATAAGTAGAACTCCCAATCATGACCCATTTGAATATTAATCAGCCGGTCCGCAGCTTGAGTACGGCTGAGCGGACTGGAGGTCTAGGTTTGTTTTGCTTCTGCGGCTCCGTGCCGGCCTAGCCGACTGGCCTGTCGTCCTGTTCCGGCTTGAGGTCAAGCCACCAGAGCCCGGCACGGACACCACCCTGGCACTAATGGGCTGAAAATGGACCGCTAGGGCAGCGCGTTATCCCGATTATATGCATCCTAGAACCAATGCAATATCCCTGCTCGTTCCGGGGTATAATCGATGGCTAGTGCGGATTTGCCTTTTCAAGGAGGACTGGGTCCTAACCTAACATCACCCTGACAATGAGCAAAAACTCGCAATTGTAACCAACCAACGATCGGAGAGAATCCAGAGTGATTTCCACGCCAGCGTTCCGATGTAATAGGTGGCTGTACAGCCGCACTTAGCCTGTGGCTTACATGTTATCGGTTCCAATGTTGCACTGCATAAACTGGGGGCTATCAATCTATGTAGAGGACTGATCGACTTTGCCACGCTGGCTAACATTGCGGGCTAGAAGCAGCTGCTTCTACCGGCTCATATAACAATGATCAACCTCGATAAATAGTCTAAACCAAACCATCTTTTCTCGACCTACTCCAGTGTCTTTTCAAACCTAAAACATGCAATATGGAATTCTCCTCTCCAGCATTCGGTCATATCACTCCTTTTCCGGTTCAGCCGATTATGAACTCTTTCACAGATTATGGGCTCGTGCACTCTATGGTCGTAAGAGGGCTTGTGTCCCATCTCAAGTCTTCCCCATCTCTATATATTTGTTGGAAGCTTCTGGATCATGTTTCTCGAAAACAAATAGGGATAGGAATCAAGGACTCTATTTTGGTATGTGCCTCTAACATGTCAATATTGAGGCGTCTTTAGTACTTACATTCATGAAAATTTAGGATTTTGCGATTTTCTTACTCAAACGGAGCAAGCAAAGGCCATACCAAGTGGAAGTATTTTGGCAACTCTATTTCCTCTGCGCAAGCTCTGCCCGGTTTAAGCAGGACTACATAAGCGCATGGAGGCAAACATACCCGGACTGGTCAATCAGCATACTTCTGGACAACGGTAGCCATCAGGAAGTTCCATGTGGTGCGGATTGGGATAGTGATGAGAAGCTTATGAAGCATCTGATATCATTCTACAACGTTATCCGTTCCAGCGGAATACCCTTTGAAATATTGGGGCACAGAACCCTTCGCCGGATTGATGTTGCTTCGGTAAGCATTTAGATTTTACTCCCTGTCCGTAACTATTATAATGACTCGACTGAAAGTTGGACTTTATAGATACATGGAGGCCTCGTGGTTGGAAAGCGTCGAGCTGTGCTTCAACTCGGTGCTTACGGCCCAGAGAGCCGGCCCATCTTCTATTTCAAAAACCCGGGGGCACTGAGCAAGGCCCCTGAGTTCCGCCTTGTTCAGACTCTGAAGGACAACTTGGTCCTCGTTCCTAAAAATACGGATCATAACTGTCTCAACTTCATTCGAACATACAAATCCTCCTACGTCAACACAGTTATTATGGTTCCGTTTCTTGGAAGCCTCCTTGTTGGAATTATCTGGACTGTCGTCGCTGTCGCCAAATATCACCAAGACGTCCAAGATAGTGTACAAACGGCTTTTTCCATCGCAAGTTATATCGTTACTGCTGGTAAGAGAACTATTACGATTGATTGTTTTTGCTGTGAAGCTTATAGCATAATAGGCGCTTTACTTATTGCCCTCGTCGCATATTTGGACAGCAGATATGAAGCCAGTGCACGAGATAGTCTCGATGTCGAAGAGAGTCAGCCGAATAGCGCTGTGGGCCATCCGAATGTTCTGTCCACTTCACATATTTCTGCCTCAGCCTCATCGCATCATACGAGTGCTTCGTCGCCAACTGGATCAGCAACTCCAACTAGCCTTTCTCGACCTTCCCAAGTCGCTCCTCAAGCTGTTCCTCAAGCTGTTCCTCAAGCTGTTCCTCAAGCTGTTCCCCCACCTGCTCCTCAACCTTCATCGGCTACATGGCCTTCATCGGGAACTTCATCTACCCAGAGCCTCCCAACTCGCCCCGCGGCAGTTCCTCCGGTTTATCACCGCAACTCCTCCCACGTGTAGCTGAAAAGCTTACAGTAATACTCTTCCGATTGCAGGAGATGTACGGCATAATAGGGAAAGCCGGTTTAGTAAGGCTTCGGCTGAGCTGCGTATGTAGCCTCGAGTGCTTTCATTGGTGAATGTATCATCAACATCACGGATTCTTTCATTTCAAGTTCACTTTACAAGGTACCCTTGGGTATAGTCCAGAGCCCTGTTAGTCTGATGGGTTCTCAGCGAGAATGCCTTGCTTTGATTTGTGGGTATTTGTGTGCTTCTTGCCTGAGCATAGTTGCTCGAGACTCCCTCAATGTCAATAGCGTCCTGGGCATTCTTTTAGACTCAATAAGCGCTTTCCACTTCTTTCGAATTCCCACCAATCGCTGAGGATTACGTAATACAATTAGGCGACCGCTGTACACTTCGCCCAATGCTGCAGCCTAGACTCCCTTTTCACTCTTGCTGTGCAGCCCTCTTCAAGCGTTCCCGCTCTCAAAACTTTTACAATCTCAAAACGCTCTCACAAACATGTCGGATCCTGTCATACCCTCGATCGCTGAAATCCGCAAATCCGCCCAGGTTCTGAGTGCTCCGGATGCCCTTGCCACTGTGGTCAAGGTTGGCGATTTTGCCGTCAAATTCGGCCCCAGCGTGACCATGTTAGAGGCCGAAAATCTCGAATACGTGTCCCAAAATAGCAACATCCCGGTACCAAAGTTCTTCGCCGCCTTTACCGAACCAGAAATAAAGAGTACTTTTATCGTCATGGAACACGTGGACGGCGTTCAACTCGGAGACATTTGGAAGTCCCTCACTCCTTCCGAGAAACTCGATGTCGGAAAGCAGATCCAGACCGCTGTGGAAAATCTACGTACCCTCCAACCTCCCGGGTATCTTGGATCTGTTCGCCGGCAGGCTTTCGCCGATGCCATCTTTTATTTAGAGGAACCTAACTCAGCCGTGCAAGGTCCTTTTGAATCCGAGGACGAAATGAACGAAGCCATGATCCAGAAAATGGCGGAATACTTACCACAACCATCTCAGTCACTGATGCGAACGCTGATGTCAACCACGTTGCGAGGCCATCAAACCACGTTCACTCATGGAGACTTGCAGCCAAAGAACATCATGGTGCGTAGGACAGGAACAAGAGATAATGGGACCGGGATATTTGAGATCAAGATTTTGGATTGGGAGGTGTCAGGCTGGTATCCAGAGTACTGGGAGTTTTGTAAATCGACAGTTGCTGGTTTTGCCAAGCCCGATTGGCTTGAACTGGTTCAGCAGATTATGCATATCTATCCTAACGAGTACCTGATGATGGAGTCGGTTCGGAGGATTCTTTTTTGGTAGATTGACGCAACGATGTTGAGTAAGGCGATCACGTCATCCAGTTTCAAACTTCTAGGTAGGTCAGACACGGTGTTGGCGCAGGCTTTGCGTTGCCTGGTAGGTTTGCTGGTGCGAAGAGTGTAGTTGAGCTCATAGATGCGCAGCTCGTTGCAACGCGCCAACGGTCGTACGACACAGCTTCTAACTCTTCGGGGAGTCCGTTCGATAGATTAAAAGCCACGCAAGGTTCAGACTGTGGTCGTTGATGCTCAATCTGCTCGTAAAGCGATGAAACTCATCCATTCAAGTCTCAGTTCTAAGGTCTAGAACGTCAAAGAATTACTTGTAAGAAGAGGCCTCACCGCCAGTAGGTGATTTACACGTGAAGGCCGACAGGAGCCTAGAGCCTTACAGTTGCCACGTATGTGTCATTTTGAAACATAGCCTAGCGTTGATTCTCCAACGCATGATGAGCCATTTTGATTACGCGCTGCATACAATTTTCCTGGCCCATACACGAAATAGGACAAGGGTATGCAGCTCTTGAGTAGCACCTGTCCTGAGATCAAACGTGGCGACAAAGGTATACGGTGGGCAGAATAGTCAGAGAAAATGGACACTTTCTGTAATTGGGAAACGGTGAGCGTCGAGGCACGTAATCCACGAAAACCCCGCATCCGTCAGCTGAACATGCAAGCCAACCCCACAACGGCTGCGCGTCCAGCTGCCCTCACGCAAGACATCTCTAGAGCCAGCTACGAATCGACCTTTGTTTATGCTGGGCGAAAAAACCGGTTTTAGGTTTGCAGAGTATCATCCTAACGGCCTAGAATCCCAGCCTCTCAGCTTTAGGGAATATCGAAAAGGGGCCTCTGTCCAATCACATTGGCGCTTGTTATCGTTCATACGCAAGCCTCGTAAGAGTGAAATCATGCTAACAGTAGTATCACATGTCGATGTTGATCTCGTGATTGGTTAAGGTGCTTGTGACTGACCCTAAGTGGCGCATGCAAGGTCGCTTTCGGGTTCATGCAGCAGTACAATGAGGCGAATGATTTGATGAGGCTGGGGCATACCGGGCCAAAGGAAGTGAGCGTACTGCCTGATAATGATGAGTGTGGGGTCGTGTTCTCAGCCTCAACACAATGGGGCTATTGCGTTTAGCCTAGCGATGTTCTTTACGTTCATCAAAAGCGCGAAATCCAAAAGTCATAATACACAGGCTTCTTCTCCAAATATCTCATTCAGAAAAATGAATGACCATAGTTTGCCTTTCCGTAAAATGAAAGAAAAAAAACTATTGTGAAATGTTCGAAGAGAGTGATCGGCAAGGAGACTAGCGGGGAATGAACAGAACTGACAATACAAATCCAACGAACCAGCCATGTAACTCCACCCATTTAGCCTCACGACTCTAATAATAGGAAGCCTCATCTTCTGGGCAAATGCTTACCTCTGCATGGACACGTAGGTCTCTCGCATCCATGCAAATCAGGGCTTGCCGTTTGATGAAGCAATCCAACGTGAAACATACGTTATCACTTACTGCCAGACTCCGAACGCGCTGAAAGCGAGCAAGCGAAAGACTTCTCAATGCACTTGTCCAAGTGCTGGAATGGGTGTATCAAGCGTGTCGAAAACATAGATTTGCTTCAATCTTCCCGTGAGACGTTGTAGCCAAACTCCTGGTCCGAGGTGATCAAGTTTCACCGTGGCCGTGAATTCGCAGCAAGGGCAACTCTTGTTATCGCTGTCGTGCTGCTTCTCGCTTGATCGCGTGTATATCGCCTGGTTCCCATGCCATGGAGCCCGTGAAACTTTGGATATGCTCAGCGGGTTCTCTTTGAGGTCTTGAATTCAGAACGTCAGAATTATGAAATATACCCATTCCAGGATAGATTGCATTGTTTTTACCTTGAATATATGCGGAATCCGTCAGGTAGATCTTTTCAGAAGATCGAATGAGCACAGCTGCTTTGGAAGAACTCCTTTTCCTCGTTGAGGTGAGGGTGCAACACCCGCTCTGCATTTCTGTGCCGAAATGTGATGCTTCGTTTAGGCGATGTATGTTTGATGTGTCGTGTTGGGGGCCCTGAAGTTGTAGCTCTGCAAGACTTGGAGTAGACGGCTGCAGCAGCAACGGGGGAAGCGGGTTAATAAGGCAAACGAGGCATTTTCGTGGGCGCAATTGCCAAGCAATCCTGTAAGGTCTGTCGACCACCTGAGCCTGTCATGCATTTCACAAAGCTAATCACCCACGTCATTGCGCGATTCCTATGTGCCTATTGGATGAACTCCTGTTTTTCAGCTGCAGAGACTGCCCACAGGGAGTTTTAGCCCCGGGAGGCCAAGGGCGCTGAGGGCCGAGGCTGCCCGCGGGTGTTAACGCATACGTAATTTGTACAGTACAAAATGGTTATATGCGGAAGCCAAATATTTTCCTGTAAGCACTGGAAGGCTGAATAGAAAGCTTACTTGGTCTCCCCCCCAGAGCCTTCGAGACCGTACCGCTTTCTGTCCTATCGCGGTAGCCTTGCCCATGAGTTGAGCCTCAAAGTCTACTAGTTTAGGCATCTCTCATAGTGCGCGGATATTGCTTCTGAAAGAAGAAGTATGCATTCAGCTGACATGATCGGCTTATGTTGAAATGCATTGCGCACTGCTGACGTGGGCAGATGGCGCACGGCCTGAACCTGCGGACAGGTGGCGAGGCTGCTGATTTGCATTACAACTTACTGGAGCTTCACGCCACCACTCTGCAGTCAGAGCTTGATCTGCATTGCCGCATTCTAGGGAGAGCTTTACATAATTCTTAACAAGCCTTGATCCGTCTTCTTGCAGTAGTTCGAGCCAGCGTGTTTGCCCACTTGTGACGAAGCCTTTCCCGGATCAAAGAGATTTGAAATTCAGCTCATGCACGAGACGAGAATGCTGGAAGGTTCGTCCAGGATAGTAATCCAGTATTCCATGTTGCACTGCATTTCTGCATCTTCTCTTGATCGAGCCTCTGATAAGCCTGAGGTTCGTCGTGCTTGTAAAGCATCGAGATGTGCAGTGCCTCATAGGATATATATGCATATCCGTCCGTGGATAGATAGCTAAATGGCGCTGCTTGCCATTTCAACCTATGGCAACCATGGCTTCCTCATCTTTGACGGGGAGCTTTCGTGTTTCAGGCGATCACTCACGACGTTTGTCGTTTGATCCAGGGGCACAACACCCAGCCACCAGCCTTTTTGTAAGCACGTCTGAGGCTCAGTGTAGGCAGCTCACAACCCAACTGCAGAATTTTACAATTAATTATAACCAATCTTAGCTCGCGGCTCTAGAAGATCTTCTTTCTCTCCCGGATGCACAAATCAAGATTCACAGTTTCAGCCTTGTGCAGACCGTGAGACGGACGTTTGGTTGCGGAAGATCGTTCTCTCTCTCGGTAAGTCTTTACCCGGTATAGTTACAGAATCTTAAACTGAATACATGACAAACAGATGGCGGTGGTGTGAGAGGTTACTCCTCTTTGATCATACTTAAGCGTTTGATGTACCTTATCGGACAGATTGAGCTTGGTCGCATCCCAGGCTATGAAAATGACGTAATATCCCCATATTGTATATTTAAATATTCTTTTAACGATTCGAGATTAGGGACGGCCTGCCTATTATGATAGGGTGCAGACAAGCGAAGGGTATTCTTGGGGACCCGAGTCTCACGTGCCTTCCCAGAGTCAAGCAAGGGAAGATGACGACAGCGAGCCTACCGGCGTGGAAGAGAGTGTGGAGGCAACATTTCGGTGGAGTGCTAAAAGCTTCAAGCCCCATCACTACTTTGACTACATCGTGGGAACTAGTACTGGAGGGTGAGTCTTGTTTCACAAGAAAACGATACTTGACTTAATTTATATGCAGATTGAGCGCTATCATGCTAGGCAGACTGGAGAAAGACGTAGATTTCGCACTTGCACAGTACGACACCATCGGCGAGATCGTCTTCGCACACCCGCGTCCGTCAGGCAGTATCTCCACCCGACTCAAGGTGAACAGACTTGTTGGCCTCATCAGGACCAAGTACAGCGAGACAAGGAAGAAAGAAGCGATCCTCAGTGTCATCCGAAACACGATCCCACGAGACAAACAGTCCCAGATGCATGAAGAAAGGTTGACTTTGAAGCATGACGAGCAGCGATGCAAGACGTAAGTGTAGAAAGAATGCTCTTAACATGGCTGATCTGCTTCTAACCGAGTGTCCGTCTAGATTTGTTGTCTCATACGGATCGCCGGAAGTGGCATTGAAGCTAGCCACCTTGTTTCGAAGCTACGAACTACCTCGAGAGCGCGGAAAAGACAACACAGATGGTCCCGGGGATGTGCCTTTGTGGGCTGCTGCTCGAGCTACGTCTGCTGCACCATTCTACTTCGAACCCCTGAAGCTGTACGGTGCCGAGTACATTGACGGCGGGATAGTGGCCAATAATCCGGCTCTCTTGGCATATGAGGAAATGAGACGAGCACATGCGATGAAACCTCTGCAGATTGTGTCAATCGGAACAGGTGAATCTCGTCCGGCTGCAGATTATAAGAAGCCCGCACAACTCGGCAAATGGAACATCTTCAAGGTCCTAGCAGATGTGGCAACGCAGTCAGAAGACACACACTCAAAACTGGAATTTCGACTCAAGGGCGTTGCTCCGAAAGTGCACTATCTCAGACTCAATGTCGAGAATCCAGAACTCGCCAAAGTGCAACTCGATTCCTGGGAGCCGAGAAGCGCAAAGAACGGGCGAGGAGGTCACAAAACCAAAGATAACATCACAAATCTCACAAAAGAATACCTCAAGTCCCCAAAGGTAAACTCCGATCTCCTGGACTGCGCAAAGCGTCTCGTAGCCGTCCGCCGTAAACGGGCTGAATCACCAGAGTGGGAGCTTTACGCGTGTCGCATCGCCTACTTTTGCAAGCACCCGGATTGCATCAATAGCAAGCATCCTACACACCACGAGACCAGACACTTGCTTCGAGAACACGTCAAAAAGATTCATGGCTTTATCGTCGATGATGGGTCGTCGGATCCAGTCCAATGCTCAGTAGGCCCATGCTGTCATACAGCCAGACGACCTTTGTTCCGCCGCAGCGAGAGTTTGGAGGATTTTCGTGATCACTTGAACCGCATCCACGGCATTAGTCGTGCGAGTCTCAAGGACCCGGAGGAATTTGAGAACTGGTTGAGTTCGTGCAGAGAGCTAAAATGACCCATATCTAAGTACTCGGAGGAGTATCTTTCGTTGAACAAGTGATGAATTGAAAAAGTTCAGCCTTTTGAGCGCAATGGTTGATCGGTAATTCTGTGCTTGCTCCAAAGCGCTGATGAGTGCTTTCAATCCCTACGTAGGCCCCTATGCTATGAGACTACTAGCCTATATGGTTGAAGCAAATTACAGCGCAAGTATGATGTGCTCGCATATGCAGTTAGAAACCTGATCAAATTGTGCTTATTGCTGTCGTTTCCGTGAGTTCCGACTGTGTGTGAGATTCTTATGATCGGGTGCTTCGCCCCATTCTCAAAACGCATGAAACAATACTGATACTTGGTATGATGCTTGTTTTTATGCAGCTTGCAATTTTGCTTTTGGCAGAAGTCTTTCGGGGAAGCGGACAAAAAGCCCAAAATTCTACTCTCTGGTCTTGTTGCTTCTTTTTCTCTTTTCATTGTTTGATGGGTTCAATTTAGTTCTCATGTGAGCATGGCATCGTGGCATATAATAGTGTTGATGTAGAGTATTTACGAATGGCAAATGGGCAACGGAAAACAACAGATAACATAAAATTTGTCTATAGACACAGACTAAACAATACAGATCTCAGTTTCATCCACCGAGTCGAAACACTCATCAAAAGCATTATCTTCCGGGCTATCAACCATCTCTTTTGCATCGCCGACTTCTTGCGCGAAAATACCAACGTCAACCTCATCTATCCTCTTCCGGGGGCTCGTTGCAATCCCAATCCGACGAAACTTGCCGTCGTCCCTCCGAAGCAGCATCAAAGCCACCGTCCCGACCCTTCTCCTCCACCTCATCCCCTCCTCGCTAAGCTCCGCGTCCTCCTCCCGCGTGACCCTGCACAGCCGCGCAAACCAAACACTACTCTCCCGCCACGCATCCCTATCCTCGACCGTGTCCAAGAAAACCGACATACACACCTCCCTCCCGTCCGCCAACTCCGACACAAACAGCACATCATCATCCGGCGGCTCCTTCGCGAACCCCGGCGGCGCCGAGCAACACGCCTCCAAAAACGCCGACTTCACCTCCCTCACCACCCTCGTCTTGACCCACATCTCCGCCTCCCCCGCCAACTGGCCCATCTCATCCCCCGTCTGCAACTTACACTCCGTCTTCACCTCCGCCCACTCAACCTCAACCCCATCCCTCGCACACTCGAACTCATTCACAACCGCAAAAACCCCCTCCGTCGGCCAGCGCACCGGGCCCCTTACACTCGCCCACGACCACGACGGCGCGACAGCCGCCGCCCTGCGGCTATTCGTCATCGCGACATCCGTCCCCGCCATCACGTACACGAAGTCCCTTGCATCCAACGTATGCCACAGCAACGAATGCGGCAAATCCCTCCCCCAATGGCCCGCGCTATACGCGCCCGTAACAAACGCACCGCCCAACCCCTCCCGATACGCGTGCGCGAGCCCCGATATCGCCGGCAAGACGTCCCCATCGTACGTCAGCTCATTCCACGAGTAGTCGTGCACCAGCATGCGCCAGTCCTCGAAGACCAGCGGCATGACGTCCGGCGCCGATATCGGGGCCTGGTGGATCGTGGCTTTGCGCCGGCGAGGGCAGCGGGGGGAGGGAGGAGCGGGGTGCCGCCGCGAGGTGGCGCCGCATTCGCACCACGTCGCGCGGCGGCAGGCCCAGATGAGTTCGGTGGAGGTGTGGTGGAGGACGCGCCGGCTGAGAAGGCGTTCTTGGAGGCACCAGCCGCGGGCGAAGACGGGGTGGCGTGAGGCGAGGGCGAGGGGCAGGTCTTTGCCGGTGCCGTCGAGGGGCCCGAGGTGGCCGTGGATGGCGGTTAGGTTGTGGGGGACGTTGTGGGTGGGGGCGGTGCGGACGAAGAAGGCGGGGGGTGTTGAGGCGTTGGAGGGGTGGGCGAAGGGGATGTCGACGAGGTGGCGGGTGGCGATGGAGTTGGAGTCGTCGAGGGCGGTGGATATGGACAGCGTCAGCGCGGATTCGCGGTAGATCTTGGACATTTGCGGGGCTTCGAGCGCCCAGTCTTCTCGGTCGTCTTGGATGATGCAGACGGCGTCTATCCAGACGTAGCGGATGCCGAGCTTCCGGGCCATGGCTACGACGTCCTGCATTAGTTGGGGCAGTTCCGCGGCTGGGAATCCGCGCAGCCTTTGCTCTCGGTTCGCGCGTGTCGTCAGAGCCGTGTCTTGGTTGTTGGCCCAGCGGTAGCTAAGTGTGAGGTATGGTTCGGGCTCGGACAGGTGCTCTCGGAGAGAAATGGTGGCTGTTTGCTCTCCAGGACGGCCGACGTCGATGAGCCGTGTGGGCATGAAGGGCTGGCTCTCTTCCCAGCAGGCTTTGTGGTTCTTCTTGCAATGTGCGAACATGGCGGTAATTGTACTCATTACAGAATCATCAAGTGTGGCTTGTGTCAAGCGCTGAGACGATGACAAGCAAGGGAATGAGTCCACATCGTCTGAGCTATGGAGGAAGAGACAGTCAGTTCGTCCATCTTGAAAGAATGGATAGAGAGTAGCGCTACTCACGTTTTGTAGAACTGCAGATTTGCAATGTGTCCTCCCAAAGCTAAGTACCAATCAACATCAGTCCTCCTCTCATGTAAAACTTGGAGGTTCATTTGGCAGAGTGTTTCCCTTTCCTCGCTCTTAATCTCGTCGACTCGACAAGCCAAGTCTTTCGTCATGATATCTTCAACATATCCCTTGCTTGACGGAACAATCTGTACCCCCTTCACACGTAAAGCTGGAGACAGCATCAAATCTCCCAGAGGGATCCGCTGCCCTTCATCGTCAAGCTTGGCTGCGGATGACAGACGCCATGCTTGGAGGCCCGCCAATATAAAGGCACACCCAGGGCAGCTCTTACCCGATTCTCTGAGCTCCTCTCCGCTAACATGGACTCCCCCGCTAGACCAGCGATAGTTCCCTTCTATGTCGAGCGATTGGCAGAGGCCGCACGTGGCCAAGGGTTGTTTAGAGCCTTCACTCATTGGTCGTGAGTCTGTGTAGGTATATTGTAGAGTTTTGCTGTGAAAATCAGATGGAAAGTGGGGTCAAGTAAGCGTGGCACGTTACGTAATTGTTCTTTGCATCTAGGCGCCCGGTTGAAAAGACCAATTATAGCGCAGCCTGGTTTCTGGCCCCCAAATTCTACCGCGATGACATCTCCTGCACCACTCATCCTATCCCTCTCCATCAACGCGCCCCCCTGCTACTTGTTCTGAAAATCGCCCTTTCCGTATAACTCACTAACGTTTACGTCTTTCTCAAGGCCCTTCAAGCCCTTGCGCGCGCGCTTCTTGTGTGAGTTTCCGCTGTTGCCTGTTGCTGAGCCCGTACGCGCCAGGTTGTCGCCCAGGATTATCGCGCGGGAATTTCGGCTCGTGGGCTCTTTCATCTGTGAATTTTGCTACCCCTTTCGGCGCTTCGTCCCCTGAGATCATAAGACCCTCATCTTCTGGGGTTCACTACAACTTCCATGCCTATTTCACTGAAAGTTCATCATAAACAAGGCTGACTTCAAGACTGTTTCGTTTTACCATGGTTAGATACCCTATGACCACACTCCCACGCAAATATCACTTTCAGACATGCTCGAACCGCTCCAACCTATAGCACCAAAAGAAAAGAAATTCGTGTTCAAAAATATCAAAAGCTCAAGAACACCGGGTTTACCTTGGCCATGTAGTAGGTTTCCTCGGTTTTCACAAGCTCAACAGCTTTCGTCTAGAGGTGCAGCGTCCTTGTGTGAAGCCTGCAAAGGTATCACTTTGAGCGCACTAGAAAGCCCAGATGGATACACTTATACTGGCAATACTTTGGAACGATCAGCCAGCCTCCCGAATGCCTGTCGTCTTTGTACCCTTATTTTGAACACTCTCAGACACGCCTACGTCCGCATGGTTCAAGATGTCAATCTCGATATCAAAATGAGCGATCATCAGGCGGAGGAGACTTTCTCAAAGATCCTGAATGCGAATGATCAATTTGTCACACTTTTCGCGTTCGCAGATTCAGACATAGCCCTTGTACCCAAACCACCATTTCTAGAAACTGATATGGGCTTTCCACCAGTTTTGACTCTATACAATCCATCGGGTAAGACATAAATATACTAGCAAGAAGTCTTAATTTCTGACTTGATATAGGGGCACCATCTACTGGCTTAACGGAATATTTCGTTCCGTGTCCTACGACAGTCGAAGCTGTGGCCCTAGTGACACATCTGCTATCAGAATGTTTCACAACCCATCCGGAGTGTCCTAAAACGATTGAATCTCCACTTCCTAAAAGGCTTGTAGATGTTGAATGTCTGGGCGACGCGGACAATTCAGTACGCCTCTGGCTGAACCCTTTCGCGACGAACGAGGAGGAAAGCTACAGAGGTCCACACGGGAGATATGTTGCCTTGACTTACTGCTGGGGGACTCGAGCTTTTACCACACTTACGCCTGAAAGTCAGGCCAGCATGATTCACAGAATCGATATGGGAGATATTCCGGAAACCATCCGTGATGCTATTCGAATTACCCGCTTGCTCGGAATCCGCTATCTCTGGGTCGATTCACTATGTATCTTCCAGGGATCCAGCGCCCAAGCTCTCAAGGACTGGATGGAACAATCTCAACAAATGGCCAACGTATACAAGAACGCTACTCTAACAATCGGTTCGGAGACTGCAAGGGACGCCTATCAAGGGTTCCAGCACGCCGAAAGCTCTGTTCAAAAATCCTTTGCTCTCCTTCCATCAACATGGTCATCATCAAAAACAAACAGCCCGATGTTCGTCGGTCCGGATGGCGCCCTTGCTCTAGCTCCCGCCTCGAAATTGCATACGCGCGGATGGACATTCCAGGAGCGGCTATTGTCGACCCGCTATATCACGTTTGGCTCAGGTGGAATGTTCTGGGAATGCCCACATGGCAGGCAGTATGATAATGCCTGCTTGGACAATTTTTATTATGAAGACCTTTCCCCGAAGCTGCCCGAGGCACCTACATTTGAGGACTGGCACTATCTTATCGAGGAATATTCGGGGAAGCAGTTTACCAAGCCACAGGACAGACTGGTGGCGCTTTCTGGCCTACGTGCTCACTTTCTAAATTTGCGTGGAGCCCAGGATACGGATATTGCTGGGCTCTGGAGAAGCAATCTTTCCTGGGACCTGCTATGGGAGCCCTCAAGATATGGGGAAAATCATGATTTGATCAGCATGGCGCCTTCCTGGTCATGGGCATCTGCCGTCTCCAAGGTGAACTGGTCATCCGCTCACCTTTACCAGGCAAAGCACGTATGCCATCCAGAGTGCGTGTCCATACAGAATGCCACTGCAAAAGGCCTTTCCATCGGCTCTGAATTCAAAATTGAAGGCAGAATTGAGCTCAGTGGGTTCGTAAGCAGGGCAAAGTCTGTTGCTAACGATCCTAGAGGATTCGGTAATATGGTGATTGTGGATGAGTTGGACAACACTTTTGATGCGATGTTTGACGAAAGGAGCTCTTACTTAACAAAAGTTCACTGTTCCCCGGAGGACAAGAAAGTCGCCAGAAATATATTGTGCGTCCAGTTTCACAACAACCCCGGACGTATCGGTCTTCTGGTGGAATCGACTGATGAAGCTTGTACTGAGTTCAGACGAATTGGGATCTATCGGACTCTGAATGAAACAACATCTAAATCAACTGATACAGCTGTTGTCGTGGTTTTATAGCTCATATCGCCCCGTAGATTTTCGATTTCCAAATTGATGCAATTACAAAAGCGACCCATATTTGCAGCGAAAAACCCAATTGCCACCCTGCCGCCCAAAAGCGACCCTCTCTGTATGAAGTTATGGCCAGCTGTCTTATTTGGCGATAGTGCAAGCCTCTAGTGGCGGAAGTACTAGTTAGGCGGCGTAGGCGCTAGGCGTGCCTGGATCGCTCCAGAACGCGTTCCGGAGTACCCAGACAAGTCGTGGCCGATTTTGTCGCAAGTTAAAAAATTCCTACTGTGGTTTCTGAGTACTTACTATGAAGGAAGTAAGGTGGCTTAACGGCGCATCGGAGTAGAGTTTACGATTTAGTACCTTAGCCGTTATAAAGATTATCCGTGCTAAGTAAACGTCTATTAAATAAGAAGTAGGCACTAATTACGCTATAGGCATATACGTGTAGTTTTTCAGGGGAAACGGTGGCGTTTTATATGATGTGGGCGTTTTCTAAAACCTAATTGATCCTACCGTAATGAGTAGTCGACGATCCGATTAGAAGACCTTCCCACACATGGACTAGCTTTGTTTACACTGCAGATGTTAGCACATCTCTGTTCAGTTCACCGCTTTTTGCTTTTTTTACGAAACTCTCACTGATTAAAGCTGCCCCGGGCCTTCTGGTCTTCTTTCGTATTAACCATCACTCGAGACTCGCAACTCTCAATTACCTTTATCGCAACTCCAGTCTTCCTACCATGATCCGATTCATCAAATTCGCGGCTCTACTAGTCATACTGAGCCCTTTCAGCGGCGCAATCCCCCTATCCGACAATACACACGAGTCACGATTGGACCGCCGGCTTTCCAGCTGCCCCAGCTTTCAGGGAAATTCCGATTTTTATGGCCTTGGAGTACGAATTGGCGTGTACCTGCAGTGGATTACGACCCTGATCGTTGATGTGCCTACATGGAACGACTTCTTCGAAATCCTTGTTGCAGACAGCATCTTCTGTTTCTCTCTACTGATTGGGCTCACTGTGGCGGCCCACGACGGCCTAATCAACTTGGCTGAAGCATACATCATGATGCTTATGTGCTTCGTCTTTGCCTTCACACTTCCGATAATTGTTGCCGGTCGCCGCTTCGTCTACAACTGGAAGGTCCGCTCACAGGAAGCTACACCGGTGGAGGAGGACTCCACGAGAGGATTATTCGCAAATTGTCTGTACGTCGTCATGTCAGGCTACTGCTTGGGTCTTTCGCTTTGGATTTGGTGGTCATTTGCCTCCGGTGAACACACCGAGTCATGCGATCACCTCATCTACTTTTTTGGACGCCATCTTCTTAAGGACGGGACTCTTTCAGCTTTACGAGGGCTCACTACTCTATTCACGGTCTGCGCAGCCTTCGAACTCATTTCTACAACACTCATCCGCATTGCCTTCCCAAAACTACGAGACCAAATGAACGGCGACTCGACGCACAATGTGTCTCACCTTTTCATGGTTTGCACGCAATGTATCATATTCCTCACCTCGGCCTCGGTCTTCGTCTCGATTGCATTCATCGAGGCTACCATTAGCGCAGCCGGCATGCAAGGCGTATACGACGTCCGTTCAACGGGGCAACTTATACCTCTGGTTGGAGGCCTGGCTTCATTTGTCAGCGCTTTCAGGCAACCGTTCAGGAAATATCTTCAAAAGCCGTTGCAGACTCTCTGGGAACGAAAGCTATAAACGTCTTCGTCGGCTGCTGGTTGTTGTACAATCCGTAAATTTCCTGGGCCACATTTGAAAGCAAACAAACACGAACGCCAGACAAAGAAATCAACTCGAAGTCACAGAAATGAATTAATGAGGGCGGTCTACATGGCTGAGCCAATTTGGGGACCCACGACAGGAAGCAGAGCATTGCATATCGCTAAATTAGGGGCGCCAGGATGTAATTGTTAATCTAATCTGAATATACAAATAAATGGCCTATTTGACTATGTATGAATGAGGCTATAGTGAATTTCGTCTGACAACTGAGGCAACTGTGTGCTTTACCAGTCAGATGCGCCAATCATTATGTGAAAAATTCCGCCGTTTTCAAACATGGATGGGAGTAACGAACTTTTAAATAGTAGCTCGGCTCCAAACAAACCCTCCAGAAAGTAAGAAGCAATGTCGGGTTATACAATTGTACTATGTACTGTAGCCACGCTGTAGTTACTTTAGCTAGCTATACAGGGTATAAAGCCGCCACCCGGCTAGCCACCCTCTCATTCCTCATGCCACCTATTCATTGCAGACAATACACTTCGTTTCCATCACCGATTACAATAGGATATCACTATATTATAGTGACTTTTCGGTCTTCACCGGCCCATCCAATACAGTCTTCCACCAAATAAGGCCACTTATCCTCCTCGTATTCATCCGAAGCGAGATTGTAGAAAATTACGGCAATGCCGATCCGTCTAAATACATCTGAGAGTGTACCTCCTCGTTCGTCGTATGCTTGCTCTAGAATCAGGAATGCTGTAAATACTCCAGCACCACCCCACCACGGTACACCACCACAGAGTCTCAGGGCCCAACAAGGGCCGTTTGAGTCTCGATTGATGATGCCTTGCATCTCGCGATATCGGCCGCCGAGTGCCGGCGTCAAGTTCTCCGGCAGCAAGTTGTACTTGCTAAATGACTTCGACGCCGTGAATACCG